TAGTTTCTTTATAATATTCTTTTATAGTTTTCTCTAGTTCTAGAGAATTTTAAGATATATTTATTTCTAAGCTTAGTCTTAGATCTCTTACTTAAGTATTAAATTTTTTATTAAGTAAATTAATATTATTATAAATTATACTAGAAAATTTATTCTCTTTAACTAGCTTATTTATATTAATAGTTTTATTAGACCTATCTGTCCTTATATAAAATTTATTATTTTTATTATTAAATTTTATTATCTTTTTTTCTTTATTAAAATAGCTTTAATTTTCTATATTATAATTATTATTATTACTTTATTAATAATTACTTAGATCTATAAATTTATTTAACTAATTAATTTTATAAGTTATATATAATTTCTTAGCTAGTAGATCTATCTTAAATCTCTTATTCTTATTATTATTCTAAGTATTTTTAACTTCTTTATAAATAGCTTTTAACTACTTTTATAATTTCTTATTATTATTTTTTTATTATTAGTTTAATTAATATTCCCTTATTATATAGCCTTATTTTTTATAATTATAATATACTTTATTATTTTAATATTATTCTCTTTCTTTCTTAGGAATTTCTTGATATTAAGCTATATCTAGCTTTATTAATTATAGCTTATAAGAATTATTATATTCTTAGCTTTTTAGCTGTGCTTATTATTTATTATTAATATTATACTAGCTTATTCTTTAATTATCTTAGTATTTATTACCTGACTAATTTTTATATTTAATATTAAAGTTAAATAACTTATTATTAATCTTAATTACTTATTTAATTATCTTGCTAAGAGTTTCTAGCTATTTTATTTAAATTAGTTTCTCTTAAATCTCTGGTTTAAGCTCTTCCTTGAATTATATAATATAAGTATTATTATTTTAATTTAACTAAGATATAACTTACTAAAATTCTGAAGTATACTAGCTAATTAATTTAAATTATTATAATTATTATAATTTTTATTTTATATTTTAAATTATATTAATATCTCTGAATATTATATAGAGTTATTTTTTAAAATTATTATAGCTTTTAAATACTTTTTTAATTTTATTATCTTAATTATTTTTAATATTATTCTAGAAGTTCCTAATATAAGATTTAAATTAATTAAATACTAGACTCTTTAGGTATATAATAATAAATATAATTTTATTAGATTTAGTAACAAGTTTTTCTCTATTTATTTTTATATATATATTTATTTATATTAAAAATATATAAAGCTTAGAATAAGTATTATTAAATATCTCTAGTAATTTAATCTTAATAGTATAAGTTATAAGTTATCTTTTTAAGATTATAATATATACCTGTAGTTACTTAATTATACTAATAATATTTACTAGAATTAGCTTATTACTAGTATCTTTTTAATTACTTTTACTACTAGTCTTAGGAATTAGCACAGCTATTCTATTATTATTTAATATAATAATATTTTAATTTATTTTAAGTTAACCTAAGACTTTATTTATATTAACTAGTATTTAATATATTAAGATCCTAGAATCTCTTTAAGCTTTTATTATACTAGTATTAATAATTTAGATTATTTAAGATAAAGAGCACCCTGTGATCTTTTTATTAATTATTAATAATAAATTAAACTAACCTGAGATCTTATATAGTAATTATATTATTTATATTAATTAATAAAGTAATCTGATAGTCTAAAGGTAACTAATAAGTAAGAAAAGAAATAAGATATATTAAGTATATATACTTAATACTTAGTAAAGTATAGATAAGTAAAAACTAGATAAAAGATATACTCAGACTTGAACTATATAGTCTTGAATAATAATATTATTAAATATAATTAATTAAATTATAGATATAGGTAAATAAATATCCTTATATATTCTTTAGTTATATACTTTCTTATATACCTTTTAGAGTAGATAATAAGATATATTTAATTAGTATATCTGCCTGTGTATACTTTACTATATATCTCTTGAGATAGATATTTAAGTATATAATTATATAACTTGTGTATTCTTCTTGCAGGGTTCTTGATCTTGTACTAATTAATTAGTGTTAGACTTCTGCCTAACTATGCTGCCTTTATGGGATATTAATCTTGTTGGGTTTCCATAACAGCTAGCTTATCTTAAAAAATTTAATATAAATAATTTATTATTAGTAATTAATTAAAAGTAACTAAGAAATATATATAAAAATATATATAATATTCTAGTCTAAATTTACTTATATTTTTTTATTTTAATCTTATAATTCTTTATTATAATATATTATATTTTATAATAATTAATTAATAAATTCTTAATAATAATTATTTATTTATTAAATAATATAAGATCAAGATACTTAGGTTTAATAAGTATAATATATAATATAATTATTATAAAATTAATATAATCTTATATTTCTTTATTCTTTATAATAAGTTAAATATAATTAATTTAAAGTAGCTAATTCTTTAATAAATTTAAAATAATATTTAATTTAGGAATACTTATAGTTATTTTAATAGTTTAGTAATTAATAAGTAAATAAGAAAACAGGAGTAATAAGAAAAGTAATTAATAATAAAAAATTAATAATTTAAAAAAAGTTTATCTTGTAAATTAAAAAAAAAAATTTTTTTTAAAAAAAAATAAGAAAGTAAATAACCATGCTTATAATTATTAAATCTTAAAATAAATAAAATTTATAAGAAGTAAATCTTTTTAAATTAAATCTAGAAAAAAATATAACTAAGTTTAATTTAAGTAAATAAATTAAGTTAAATAATAAGAATAAGACTAGATAATTTAAATTAAATTAAAAAAAATAAAAGAATATTTAAAAGAACAAAAAACTTTAAATTTCTTATTTTAAAAGAGCTAGTAATTATATATTTAAGAAATAATTAGATATTAGTAAAAAATTAAATAATAATTATATAATTTATTATATAACTTCAGTAACAGGAAGAAGTAACTATTAAGAAATCAAGTTCTTTAATAGGCTTGTTTGGATTAGCCATCACAGGAAGTTAATGGTTATTCTAATATAAGCTTATAAGATAAGTATATGAGAAAGCTAGATACAAAGTTAGCTAAGAATAACTAGTCTAATATAGAAATGATTAAGAAAAATTATTAAATTACTAAAATAATAAAGATATAAAAAGTAATATTTTCTATTATTTAGTTTATTTTATTTATATATTAAATTAATTATATTAAAAATATATTAGTACTATCTTCTTACTTATAATAAAAAAATTTAATTAACTTAATATTATTATGAATTAAAATTATATTATACTTTTCTTATAACTAGTCTAAAATTTATTAATATTATAAAAAAATAAATTATATACTTATAATACTCTAGTTTAAGATTATTATCTTATATTATAAAATTATTAAGCTTAAGAATTTTTATTTAATAATCTTATATAAATCTTAATTTAACTTGCTTAAATATACTTTAGATATACTAGTAAAAATATATATAAACCAGATTATAGCTAGAAATATATATATACTAGTAATATTTACTTAATAATAAGTTTATAAAGTCTAGAAAGTTAAGATAATAAAAATTTATTAAGATAAAAACTAAAATATTTTTTTTAATTACTAGCTTAATAAATATAAATATTTAAGAGCTTAATAACTAGTTAATTAAGAAAAATAAGAAAAATAAGAATAATAAGAATAAATTATATAATATCTAGAATATTAATACTTTAAATTTTAATAAAAAAGTTATATATCTCTTATAATAATAATATAATAAGTTAATTATAAGTTTTACTTATATTAATAACTTAGAGAATATAATTATAATTTTTTATGTTATAATTAAGTAAAAAATAAATTAAAAATTCTAGGAGATTAATAAGTATTATAAGAAATAAATAATAAGAGATCTTGTAAAACTTGAATAAATAAAGAAGTTAATAAATTTTAAAAATATTAAAAAGCTCTAATTTAGAAATTAAAATAATAATAATATAATTAATATATTATTAGATATATAGAAAATTCATGAAATTCTTATATATAATATATTAAAATACTATTTAAATACCTAAGCTAAAAGGGTTAAATTAAACTAAATAGATTTTAGTTTTATAATTTAGGGATCTATAATCTAACCTGCCCTATTCAGGTATCTGAATCTACTGTAGATTCTACCCCCCCGGCACCAAACTCACTGCGGATTCTACCCCCCGCCCCCGAACCCGCACCGCTGCGGGTTCGGTGCGGTTCGGTTCGGTTTTTGCGGTGCGGTTATGCCACTCTATTTCTTATCAATTGCCTCAGACTGTAAAATCACAAATATATATAAAATCATAATAATTTAGTATCATAGAAGCTACAGGAGCTAGCATGATAATTGAAGTTATTTCTATAAGAAATATAAAATAAAGTCTTATTAGAGTAATAATTTATAATATTTATATTATTCATTTACTATATTTATATTTATTAGTTACTACTATAGTTAAGTTTCTCTAAGTAGAGCTGTGCTTTGCTCAATCTTATATAGCGGCTAATTAAATGAACAAGCTAGGACAGGACAATAAGGACTACTACTACTACTACTACTACTACTACTACTACTACTACTACTACTACTACTACTACTACTACTACTACTACTACTACTACTAGAGAAAGTATACTAGAGAACTTGTTAGCTTTGTCCTGCGCAGCAAAGTTGTTCATATCTGTGGGACTCCAGCCAGCGGAAAAAAAGTCTTTGCTAAAATTACCCAGAGATCACTATTTACTTGCAAGTCATGAATACCACAGTACCCATGTCAAGTTTACATCAAGAAGAATCCATGAACATAAGAATTGCATTAAAATAATAGTATATGAGTGATACATCAAAAGAATTAAGCTATGTATGAGAAAAGCCCGTTCGGAAACTTTCGCCGACACTTAAACATCCACGCGTATAAACTTAGTAGCTTCGTTTCTGTGGTTCAAGCAGCGCCACATCCCCTAAATGCACAACATTGGAGATTTACTGCGCCTTCTTGGACACCTTATCTTCTCTCCGTCGTTGAGTCGCCTCAAGAGAGTACTCGGTATTGAGCAGGTAATCCCACCACCTGAAACTGCTCGAATAGTTTCCCACGAATTTCTCATGATGCAGGTCATGATGATCGGCACCGGCCCAGAATGGAAGGAAGTGGTGAAGACTCCAAGGAAACTCATAGCCGCTGTGCGAGTCGACCGCCTGGAACAGACGTAGCACAATCCAAACATACATGGTGAAAATATGCAAGTCCCCGGTGATTGCACACCAGAGGATCGGGCACCCAACGGTGCCAAAGCCCAGAATCATGACTTCAATAGGTGAGGCGTACTCAGCTGCCATTCCAAAAGGCGCTGAGTACTGGTGATGGATCTTGTGGATCGCCTTATAGAGAGGGCCCCAGTGTAGCGCGCGGTGAGAAAAGTAGTGCCAAGTATCTTCAAGTACAAAGAACACCGCAATCTGGTAAGCCATGGTCCAGACAGACGGGAACGGAACGGAGGTCGAAAGGCCGAAGAATTGAGCCATTGGGTGAAAGAGCCTAACAAAATGACAGATAATCAGCTGGAAAGTCACATTTGTTGACTCAAGTCTAAATCCTTACCAAATCTGTGGCAATTCCACAGTGAAATGACTGAGCAAGACAAACTTCGCACAGTCCCATTGTTCTCGTACTGAGGGTATTTTGTTCTGTGCCAGTCAGCCAAGTTCCCATTTTCGAACATATACAATGCCCACATTTTGTATTTTGTAGTTTTTCAAAAACCCCGTGCTATCTATGAGGATCCATGGCAAGGAGCGACCGAAATAAACAAGCTCATGCATGACAAACGACATGATGCCAGTTGCGAGAACATCATTCTGCATCCAAGCATACCAAGCAGTCCAAAGTCTTTCGACAACGTTAAGCTGGGGGTTGTATTTTGAAATGTCATCGAATTGCCCCCAGTATGTCACTGGGGTCTCAGAAAACAGAGTAGAATTCCTTAACATAGTAATTAGCAACCACACACCTTTCTTGCCGGCATACTGTAGGGCGGAACGGGGCTGGGATAAGCGCTCACATTGTGTTTGTTGACAATGAAATCCCTGTTGCCGTGGTGCCAACCAGTGGTTTAGCAATTGTAGTGTTGCACCTTCCCAAAAGTCACCTCTGTGTGTAGAAAGTCGTGCCCTGGATTAAAGGCAGATTTATGACGAACGAAAGAGTTATGGAAGAGTGTACAATTTGCGGATTGATGGCGGATTAAGGGCGGTATTTCAGGGACAAATTGGTGGTCGGGGGCCGCGCTATCAGGTCCGCTCCCGAGGTGGCGAGACTTCTTTTTTTCTCACCCCTTGGCCCTGGCCCTTCCACATTATTCTGGCACCACCTGCTAGCCGATTAGTACCGGTTCGACTCCTTAATGCTCCACCTCCCATTCCACCCTCATTTTGGTCTTGGCCCACTAATGGAATGATTATTAGAATTTCGATCCGTAACAGCTGATAATCCTAAGAAGGACCCCAGGCTGACCCCTGACATCCTATGTCGTTGTTAGTACTGTGTACGGAGTAGAGGTTGGTTTATCTTTCATGATCTCAACACATCCTTGCCCCCTTTCTTTTGTTTGTTTTCTCTGGTTCCGGCTCGTCATTTCATTTTCAAATACGGAGTACAGTCTTTAGGTTTGTATGCAGAACAATAGGATCTCAGAGATGTCATGAATAAAAGTCATTAGCCTTTCTCATCGTCTGTCTTAAATTTTAACTTTTATCTTTTTAGTTACTTTTAGACATATATATATATATTACAATTTGGTCCCTGGTTAAATAATCTACTGCAAGTAAGCTCTGAAGACTCTCGTCGGAGAAATGGCTCTGATTATTCGGCTCAAGACAGCGATATGATGACCAGTTCTCATCTTAAGAATAGTTTATGTAAAGTCAGTGCCAGACTCAAAAGTAATGATAAGCCCACATTTCTGGTTGCAAATTTGCGGCATGACACTGATGACTAGCTTAATTCATTCTGAGATGAACTTTGTTTATGTGAAAGATTAAAAATGTGCCACCTCCTTGGGGGACAGGGAAGTTTGCGGATTTCTCAAATTTCCAACCCAGATTACTGATGTAATAATTCCCCCTTCCATCGTGTATGGGGTTTTTGCGAATACCTACCGCCCCCGACCACCAAATATCACCTACTAACTCCCAGATTGTAAATCATACGATGTCTATAATAAATGAGTAAGTGTTCCTTAGTGTTTGATCACAGCATTCATACTCAAACGTTCTCCTAGTAATATCAATCGCATCAACATACAACTTGATAAGTTGAAGGAGCGCAGCAATGATGTCTACATTGACCTGGAGGAATTCCCTGTGATCGAGACGCCCGCAGTGGTTGAATTTTCGGCAAGATTAGAACAGCTGCTGGACAATCTCTCCGTGACATCCAAATCGCGTCCAATCTTACGACCAGAGCAAATAGCGGACTCAATCTCAAAATTCCCTCGGTTTCCTTTCGATGAATTTAGGCAGCATCCTGATGTACTCGCCACACGCGAGTTGGAAAATTACTGGATATTAGTCGCGAAGGCAACGGCACAGACCCTGGGTGTAGTGTCTAAACTCTTCTTGGACCGGACGCTCACGCTCAGCGATGAAATACTGTATTGGGACGATGTTCTGGATTCCTCTTGGTATACTGGTCTGCACATGATACAGACGTCACCCCTAGCATTGTGGCATATACTAGTGAAGATAGGAAAGGGCTCCCATTATACCGACTGCCAGTCAAGATATCCGGCCGCAGCTTTGTACGGACATTCGCGATTCTATGGTATAATGTCTAAATCCAGGTACCCCCGGATATTGGGCCCTATATCGTCCGCGTTGACATCGCCATTCATGATTTGTAGGTGGGACATGGCGCGAAAAAAATACATGCTAAAGGAGATGAGGAACGCCCATGCAACTGCCATGGGACTTCTTATGGATCAATGTGCCCTCTTCAAGTCAGATAACCACTTACACCAGACAAAGTCCGGGCATAAGTTAGAGGACATCATATTAAGGAGTGTCATGGTAATTGAGTCTCTGCTGCAGAGCTTGAGTGATAGTGCCGAACACCACGACTGCGAAGAAATCCTTGCCGCGGTCGACAGAAGCATTGCTATGTACTCAGAGGAAAAGCCTAGCAGTCTACAATCTGCCCGGCAGATCGATTACCTGGGTCAACGGCTGCTCTCTGTTCTGAAGGAACTCCTTCCGGCCTATACTCTACGTTCTGCGACTGTCCTCAAAGACTCAGGACGTCCGTCGCGTCTAGTGCGTTATTGGTTACCAGCCTCGTTGATGATCTTGTCAGCCAGTACTTCCCTGAGAATTCTGAGTGCTCGGCGCCATGATATTCTCGAATGGGTTCGAGAATTCGGGACTACTATAGCTGGGTTCTGGAACAATTGGGTTCTCGATCCCATAGTAAGGCTTATTGGAACCATAAGGCACGATGAGAAAAGCGAGATCGCATTGATGAGCAAGAACAGCCTCGAAGCCGACAGAGCCAGTTTAGAGAGGATGGTAGTGGACTTCATCGTGGATCGTGGTGCTTCAAAACATGGTGATACTGCGGTCAATATGCATGACGCCACGATTAAAGTGCACGAAGGTGACTTGACTCCAGTTTTGAAAGCCTATGAAAAAGACTTGCGGACTCCTTTCATTGGAACCGTTCGCGGTGATCTGGTGCGAGCTCTTTTGATACAGATCCAAAAGACCAAAGTTGATGTTGAGATCGCGATTGGTGGTATTGACACTCTGTTGAAAAGTCAAGAGCTTGTCTTCGGGTATGCAGAATCCTTGAAATGAATCCAACGTGAGACTAATACGCCCCAGGTTTGTCGGTCTAACGCCGGGGATCCTAGTGTCATACGCATTGGCGCGGTGGTTCTCTGGCTTCTTTGGTACTCGAAGAGGGTTGCGTATGGGTAGAAAACAGGACGACTTGCGATACGCATTGCGGTATAGACCCCATGAACCCATGACTACAGAGCAAGAGACTGATGTGTGGATAGGAATGTTCATCGTACATTATTATCATCATCGACAATCAGTCCCAGCGGACAAATTGCTCGCCGAGACCAAGGCCTCCTGATATGCGATACCGAAGTTTTACTTCAAAAAGCAAGGCCGATCCTGAATGCTGCCAGCTTTCGTGCATTCCGGGAAGATATCAGCGACTTGATAAACCAAAATAACGTTGATAGGAAGATTAACGTTGTAGAGAGAGTTTTTTGGGTGTATTTCAAACACATCCAGTAATTCACTGAGGTCTATATCTATTTGTTTCAAAGCTTTGTATCTCCTTGTATGTTTGTTTTATCACGATGAAGAATTACAGCCAGGTAAACTATCAGTATCCATTCCACGGTATTGTGTAAACACTGAAATCTAAATGTGGTACGAACCCGAACCCCTTTTAATGTTTGGAGTAATTCTACTCCGTACTTAGTCGTTGCGCATTCAACAAGTTTGGTTGATGCTCAGCTATATTTTAGTGTACGAGCTGTTTGACTTTCTCATTTCAGATTTCTAGTCTATTCACATAATGTAGAGGTAATAATTGCCAGGGGGACAGGAGTAAAGATAAGAATCATCAAGCATGCGCAAGTACCCCGTAAAAATAAAGCAGGAATGGTAATACTCTTCCGACCCGTAACAAAGTAGGAGGGGTGCTAAGGTAACTTAACTCTTAGCGTATGAATGGTATGGCCCCCGAATAGTGGACAGTGGGGGTGCCTGACTGTTTGATTTAATACGAGGCAGTCAACTACCCAACTAGGTGGTGTCCGCTGGCGTCTGCAAGTGTATCATCGTTGCATCCCTAGTTTCCACTTCCACATAACTGCTCTTCAGAGTATACTATCAGTCACTTTCTCGAGGCACATTTTCTACTTGTGAAGGCCAGGACGTCAGACATCGCGGAGCGCTTAAATTAAGGCCCAGAACAACCCGCTTAAAACCGTCTATTCCACCTACCCCAAGTCTTATAAATAGACCGCCCTCCACGACCGACACAAATAGCGCTCACCCATATCTCCCCGACTTCTTGTTCCACCGCCCGACTCGTCAAATCTTTTAGAGACAGAACACTTGCCACCTTTCGGTGGCTGCAGCTGTCCTGCAGGCAAAACCCCTTAGCACGGAAAGTGAAAGACGAGACAAGACGACCCAGGCAAGACAAAACGAAAGACCAGATCACAAGATTTAGCGTGACGAATTATATCCCGGTGATTCTCACATTATTGATAAGGATATCCATCTCCGTTGCCTTCTTCGTCTTCCTTGAATTCTACTCCACTCTATACTTCATTCTGGAAAAGAAAATAGAAGGGAGAAGAAAAAAGAAACAAGCCACACACCTACCCACATAATCACCCTTTGCATCGGCCAGCTCAGGGGCACCGAGCTTATCCCATAATGGCCGGGACTAGGAATTACGACTTTCTGGTAAGCATCTCTACATACATCTTCTACGAAGGAATAAATAACTAAAGACCGGAACCTATTAGATCAAACTACTATTGATCGGAGATTCTGGTGTAGGGAAGTCATGCTGTCTTTTGCGATTCAGTGAGGATTCGTTCACTCCATCATTCATCACCACCATCGGCATCGATTTCAAGATTCGCACAATTGAATTGGATGGCAAGCGTGTAAAACTTCAGATATGGGATACCGCTGGGCAAGAACGGTTCAGAACCATCACAACCGCGTACTACAGAGGAGCGATGGGCATCCTTCTTGTATATGATGTCACGGACGAACGATCATTTCAGAGTAAGCTTCCTTTCCTTTGGACTTTGATCAGAACATTTTGATGTTAATTTATCGATCGCTCCCAACAGACATCAGAACATGGTTTTCGAACGTCGAGCAACATGCTAGCGAAGGTGTGCATAAAATTCTCATCGGGAATAAATGCGACTGGGAAGAGAAGCGGGCTGTTTCTACTGAACAAGGCCAGCAACTCGCAGACGAGCTTGGCATACCCTTTCTCGAGGTTTCGGCGAAGAACAATATCAACATCGAGAAAGCCTTCTATAATCTTGCTTCGGACATAAAGAAAGGCATGGACACTTCCAAAGAGCAGGCTGGTTCTGGTCAGGGGGTTATCATAGACCAGCAAGGATCCGCACTCAATGGCAGCGCGGGGGGGAAATGCTGTTGAAGACATCATGCTGTGATCTTTTTTATTTACTTGTCTAGATTCTATGTTCCCTGCTCCCATTACCCCGTTGATCGTCATTTCTTTTGTGCGACTCAGTTCATATGTTTCGATGCCTGGCTAGTACCCCGTCGCGCCACCCTGCGCTCAGCCTGGTGTCACTTCATCAGCCTTTTGATTGCCCACCCAATACATGTGTGTCCATATCGTTACGGGTGGCTAGTATTCATGTCGGACATAGTTTTCTCCTCGTTTTTATTAGGCGGCGTTGCTGAATGCATTTCGTTTCACCTGCTTGCTTTCTATCTTTTCTGACCATGGTTTGGGATACCTAATAAGTCTATTATCATATCTAGTCGAGAAGCTTCACCACTACAGTACATGGTGCTGCATGCGCTTGGCAAAATATCCATGCTTCGTGGGAGAGTATCAAAGAGCAGGGTCTCTAGGCTACGGACAAGCGAGTACTTTATCCCTAGTTTCTGTTTATTGTAATGGGTGCTGCCGAATAGTGGAGCGTATACCTGTGATGGCGGGAATTGTGTAGGACAATTCTCAGGGGCAAGCAAAACAGGTAGATATATCAACCATAACATCGTTATGATTGTATGACTACATCCATATTGGTATAAAATAGATCATATAACTCTAAGCCGTAGAGACGTTATATCTTTATACATATTGCTGTACAAGAGAGCTTGATCAAGATGACCTTGTACTGCATTAATCGCAGCTGTGTCTTGAATTTGAGGGGCAGTAACCGAGAAACGGCGGACACGTGGAAGGAGGATAGTAGATATAATTTGCCACTTACGGTTTGCCAATGGGCCATGACATATTGCTCCATAATCTTGACGCCAGAAGTAGTTGATTTACAAATAAGGCGCCGTGTAAACTGCTACTCTCATGCGGATGTTACACGGTTTGAGCAAGTAGATGAAACAAAGGGTTAGCAGTGATCAAATGCTAGTAGGTTACACTGAGCAGGCCCGATAGATTCATGTCGAATAGCGTTTGTGTCCATGATAGCAGAGTGTATGAAGTGTCCAGCATGACTAGTTACGCTGTATATCTCTTATCATACACATACATCCATCATAAAATGTCTTGTATGTCATTGCGTGCCAAGGAACTTGAGCTGGATGAAGCTTCCTTTGAGAGATGTGGAGCCAATAGTGTTCGCATGTTGAACAGCCCGAGGATACTAAAGCATTCAACTTAAATAGGAGAAAAAATTGACTAGAGGACAAAATATAATTCTCTTGCTTTTAAGTTGCTATTACTTTTGGAGATCTTGAGATATTCTAATTTGCATAAACTACTCTACACTCTGCAACCTAATTCCTTCTTAGCGGTTGTTAGTCATGTGGGTGACGGGGAAAGGAAAAAAAAAAAATATCTACTTCACGCAATCTGCCGCACCACTGTCTATTTTCCAGAGTCTTTGTATATACCTGTGTTTGCACTGTATTGATTGACTTGGTGGATATAAAAAATCTCCAGTCCATCGTTTATACTAACAAATACCTCTTGGTAAAGCCGGTCCAAATCAAACATGTATGTACTCTGACACTGCTTGTCTAGAAGTCTTCGACAACATACATACCCACGAGGCTTGTTCTCAATAACTATGTTGCTCCTAACACCGTATTCTGCAGAACTCCATGCCATGATATGCTAGAAGTCAATGCCGCGATACAAGCTAGCTCAAACTCAATTGTGATTTATCCCTTCTGATCAGTTCGCCAAAAGATGTCAGAACCTCGATCCTTTACAGTACGGCCACTTTCAAAACAACCCAGAAGCGATCACAAAGATGCCTTCTGTATTCATCTCGCTTCGTCTTCTTTGGCATCCCTGAGACTTCGTCCTGGAGATCCTTGCAGTATAACCTCCCCGGGTGAAGCATCTAAAACAGCAATAGCGTGGAGGGCATCGGAGAACATACAAACTACGGGTCTCCAAGCGTCAAGAACCCTCCAGGACTGCTATGGAATTAAGCCCGGAGATAAGGTTTCAGTTAACAAACTTGAACAACCTCTGGAAGAGATCGAAGCAATCAGCTTGCTTGAATGCTCAGACTCAGACAGGATAGCTAAATACGGCTCGCTTGCCCATGCTGACAAAAACCATTGGGCTTGGTCTCTAGAATTTGTTCTCTCCAGATGTGAACTGATTACTGCCGGTCTTGTTTTTGATTCGGAGCTTAAAGGCCAAAGAAGGAGCTTCAGGGTTGCAGACATTCGGCCCCAGAATCGCGACACGGAAACCACATTATTTCGCCTCACTGAAAACACTAAAATCTTAGTGAACGAAGATTTGCCCACGGCAGGGGAAGTAAGTGGAAGCCTCAGGATTCAAGTGCAGCCAGTCGGTTTGGGTGGAATGAATCGCCAAGTTGCTAGTGTGAATGAGAGTCTCGCAGACTTCAACCCTAGCCCACACGGACCGGAAATGCCGCAATTTTATGAGCACAGCAAGGGTATACTCTTGTATGGCCCAAAAGGAACCGGTAAATCTTCCCTGCTGTCCCGGATTCAGGCGGCTGGATGGAGAAAGGCAATCACTATAGGCTCTGCTACACTAGGCAGAGGTGCGGGTGATGGCGAAGCACGAGTGCGCAATTTCTTTCAAGAAGCCATTCGCAACCAGCCCAGTGTCATTATAATCGATCAGCTGGATATCATAGCCCCTAAACGAACTTCATTAGATTCACAGTCCCTAGGGTCGGTTTTTTGTGAATGCCTGGATCTCGTGAAAGGAGCCCTTGTTATGGTTGTGGCCGCAACTCGTCATCCAAATGAAGTGGATGATGCTTTGAGAACGCCTCACCGTCTCGCAACTGAAATTGAGTTGCAGGTCCCTACAGCACATGACCGATCTGAGATCTTACGAGCGATATGTGGAGGGGCCTCGCCTGCGTTAAGTGACACTCTCATAGACATGATGGCCGAGAAGACACACGGATATGTCGGTGCTGATCTGTTTGCCCTGATACAGCTTGTATGTCGTAAAGCTAGGCAAAGACAAGTCTTCGAGGCCGAAACAGAGAAGTCGCTCTGTGACGATATAGCCGCATTGGAGATTTCCACGGGAAATGATCAAGAAGTGAAGGCTATGCTCAATATCCAGGAAATTGACATTTTCTCGGCCCTGCAGGAGACTCGCCCAACTGCAATGCGGGAGGTCTTCTTAGAAACGCCGAAAGTGAGGTGGTCGGACATTGGTGGACAACACAGTGTCAAAAGGCATCTCCAGAAAGCTGTGATGAGACCTCTGAAGGTGCGTCTTTGCCGTGAGCTACTGAGTCAAATGCACTAACGAGTGTAGTACCCGGAGAGAATGCGCCGACTTAATGTGAACAGTAAAAAAGGGATTCTCCTCTATGGACCTCCAGGTTGTTCAAAGACATTGATGGTTAAAGCACTTGCTACTGAAGCAGGCCTCAACTTTCTGGCTGTCAAGGGTGCTGAGATTCTCAGTATGTATGTTGGAGAGTCAGAACGCAGTGTGCGGGAGATTTTCCGAAAAGCACGATCTGCGAGGCCCAGTATCATATTCTTCGATGAAATCGATGCGATAGCTTCAAAGAGAAGCAGCACCTCACAAGGGGGTGTCAATGTGCTCACAACATTATTGAATGAGATGGATGGCATCGAAGAGCTAAGAAACGTCTTGGTTGTTGCGGCCACGAATAAACCAGATGTAATTGACCCAGCTTTGATGCGTCCAGGCCGCTTGGACAATATACTTTACATTGGACCTCCTGATTTTGAGGCCCGCAAGGAGATTTTGAGCATCTGGTCTTGTAAGTCCGTGATCCACCCCGAGGTAGGACTGGACGAACTGGCTTCCAAAACCGAGGGTTACTCGGGAGCAGAGATCGTGAGCATATGTGAAACAGCGGGTGAGGCTGCGTTGGATGACGAGGAAGAGACTGGTCAAGAGCAAAGTGTCAGGTGGACACACTTCGAGTATGCTCTTGGGCAGGTCAAAAGGCAGATCACGGATGAGGTGATTCAGGATTTTGAACAATGGGGTGGAGTTTCTACCTAGGACTAAACACCCACAAACACCATCAGGTAGTCGTTATATATCGGCGAAGTGACGAAATGGGATCTTTGAAAGATAATACCATTACTTGAGAGTGTACGCATGGCCAGCTAATTCATCACATAATTCATGGATAACATGTAAACAATCTAGAAAGGACGAAGGGTTGACTCGGTATCTACAGGGCTACCAATGTTGCCTTGAAGGGGGCTTGTTCAGAATCTTTCTGTGGACTTTATCCCGAAACTGTAAAAGATATTTTGTCATCTCCTCATTTAATACATACCGCGAGACATATCATTATTGACAGCTGCCGTACAGGGTACTTTGTATAGAGACATATGTAAGGCCTAAAGTCAGGCTTGAGTATACAGTATGGATTTACTATCGAGTCCATTTGATTGAGTGCTAGGAAATTCAACGGACTGGGATATTTTGCTCTTTTATCACACCACTACTATTAAACATCACTACTGAGTAGATACAGACCCCTCGTAACTCCTAGATCGGCGTGTTTTCAAAAGTATGATCAAGATATATGCACTTTGCTGGATACTGATTTGCATAAAAACATCAGCTGACTAGCATAGCTGCTGAGTCATTTTATGCGAGTGACTAAACTCATAACTGTCTAGTGAAGTTAACTAACGGGCTGGGGTAGCGGAAGTACAATATACTCCTGCAGTCGAGCTGGTACAGCTACATTTTCCTATTGATTTCGATAGCTGCCTGCTTAGTGACTCTTGACAATTGCTCGTCCACGCATTTATCTTCACTTTTCTTTTTAGCTAATCCATAAGGGCTCCGCAGACTGAAACTACGTCTCCAACCTGCCCAGTGATTAATACCGGAAGGCATTTGGATTCGCAACAAAGTGCTCTCTGATCGCATGTCATAAACGCAGCCTGGACAATACCTATCAATGCGCTCACCATCCTACGAGCGAGGACAGGAACGAGTTCCGCCCCCTCGGAATTCCGTATCACCTCAGAGAAAATCTAGGTCTCGGAGTCCTGGTCGAAATCCGTCCCTCTCACCAAAACCAGACCACCGCAATGGCCGCCGTTCTAGAAGTTGGACCCGCTCCCCTTCACGATCTCGAAGCCGAAGTTTGGACTCTCGACGGGATAGGAGCAGAAGCAGGAGCAGAAGCGCGAGCATAAGCCGAAGCCGAAGCAGGAGCAGGAGCAGGAGCAGGAGCATCCGTCGGTCTCGCAGTCCGGTCAATTCTCTCCCAAGGAGCTCTAAAGTCAGTTTATAAGCCCTCTACGCCTTTTAGCCAATAGCTCGGCACGTCAAAGACATAAAACTTACATGCAAGTAGATTGCCATCGAAAAGTTGACGAAAAATGTAACCGAGTCGCATGTCCGGGAGATATTCGAGAGCTTCGGCGATATACAGAGTCTTGAACTTCCTATGAACAAAGCATGTAGGTTGACATGCTCCTTAATTGATCAAGTGGAGATGCTGATATATCTATCACTCTAGTCATGACAAACAGGGGCACCGCCTATGTATTGTACCATGATCCAGCCGATGCCGAGGCAGCCATTGCACACATGCATGAAGCGCAACTCGACGGCGCTGTTTTAAATGTGTCCATCGTTCTTCCGAGAAGGGCTTTCTCTCGTTCACCTCCCCCTGAACGCGGAAGCAGAGGTAGTTTCGGCCGTCAAGCACCTGGCCGTGGCCCATCTCGAGGGGACGGTCGTTCCTCTCAACTTCCTCCACACAACCAACGATCCTCGAGGGGCTACGGTCGTTCGCGGCACATGGAAAGGCATGATATTTACAGACCACGGTCCTTATCTCGTTCCCGGTCGCCACGCCGTTCCCGTTCATTAGCTTCCGAGTCAGTGTCCCCACCGCGCACTCGTCCGCGTGTGGATAATTCTCGACATAGACGTCGCAGTCCGAGTTACAGCAGCTATGGCAGCAGCTACAGTGGCAGGAGTCGAAGCCCAAGTAGAACCAGAGGCCGTGACCGGTATGATAATGGAAGAATGTAAATTATGTTGATGTGTGGCGTCGGAACCTGACGGGCTTCTCTGTGCATGTACCCTTCTATGTACCTGCATTTTCTTTCTTAATTTCCTAGCTAGGCTACCTTAAGAACAGGAAGAATGAACTGGGAAAGGCCATCAACGCCCAAAGAGAAATTGTCCGAATTCGCACAGCGTTATTTGGTGCTGCGTGATGATTATCCAAACCACTCCATGCTTAACGCCGCACAATACCCATGAATAGGAAAGTGTGTAATCTGATAGTCACTTCAAAAGAAAGAACACCAACCGATATACATTGCAGCCAGGTTTTTCTGGTCGGTGGCTTGCATTATCAGTTCATCCACATGGCCGTCAACGGACAAGGGAACAGACTCCCCGGGTAACAGGCCTCGAAGTTTGTTGCGAACATTCTCCAAAACACCTGCCGGTGTTTCTGGAACATTTGCCTGGGCACGGCGCTATGGAAACGGATTAGAATAACAAAGATTGGAATTTTGAATGATTGAGACGGCTTACCTTTTTACCAATGAAGTCCGTTGTCGGATCATGCAGGAATGTTTCCAGAATTGTCATGAGTGCATCTTCGTTCTGGCGCAATATGTCGAGGCTGATTTCACATGTTTTACGAAATGGCCCTACCAATTGGGTCAGCCAATGTCCTATATTAGGCCAGGAACTTGAGTGACTTTGGCTAGAGGGTTTTTGCATACCATTGTATCCGTAAGCACCAAACGCATCCACCATATTTGGAGTAAGACGAAATGGAACCAACTCAGGTTTATCGAACGTCAAACCCTACAAGAAACCGCGGTCAGATCAACATCTCGGGAGCCATCTCTCAGTTGCACCACTTACCTTGTCGAAAAGGCAATTGAAGTCAACGTGCAACACACCACCAGTGCCTTCTTCGAAGAGGATGTTTTCTCCATGCCGATCCCCTAGTCTGCAGTAACACAACATCAGTTCATGAGCATAATGGAACTCTCTAGATTTACAAACCCAAGTACATATCCGACCATGGACATGACGGCACAGGATCGAGTGTAGCGAAGCCTTGCGGCAAACCACGCCCCAGTTTCCGGGAACATTTCCACGAACCACTCGTGTAGAACTGGGGGAAATCTGTGCACAAAGTCAAAAATGAATTGCAGCAGCGGAAATTCAGAGGCCATACTTGGATAAGATCTTGGTCGTAAACAGTGAGGTTTTCGAGTCATCAGAGCACGCCTCATTGAGATAATGCCTGATTTCGTTGTACTGTAATAGGTGAGTTGGACCATCACTTTGCTTTTGGCCACAGACATGCGGGAGATCTCACGTTGGGTGTAATGCCTCGTTCTCTCAGTAGTTTGATGATAAGATCTCTTAATGTCCTCAGATTGTCGACCCATTCGATGAGCCCACACTCCTCGTTCAACGGAGTAACGGCATATGTTTTGATGTCTGAAACGCGAATCAGTATTGAAGGGCTCCTCTAGATTTGTACATACGTCTCGGGTATACTCACACATCCTTCGTTTACTTGACTCCACGTCCCGCTTGAGAAACCTGTTGATCATATTATTGAACTCCATAAGGCGCTGGTCCTTGCGAAGGTCATCTTTTGGTTTGCAAAGGATGTTGTATATCTTTCCATCTGTACCTCGAATACTGATTTTCCGGGGTTTTTGAAGCGAGTTTAGGATCTGAGCTTCATCAAGCACACCTGCCACGTTGTTAGTATTCGTACGCATGTTTCATCCAAGGGCCAGCAGTGACAAACCATCAATTGCCGTGGGGTCTCTGGGAAAAGCTCTGAAGCCCTTCAGGTACTCAGACTCATGGCTTGCAGGTAGACTAGGAGTCAACATAGTTTGAAATGGCACAACAAGTCGACAGGGCGCTACTTTGTGATTGAATCCCAAATTCCGGCCCAAACTTATCCTCGATGTTTTATCCTCGATGCGTGCTACACATAGCCGCAGCATCTCCTCGGAGAACTTTTGTCCTTGATTGATCATTGCACGCATATCTGATGGTGATTCGGCCTTGAGCTTTTTGTTGACATCCTGTGACGTTTAGTAACATCCTCGAACAACGTGTATCTCGATGTCGCAAATCATACTGTTATTTTTTGGAGACAATTGATGCCGCGTGAGGCCCTGTCTTTGGAAGACGACTTGACCACGGCGAGCACGGTCCATAGTCCCTGCTGGGGGAAGAAATTTACTGCTTTGGCTACAATCTTCGCCAGCAAATCGTAAACAACGGTGTTTGGATGGCAAATTCTTGCAACAACTTGAGTGAGAATGGTGAAAAGCTGAGTCCGTTAACCAAATTTCTGTATGCTGTTGATGTTGACGGACTTACTAAAGCAGCTGGCATCCGATTCACGTATTTTTTCAAATGTGAATGCATATCATCGAGGCTCTTCTTCCGTTGCTTCAAGGTGTGTGTTTGGAATTCTCTATTGATTACGCAGTGATTCCCCTGTAATTAGCCATTGAATCATCACATTGGCATTTGCATGCAAAATTGGAAAAGCTTACTCGTTATCTCCTAGTTTTGGGTCGAGCGGTTGGTCCACGGCTGATGCATGTTCCAACCACAGTGTCAAGACCTTTGGTAATGACTGGAAAACATATTTGTTTCCATGCGCTAGCGAGCGAAGATAGTTGTCGATTACAAGCTTCGAGGCCTCGCCGCTCAAACTGAGAGACAATTGTAAACATCGGGGCTGTTAATTTTGAGGGTTGACAGCGACATACTATATCTGAGCCTCTTTCCCCAGAGGTTTGGCTCGCTCAGAGTCCACTATCTTGTTGTAGTGCTTCCCAAGATAATAATGGGCCTTCTCCCACCTAGTAGCGCTCGTTAGTATGGCCTTTGGAGAAATGAAAATAACCTATTACCTTGAGTGGAGTTTGATGGCTTCACGATACCGTTGAACTATTACCTCCGACTGAGTCTGCCCAGCTCTATCCGTCCATTTTGCAAGCAAAAGGTGGGCCTAAGAACGTTAGCTCTAAACGATACAGGTGTGCTAAAAAGTAAGATACCCTTGCAGCAAGCATGTTCTGGTGCTTCTCGCGACTAGTAGACAGAGAAATCGAGCTGGGTTCAACCGAACTAGACTTGTCTGAGATGAATTCGTTGGCCGCAATTGCACCTTCTAGGGTTTGTATTGCTTTCCGATGATGTCCATCTTTCCAGAGTAGCCTGGCGTGCTCTATTGTAGCCGAGCGATCTTTTAAGCGGGCTGCGTGAAGCATTGATTGATATGCTTGGTTGGTGTAGTTTCCCTTCCTTGAGAGACGGGTACTGGCTAGCCAAGTGGCAGCTATATCTGAATCGGTGAAGGTGCCACTAGACTGTCTTAGCATTACCCTCAGTGCGTGATTTCGAGTTGAGACATACTTGAGTTCCATTGCCGCTCTTCGTAGACTTAGAAGGTATTGCTTATCAGAGATATACCCGCCTAGAGAATCTAGCCGGCGGCTCAAGACTGCCTGTGCTCTTGAGTGCCCATTATCTTGTTTCCCATGATTGGATATGGACTCAATTTCCATAAGGGCATGTAGCTTGAACATGTTATCGTGGCATGATTGCAGCGACGTGATGGAGTTGGCTGTCAGTGATTTGGAAACGCTCAGTCGTAGATCATTGACGATAGTTTTGAACCCTGCTTTGTTACCATTACGAAAAGCGTCGAAAGCCAGCCCAATGCCAATGTCAAAATCTCCCGTGGTCTCTTGGGGGCAGATTTGAAGATATCGGTGCAATTTATCCCACTTTCTCGTGACCCAAGAAGCCTCAACTGCGAAGGGTAACACTTTGGAAGTCAACCCGGTCTCCCCGAGGAGCTCAAAACGATTGAGAATAGCATCTACAAAGCAGTGAGAAAAGCACTGGGTAGGGGTGAGAACTTGTATGGAACAATACCTTGCTGCCCTGATTCTTTGAGGCATGTTAAGAGATTCCACTGGGCGTCACTATTACTAGGCTCTTCTTCAAGTTGTAGCTCGTACCAACTTTGAGCCGTCGCCAATCTCCCCCCCTTCCTGTGTTCAAGAACTTGTTGATCGATATTGAGCACATGCAAATGGGTAGAGATACCCTCAATGCCATCTGGCTCGTCGATCTGGCTGTAGATGTCTTGAAGGCGCTGGTACAGCGGTTCAATACTAGCAGGAGTATGTCTATCCGGTTGACCCTTGGATAAACGGATGTACTGTTCCCAGTGAAATAGAGCCCTAGAGAAAGACTTGCATTCAACGGCTCTCTTCGATATAATTGCAGGTGGTATCGAGGCCAAAAGAGACTCGACTGCTTTAACTTGCGACAAGTACGTCCCTATTGCCAAGTCGCGTGAAGCCTCTCGGCTACTGCGGCTTGTGTGATTTCGGAGACTATTCAGCTGCTTCTTTTTGCCCTGCAACCACCGGGAAAGGTAATCAAGAACATCAAAAACACTCTAAATGAAGAAAAGTCTGGATATCAGCACACAGACAACACTGTAACAGATGATTCCATGAAACTTACCTGGCTGCAGAGTAATATGGCTTCGGAGAGATTATTGCTTGTATCTGGAAGAGGGTGGGATAGAACCAGAGTCAGCTCTTGTAATAAATCTTTGACTTCACCTTCAGTGCCCCCAACAATGCGATTCAACACTGCAAATGGCAAGAGAAATGCAGAAATCGAGATATCTTGGCCTTTTACAATGCGACTGCAAACACTGAAGATTGTCCGCGCATTATCACCGCTCCCTTTCTGCAGCAGATCTTGTACGAAGCATCTCAGCCAATCACCGTGTGTTAGACCTGGGGAAAACAACGGATAATTGTAGCCCGAGGTGACAGCCCCAACTGTCACTGTGTATTTTGAGGTGAGAAAAGGGGTCAAAGTGTTGCGAACGGTCTCTGGAATCTCGAGCCAACGGTGATACTTTTCTTCTGCTTGTATGTCCCGAGACCTCTGAGTGACAGCCGAGTCTAGACCGCAAAACCTCAGCAAGTTTTGCATGGCATATGCGAGAAAACCTTGCGCTCTCGTATTAGAGGCCGATAAAAATGCTTCAAAAAGCACATGTTGAAGGAAAAAGAGAATGAAGTCAAAGCTTTCCTCCATTTTATCGAAATTTGATAAGACAAGAATGTCCTTCTTTTCTTTGATTGTGTCCACCCTATTAGGATCCAGACAACCGATTACACCTAAGCATCGAGCAGAAAGGAGGGTCACGGAGTTGGAGCTTGTGTTGAACTTCACACAACAGTCAAGCAAAGACCGTACCAATTGAGGGACGACTGGGTCTGGTTGCTCACTGAGAACAGACATATGGAGGAATTCCTCATGTTTTGTAAGATAACTCACAAGCTCAGTCAAATTTTGCTCAACCACTGTGACATTCTCACTTTGACAGCGACGAATGAATGCCAAAAACTGGGTCCGAACATCCATTTGCCCTTTCATTCTTTGGATCTCATCTTCGAATGGGGACATGGCTGGAATGGAGGCCAAAGAGGGCATAGTACTGTAGACTTCCTGCACCAGCCCATTATGATTTCTCAAGATAAATTCAACCAGATCATAAGCGCATGCTCTTGTGTCTTCGGTGAACATGCACCAGTATTTGATAACAATGGCAAGAGTTTGATCAATCAGGGGCTCAATCTCTTCCTCTTGAAGAGAGCTCACCAGTACTGCCCAGATCTTGAAAGCAGTGTTACATAGGTCATCAATCTCGAGCGCAGAGCGCAGACAAGCACATATCTATATCAATCAATTATCCTGCTCGGCATGCTTTTAGGATCAATAGACTGAAGTACATACCTGTGGTAGGGCACTACTAACATGGCCAGATGCAATTTTGACCATTTCCCCTATAGCTACGATGTTCCGTTTCTTTTCAATCAAGGACTGTCTTATTTGGAAATCATTGACAGCATGAGCAAACTGCGTAATGATACCAAGGACATGTTCTTCAATAAAGTAGCCCAGAAGATTAGACTTTCTTGCTGAAGAAGTAGATTTCCGCGGAACAAGTCGGGCTAAGAGATGAAGTGCTTGGTGAAACTTCCCCTTATCAGCACTTAATGCCTGGATATAGAAAGAGAGGGAAACACATACTCTTGCTTTCTGGTCTTCACCGGAATCTCCAAGTCTTTTCAACAGATCACATGTAATCAGGATCGGTTCAATCCTCACTAATTCTGCTAGGGCACGGCCTTCAAACGCAGAATCAACATTTGACAAAGTCGACATGACCATACCTTCGGGATCCGTTGAGGGTTGGATAAGAAGAAAGGCAAGGATTGCTGCGAGATTATTTTTCTCTGAGCAAATATCAAATGGCGTTTTGCCACTGTTGTAAGTTGCTCCGATCCTAGCAATGATATCTCGTTTCCGTGTGAGCACCAAGTAAGGAAGGATGTGGATTTCAGTCAGCCGAAGATAGTCGTCGACCTTCATTCCCAGAAGATCGCACAGCTGCTCAGCCATATGGGGTCGAGATTGGAAATTCTTGATGACTGTTAAAGAGATGGTTCGCCAGAAAGGTCGTAATAAGCTGGCGGGGGTAGACGAGAGGTTTTGTGCAAGTTTGGAAAGCTGATTCATTGTTATACAAAAGTACGCGCGGATTCGAAGGAGTCATACTCACTTCAGTATAGACGATTGCACATATGAAAGGATTTGGATGCCCTAGATACTCTACGAGACGAAGAAGGATGATGTTCAATTCTTCTTCCCCGGATGCCCTGGTACGAGTGAATTGGTTAGTCCAGTGCAAGTTTTGATTGCATGGTGTCAATGTAATCATACTTGGCGAGTCGGCATAAGGTCAATATACAACTTTCATGTAGTGTCGTTTCCTGCTTGTCAGAAAGGCCCTTTAGCCAGTCCAGAATGAAAACGAAATTACGCCGGCGGGTCTCGCGGTCCAGGCCTTTGTTCACAAAGGCGATTATCGAATATCTGGCTTTTAGTTAACTTCCATTACTCCAAGTGAACGAGGCAAACATACCCAGTGGCTATTCTCAGTTCTCTGACCGAACTCCGCAATGAATGTAGACAGAACTCGCCGAACACAGACGATGTGAGCTGTAAATGGGACGAGTATGGTACATGTACCAGATTCCTTCTTAATGCAGCCATGGCAGTTATCCTGAGTTTGGGGGAACGCGAGAGCCTCGGGATTATACATACTAACATATTGCATAACTCACCTACTTCAGAGCACTTCCATTCTGTTCCAGAAGAGTGCTCATAATCATCTGTGTCACAGACATTGCAGAATATTTTAGCATTGAGACCGAGTCCCTCTGTGATCTCCAACCTCCCGCCCAAAGCACATGGTATCTGGTTCATGAAAATAAGAACTTGGTGCTTCACCTGCTCATTTAGTGAATCAAATGAGTTGCTTCATCGACCGTTGAATTAGCATATCTGGAAAACAACCCGTGGCATTATACTTACGATAGATTAGCTGTCAGATCTTCCAAACGCTCAATATCCTCGTACCCCAACAATTGGAGCAACCCAGAGACAAGACCCTGCGCTACATCTTGGTCTTTTGACTCGGCGTTAGGGAACAAGTGAGATATTTTTTTGGGCGTTTGTAGATGTCTATGCTCATCTATGGTATGACATGGATCCGTTGAGCTTCCAGAGAAAGTGTTGTCGAGGGGTCTCGCGTTCATGGTACTTGTGGCACCAGATTGAGAAGCGTCATGCTGAAAGCTTTTCAGAAAATTTTGCACTGCAACCTGCATTTTGTGAGTGCTAAAAGGCATGATGGCAGAGCGGATACTTGGCTTGAAGATTTACCTGGAGACTTGGCTCAAGATGGTCATTAGATGCGTTCTTGATCGTTTGCAATGTTGGCAAGAGATGATTTCTGATGCAGGTGGGATACGTGTCGGTTGCATTAGAGCAGCCAGTAACACTTTCGATGAATCTGCTCAGCTCAAGTTGCAGCGCAGTAAACTGGCTCAGATTGTCCAGTGCTAGAAAGTCGTTTACGATTTGGAGCAAATCGGGAATTAGCTTCACGCCTGATGATAAATAAGACCCAGATGCGCAGTATGATCGAATGCGGCCTAGCAATTTGACGGAGGTTTCACCCATGGTGTCCATCTCATCTAGTTTGGCTTTGTGAAGCCAGATGCAGATTACTCTCCCTAATCGTTGGTATCCGTTGAGAACCCATCCCAAGGACTGCCGACTCACTGGGTGTTCTTCAACAGCCCCGGAACAATCTGAGTCTTTGAAGTTGAACGTCTCAAGTAAGTAGAATGCTATGTCAAAGGTTTTAGCCACTGTTCCGAGTCGGAGCCTTTTATCGAACAGTTCGCGAGCAAGACCGAGTCTGTCCAAATCATCCAATAGAGTGCCCGTAGGTGTGGGTATAGACACATAGGCTGTAAGTCCACCTCGAAGCCCATGAGCGGTGAGGTTTTCAAGAGCAAGCAAAGTGTCTAGGACCAATTAGCTTGTGGCCGAACCAGTTCCGGATATCTACAGACCATTGGTGCAGGCTCGCAGAAACCCTTGGATTGAATGGCAGTCATTCCAGATTCTGGTGTTCTTATACTGTGTACAGATTATGCTTGTAAACGTGCCACTGACTCTCCGTTTGATCTTGTCATTTTCACAAATACCAAGCAAGCGAATGAGCTGAATGACCAGCCAAACATATAACGGCGCATGTGCTCCTTCCGCCACAATGTCGGGATCAGGAATTTCTGTCAACGACTGAGGTGCCTTTCCAACCGCGGTCTCTATGATATCTAGGCAGTCAAACACTTGACCCTCGAAGTTGTCATCGTTCAAACGTTCCCCCTCGGCGCTCGTCTCTAGACCGGCTTTGAGAACAATGTAGACTAATTTGGCAACATCAGTGACACTATCGTCAAGGCGTGTCTTGTTATATTTGCTTCCTATAAGCTCTTGCCGGAGTTGGTAGAACGTCTCTCTGGTAAGATGATGAGCCTGGCTTCCTTGGGATGACAGTCGCGGGGCTAGTTGCGCAGCCAAGGTAGATGGGACAGCCTGTGTAGGTTGTCTATCGGACTCATCCGGGGTCGAGCGAGTCGCAGTAGGCATAATGGTGGCCATCCGATATACATGAAATAGGACCCGACGTAGATTTCGTTCTGTTGCTTGATGTGACTTGATTTTTTGTTGACGATCCCACTGGCAAGAACCGCTGGTACAAGTGCCAGGCACTGGACGCGAAAACCTCAGTGTGCCATGTAATTCAACAGAAACACGAGCCAGCCGTGAAATACTGTACAATCATCGAGACAAGTACCAAAGCCGTGTCTATATGAGCTTGACAGCTTGCAACTAAGTACTGGTACACTTTCTTTTCATGAATATTGTTTCCCCGCTCATTGCTCCGATAAAGTTCATCAGGACAGGACCACAGATAGACATCGCGCACGGGCCAGTTGTTATGCGCCAGTCCGTTACGCGCTCGTGATATGATGACGTCAGCCAAAAAAAAAAAAGAATGATCCCCATTATCAGGCCTAGCCATATCAACCTGACCTGATGTTACTTTGCCCTATGGTGCTAAATACGATAATAGATATCGATTGAAAGTCAAATTGGCAAAATCGATTCTCCTCAGATCTAGTGGATGACAGAAAACCCCACGCTGAGCATAATGGGCCTGGAAGACAATATCCCGGACACACAACCGGGGGATGCAGATCATGACTATTTCATGCAGCAAGCTCTATTGATGGTGATTAATGGTCTTACTCACTAGTAGTTTTACAAGGATGGCGCTCATGGTTGGCATAGGGTGAAAAAGCGCTTGCGACAGGCGAGACCCCTGTGGGATGCGTCCTAGTGTACGACCAAAAGATAGTCGCTCGTGGAATGAACGATACCAACAAATCAATGAATGTAGGTTGCCCTTGTTCTTGTGCAACGGGAGAAGTCCATTATGATTGGGGGCAGATATTCAGGGTCTGTCCAGAGTCCAACGCCATGTTGAGCACATGAGTTGGATCAAGTTGGACAGATGCGGACTTCCTACTGATATATTGTTGTTAGGGTACAAGGCATGCCGAATTCCTTGCAATAGAAGAAGTCCTCCAGAGCTATCCTAGGTCGATACTACGCTCCACAGATTTATATGTGACAGTAGAGCCATGTGTCATGTGTGCTTCAGCCCTAAGACAATACCAGATACGTTCGGTCTATTTTGGATGTGGTAATGAGCGATTCGGAGGCACAGGAAGCATCCTATCTTTACATTCCGAGTCTGTTGCCCATACAAACCGGCTTGACAGTCAAAGACTGACAGTCTATTAGTCATACGATAGATCCGCCCTACCCCGTGTATGGTGGACTGTTTCGCGAAGAGGCTATCATGCTACTGCGGCGCTTCTACATCCAAGAAAATGACAAGGGTGAGCATGAGAAACCATATTTACTGATATCACATAGGCTTACTTTAGCAGCACCGAAGCCTCGACCAAAAAAGAACCGACAGCTAAATACCAAGGTTGAATATGAGTAAATGACTAGGGCCTTACCGCGAGGAAAACCATAAGCGCGACTGGAATCATCCTTTTATACAGCTTAACAATTATTTTCTTCTTTGCGCACGATACCAGAAATGATGAATAATACATAGGGGCCACGGAAACTTGCAATTAGATAACAGACGATCCCTCTTGACATTGTACTATGTGGGTTCAGGAAGAGCCACCACCTGCCAAACGTTCGGTCTCAAGTTCCCGCTCAGCCTGCTGATAATATTTGGCCGTATCGACACCGTGCTTGAGTCATGTCAGTACGTCGCGCTAAAGCCTCTGAACCCCCGAAAAGGAGTACAAAAAGAAACGAGGGAAGTAGGGGGAAGGCCGTACCTGGTCGTGGTTGACAACGTTGAACCACGGGATGACGTGGATGAAGAGCTCGGAAAACCGCGAGTTTCTAGCTGCGACACCTTGCAAGTAGGGAGAGACCTGGGAGGTGCCGTATAAAGGTTGGCCAGTCTTGACTTTGTCCACCATTTCCCTCATGTCCATGTCAGCCTCCCTCGAGTTCTCCGAAAAGCCGTAGAAGCGATCTAAAGCCGCATTAGTCCATAGGTGCTTAGAGCTAAGCGAGGGTATATGGAGACACACTGCAAGATCTCTGATAAAGGATGTGTAGACCACCAATGAGACCAACAGCAGTCGCCAGTCGCATGACAGGAGCAAAACCTCCCCGACCAACATGGGAAGGGCTCACTCTCTCCATCATCCAGAATGTAAGTGGAGAGGCGGCTGCCATTCCACCGGCGACCGCATAGTCTGAAGGTCTCGCATAACCGAAAACCCGCCTCAAATGCCTGGCAAATCGTGAGTAACGTTATAACATGCGATCGACAAAGGGAGTTCATACGGATCCGAATCAATTAACTGCAATGCCAATGTTAGCGATGATTACACATGGTTGGGGATTAGGGACAAAAGGGTTGTCTAACTGGGTAATCGGTGTTAGCCCGTTTGGAGGGCAGAGGCGCAGGCTTGAAGTCAGTTGACATTGTGTGGATTCCAGCCCAAGGTGCTTTGCAATGCGCAGGCTGAATGAGTTGACGTCCAGTACTTGAATCAGGTCCGACGGAGTTGAACTCGGAGGAGGGAAGGTGTGCCAAGAAATCAGTCTTTTGCCAATAGGAAAGGTCCTGGATGTGCATAGCTCATTACCTAATTGAAGATAATCCCGCCTATGCAGACTCGACGCGCCAATAGACGGGTGCCCGTAGTAATAGTGCTATGCAGTGGAAGCGGAGGAAGGGCGGAATAGGGTGGCAGAAAGCCTGCATTATTTAGTGAAATACACAGGATCTTTGTACCGTATCTTTTCTTACGTAGTCCTTCGGTCTTGTCATCGTTTCTGGTGGTAATTACCGTGATAATGTATCAAGATCGTACTAGAGTCAGTGAGGGACGAGGAGCGTTATCGACACAATGAATTACACTTTATGTATGTATGTAATTATCTAATTATCCAACAGCCACCACGCGTTGACGCGACTTGATCATCACCAATTGATCGCAAGATCGGGCTTATACGATTATACAGCCTTCAAATCAAAGAACACCAGGCATTATTGGATGCAACGCAATCAATTACAGAGTTTCGTTTGAACCACCAATACATTATACAAAGACCCTGCTACTAGGGCACGGCGCATAGCAATGGCTCGTTCAGATAACCCAGGAATCCAACGAGGAGATCCTTCACCAGATCATCTAGGTGACGATCTGTTTGCATATGATGATATGGACGCAATATTGAATGACGCACCGGCGCCCACAAACAATGACCGTGCAATGTCACCTGCAGAAGCCAATGGTTCGGGGTTGGGACTTGGGCTGGACGAGGAGGTCAAAATATCTAAACAGCGTCAACCTGTTGCGAAATTGGATGAAACTAGGTAGGTTGACTCGGTGTCGGGTCTCTCCTTTCTCCTCTTGTTCTTTGACACAAAGGCTAATGTTTGTTTTTCACCAACATCAGACTCCTATCGCAAGCCGGAATACCGAAGCTGCGCTTAAGAGCGAAACGGAAATTGCATTTCAAGGGAAAAGGCCACGAGGTCTGCTGTTTTTCTTACCATAGGGTTCAAAATGCAGGCGCTAATACACCACCAGTTCTCAGATGCAGCGCGTCTCTTGAATTTTTACCAGCTTTGGCTGGACGACTTATATCCCCGAGCGAAATTCGCCGACGGCCTCGCTATGATCGAGAAGCTGGGACATTCGAAGCGCTTACGGACCATGCGAAAAGAGTGGATTGAAGAGGAACGCCCAAAGTCCCAGTCTGCGGACGATGACGATGATGTGCTGGCCATAAAACTACCTGATATGATATCCGAGATTGGGGCGAGACTCAATGGTGCAACGAGTGCAAGCGCGCACCCACCAGACAGCACCGGCCATGAGCTACAATCGGAGATGCAAAGGCGCTCGGAACAGCAGTCACCCGCTGATGACCCGGTAAGGGATCATTTTGTCCCTGAAGAGTATACAGGGATGGATACAGCCGGGCAGGATGCCCCGGACGATGACGAATTAGACGCGCTTCTAAGAGAAGAGGAAGAAAATATGGCTACAACTGAGTCTGCGCCGGCTGGATCCAAGGCGCCTCAGAGGGACGCCGATGAATTTGACTTCATGGATGATCTAGATGTAATTTAACCACTGCTTTGTTCCAATCAAAGATATAATAGAGCTATGGTGATCTCAAACCTTTTCTAGCATACTTTCCCAAATGGAAAATGAACAGTGCGATAGATTGGAGATAAGGGTATATTAACTGATCAAGCCCACAATTCTACTCGACAAGTGCATCTTACACAAACATACATCCCAGACGAGTATCAAATTCAAGTCTATATTGTCGCGGGCCCCGTGAAAACCGAGAATTGACCACCAGCACCAGCCCAATTCAGCTTCTTTCCCCGGACAGCGGTGTTCTCTATCAATGTAGCTACTTCAATATCATCCTGGGTTCCCTGTCCCGTTTGATAAGTAGCTGAGAACCCCCAAGACCAAGGACGGCCACTAGTGTCAATGGTAATCGAATGATCTGAGCCAGCTGCCACAACACTTGCTTCAATTCCTGGCAACGGTGTTGGTTCGATCAGTATCCGGGGGCGTCCACGCTCATCTTTGATGACGGATTCATCGGGAAAGGCATCTATCTTCAGTCCAGTTTGGTAACCGTCTAGCCGACCCCACACTAAACATTGACCATTATGGGTAATAGCGAGCGAATGGTGGGCGCCACCACAGACCTGGACAACACCTTTGCCTGTTAGAGTAGCCACAAGGGTAGGGTGAACTATCGCGGCTTCATTTTCACCGGCTCCGTCCCGAATACCTGTCTCGCCAAAGCTATTCAATCCCCAGGCGTAGACCTTCCCAGACTGATGGACGGCAAATGAATGGAAGGCACCACAGCCAATATGCACGATGTTCTTCGGTAGGCCGAACTCACGAGGCTGGAGGCCATTGAGTTTATTGCGCTCGATGATACGACGGCCCAGTTGATTCTGCTGGCCCGAGCCCCAGGAGAACACGGCCCCCTTGTCATTCAACGCGAGGACGTGGTTATCCCCGCAAGCCAAGTGCTTTATTTTCTTGAGCGATGGAATCAAAGTCGGGGCCAGCTGCACTGTATTGTCGGCATCAAACCCTAAGATACCATCGTTACTCTGGAGAGTCTGTCAGCATGAACCTTAGTCAACTGAGTGTTTTGCAGTGGCTTACTCGAAAGGTACCCCAACCGTATACCTGGCCTTCGTCGGTCAATGCAAAACTTGAACTGTCAGCAGCAGCGACTTCAACAAATGCAACGCCAGCTGGAAAGACCTGGGATGGAATCGCTGTTGGGGTTGATTCGTACGGATTGAGAGCTAGGTCGTCCGAGTCCGAATCTGCATCGGTTTTGTTGTCGTCAATGTCCTTGTAACCCCCCTCCCAAGCAGTATTCCTCCCAAGAGCACCCTGGTCATTGACGCCCCAAGTGAGAATCTTGCTGTCATGCGTGAGAGCAATGCAATGCATCCCACCAACAGCGACCTGTACAACACCCACTTCGTCCGCGTTCAAGTGAGGGTTGAACCGAGGACGCTTCACGTCGACCGCATTCTTCGCTGGTCCAAGCCCGAGCTCACCTGAGCTTCCTTCACCGCACACATAAACGTCAAGCCGGGTAGTTGGAGCATGGTTAATCACCACCTTGGCCCTCGCCTTCGGTACACGAGGCTTAGCGACGCGGGCCTTTTTCAATCCTGGAGAAGGGGGCCCATAGACCGTGTCGGCCTTGCGCTTCTTTCCGTTTTCGATTGGCGTGGGATTGGATGGCGATTCATTCGGGGGCTCGACAGTTTTGGCTTTCTTTGCAGCCGCGGCTTTCCCAGTGCGTGCCTTCGTTGCAGCTTTCTTGGGCGTGGCCGGCTTAGTAGCTTTAGGAGATCTCTTTTTCGGGGGCATTTTCATTCCAAGAAGTCGCACCTCACTTGATGAGGTTGATAATGATACCAGAGAAGGGAGACTGCAGCAGAATAATGAGTAAGATTTGTATAAGAGATGGGAAGACTGGTGAATAGGAAGAAACTGGGGAATTTAAAACCAGGGCAATGCGCGTGAAAGGGAACAATGAAAGACCAAATTGACGTCAAAGAAAGCCAGTCTTTCTCCCTCATCTCTCGTTCCACCTTCCCTTCTCTCTTCCCTCTTCTCTTTTGCCATTGACATGTTCCCTTTGCCTTTCCCCCTTCCTCCTTTGAAGAGGAGGTTGTTTTTGTTGATGACGATGATGCTGATAGGAGGTATCGATAAGAAGTAAACAAAAGACTTGGCCTTACTTACAGTCCCACCAACATCTAGATAATAAGACTGGAACCGGGATAGACTAAAGTTCATTCACCTTCTTTTCCTTTCAGTCTTAGATATTATTCCGACATAGGAAGCCTCGAAAATGACGGAGAGAAGATAAACGATGAGGTACAACCGAGCACTCCTCAAATTTCCTACGCAAGCCAATATTTGTTGTGTCAGTTCATAAGAGGTAGATGGTTTAAAACTTCAAATATCCTAGTTCATGTGGAATAATAATTTCCCTTTATATCACACTGTCACTGGTTCCATGTAAGTAATCCGGACAAAGGCTCCGGACAGAAAGAAGTAAAGGCATGTCAAAGCCAACAAGAGACCCTTTGATGCTGAAGAAACGTTACCCAGGTTCATCTTACCATGATCGATGATCCTTTCTACTCGTCATGCTTCTTTGCTCTCTTTATGAATTTTTAAACAAAGAAGTCGTAATTGATCTTGGTTGGATTGCGATCATTGATTGAGTCTTGGGACTAGGCCTCTCTTGAGAAAAGCTCAAGAAGGTTCAATCAAGACTTGCAATGCCGTATGGTTTCATCAAGCATGCTTTGAGCACTAACTCATCTTGTCATATGTGTACGAGGGTAGGAATCTGGGTCATGAATCGCCATCAATCGTATTTGACTTGATTTTCCCACACATGATGACATTTTGCCCCAAGGGCATCCATTTCACATCCCGTGGGTTAAGGGCGGCATTCGGTTTTCCCTGTCCATCGCGCTTGGAATCTGGACTCACTCCTACCCCCCCGCTGCCCAAGTAAGTCGGAGCGACGGTAACAATGATGGAATCAATGAACTCGGTATATTCGGGGTTCAATAGCTCGCTCAGAACAGTCCCGCCACCTTCGATCATAACGCTCTTGATTCCCTCGGAAGCCAAAGAACGTAGGATGGCTTCCCAGCGCAGTCGCCAATGTTGGTTAAATTCCACGATGCGGAGGAAGTCGCCCCCGTATCCTTTGAGCATCATCAGCGTTTGAGGATGGATTTGAGCACCGGGCGACACGACAACCCACGGGGCCTTGCCCTTCCCTTCAACCGCCGTCCGTAGTATTCGGCTTTCAGGGTGGACTGGCCATCGGCCGGTTGGATCAATGACCACAGGCCGCGGCTGCCACATCCTCCCAAGACCGCCAAATCCACCAGCGCCTTCCAGTCTACAGTTTAGTCCAGGATTGTCGGCAAGGACAGTTCCGACCCCTATCAGGATAGCGTCATGCCGTGATCTGAGATAATGGGTCATTAGTTTTGCTTCTGGGCCCGATAACACGGTCTGCATTCCGGGCAGCAGTGATATTTTAGAATCCATAGAAGATGCATAGGATAATGTCACGTGGGGAAATGAGCGTTTCCCGTCATCTTTTGGAAGATAAGGTGCAAGGAATTCTAGTGAAAACTGGGGGAATTGCAAGGTATCTGGTGGCAGTGGCGTGTCAAGACTCGGTTTGAGCGGCCCTAGTTCACCGGCAGATTCGCTATTTCCATTAGCCCTTCCTATCCTCACAATCCCATGGCCTTTCTGATATTCGTAGCCATCATGTGGTACGAGTTTTACTTCGGGATTCTGTATCCTCCATTTTGCGGAGACGTTGCGAACATCTGTAACCGTGCAAAACTTCCCTCCCGCCTCCGCCAATTTCTCTGGCTCTTCTTGAAATTTCGTATAGATCGAAGACGGTAAATAGCCTTTCACTGCCTCCTTCCTCGCGAACTCCATGAGGCCGGAGTTCCTTTTCACCCCGTCAATATGGTCAAGGCTATGCGAGTGAGCACAGCTGCTCCCGGGTGTTCGCGCAATAGTCACGGTCGAATATGCGCCTTCGAAACGCACAACCTTGATCTGAAAATTGCAGACACCCCCCTCACGTGTACGTTTCTTTCGCGGGCGCTTGCCTTCTGGTAGGGGACGGGTCTCCGATGTGCGGTGAGTTGGGCGACGTAAGCGGCACATGTAATAATCGGTCGTGCAATGACCTTCCTTGCTGGAATTCGATCTCTGCTTAACCCATACATTGTCGATATAAGGCCAGTAGGTCTCGAATTCCCCAAGACTGATCTCAATCGGGTCTTTACATTCAAACATGACCTGTCGTATCTTTGCAAGATTTGGTGGGTTGTTAATTAAGCAGTGGGCGGTAGGCGTACTTTGATCCACGCAGCCACAAGCATCCCCAGTGCGGTTTCGATCCGACTCTTCCGGGACATCGTTTGGTGATGCGGGACAGAGACCCGTCCCCGACGGACGTTGGAAGTTCACGGTACTAAAAGCTTCTGCTGGATCTTCAGCCTCAGCTGGCGCTGGCTGCAGATTGCTTTTCGAAAACAGCTCTGCGTTTGCTGTTTTGTTGTTGGAACGCTTCTCCGCTTCTCCGTCCAAGGCCTTCTCGACCGCCTCGTTTGTATGCGATGTGGCTTCATTATTCGGTTGCTTTGTGTCAACATCGAGGGGTAGCGACGGCGAAACTGGAGATCTGGAATGATCATGATCCATGTCGAATGTCGCGCTATTTTCACTCGGCGTTATCCGGACCTCTCATTCAAAAGAATGTAGTCCCTTGCGGTGTTTGGTAATTCCATGGGTGTCCGTATCTAAGTTGTGCAAGCCATAATATCATGTCCACATATACCAGTATATGAACTAGTATTGCCATATGCGACGGCGGCGGCGACGACGATTGGTGGTGACGTTGATGTTGTTTCCATTCCCGCTCCCCAAGGCCGCACATTGATGGAAGGAAGTCCGTCGGGCAGGCTCACCGCTGCGGCCTTGGCATTCAGGGCCGCGGGAATGACTACGCAGGCCCCGGTCTAGACGGAATGGTTTAATCACACGCTTTTAAAGGACCTCTGAAATAATACGCCGTGTTCTGTTCTGTAGTAATAACCATCATGTCCATTTTCAAATATGCTACTTAAGAGACTAAAGATTGAGGTGGCAGTTGTCGGGCCGACAACCTTTAGTACGCCCCAATGTCCGCACCGGCTCGAGCAAGGGTCTCGTACACCCGTGGTGGGAGCTTGTACTTGACCATCCCAGAGAATATCATGAGGTCTTTGGCCATGACCAATAGCTCCTCCGCGAGGCCTTGCCTGATCTCGTTCTCGTATACCCCAGAGTTCAACCTTTCTCTCTCGTGACCAATACACGTAATGCTCCACATGATGACATGGCCGACATTACGTGAAATGATCGGGGGGAAGGATGAGAATGTCTGAGCTGCACTTCGAATGTAAGGAACAGAGCTCCTAGCGCGCAAAGGAAGGATGTTCAGTTCGTTAATGACCTAGTTTGGAGCCAGTTAGACGAGAAGAATCAGAAGTAGGGCGTTGGGAATCAAACTCACATCAAGTGCGGGCGTCCACTTCCCGATTTCGACCAATGATTTGGCTTCCATCATTCGGAGTAGAAGACCACATGCATCGCGGTTGACTTGACGAATGCGCTGGTAATACAGAGCATTGGTGTTGTAGAGGCCAATCATATTTCTTGCCAGGATCGCCGGGTTTTCCACGGCCGTCAAGCTAAGACTGGTGCCAGCTTTTGGATCATCCTGGCCGTCCTGTTCTAACGAAGTGCGTGGTCGTAGGGGCTGCAGCGTCAACGATTGCCCTCCGAGCTCAACCGCCACAGAATCAGAGAGCGCCCTGTTGATTATATCAATGACTCGGTCGTAGTCTTCGGCAAGGTGATACAAAAGCACAGCATCCGTGATCAAGCCCTTGTCATCAGCGACAGCGGCTGCCTGCGTGGTGATCGTCTTCAAAAATTCTTCTTGATCAATCAACTTGATCAAGCTGATGCGCTGCTCAATAGCGCCCTTGATCCTGGTCCCATCTGACCGTATATCACCCAACAACTTGGCGAAATCCCTCGTTTCTAAGATGAATTCCCGCAGCGCCTCATAGCAAACAGAGGCCTGGGACTTGCCCAGTGAACCAGGAAGATCGGCGTTAAGGCAGATTAAACAGAAGTAATCAATGGCCGCCTCAACAAAGCCTATGCGGAACTCCCTCGTATATTGAGTGATCAGGAGGCCAAAATTAATTTGGGGGAATTGCTTGACGGTGAAGGACACTGTTTCATTTGGTAAAGCTTGTATTAGCGGCAAGGCAACCGGAGGGGGAGGGGGGTGTCGCAGCGCAGAAACAAAACACAATGAGAAGCAGCAGTACTTACAGATCTCTTCTCCAGACACATAAAAGTCTGAAACGCGTAGAAGCCCGTAGTAGCACAAAGAAATCGCAAAGTGAACAGCACTGACCGGCGCATGTGCTCCCAAGTACGATACTGCCTGTTCAAACATTCCACCGAGGATTTGGAGGAGGAAAAAGGTTCCATAACCGCCAGGGCCCTCTTGACCCTTTCCAAAGACGCGCTGGCCGATCTCAGCGATATCAGTTTGGATATCGTCAAGCCCAAAGACATCACCAGCGGCCTCCTCGGCGCGGTCATCTTCTCGGGCTAAAGTAAACTGCAACCACATCCAATCTTCAACGCTTTGGTTGACGCCTTCTAAACGTCTGCGGCTAAGTTCACAGCGTCCGATGATCTTGTAGCACGCCATACGATAAGGATCGACAGTGTTCTCAGGAGCATTGCGCGAACGCTGTTGGTATTCGCCGTTGATCTTTTGCTGCAGGTCTCTCGGCAATCGTCGACTTTGCGCGTAGGTTGTCATATAGGTCACAAACTTGTGATCCAATGACCGGAACCCAGGATCTTGGCTCACATACTCAGCCGCCTCTGTAACAAATCCGCAGCGGAGGAGGTAGAAGATGAGAATCCAACAATAGTCTTGGCCAACAACCTGCAATTCGGCCCCATCAGGGGCGAGGTCTTTCCTTGCCGCCTTGAGTCGAATATATGCTCGAATCTTATTTACCACAGTCGGTATGCCTCCCAGCTGCGCCTCCCGCGGGTTCTTTGCGATTACATTTTCGACCTCGTTGTAGAATGACTTTTCGAGGAACAGCCTAGATCCCTCGACAATTCGTTTCTTGAGGCTGATTGTCCGGCGAGAGCTAGGTGCGTCGTCTAGATAGTCTTCCGAAAATTGTCGCTCGCGTATGGCACCAGGTTCCGAGGCGTTTCCGACAGTCGGGGGCTCTCTAACGATACTAATCAAAGCTCTGTAGGCGTCAAAAAGTTGGCGAGGGACCTATGACTGTCAGCAAAATCAACGCGCATAAACTTTGGATCATAACATACATCGCCACCTGCATGTTCTTCAACTTCAGCAAACTCATGAAGAACAGGGAATGTACGCGCTTGAAGCCTAGCTGAATTCAATAGCTGAACCTTATCTGCATAGAGACGCATCTTTTCCCGCAAAAACCGAAGATCGGAAGAATGACCACTCGACTTATCGTTACGGTCGTGCGCATCTTCAAAGAGTTGCTGGCTCCTTCCAGTTCCTGGTGTTCCAATGACGGACTTCTCCAGGCCAGAGCGTCCAAATACACTCCTGCGAGATGCATTCTGAGGGCCCTGCGCTTGTGTAGAACCGAACTGCTTGGACTGTCTCGTTGAGCGGCCAAATGTGCCCTTGCCTTCGCTAGGAGCACCATCTTTTTGGGCCAAGCCGAAATGTTGGAATATTTTTCGGCGTTGATCCTCCCAATCTAGATCAATTTTATCCTCCAAAAAGGCATCAAAATCCTTGTGGGTTCGGGTTAGACTTTCCGCGATCATCACTTGGCGACCACGCTGCTGCATGTTTCGCAGGAACTTCTGATTGTCGGGATCAAATTGATCCTGATCCTTGGGAGGAGCCGTTGCTGGGATTTGCGGATCCAGCGCCTTCAGGTCTCGCAGTGCGTGCCCCGGTGAGACGCCCGATGCAGCGAGCAAATAGTGACTATAGATATACCATCAGCGGGACATAATCAATTGACATTCCGTCCAGATTTGCTCCTTACGCTTTGTTGTTGGGGACATGTTGCTGGGAGTCTTTTGCCCTGGGGCTGCCGAGCTCCCTTGCCTTCCTCCGAATATCGTCCAAACCCAATTGAAGGCTAGGTAAATCTTCAAAGTTGTTGCTTTGCGCCATCGACGAGAGTGGTCTCTTTCGACCGCGTTCCAGTAAGCTGTTGAAGAACGCGGGCTGGGTTGCCTGGCTAGAACCCGGCTGCGCCTGGGATTGGGGAAACATTGAGGACTGCGCAGGCTGTTGTTGGTCTTGCGGCTTGGATCCGAATAGAGAGGCGCCCGGAAAAGTCTGTGTCGCGGAGGAATTCCCGAGGATGCTTGTGGAGGTGTTTGGCGCCTGCGTCGTGGCACCCAAGCCGCCTCCGCCTCCAAATAGAGAGCCGGGACCTGTAGAAGCCATTCGGTGAAGACCAGAAGACTTTCAAGGAGCGCAGAGTATGTAGCACGAGTTTCCGACAGTGTCTCCTGTTTGGAGTCGGTGTGAACAACGACGGGGGTAATAGTGGAAAGAACAAAGGTCTCAGCAACTGACTTATACACAGCGCTAGATGATAGTTGGAGAATGGAGTCTCCGAACCTGAAAAGTGGCTTGTCCGCTGAACAGCAGTCACTGATTGTTTATACAAGGCCCTAGTGCGGCGGAGGACAAAGGTGCTTGCTGTTTTGGATCCTGCCGGACTTTCTATTATACCGACCAATATTTTTTGGACCCGCTCACCACAATCGATAAGGTTGTTGCACCACGCAGTCTTGGGTTGAATCAGTGATTACATCGGATTAGATATATATTGGTGTGCATAACCACTGTCAGGCTACTAGTTGAGGCCTTCTATCATCCACCACACACAATGGCCGTCTTTCAATCCAAAACATTTCGACGTGCAACAACCGCATCATCCTCTCTCGGGGAACGGATTGGTGCAGCCTATAGAGCGAGGCTTCCTAGGCACCCTTTTGTTCTTTTTGGGCTACCTTTCATCATGATCATAGTTGCTGGCTCCTTTGCCTTGACCCCCGCGGCAGCTTTAAGATATGAGCGGTACGATCGCAAAGTGAAACAATTAAGTCAAGAGGAAGCCATAGATCTTGGACTTAGAGGAGATGGGGAAGAAGGGATCAAAAGGAACCCACGGCGAAGAATAGTTGGCGATGAGAGGGAGGAATACTATGTGAGTTTGAATGTCCCTGTCGAATTTGTGATGGTGAATAGTCTATAAAAAATAAAAAAAAAAACAAGCGCTGACGGCTATTTCGCAGCGGCTCATGGCGAAAGATCTGGACAACTGGGAACAGAAACGGGTCCAGAGATTCGAAGGCGAGCCTGATGGCAAGCTATAACCATCCTGTGTTCCGTCATGTTTCTGCTATTTGAGTTGATCGAACATTTATTGTTCTGTGCTATAATGGATCTCTACTCCCTTGTTCCCACACCTTGTGTGCATGTATCCGCATGATGCACGGGCGTGTGGATCTGCCTTGTATGTAAAACCATCCAACAACCTTGATATTCTACGTGCTATATCTGATATACCTTGATAGTTGATGTATATTATTTCCCTGTTTATATCAGGCTATTGTTTTTTTGTGGTAGTTGTCTGCCACTCGCGGGCTATATGCTACCTATTTTTGGTCATTTTCTTATATGTTGACTTGGCATACATGTATTATCAATTTCACCAAATAAATTCCTAGGAGAAGACTGTAGAGTACTATTAACAGTTCTTCCAATTAATTCCGGAAAATACCATATTCACTTCCTTTTGTCCAAGCCAAATGGTTAAATAATCACTAGCCAGCTGATTAATTCTATATTAGTTCTGCACACTAGGCACGAACGTCGCCGCTTTCCGACTGTCCCACCCGCCCCATACGTCATATCCAGAAAACATCGGCTCTCCGTTCTGCTCACCTCCATTTGTCCTTCGCGTTTCTTGGTTCCTTACGTACCATGCTTAACACTCGACACTAATAATGGTGGATCAGTGATATCAGCCAAATACCATCGCTCCCCCACTTTTTCTTCCTGACAATTCGATTGGCTCTGGAAACGCATCTATTGGAAAACCCCTCTATCGATCTTTCCCTCATTCGAGGGTATTACCTACCGTAGGAGCCCCAAATCTTCAGTTCTGGCCAGAATCTCTTCTGTCTCTCCTATCTTTTTCATCACCTCAACTCTTCCATCTCTCTTTATTGTACGGATTTCGAATAAATCCAGCGATTCGCTTTCTTCTACCACTTCCCTTGTCTCTCCCCCTTTACACTTCGGGGCTTGTTACTTGACCGAATTTTCTTGGTATCTGTTTGCCACCGTCGCAACATCGGCTCAGTATCATCGAGGAGGCGATATATGTGAATGGGAGGGGGGATTTTGATAAACCACTTGCTCAGCCATAAACTTCGGAGAGGATCTTGACAGGGGACAACACTTCCTGTAATTTCTGGCCGTTTCGAGATGGCAAGCTGATTCTGCGCCTCGCTCTATTGTCCGGTGTCACTCTACTAGGGGGTGTTTCGCTCTCCATATTCCCCCATATTCGCCTCTATTGAAGAAATCATGTCAGCTATGACGGGCACAAGGTCCCCTACCTCTCCGTGGCCTCCAGAGCCCTCGAATCTTCAACTTGCTAGTTCTTCGACCCCGGCAGCTCTTTTAGCAATGCGTGACACTCATTCATCTCCGCTGAACCCTCACATCACAACTCATCATCCCGGTTCAGACCTCTCGCCTAATTACTTTTCGTTCAGCATCGACGATGCCAATCTCACAAAAAGCCGTGACTCGATCTCTTACCCCCAACCTCAGATCATTAGCCCGAAATCGCAATTCTTACCGAAGAAGCCGAAGTATGAAAATACTCCCGATGCCGCGACGTCCGGTGCCCGGGTCGATTGGTCCAGGGCGTCCACGGCGTCTAAAGCGTGGTGTGGTCTTGGATCTCAGAAAGAAGAGCGGCCTCTTGACCGAAGAGGGACCTTCCCGTCGGTAGCCGGCGTTGGAAGTGCCATATCTGTTGATCACTGCGCAGAGTTGCTTCAGTCGTCGCCCGATGATATAATGCTGTTCGATGTCCGTCCCTTCACTCATTATCTTAAAGGCAGTATCAAAGGATCGTTGAATCTTTGCATCCCAACCACATTGCTCAAGCGACCTTCTTTCGACACACAAAAGTTGGCGAATACATTTACAAGTGATGCGGATAAAAAGAACTTCACGAGATGGAAAAATTGTCGATATATTGTTGCCTACGATGCACATACTTCCGATATGAAAGATGCTGGGTCATTAACTAATGTATTGAAGAAATTCATCCAAGAGGGCTGGACCGGTGAAGGAATGATACTCCTTGGTGGATTTAACGCCTTTTCGGATCGTTTTCCTTCTCTTATCAAACGACAAAATCAACCGATGTCTGACACCACTCCGATGAAATCATCTCCCATGGGATTGAGTCTCCCTTCTGCTGCCCCGGTCGCCGGCGGGTGCGCGCTGCCAGAATCGGCTTCAGTCGCCATACCTTTCTTTTCCAATATTCGTCAAAATATGGACCTTGTCAGCGGCGTTGGGCAGATTCCCCTCCAGCTCCCCGAAAATCTAACCGAGCCGAAGAAATTAGCATTGCCCTCTTGGCTACGGAATGTATCCGACAGTGCGGATAAAGGCCAAATCGTCTCTCAGAAGTTTCTCGAGCTCGAACAGAAAGAGCTGGAGCGAATGAAGCAAGCACTTTCCTACGACAAGAATGCCAGCTCGAACTCGATCGTCTCACCGGACAAGTTCCGCGTTGCGGGCATTGAGAAGGGGACAAAGAACAGATACAATGACATCTACCCTTTCGATCATTCTAGGGTCAAATTGCAAGACGTGGCTCCCGGAGATTGTGACTACGTCAATGCAAACTACCTGAAAGCTGATTACAGCGAAAAGCGCTATATAGCTACACAGGCACCTGTGCCTGATACTTTCAATGTAAGTTCTCGAATCCCGCTGGCCCTTACCAGTGGGGCACACGAAGAAAAGCAAGAAGCATATCAATGACAGTCAAACCAAACAGGATTTCTGGCGCGTGATTTGGGAACAAGATGCCAGACTCGTTGTGTCCTTGACTGCCGAGGTCGAGCGAGGGCAAGTCAAATGTCATCCCTATTGGGAGTCGGGGAACTACGGGCCCTTTAAGGTCAACAACTTCTCCCAGAAAAAGATCTATTTGAACCCTGCAGACTCTCAGAAAACCGACACCGCGAGCCGTGCGGCCTCTCCCGAGAAAAGCGAGGATCCTACCCGTCCTTATATTATAGCGAGATATTTCGGTTTATCGCACTCTGCATTCCCTTTTCAACCGCTTCGTGAAATCACACAATTGCATTATCCTTACTGGCCCGACTTTGGTACCACATCCCAGCCAGTCCACCTTCTCCGATTGATTGAAGAATGCGATAAAGTTATAAATGCGTCCAACGCCAAGAGTCCCAGCAATCACGAAGCACAAAGACCAATTGTGGTGCACTGCAGTGCAGGATGCGGACGCACAGGCACTTTTTGCACAGTTGACAGTGTTTTGGATATATTGAAACGGCAACATGCTCGGAAACCTTCTGATCCACCGGTTGTTCCAGTAAATGAAGACCTCATTGAACGGACTCTAGCCGACTTCCGGACACAAAGACCGAGCATGGTACAGAATCTCAGCCAATATGTTCTTTGTTATGAGAGTGTGTTAGAATGGGTCACCTCCCAGATGGCCAAGGAAGAGTCTTCATGATAATGAGACCAGACACCAGTCTGGTCCCTCAGGTGCAGAAGTTTTATTGCTAGATAGAAATGGCAGATCTATTATCGTCACGTCATATCTTTCACTTACACGTGCCGTATGGCCTGCAATAAACCAGTACTGAAAACTGCTGTCATTCATTGTTGTTATCTGTATTATAATGTTATATATTTATAGCGCTCTTTATCTCGCTCTAGAATGAAGGTCAGATGAAGTGAAAGGCACAGGCTATCCGTTGTGAGAATAAGGTCCACTGGTCAAATGCGAATGTACGAGGATGTTCATTGGTAGGGGAATTCAGTGTTAGAGTCTAAACGTGAAGTCTAAGCTGGAATATGCATCATGATTCCAGCTCTAAAAAGGCGTGCAGCCTTCAGTCTGTAATCCGGGATTGAAACAGACTTACAAAACACATGGTTGGCAGGGTGTCGGCAGGTGTTCCGCAGGCAGCAGTGGGTGCCTAGTCAGGCCTAGACTCCTGCCTGGGGTGGAAAACACGAGGAGCCAGCAACTATAAATAAATAGTTATAATTGCTCCCTTCCCCAGCTTCTAATATTGCCACCATATCGAGTAAATTCTTCTTTCAAACTGCCGCAGATTTGGTGAGAGCTTAGGAAGCTCTCAATAACCATTGAATCTTCTGCTTATTGATTTGCCCCAAATACTCGTCACCATGCTACTCAATCTCCCGCTTGAGCTTATCCAGTTGGTTTTACTATATTCGAGAACACCGGATTTGTTGCAGGTGGCCTTTTCCTCTCGAGTTTTATATGAGATCGTCACAGATTCCCGGGAGGTGCTCTTACGCCATCTACGTCGAACCCCAGGTGTCAACACCGATCTTAACACCGATCTCCGGTCTCTCAAACCAAACGAATTATTTGGGCTGCTCCTCAAACATGCATCCCAGCAGTTATATGGCGCACAGTTCTACGCAGACTGCACAACATTCAGCTTTCCAGGACATGCGATGGATGCTAAGGCATCTTCATTTGCACATCGTGACGACGAAACCGTCGTGCTGGCGGCTAGAGGCCAGGAAACTCTGCATGTCTATCACGCTCGAGACGGGCGACTCCAACATCGAACACTGCTTCAATCACCTTGGGCCCAACAAGGTGTGTCCGAGATCCTCAAGACGGGGTTCGATGGAGAGAACGGCCTCTACGTTCTCCAACGCTCCACGCCGACTTTTGACGAGGGCGATGTAGACCCAGAGCATCCCTTTGTCAAAGATGCGATACAAACAAGCGCTACAGGTCAAATATTTCTTGTCCGCCATTCGCTTGACTCGCCTAATGGTCCAACGAGAATATGTTCGTTCCCAGAGCATCCTGAATACAGACCGCTGGCGTTTGCGGCTGCCAATAAAGACGTCTTCGTTATCTCCTGGCAGCATATGCGTGATGATAACTGCTTTGAGGTAATCCGTTACACTGTCCAGGCTGAATCACCAGTTGATCCTGCGTCTAATTCTATTGGTTCGTTACCCTGTCTCAATCTTTCCGTCCCTTGATTCTTTAAGGGTCCATGTGGAAGGAAACAGGCGGTCTACCCAATGGGAAATGCGCAAGCGTTGGATTCAGCTAATGATGGCGAACAGAGCTACGATATAACTCCCGCGTTCTAGTGGATGAGAGTAGGCAAGATCTCAATGAAGATAGGCCACCCGAGGCGATAACGAACCGGGGCCGTGTGCTCCATCACAGTGGCCCAATAACAGATATGGCTTTCAATGACGGATCAAGCCAATTGCTGTTCTATTACCGCGCTCGGACTTTGTACGGATCATTCCAAAGGAGAGACATATCCACGCTCCAAGGCCAAGCTATAACCTATGATAATTCATGTATTGTGCAATTTTCAGACTCGATGCGGCTACAATTTTGCATTGACATACCCTTCTTTGGAACACACGAATCGCACTCACACAACGGCCTTCAAAGGTGCCAGTGGAAATACCTTGCTTTGGGAATTGCGACTCATCGTGAAGAGGGATGGACCGTGGCGTGCCTACTAAAATCAGGAGCTTCCTGCGCGTCTCGCAATTGTGGGCACGTCTTGAATCTTGATCGTGGGCGGCGTTTTGCCGATTGGACGGTAGTTGCGCGACTCTGGGGGTTTCGAAATCCCACCAACTCCCTTGGATCCATAGTCGCTAGTTCCAAGCGTGGTACAAGGCTTGCGGTTGCGAATTGGAACATTCTTTACGTCTGGGCTTTGGAGCCTAACGCACTTATCGACCAAAATGCCAGTGGGTATTACCCGCCTTCGTGGCAATCTTCAGCCTCCGACATGATCGAATTGCGGCCGATAATGCTTCCACTGGACGCTGTCTGCTTCAAGCTTTTCTTCGCACAAGGGGAGAATGAACTTGTGGCAATAACAGATAAAGGGTTAAAGTACTGGGACCTGAGTACATCGGGGCATGGGCGAAGAGTTGCGCAGGATCTAGCCGTTGGAGAAATCAATTGATTTTAAGATCTCAAGGTTGCGCAATTCATAGCAGGCTTTGGGGAGGAGTATCCTATGCTTGACCGAGATCTAAGTACTTTCATGAAATGTGGGACAAAGCGCATATTCAACCCGTGAGGACGGTCTCCATACATTCTCCAAGGCATCCCCAGTTGGCTTGAATGGAAATCTCGGTTGGGGTGGCCTCGATGCAAACCACAGCTGTCCATCTTCCAATAAGCATGCGATTGGGATTGCCTTACTGGCTTAATTGTTCCCTGCGATTCTCTCGTCATTGACTGAGATGGATCTAGGCCCACCTGGATGCGAGGTCTATGTTTATATATCCGGACCCTTCGAAGATCGCGTGGGTGGTATTCGGGATGCGAGGATGCGACCAATTAAAGATCGAAATATTATATATGGAGGAACCAAGAGAAATGTATTAAACGAGGGAAAAGCCATATTCAACATATCCATCATTGCCCTTCACCGCCCCCAGACATAGCGATAAACGTGATGATGAGGATCACCCACCAATACCTGTAGAAGAACGCTGTCAGATCACTGCGCTAGAGGAGAGTAGAGACTGTAGTTAATTCGAATTAAGGGGACAGATAGTCACTCACTTCTGGAACATCGTCTTCTCAACCACTTCTTCGGGATTCTGGCCGTCCTCACTAAGCACGACCGGGCGGTTCAGATGAGGTTGCGGACCCGTCTCAGCAGGGACCACTTCGATCGTAGGACCGTCCGCGGTTGTCGAGGCAGCGGCAGGTCCCGACGCCGGCGCCAACGAGACATGGTATATTTCATTCGAGGGGCTCACGTAGAGACGAAGCGCGAGCTGTCCCTGTCCCTGTCCCTGTTCCTGCTTAGGAGCCAGAGACGACAATGACGTGATGGTGCCGACCCATTGTTTCCCGTTCGCGGGCGTGGAGGCGTACAAACCCACGCGAACGAGTTCTTCGGAGTCGGAGTCTGCGCTGAGACTTTTCTGCGGCGGGGAGTAGGAGATGAGGTCTGATTTTAGCGAGGACGAGTCGTAGGAGATGCGCGCGAGGGTCGAGGGTTCGGAGACGCCTGCTACTGGCCAGTAGAGGATATCGGTGGATAGGAGGTGGGAGGAGGAGGTGGATGATTCAGCCCATGTCTGTGCGACGAGACAGAGGAGGATTGATGCGGTTTTGAATAGGAGGGAATGCATGGTCGGCGCGTGTCTTTTCTGGTGAAGGCGTGGGAGGTGGACTTGGAGGTGGACTTGGGGAGCTCCGGATGCTGTCACCGCGGCGGAAAAGTGTTGGCGCGGAGAATTGCTGGGGTCGGCTAGCCGATATTCTTGGTGTCCGTGACTACTCCGTCCCTCTGGTTTTTTGTATTCGAGTGAATATGTACAAATCACGTAGTAATTAGTACTAGCGGTGATTTGTGGGCAGTAATGATGCTGGTGATTGGTACTATTCTTATGAGTATCGTAAGTATACCTACGGGGTTGAACCTTCTGCCCAGTGAATATGTAGCTCTATATACAATGTCAAAAATATATATATATAATAACAACATTAATGGATTGATCGATATATACACGAATACATAAATGAATAACCAGTTAGATACAATTAAAAAAAATGCAACAAGCGCGAAGATATACCAACTTTGTCTTTTTGTTGTCTTTTTGAATTAGTCTGCTGTATTATTTAACAGCGAATATATTAGAAAACTGATACCTGTAATCTGCAGCCAATTCTCCCCGCAGATCATCACCCTGGTGCCGGTAAAATCCCAGTTCCCCAGTGGGAATCTGCCCCGCAGATGTTTATATGAATTGGTAGCTGTGATCTTCGTTCTTTGTTTTCATCCGGCATACTTCGGCTTGCTCGCCTCTTTTGACAAAAATCCTCTCATTTCCTGCCACACCATAGAGAGAACACAGCTGTGTGATCGAACTGTCTTCCCGTCTTACTATCTGCCTAGCCGGGTATAATTGACTGGCGGGGAAGTCCCTCTGCTCGCAGATCCATTGCTCAATAACATCACCTGTCGTCGCTATTCGAAAATCTGCACCTTTCTCTCCGTTTATTATTACCTTTTACTTCGCTCGAGAAGAGCAATTTTGACCATCATGACTACCACAATGCCACACCGGCATCCCTCGGGACAGTCCCACAGGCTGGCGTCTCTGGATACTCGAGATGAGATTCAGATTCACTTGGACCATTACATTGGCATCGACGTAGGCACTGGGAGTGCTCGCGCGTGTATCATCGACGGCAACGGGGATATCGTTGGATTGGCGACCGAGAACATTGGCCTCTGGCAGCCTCAACAAGGTTTCTACGTAGGTATTGTCGTACCTGTAGTTCTGGAGCTCCCGCTGACCATCACTAATAGGAGCAATCGACAACTGATATTTGGCGTTGTATCTGTGTTGCCGTTCAACGCGCCATCAGCCAGCATAACGTCGACCCGGAAACCGTAAGAGGAATTGGATTTGATGCCACTTGCTCCCTTGCCGTGTTCTCCAATGTCAACGATGAACCAGTATCTGTTACTGGGCCTAACTTTGACTCGGACCGTAATGTGATTCTCTGGTTGGATCACAGGCCGGTTGAAGAGGCCGAGAAGATCAACGCCACGAACCATAATCTGCTCCGCTATGTCGGGGGGAAGATGTCCGTTGAGATGGAAATGCCCAAGGTCTTATGGCTGAAGAATCACATGCCCAAGGAGCTCTTCGACCAGTGCAAGTTTTTTGACCTGGCAGATGCGTTAACTCACATTGCGACTGGCAATGAAAAAAGAAGCTTCTGCAGTGTAGTCTGTAAGCAGGGCTACGTTCCGGTCGGCGTGGACGGGAGCGTCAAAGGGTGGCAGGAAGATTTCTTGAACGAAGTCGGCCTGGAGGAACTTACCACGGATGACTTTAAACGGGTCGGAGGTGTTGACAGGGTGGTGAGCCCCTTTCTTTTACAACTTTTATCATCTCAATGTCTTTTTTTTTTTTCGGCTGCGCTGTTCCTTCTGACTGGATATAGAACGGCGATTATCTGAGTGCCGGCGAGCTTGTCGGTACGCTCTGCGATAAAGCAGCCTCTGAGCTTGGATTGCCGCCTGGCATCGCCATAGGCAGCGGAGTTATCGATGCCTACGCGGGCTGGATCGGTACCGTTGGCGCGAAGGTTGACCTGGAGTCAGACCAACTGAGCTCGGACGCCGCAAAGAACGACAAATCCCAAGCCTTCTCACGACTGGCAGCCGTAGCCGGGACGTCAACATGCCATCTCGCCATGTCTCGGGATCCGGTTTTCGTCCCTGGCGTTTGGGGTCCCTACCGCGACACAATCCAGCCGGGCTACTGGATGGCCGAGGGCGGGCAGTCCGCCACGGGGGAGTTACTAAAACATGTCATCGAGACGCATCCCGCATTCAACCAGGCTCTCTCCATCGCAGAGTCCTACAACGACAATATCTACGAATACCTGAACGAGCACCTCAAGGAAATGGCCCAGGAGCAAAAAGCCCCCAACGTCTCCTATCTCGCACGCCATTTTTTCTTCTACGGCGACCTCTGGGGCAACAGGTCTCCCATCGCGGACCCGCGCATGACCGGCTCCGTCATAGGCCTCTCAAGCGACAAGTCCGTAGACGGCCTCGCCATATACTACTACGCCACGCTCGAATTCATAGCCCTGCAGACCCGCCAGATCGTCGAAACGATGAACCAATCCGGCCACACCATCACATCGATCTTCATGTCGGGGTCGCAGTGCCAAAACGACATCCTGGTCAAACTCATCGCGTCCGCGTGCAATATGCCCGTCCTCATCCCTCGCTACATCCACGCGGCTGTCTGCCACGGCGCGGCGATGCTGGGCGCAAAGGCCGCTAGCGCGGACGCCGAGGGCAAGACCGAAGATCTGTGGGATATAATGGACCGGATGAGTAAACCGGGGAAGAAGGTCGTGCCGACGGGTGATGCTAACGAGAAGGCCCTGTTGGATGTCAAGTACAAGGTCTTCTTGGACCAGTGTTATAAGCAGCAGGAGTATCGGGCTCTTGTTGATGATGCTGTGGGTGCGTGGAAGACTGCTTGATAGTCCGTGCTAGCTGGGCTTTTCTAGGACTTGAGTCGTCCAGGGAGAAGAGAAGTATTGGTGGGAGAGGAAGGTAATGTTGATTTATGTTGATTTGTAAAACACCATTCAAGCACATCTTGCGATTCTGGATCTTCTCTCTACTTTCCTGGGTATTGAAATAGATGGCATAATTTGCTCTACGTATCTCGATACCATCATCCGATACTTGTCGTCACTAATCTTCAGTGTCCATCGTTATAACGGGTCAAAAACGACTTGTAAATTGTTCGAACAATGGTACATGAGCCTCACGGTTAAACATCACACCATGAGGAAAGAAATCTATGAAACGTCCATGCTAAGAAAACGGAGTGACACTAAGAGCTAGGCCCATAGGCTACCCCACTCGTAGACTTACCAACAGTGTAGAACTTCTCCGGCGCGGCAGTCCCCAGAGCGAGAGTATCAAAGCGGTTGATACCCATGCTCTCCATGTTGCTGTAGCCAGAGAGGTAGAAGCCGATCACCACGACCAGGTATGTGAGCACGAGGATGGAGCCTTTGAAGTAGTTGCTTTTGCCCTCGCCGTATACGTACGACAGGAGGAAGACGCAGAGGATGACTGTTACCATGTCCCATTGGGGGAAGATGAGGCTGTTGCGAAGCGCAATCGTCAGTATGGACCAGTTTGTGAGATTCGTGTATTGGAAGCCTTACTTGAATGAATGGGACAGGAGTTCTGAGGGCTCCTTGAACCGCTCGTATAAGGCGCTGAACAGGACGACAGCGGGAATCTGTAATAGGCAAACTTGCAGCGCGTAGGCCGATCCAATTTCCATTGACAGGGCAATGTTGCCGTTTATTGCGAAGGAAATGGCATTCTACCGTCACACGTCAGTGTCAGCCATCGTAGGCAATCCTGTGATAAGGTGTCTTACCAAGAATTCAGTCGTGTTGGGAACCAGGGCGAACAGGGTGATTCCAAGAAACTTTTCATCGATGTCGACGCTCTCGAGGACGACGTCCACGGTGTTGACGAGGATTTCTGCGATGATCGCATAAAGGAGTGTTGCTCCAAGAAGGACAAATGCGCTCCAAGATTTGCTCCAATTGGGGGCATCGTGGCCTCCGCTAGTAGGGCTTGGCTCCAGACCGCCATCGTCATGCTCTTCCAAAATCGCCTTCACAGGATCTGAGGCATTTTTGGTGGCCTGTCGTTGGACGGGCTGCCGAGCGGTTGGCTTCCGTGGGCGAGCCGCATCGCGGGCAGCAATTGCAGCTGCTGTGGCTGCCACTTCAGTCACCTGACGGACCAGGTGCACATTCTCCTCATCCGAGAAGTCTGTATAATTATCACATTTACGATGACCACCACCATTTTGTGAGTGAGGAGGTACAAGGTACGGTGTTGTAGTCTTGCCGTGCGCCACGCTCGACTCAGCATGGTCTGTGCTATCTTCAGGAGTATTCTCAGACAACCCAACTTGCTTCAGGGATTGTCCCAAGATGCGCTTGTACAGCTGCGAATCACGGACCGGGCCCTTTGTGCCAGAATGTCCACCGGTGGCACCCGAGGGCACGCTAGGAAGAAGAGGAGGCCTCTGCTCAAAGGAATCGTGGTTGTGTGCAAGGGCAACGGCTTTTTTCTCCTCAACCTCAGTAGCCCAGATAAGGGCAGCATGAGTTCGGAGAGTAAACCACAGGCCTATTACATACGAAAGAAACAGGAAGACGGCCGCAAACCATGAGAACGGCTGCACTGCTTTGCGGAAGAAACTGTCGTTTACAGCCGGGACTTGGGCAAAATAGCATCGACGACAGTCGTCACCGTCGGCTGATCCCGGTTTTGCGCAAGCATGGCAGTTGAGTTGGTGCTGGATAGCAGTTAGCAACTAACACAAGAGTAAAGATGGGAGTGATACAGGAGTGGACTTACACTGCCATAGATCTGATAGAAGAGGGTGGGTCCAAAGGCAGCGATTACAGCAAACATCAGCATGGTGGACGTGACGCCCGCAGATTTGATGTTAAATCGCTGAGTCTTGCGTTTGATTGCGCCAAAACACATGGACAGACCGGGAAGGAAAAGGATACCCGCAAAGATGCTACCGATGATACTGCCTTCGACGAGTCGAGCTTTGCCCTGAGTCAAGGCAACACAATAGAGGTAGACTTCCACTAGAGTTGAGAAGAAAGCATTGACGGCAGCACCCATTCCCATGGAGGACTGCGCAGAAATGGATGCAACCGCCTGCCCAATGAAATAGGCCAGTGGGATGATCGAAATCAGGGCAAGAGCGAAAACTAAGCCTGGATGAGTGAGCCACGTTTGGATCTCCAGAGTTTCCCTCAGAAGAAAATAGTCGACAATGACAAACAAGACAACACCGAGAAGGTTAATCAGAAAGATGTTTGTCCCATCAACGGTATACTTCCAATAGCTGATGCCAGCAGCTCGATATGTGCATAGGAGAATGGACGAGGAAGACCCAGGGCGCAATCGCGTGTACGACATGTCAGAATGATAAGACAATGCCAGGGGGTGCCGGCGAAGATGGTCGAAGAGAGTGACGGTCACGCGGCCCATCGGGATCCAGAAGACGAGCAACCAGCAGATCAGTGACACCATGAGCATCAGAGGCCCCACGAGAAAATAGAAGAACACAAAGAACACCACGCGGCCAAGGGTCCATTCGCCCCGGCCGAACAGACGTCGTTTTGAGTGTCCCAAGGTGCCATCGCCAGAGGATCGCCTCGGAGTCCGCCCAAGGAGGCTGTCTTGCTCACCGGTCGAATCAATACTGTTCCTCCTTCTCCCGATGAGAGACCGATTGCGCCGGGGCCCGAAGAACAGCCGGCCATTCTCCAGGTCACCATTCTGCCACTGTTCGTATTCGCTGATGCTGCGACCCTCGCCCTCGTCCTCTTCGGCGTAGTTTTCGTCCGTGTCTAGGCGAACGAACGAGCCAAAGGGATAGAACAAGTACCAAGATAAGCCCGAGAAGACCTTCCCGTATTCTACTGCGCTGGATGAAAATGCGAAAATGAAACAGGCCACCGCTCCAGTAAGCGCAGCTAAAGCAAGCCACCATCCGAAAAACACCGTCCAGAGCAAGTTCGTGAGGAAGAGCAGATTCCCCACTCGCCCTCCGGGGGACGAGTGTATATCGCCTTCCGCGGTTTTCTCGACAGAGCGACTTTTCTTGTACAAAGCAGGCTTCCACAGCCTTATCCCAAAGGGGTGTGTTTTGTTGATAGCCTGTTGACGATCCTTAAGTGTAAAGCTCTCGGCATCGCTAAGTTCCTCGTCGTCAACATCATCGTCCAGACCATCACCGCCACTTTCGCTGGTGCGATTCTCATCGTCAGACTGATCAACCGTGGGCAATTCTGCAGCAGCTCCCAGTCCAGGATCGGAAAGTTCTAATCCGCCTTCGTCTTCGTTCTCGGACTCTTCTGGGACCGAAGTATTGATGCGGCTGGTCATGCTTCTCTTCAGAGTTGAGCTTTCTTTCCGCAGCGGACGTATCCTCGGGGACGGTTGGGCAGGAGTAGAAGCCTGTTTCATAGCAATATCCTCCTCAACCTCGCGAACGTCATCGTCAGTCGAGAACTCCTGTCGTTTGAAAGGCACATGTCGCTTGGAAGACAACCGGCGCATCACCGGCGGTTTTCTCGGTCGATCGGATTGTAAGGCTGTGGTAGATTGAGAAGTGGTCACGCCGCCAGAGCTCTCAGGCTGATTCTCTTCGCTGAGTGTTTCGAAGCCCGCTCGTTCCGAAGGATCCAGAGTGCCTGTGAAGAGATGAAAGCTTTCGGTCAATTCCCCGATAGAGTAGACTTATAGTATGATGGAAAGGCAGCCGTACCATAACTTCTCCAGCTCTGTGCCGCCAGTCTCGGTGCACGGGCATTCCCTGGTGATGAGGTCTCACTTGTGGCGTGCGAGGTTGACGGTGGATCGGAATGGGAAGTTCGTGGAGGATTACGGTCCCCTCCTTGATTGCTGGCCATATCTCGGTCTGATGGGTTCCTCAGATCGTTTCCCTTAATCGCGCTCTTTCGAGCTATCTTCCTTCATTCCCTTTCCACTTCTGGTGGCCGTGTGATATCGGTGCGTCACGAAAAAGGACCAAGACGCGTTTAGTTCACGATAGATGAGACCAAAACAGACGGCTGTCAAACCAGTGACCAGCCGATGAGGAAAAGGAACAAGGCAAGGGGGAGATTTAACCTAAAAAAAAAAGGGGAGATTTGGCAAGACCCCAAAACAGATGGTGTGCAGAGGAAGTAGGGCCGGCAAAATGTGAAGGCAGAAGAATTTACATAGGCGATGTCACTCAGTCGGACAGGCAGAGCTCCATGCAGCTTAGTAGATCATGAGATAAGGGCGCATAGTATCCCCAGAGTCAGCTGAGACTGCAGCGGGAAAGTCACAAGCCCTATGGTCAGATGTCAAGGTGGGTAAGAAAGCACAATATAAATTTGAATCAATTAATTTTGACCGGCGAATGGGCCACTATTCATAGCCAGCTACCAATGAGTTTGAGATGTTAATCCAGCAGGCTGCATGGTGGAGGAAGTGGGGAGAGATAAAGAGCGAGTGGTTTGGTTGGTTTGGTTGTTGGGTACGGTGTGAGTAATGATCCCATACCTCCCTGGGTATCTACCACCTTGCTCCCAGTATTATATGTGTGACATTAAAAGTTGTTTCATACTACTACAGAGTCAAAGAATCAATAAAATACATATATTCTACACACAAGAATAAGTGCGATGGCTGTAAGTGAGGGACTGAGGTGTTCTTGGCAACTTGGCATTCGTTGATCAGTCAGTTTCCCTCACCGCCAGGCAGAAATGAACCGGAAGGCGGTGACGGTAGCACGGGCAGTACTCCGTTCTAACTGAGCTGAGCTAGTTGGACTGAGGCCAACACCGTCGGTGACATAAGATCCAGCTTGGACACTTGCACGCCCGTCGGAACGATCCTCAACATCTCCAATTCAATCGTTCGGCACCATCCTTGTTTGAAGCTCGGATTTCGGATTTCGGATTTTCCATCGAGACGCCCTTGCTGGTATCAGTGTCTCCAGATTATCTCGTGGTACACGTGTTCCATCGAGAGGAGCGGTCCTCTAACCATTCGCCATGGCGCTCGACAATTACTATCGCAATAAGATCGAGAGCATGAAGCTCGAGATCATCCAGGGTCAGGCTGTTTTACGGAGATTGGAAGCACAGCGCAATGATTACAATTCCCGGGTGCGGCTACTCAGAGAAGAGCTGGGCTTGCTCCAGCAACCCGGCTCTTACGTCGGTGAGGTGGTCAAGGTGATGAGCACCAAGAAAGTTCTAGTCAAAGTACACCCCGAGGGGAAATATGGTGAGGACTAGTCCCCCGCGCCTACGGTCATATTCGATTGGATTGCTGACTCGATTTGGGGGGACGCAGTCGTGGATATTGCAGATGGCGTCGATATTGCGAAGCTCACCGTCGGCAAACGAGTCGCCCTTCTTTCCGATTCTTACAAGCTGGAGAAGATGCTGCCATCGTCGGTGGACCCGCTCGTCTCGCTGATGATGGTCGAAAAGGTGCCCGACAGCACTTACGACATGATCGGTGGTCTCGACCAGCAGATCCAAGAAATCAAGGAGGTCATCGAGCTTGGACTGAAGCATCCCGAGCTGTTTGAGTCTCTCGGTATTGCACAGCCCAAGGGTGTTCTACTCTACGGCCCGCCTGGAACCGGTAAAACCCTTCTTGCCCGAGCGGTGGCCCATCACACCGACTGCCGATTCATCCGAGTAAGCGGCTCGGAGTTGGTGCAGAAGTACATCGGTGAAGGCAGTCGAATGGTTCGCGAGCTGTTCGTAATGGCTCGAGAGCATGCCCCCAGCATTATCTTCATGGATGAGATCGACAGTATCGGATCCAGCCGGATAGATTCAGCTGGGGGTGGTGACTCCGAGGTTCAACGCACGATGCTGGAACTTCTCAACCAGCTGGATGGGTTTGAGCCTACCAAGAACATTAAGATCATCATGGCCACGAATCGTCTGGATATTCTGGATCCGGCGTTGTTGCGCCCTGGTCGCATCGACCGGAAGATCGAGTTCCCGCCACCGTCGTACGTCTCTTTCTACATTCTTACTACCTGCTATTGGCAAGATTTTATGGTTGGCTAACGATTCTTCTTTGAACTATAGGGTGGAGGCTCGTGCGGATATTCTCCGTATTCACTCGCGATCGATGAACCTAACACGCGGTATCAACCTGACGAAGATTGCGGAGAAGATGAACGGGTGTTCTGGAGCCGAGTTGAAGGGTGTGTGCACAGAGGCAGGCATGTACGCTCTCCGCGAGCGACGGGTGCACGTCACGCAGGAAGACTTCGACCTGGCGACCGCGAAGATTCTGAACAAGCATGACGACAAGGAGGTGGCTGTGTCGAAGCTCTTCAAGTAAAAGTGCGGGTTTACTTTGAATGCCACGTGTAATAATAGCTTGTTTGGCTATTTGTCAACTTGGTATCGTTGCATGCTTTTCCAGAATATACATTGACCGAATACCACCCGTGCCCATATTTGTGTCTCGAGTAGACGACCTTCAAGATGGTTATGATACGTATATGATCGGATGACACTTGGATTATCTCTGATACAATCGTCCGATATCAGAGTATAGCTACGGAAGCAATATTAACTGTAGTAGTCATGGTTAAGTAGCTCATGTTGGTGAATAGTCAAAATAATCACATAGTCACGTAAGTGCATGTGCGCTGGATACAGTCAAGTTGCGGATTCACATAGCTATTTATCGATCTTATCTCAGTCCAAGGATGAATTATGAATTTACAGATTTATGGACTGATGGTGCTAATTAGCTAGAGATCATCACACTGCCACGAAATCAGCTGTTGAACTGGATAACTTCTATTATAGCTGGTATATAAATCATTCTCATGATAGAAAGAAATCACAGTGGAATACTGAGCTGCGTCATAGAGTTCCCAGAATAAAGGGTCGCTCTCTGAGATAGTTGGAGAAGATGCTGCCTTGGGCTTCCATACATGAAGCCTACCTCAAGTACAGTCCCTCCTTTATCCACAACACTGTCCATCTTCTTGCCTATCCCATTCTTGGCAGCCTTATCAATGACGACGGTTTTTCCATCCTGCTACGATCTGCTCTGACATATCTACCAATTCCCATGACGATCCTTACCCCAGCAGCCATCCCGAACCGCCCCCGGTATATTAGTACCCGACTATTGACTATCGCATAGCCCCTTGAAGTCTCTGGAGACTAGGGTGAGTATCCTGGTGTCCTTGCTGATGGGCATGATAGTGTCTGCCACGTATATAGATATGCAGTAGTAGTATGTACGGTGCATAGAGGGGAGCTTGGCAGGATGATGAGCAACATGGATGTTTGTTTGTTGCTTGTCTGGAGTACGGGTATAGGCATGAACATGGTATGATAGGTATATGCAGGATGACGATACAGAGGAATAACTCCTCCGTACAGTCCGAAGGAGCTTCCGTATTGAGCACGGAGTATGGACGGAGTCCAACGCCAAGTTGCCAAGATTATGCGAGTGGACTAATGGAGTCCGTCCTTGCACCATCTCTGTCGAGTTAAGCTATTGTTGAGATTGGATTCAGTTGGTTGAGGGAGGAAGGAGAATCCTTATTTTAGGTTATGTGACATGTCTATATTCTGGACGGAGTGCGGAGGAGAGAAAGAGGGAGGATTCCAAGTCCACGAGGGTAGGAACTGGAATTTGATTTAAATCACTATCTTGATTTGGGGATAATTTCATTATTTCTCTTCTTTTGTATTCTTCTCTCATTGTAGGAATGTGGTAGAGTATGTAGACTGTAGGGATAATTGAATATAGGTCGATAAACTCCATACTCCTAGATACTTAGAGATAAGAAACCAAAATCAACAGCCAAGACACTTTAATAAAACATGAATGTCATAGTCAAGTCTATCAGATAGAGTCTCTCCTCAGCTGACGTGTCGTGGAAGGAATCCGAGGCGCGTGACCGAGGATCCTTGCCTTGGATTTCCAGAGGATGAGTAGTACTCCGTACCTAGAGTATGGAGACTCCGTATGATACGATGGATCCTTTGGGTCTCGGCTCGGGTGGGGCTCAGTCCGATCGGATGACCTGGAAGTGGATCTGTTCATTCTTATTCTGTTTGCTTACTAGATAACTTTGATCATATACCTTCTGATTTCTTGTATTTAATCAGTGGGCTCTTTTCAGTTGACTCCATACACACTCATGTAAACCATCTCCACTCGGATCTACGGAGTACACAGGATATATCGACTACTCCGTACAGTCCTTGCATACTAACCATCCCCGTTGAATTAGGTCTGACAGAATCCTCAACTGCCCCGGCCGTGTCTCATCCTTGCTTGATTAGGCTAGTCACCTATTCTGCACTCCATGGTACAATGTAGGATCACCGTTCCGGGTGGGCACATCTTCCATCTTCCCCTTCTTTTCCTGTTTGGATCAACTTGGGCATTAGTTGCATGACGGATGGAGGAGGCAAACTATGAAGTAGGGAGACAGGAAATACAGGAAAAAAGAAAAGGGATTGTCACTAACAGGATGATGAGTCTTGGTTGGATTCGAACTATGAGGATCATCTATCTTGTCCTTAACCATCAGTTTCTAAGTTCCATGAAGAAGCATATAAACTCGGTCACTGACTCCACCGTTCACCAAGAAGCGGTCTTCTAGAACTGCAATCCCTTCCTTTCTACTAGTAATCCTCTCGGACTTCCTGCTTTGGTCCTTCCGTTTCCCATCTCTCGGTTAGTGCCAGGAGCTTATTATCCCCCGAGCTCATCCAGCTCCTTCCTCGTCAGTCACTGGTCTTCCTCCCCCCTGCTCGCTCCACTTGGATCGACTCCTCTGCCTTCCTCTATCCCCGTTCCGTTCTATTCTTTCTTCTTTATCCGGATCGCCACGTCCCACCATCCTCTTCCCCACACTAATTCGTGCCCTTTTCGGTCCCAAAACACCGACCCTAATTGCTCCCCTTATCATCTTATTTGTCCTCGTCCTGTCATTCGCCACTCCCCCCCGCAGATCCTCCCACTCGATCAGGAACTCGGTGAACGTTCTGCCAGCTGTCTTTATATATATATATATACTATACTTCTCTCTCTCTCGCCGAGTACTCTCCCCATTGTTCGCCAGATTCTATATTATGTCTGACGGTGAACTATGGTCATCACTTGTCACTGCCATTCATCCCAGGGATATCAAACTGAGCATGCCTATCGTCCTCCAATCGACCATCCATCTCTTGGAGTCGGAGCTGGCCAAAGCGAGGGCCGCCCTCCAGGAGATTCAACCCAATATTGTCCCCGTATGTATGAGCGGCGATGAGCTCGCCGTTGGCGCCGTGGCCGCGTATCGCCAGAACCTCATCGGCCGTGCCCCGGATTTCTTCTACGGTTCGCGCAGGCTGTCTCCGAAAGAAGTCGGCCTAGTCCCGGTGGTTCGGGAGGTGTCTGCGGATGAGAGTGAGTCCGAGGGAGTCCAGACTCCACCCCAATGCAGCGTAATCACGAGCCCGCCCAAGCCGACTTCCCTTCTCGATGTCCTGGGGAACAGTCTGGTTTTGGATCATATGGCTCCGTACCTCTCGACCCCGGCCCTGTTTGCGCTGGCATCGACCTGCCGCTTTCTTCACACTGCCGTCACCGAAACCCCCTACGTGTTTCGACATCTCGACCTGACTCGTTGTCGAGGTACGGTGCTGTCAGAAGCGGAGGAGCCAATGGACGAGGACATATCGGAGGATGATTTCTACTCCGCGCCGCTGCGGAGTATCTTTTCCAAGCTGGAGCGTAGGTCGATTTTGCAAGACGTACGCACATTGGTGCTGGATGGCCTTTCGGTTCCGGCGGATTTGGTCCTCGACATTCTACTGAAGGATCAATTCAATGTCAACATTCTCTCAATCAGGGACTGCCAGCATCTCAACGAGCGCAAACTCATGCAGAGCCTCCAGTACGCGGTCCGTCCCTCACGTCCCCAAGGCACCCCGCGGGTGAAAGGGATCTATCTGTTCACCCCGGCCCAGAACGCGCAGACCGTGGCGCGGGCCAAGTACCGTGATTGGTGGGGCTCGAGGTGCTCTGTCCAACCCACCGGCAACATTTCAACGACTGCGAGAGGTCCGCATGAGGGGGATACGCCGTCTATGGACTGCTCCATGGACGGAGCCCCCAGTCAGCACGCGTGGTATAGTCCATCTGGGAAACTTCTCCAACAAACCATTGACGAAGGTTGGGCGGAGACTCTGCAGAAGTGCCAAGGGATCATTGCGTTCGACGCTGTGCTCTGCCGCGGGCCACGGCACAATGTCGATCTCTATTCATCGGCGGATTCGAGCGATGCCCAGCCGGAAGGTCGAATGTTCGGACCAGCCATCGCCACTGTTGCCTTGGGTCCTATTGGATGTGAGAACTGCCACGCATCTCCGGAAGGCCCAGCGGTCTGGGGAGAGTCGCCGCAAGAACACTTCCCTATGCTTACTCCCCTGTCATTCCACTCATCCTCCGTGGAGGTGGCCAAACGTCCGGGCCTCTTTCCGGATGCAAACCCGGGTCTGATTGCCCGATGTGGAGAGTGCTTGACAGATCGTCGGTGTAATCGCTGCAACGCGTGGTTCTGCGATAGCTGTCTTCCCCACCCCGAGCGAGTGAGGACACCCTTGACGCCACATCAGACAGCCGTCCGAGGCCCGCGAGATACGGATATCGCAATGGCCCAAGAGCAGAGAGTATGGCCTCCCAACCCATCACGCACCGTGACAAGAAGATGTCGCTGACCGTCACAGGGATTGGAGCTGGGCGTAAGTAAGGATTGCTGGGAGTGTGGGCCAACCGTAAGTAGTCACTTCAGGCCTGGTCACTTGAGGCTCAAGGCATACAGCGGTCTGACGGCGTCTAGTGTTCAAACTGCAAACCGAAGTATGAACGAACCTGCCAAAACTGCCAAGGCGATTATTGTATCGAACATAATGACGGTTGTTCATCGACCATGGTATGTATCCACAACGCACACCACCGTACCATCTGGATCTAACTTGGATCGATTCTAGTGTGACTGGTGCAACACTAGTACGCGCCATAGGATGAGAGAGATCTATTGATTTGGGAACAGAATCTGTTTAGACACTAACAACGGAGTAGTATAGACGGGTGGCTGTGTAGGGTCATTTCAGCACATAGTTGGATCAGCCGGGTCTCCGTCAATCTTCCTCTCTCCCCTCTTTAGCCGATGGAGTATGCTATGGTCTCATATTGCGTCATTTCGTTCAACGAGAAGCAAATTAGCGCCGATCTTGCTATAGTCGTATGATTACAAACATATAGTGTAAATTGCTGCCATCACTTCCAGAGTGATATCATTGGTATGGGCCATACCTGAACCAGGGCATGGACCCGCCATTGATCTGACGGACGGGTTCAATTGATAATCAACCATGACAGGCAGCGATGTAGAAATTAGGGTTTGATGCTCAGTATGGAGTAGATTGATCAGCCGGGATGAATAAGCGGGGCAGCTTCCAGAACGCGCTAGGGGATTCTTCTCCAACTGCATACATCATCGAATGTCCGCGGAGCACCCACTTCTACCATGAGTCGTACGCTTCCTCAGTGGCCTCCTGTTCGACTGAGCCGGTGATCGTCTATCAGAATCATGGCTAGCGACCAAGGCAACATCCACTGGTCCTCACAGTTCACCGTCACACCACCGAGTCAAACCCCAAAGCTCCCCGGAGACAAGATCACTCTTCCTCACTCGGCCCTCGAACAACTCCTCGCAGCAGCTCCACTCCAGGAGATCTCTCGCGCCCCCACTCGGAATCCCACTCGGCCGTATACGAGCAGTTTCGATCCTTTTAATCCGCACAATGCCGCTGAATTCCAAGCGCGCGAGAGCAGTTCGGACCGCCAGCACCAATTGCCCCACCCGCTGACGTTCCGCGTCGTCAACCCGCGAAATGACCGTGTGGTCTATGTCGGCATTCGGGAGTTCTCCGCCGAGGAGAACGAGGTCGGGCTCAGCGGGTTCATACGGAGTGCGTTGGGGATAGAGGATAATCAGTTTGGGACTTCAGATATCGACGAGGACACGTCTACCCAGGGCTTTGCACCCACTGTTACAGTCCATGCAAGACAGCTGCCGAAGGGTACCTACGTCCGACTTCGCCCGCTTGAGGCCGGCTACGACCCGGAAGACTGGAAAGCGTTGCTGGAGCGATACTTGCGCGACAACTACACTACGCTCACTACGAATGAAGTCCTAGCGGTGCCCGGGGATCGCAATGAATCGTTCAGGTTTCTCGTGGACAAGGTCTCTCCGGAGGGAGACGGCATTTGTGTCGTCGACACTGACCTGGAGGTGGACATTGTGGCGTTGACGGAGGACCAGGCGAGAGAGACTTTTAATAAGCGTCTGGAGAAGGCGTCGCGTGCCCCGGGGGCCAAAGGTGGCACTTCCGTCGGCGGGGCACTCCGTCCTGGGGAAGTGGTGGCCGGTAGGGTGGTGCCGGGTGATTATGTGGATTACGAGCTGCGCGAGTGGGATCGTGCAGGGACCATTGATATCGAAGTGGAGAGTGAGGATGATGCGAATGTCTATGTGTTCGCAAGTCCGCTCTCCCCTCGGCACAGGAGCCGGCCTAGGAAAGACTTACATGTCTTTAGCGATTTCCACGGCCGGGAACGCAAACGGATTCGCATTCAACCGACCAACGTGGAGCTGGAGCAGGTAGAGGCGCTTTATATATCGGTTCACGCTTTTGCGCCGTTAGACGGTGAAGCTGTCGACGCGGGTCGAGTGCCACTCGAGTACAATCTACGCCTTGCTATCAACAGTTCAGGCGATGAAAAGGCCCCAGACCGTGAAAAGGCCCCAGAGCATGACATGGATGATCACGACCCCGAGGATATACAGTGTAAAAACTGCCAGCAATGGGTCCCTCAACGAACACTAGTGTTGCATGAGAACTTCTGCCTTCGAAACAACATATACTGCTCCCAATGCGGAAACGTGTTCCAGAAACGCTCACCAGAATGGGAAGCCCACTGGCATTGTCCGCATGATTCCTCCTACGGAAACGATGCTCCCACCAAACACATGCACGATGCTATATTCCACACCCAGACACCCTGTCAAGACTGCGGGTTCCAGGCGACCAATATCCCCAATCTCGCGCAGCACCGCACAACCGAGTGCCCCAGCAAACTGATCCTCTGCCAATTCTGCCACCTCGTGGTCCCCCAACAAGGCGAGGGCGACCCCGACCTGCACGACGCCGAGGTCCTCCTCTCGGGCCTCACACCGCACGAGCTAGTCGACGGCAGCCGGACCACAGAATGCCACCTCTGCAACAAGATCGTCCGCCTCCGCGACATGCAAACCCACCTCCGCCACCACGACCTCGACCGCGTCTCCCGCTCCCCACCCCGCGTCTGCTCCAACCAGAACTGCGGCCGCGTTCTCGACACCCAGCGCAGCAAAACCTCCAACGACACCCTCGGCCTCTGCAACATCTGCTTCGGCCCCCTCTACGTAGACACACACGATCCGGAAGGAAGAGCCCTCCGCCGCCGCATCGAACGCCGCTACCTCTCCCAAATGATGACAGGATGCGGCAAAGCCTGGTGTCGCAACAAATACTGCAAAACAGCAGCAACGCACGGATCGTCCGCAGGAGCCGACTCGCCAACCCTCCCAACAAGCGCAGCAGCCATCCTAGCCACCGCGCGCCCTCTAATAAACGCCCTCAACCTGGACCCCAAGAGCGTCTCCCCCAACACCGCGCCCTTCTACCTCTGCACCGACCAAGCGGGCCAACAGCGGCGCATCATCGCGGAGCTAATTGCTGCGGATAGTTCCGTCGCAGGCGGCAAGAGCTACGATCTACCGTGGTGTATTGCGGCTGTTGAGGCTGCGGGGGGAGATATCGAGAAGAGCAGGGAGTGGTTGGAGAATTGGGCTCCTGCTAGGGGGGAGAGTGCTGGGGGTTTCAAGTGAAGTGAGTGATGGCGGATACAGCGTGATATATGTATGACATAATATATGCATGCTGTTGAAGTAAGTGATGTATATAGACAATAGATATAACCAAGCTTTGATACATTGCATAGCTGCTTAGGTATAAATGATGGCCATTTTCATGAATCATATATTGAGTACAGTACGCCAAGTAACAAGTAACAAGTAACAAAGTCACGAAAAGTAAAGTAAAGTAAAGTAAAGTAGAGTAAAGTGAAAGGTCCACACAGAGTGAGTCATTGAAATATACAGTAAACAGCGTCAGGCTCTAACAAGTCCCCAGACACAACATATCCGAAATTGAAAGCGCATCAAGCCGACCCCGTCTTAGCAGCCAACGAGCCACTCCCGCGCGACGAAAAAATCCCCATGATCCCAAAAACGACATAAAACAGCGCCAACGGGTACGCCACCAGTCCCCTCATCCCGCGCATCCGCGCCACAGCGCAGAACATCCCCGACGAGCTGTACGTGCACCAGCCCACGGCAGCCGTCGTCAACAGATACCCGAACAGCGTATCCATCGGCAGCATGATGCCTACCAGGTTCGTCAGCACCAGTGGCAGAAAGCAGTAGCCCAGCACGCTGGCGGAACGCGGGAACGTCAGCGTTGCCGAGAAGTGCCCCGCGGCGGACGCGTCGGACATGCTGGGTTTGTGGTGCGGGTCGTAGTTGGCGGAGGGGTCGGCTGCGTTGGGGGGTGTGTGTAGGGCTGTGTCGAGCGCGGGCGACATCAGGCTGAGGATGAGGTGCAGGGCGACGGTGCCGAAGACGGCGACCCCGTAGATGTATCCGTAGAAGACCTTTCCTGAGAGCAGGAGGAAGGTCCCGTAGAGCACGATGTACAGCAGGGCGCCGTACAGGTCGCTGTCGTCCATTAGGTGTTGGTCGATTCGAGCGAATGGGTTGAGAACGGTGAGTGTCTATATCAATCATTAATCAACGTTAGCATTAGCTGTCTTCGACCAGCAATAGGCACGGAAGAGAGGGAAAGAGAGACCTTCGTCCGAATATGTTCAAAATTCACCCCCAACTCCTCCAACAAAGGCGGCTCTCCGTCATACCCCTCCGTCCCAAACGCAGCAAGCCACCCCGTCCGCAGACCCCCCTGCTCGCCCATCCTCCCACTCACGCCGCCCACGCCCGCCGCAGCAGCAGCCCCCGCCCCAGCCGGAGACCCGAACCCGTAGCCGCCCCCGGCACCGCCGGAGTATGCCTGCGCGGCGGGGTTGGATGCGCCGCCGAATCCGCCGTACGAGGCTTGCGAGGGTGTCGTGTGGCCGGATACGGAGCCGTAGGAGGATGGGTAGAATTGGAGGTTTTGGGCGGATGGGCCTGGGGCGGCCCCGTAGGGTTGTTGCTGTGGGTAGAATTGGGCCATGTTGATAGATTGGGAGGTGTGGAGGTATTGTTGGAAAGGGGTGACCCTGGTGGTTATCGTTGAGTGTCAAAGCATGATGCTCACTCCGAGTGATCGACGTAACAGGTGTCGGCGGTGAGCTCCATTTGTGGCGGCCTCAGGCACACAACTAACACCCGGCTTGACCCACCCATACTCATTATAATAAGTGTGAAAATAAAGGCATGGAATACAAAATTCTATACTAATTCCTACACACACATTATTCTACAGGAAGTTGATGCCGATCCCCAGCTGCAATCCCTTCCGACCCTCCTCACCCTTGCGCAACACTAACGGGAGGGAAACGTTCAGCTCGAACCGCGCAACCGGGTGAGCGTACACCAGCCCAATTCCAGCAGCCATACTAGGCAGTCCATTGCCCAGCTCGGAAAGCGTAGAGGTCACAGCATCCTGAACCTCCGCACTGGTGCTGGGTGCCGTCTTCTGCGAGGTGCGCAGAGGCAGCAGGCGTCCGCCGTTCACAAACGCCTGGAGACGGAGAGGCTTTTCCGCGCCCACTCGGGGAAGGGGGAGCAACAGGTTGGCGCTTCCCGCAGCGTAGGCATCTCCGCCCACGGCATCCTGCCCATCGTGAGGTCCGAGACCACAGAGGCGGAATCCGCGAACATCGGTGGGCCCTCCGAGCAGGAAGCGATCGTTGACGCGCGAAGGCTGGGGCCGGTTGTGGGAATCGAGTCCGAGGGGATAGAGGAGGCCGGCACGGAAGCTGGTGGTGAAGCTAACTCCGCTGTCGCCTTTGATACCAGGAATGGGGATGGGGATTGCGCCCTGCGTCTCAATCTCGGATTTCCAGAAGGAGACGTCTCCCTTGAGAGGCCCCAAACCAGCCAATTCGTTGAAAGCTTTGGCGTAGTACCCGCGAGACGGGAGGAGAGGGTTGTCTCGTCGGTCTTGGGTCCAGCTATGGAAAATACTGCTCTTCACGCTGTCGCCCGCATCCGCCCGGACCGCCAGAGACGCATTGTCGGCCAAGCTGGTCATCTGTCTCCAGAATCCATTGTAGCCGAGCTCATGGCGATGGCCGGACTGACTCAGCCACCGGAGCTTACTCCAGCCCCCTTTCAGCACCTCTTCGTGGCTGGCCCATGACTTTTGCGTCGCACTCGCAAGACCACCAAGCTCGAAACGGAAGTCGGGGTCGCTGAGAATCGGGGTCTCAAAGGTAGCCTGGTAAGCAGACCGGGTTCGGGTGCCCATGGAAGCGTTCAAGTTCAGGTTTTCGGCACCTCCAAACACATTGCGCCAGAGGAGGTTTCCAAATGCCGATCCCTCAGTGTTTCCGAGATCGGTTCCCGTCTTCAACAGGACGCGGGACTTCTCCTTGGCGGAAATGTAGACATCGAAGTTGGGCAGTCCGGTCCGAATGTCAGCATCGGGTGACTGATCCAGGTATACGGAGACCGGTTGCTGGAAGACATCTGCATCTAGTTAGGATTGTGTACCAACAGCGGAGCAGTTCAGACAAACCCACCAAACCTGCTGAGCTTGTCCGCGCGTGCCGACACCTCCCGCAAAGCCTCGGCGAGCGTATACGGCCTCGTCTTATTAGCGCTTAGCAGAGGATCGAAAATCCGTTCCAGGAAGGCCCTGCGTGTGTTTTTCGCGTTGAGAACCTGGATTGACGAGATGGCGCACGGCAGGGTGGAGTTTTGGTCGATCTGATGTCATAATAGAACCGGTAAGCTGTGTTTCCTTCGGCTGGTAGGAGATATAGTATAGACAACGATTGACTGAAGGACAAAGGATACGCACCAGCTCTCCCAGCCGTGACTGGGCCTTTTGATAAATGACATTAACCCGTTCATTGACAGCTTGCTGCTGCTCTTCCTGTATTTTGGGATCCGCACGGTGCTGCAGACGCTCGAAGATCTAGACATAAGACCAATTAGTACGAATGCACACAATAGCATGTCAGATACAATACATCGAAAGAGTACATACATCTTCATCTTCGGCAGAGAGAGTGGACGACATTGCGGCGAGGGCAATGGCCAGAGAAACCTTGAGCAGGCAGTCTCGGATGTCACCGTCGAGCATCTTCCGCAGCTGGCGAGATGAACCCGAGGCCGCCCCCACGTGACCCGCGCTCTTTGACGTCTGCTTCGGTCGGCGCGTTTCCATGATTACGGTTCTCACATCAACGGCCACTTCGACGAGCAGTTCTCCTACTTTCTACTTGGGCTGGATCTTTGAAGAATAAACTGTTCGCTTGTTCTGGTCATTTGCGTGGCAGTTTTATTTCATAATTCTACCTCCATATCGCCGACGGCGGAGGGATAGCCCACCAAGTTGCACCCACGATGGCCACCAAGGCGGCCTATAAGAGAGTCAGTCGAATTTCTTCAGACAATGATCAGAAATTATAGATCTGATACTAACCTTGAACAGCTCACTCGCGAATACCAGAATGTCCAGAAGAACCCTCCGCCTTTCATTATCGCCCACCCGTCCGAATCCAACATCCTCGAGTAAGTCGTCTACACTGTGGCAATTGTTTCGAAATCCCAGCCTAATTAATATCCAGATGGCATTACATCCTTACAGGCCCCCCCGGAACCCCTTACGAGAACGGCCAGTATTGGGGTACCTTGATGTTCCCCCCTGAATATCCTTTCGCACCCCCAGCGATTCGCATGCACACCCCGAGCGGCCGGTTCCAGCCATCTGCGCGATTATGCCTCAGCATCAGTGATTTCCACCCAAAGTCCTTCAATCCGGCGTGGGAAGTGTCGACCATCCTCATCGGTCTCCTTTCCTTCATGACCAGCGAGGAAATGACAACAGGCAGTGTTGGCGCGTCGGAGGCGGAACGGAGAGTGTTAGCCGCGCGATCGAGATGGTGGAACTCCACGGGTGGAGGCTCTCACGTCTCTTCCACCCCCGGGGTGACACCAACCGCCAAGGGCATCAATAATGTGAAAGCGGGAGATGGTGGCGTCAAATTCCGCACCGAATGGCCCGAGCTAGACCAAGACAACTGGAAGTGGATGCGAGAGAACCGGATCGACACCAATACGGGCCAACTCATCCCGGATCCTAATGCGGCAACCCAATGCTCCCCGGAGACCACAGCTTTTCGCAGACGCCCCAACGGCAGCGCCCCAAGAATCGGGGCTGTAGTCGGAGGTGGCCATGTCGCACGCGAAGCAGGCCAAGGGTGGATGCAGCGCAACAAAGTCTGGATCGGCGTCGCTGTTATGTTCGGGTACGCTTTACTCTCCCGGCTAGTGAGAGATGTCCAAGGTTGAAATACCCGAAAGACTTCAACAACCTCTAGTCAACAACCGCGATCACACGTCGACAGCTGTGCTTGCAACCGTGAATCCCCCTCTGTCCAGCGTACTACTTCTCTACTCCCCTCTATCGTGTCCATCGGCAGTCGTTGGACGCGAATACAAGCTTGTATGTTACTCGGAGAGTTACCGGCGTTCAAGATGGTATGGAGTTTGGCATTTCTGTCGAGTTCGATCCGTTGAAACGGTACTCGTTCGTCACGAGAGCAGGTCTTTTAGAATAATAACGAGTTACCAGTGTATCATGCTTACTGCATTCAGTAGACTATGTTTTCCTACCTAGGTAGTCAATTGAAAAACATCATGTTTACTATAGACTCCTACTATCGATATTCCGCGGAGGCGATAAGTCTTATCGAGGCCAGCGTAATTCCGCGGCCCTGATTGGTGTCGCCACAGTCACGTGGCGATCGTCGGGAAAATTCCGGCGATTGTAGGGATTATGTCATCCGCCCAAAGTTTTCCTTGGATGCGATCGTTGTTATAGATCTTGCTCTGTCGATATCTTCCACTCGCAGTTGAACGAAATCCTTCTCCCTTCCGGATTTCAGCCTACTTGATATATACCACTCTCACCACAGCTATATTTGATATTCATCATGGGTTGGTTCTGGGCAGATGCGCAACCAGCTGCGAAACCGGCAGCCCCGAATCCTTTGGCGTCATCGGACAAAGCTCCTCCTGTCAGTATCTGCTATCCAGGAATATACTATAGTTCATGCATATTCTAACATTGCTGCAGCCCGGATGTCCCATGCATACCTCGACCCCGCCTGCACCCGCGCCCCCCGCCGATTCCGGACCGTCCACCGCATGCCCCGTCCGATCTCCCGACTCTCCGTTCTATGTCCAACAGAACCCCAAACCCGAAGGCACCCCTGCGCCTTCTGCGCCCGCGAACGAGAACAAGTCCGTGCTGTCCAAGCTGAACCCCCTCAACTACATGTTCGCGTCGATCTCCCAGGAACGCGCCCCGGGTCAATCCGTCGACCTGTCACTGGAACGAGAGCCTTCTTCGATACCGAGGGGCGATGCGGATACCAACTGGGAGTATCCTTCTCCTCAGCAGATGTACAATGCTATGCTGCGCAAGGGACACACCGATACGCCGCAGGATGCCGTTGAGGCGATGGTTGCTGTCCACAACTTCTTGAACGAGGGCGCCTGGGACGAGATTGTCCGGTGGGAGCGGCTATTCGCAAAGGGCCTCGGGAAGGGATGGGAGGTGTGTCGGCGCGGAGAGGAGAACATTGCCCATGAGGCGGTCATTCAAGAGATGACCGGCAATGCCGATGAAGCTGGTACCCCGCGGCTCATTCGGTTCCAGGGTCGTCCGAAGGATTTGACTCCGAAGGCACAAATACTCCAGGCGTTGGGCTGGGCGTATCCGTCTAAATTTGGGTGAGTATCTTATACCCTTCTATACTGTTCTCTTGACTGACACTATATCAGCACCAACCCGCCATTCGACCGACACGATTGGTTCGTGATGCGACAGACCCCGGCCGGCCAGAAGCAGGTCCGTTACGTGATCGATTATTACTCGGGACCTCCCGAGCCCACCGGCGAGCCGGTGTTCTATCTCGACATTCGACCGGCTCTGGATAGCCCCACGGCGGCAGTTGAGCGCCTGATGCGCTGGGGAGGAGACGTCTGGTGGCGTGCCAGCGGCGGTGCAGTCCACGAGCAGGGCGGAAACTGAGCCGACCGCCTAGCTGCACATATCTTATGATTCTCCACTCTTCAATATTTCAGAGAAAGACGCTGGCGTCTGATTGGTCTTTTGTTCAGGACTGCAGCTTGGTGTTCTCAGTTTGCTGATCCCTTGGTTCTCTTCGGACTCATCTTGTATAATTAAGACGTTATGGTGCATGGTGGTGTACGTTATTCGACAAAACTTTCTATTCGCTATTGGCTATATATGGTGCTGTTTTAATATCATTGATATTGCTGGATATTTCATTCGTAATGTGGCATGCCAGTATTTTACCTAACTTTTGATAAACAGAGGTATATCTCTGATTTAGTGGTATAAGGCAATAAAATAAATTCCCCAATCCAGCATGCTGTATAAATTACACCAAAGCCATCAAAAGTCAGATGGCAGCAATTATTTACATATCAAATCGATCGTGAAGGGAGATGCATAGTTTCCTCCAGCCGCGGTATACGCGCTCACAAGTGTAGACGTTCTTGTCCCCAGCCGGGTCCCAGGAAACAAGGAAAAGAAATAAAAAGTTCGACTGACCTTTCCGGCCCTGGTTCAAATATTCGGTGATAGCAGGTCATATTTGACGCAATTCTCCACACTCTCGATACTGGCTTGGAGCATTCCACGGGCTTCGAGACCGACCCACACGCGGAGTATAGAAGTATTGCCGGATCGGACGTTTCGGAGGAAGGTTGTCTTTGAGCCAAGTGTGCGCAGGATAGGAAGGGCACTAGCAAGCAAGCACACAAAGTCAATCAGACGGAACTAGATAGAACCCAGCGATTCGAGACCTATGGTCAGTAGCAGAAACGAGGTATCATCGACCCACCTCTTGAATAGATCTAGATTGGGATCGAGCTGGCGCCCGATGCCTTCGAGGAGCAGGATGGAGATGACAACGTTGACGAAGTCGCCTTCGAGCCTCACGTGGTGGCTCCGTACCATGGAGAGCACCTCGCTCAGCACGTCGCCGATTTTTACGTTGCCGAGGGCGAATGTTCGTGACTTTACGCTTAGGACGAGGTGTTCCATTCGCACGGCGAAGACGTCGGGGTCGATGACTGCGTCGGGTTGGCGACATCGCTCGACCATGAGCTCGCCTGCGCGAATCCCGTCGAACTCTGCGACTGCGAGGAAGAGGTCGAGGAAATTGCGTCGGTTGGTGTCGTCGAGTTGGGTCACCAAGCCGGTGTCGATGAATATCAACTGCGGACGATATCCTTCCAGGTTCAGCTGATTGAGGACGCTCTCCCAATCTTCTCGGCAATGCATATGGGGCCTCAACCGCCTGAGCACGGTCTCGGTCACATCGACCTCCGCTTTGGTTGGAGCTTCAGACGCCCGTGTGCGTTTGTGGAGCGAGAGGTCCAGCTCGTTGGGCTTGTAGAAACGGACCATGATGTTTCCCGGGTGCAGGTCTGCGTGGACGAAATTGTCGATCAAGAGCATGTGCAGGAACGCGTCCAAGCCTTCACTGGCTATCTCGTGCTGGTAGACACCTCCACCTACGTCCAAGAAGGTCGACAGTGGAATACCTTGCGCGAATTCTTCCACGAGTACTTCCCGGGTTGTGTAATCCATATAAGGATAGGGGAACCAGGCGGTAGTGCGGGATTTGAACTTCTCGCGGAAGATGGCGAGATTCGTCGCTTCGATCCGGAGATCCATCTGGAGCTTCATCATCTCACCAAACTGGTGGACCTCGTCCGGGAGAGACAGCCAATTCATGGTCGGGAGAGCATTGATCAGCGAGGCAAATAGCGACATGATCCTGAGGTCCCTCCGGATCACACGCTCGACTTTAGGATGTAGCACTTTGATAGCCACATAAGACGACGGCACCCGCTGGGGAGTGCTCTTGACCAACACGTCCACGTTTTTCCGAACTTTGCCCCGTAAGCTTTGTGGCTCCGGTGGAAGGGTGCTCTCGACACTGGCCGCCAGGTTTCGTTTAAGTTTTGCTTTGTAGACTTGTGCAATGGCGCCCACGCCTAACGGTTCTTCATAGAACTCCTCGAATATGTCCTCGAATGGTATGCCATGGAAAGCCTTGCTTATCGTCTTTTTGGTGTCGCGCAATGAGTGTGCCGGTGCATTGGAATGAAGAGACGACATGATACTGCACAATTCCGGGGGAAAGATATCGCTGCGTGATGCGGCCCATTGCCCAAGCTAAAGTGACATATCTCCGTAAGCTACCGATTCAACATTGCTCGGTCCAAGGAGAGTACGAGGGAATACCTTGATGAAAGCTGGACCTGCCCTTTCCATCGAGCTGACGAGGAATCTATACCACCATAAAGTCCCAGACCGAACATTTCGACGACCATCGACTCGCCTTCCAAACCAGATAATCGGGGCCGAGATGATAACCGGCAAGAAGAGCATAGCCAGATGAACAAATCGGAAACCTGTAGCGATCGGCTCATATATGTAACTGCACCAGTAGATATACAACGACTGTCGCAATCTTTCCAGTCCCTTTGCATCTTCCGCGACCTGTTTCCTGATCTCCTCGCGGGAGATCTCCAGCATTTGTCTTTCTCGGGTCTTCCCATTCCCGTCGTCATCCTCGGCTGCCAGCTCCAGAAACGCGCCGGGAGTCAGGACAGCGCAAAACGCCACCCCTGTAATCGGTAGCCCTCTTTGGAACCTCTTCCAGCCGTTCTGCGGCCATGGCGAAGGGCGACTATGGTGGAATCGATGGGGCGGAACGAATCGGGACGAAGAGAGTTGCGGGCGTCCACGGCGCAAACAGAAACGGCCGAAGAGGACGGCCGTCCTCATATTCTCATATGGAATCAGCTTAGTGAGGGCTGAAGCACTGAGGAGTGACACGCATTGGCAAATTCGAATAGGGTCAGCCTGTTGAAGTGGGTGATTGACTTGAACGATGGAGAATGGATGGTCAGACAGGTTGATTGACCAGCCGGGCCGGCAATCTGCACGTGCTGGCGAGGCGACGTCATAATCTCCGCGGTTCATCGGCAAGCAGGGACATCATCACGACCCACGCTTCCTGATACAGGGCAGATTATATTTACGGCGCTCCACTTGCGCTTTACTATTTTACTTGTTTTGGTTATTAACAGTATTCTGACACGACCTAGAGCCCCGGCTGTCATAATATGAGGTCGATTTAGGTCAGCTTGGCCGCATTCTTGAACGTGGCTGGTCCCACTAGGACCTACTTCTGCATGCACCTCGACTGTCCGCTCCTCTCGTCACTTGGCTGTCAGAAATTACCTATTCCGGTGGGCCCTAAGATGACAATGTGATTTTGTCCCAAATGGTGGTCCAGTTCTGTGTCCGTGTTGCCACGGAGGCCGAAAACGGCGGAAATTCAACACCTCTCTATTGCGGCCATACTCCCTACTAGCTACTCGCCCTTTTAATATTAAAACGACCCAGCCGTCACCAAAAAAGCCTGTTCTCTTTCTATCTTATACAGTGAATATGTGAAGCCAACATGGGTCGCCCCGGAAAATTGAATGACGAGGAGTCGCACGTTGCGCCGGTTTCACGGTGTCGACCGTGGGTCGCTTTATTGATATGGTGTGGGCTCAGTTATTGCTGCATGGCTCTGGTCTTCGCTGTCGCTTGCTATGCGAAGCCATCTCTTCTCCAGCTTGGGCTTCTCCCCATTTTTGTTCAAACGGGGGCGCCGGCCCCCTTTTACGCATACTCCAAGGGTTCTGGTCAGTTCGCCAAACCCGCGAATATCAAGACGGTTGCTTTGGTGCCGTTTCGCGATCATAAGAGGACGGAGATACTAGACTGTTACCTACAGGTAGGGCTCATCGCCGACCCGATTGATTGTTCTTTGCTAACATGCTCGAAGAGAAACCTCGTAAAGAACCACGGGTTCCTGGATGAAGTGGCCTTCATCCCGCTCACAAACGACACAACAAGCCTGGAATGGCTGACTTCGACGGTTGAGAAAACACCGCACTACTCCCTTACATCATCAGCAGAGGCCACTTCCAAGGCCTCGCTATACATCTGGATTGACGGCGACACCGTTTTCTTCGAAGACCACACGATCCCCACAATCGTCAAAACAAAGCTCGATCACCCAGATTCCCTAGTGGTTTCAGCCAACGTTGTCAACCAAGCAGCGCTCAAAGCTTTGCACAGTCACACCGGCGTGGCGCTATCCTATCTCCCGGAGCTATCGTCCACATCCCAGTCCGGTCCGCTCAGGACCCAGATAGATCAAGAATGGCGCGCATCGCAGCTCCCACCGTGGGAAGGCCCCAGCGACTTCAAGGTCCAAAAGGGATTTGTAGCGCCGTTCCAGAACCACCGCTGGCTCCGTTCGGGCGATTACGAAGGCGACCGGACACCGATTGGCACGTCGATGTACAGCGACGAGGGGCCCGGGCTGGACCACTGGACGGTCAGCGCCCAGCAGCATTATTCTTTCCTTCACCACTTGGAGCTGGACGGTCTGCACCATTACAAGTTCCCGGTGTGGAATAACCCCAAGGGGGCAGTGAGCCGGAACTTTCTGTGTTTCGAGGGTGGGGATGCTAGTGTCGTTCCGTCTCTCATTGAGCACGGTAAATTGGACGAGCTGTCATCGGAAACATGGGAAGACCACATTCATAGCCATGTAATGATCGATGGGAAGGGGTTGGCTGCGCATTACTCCGCTGGGGATCTCGAGGGGCTTGATTCTACTGATGTACTTGAACGGTATCGGGCCTATGCTCAGGAGATGGTATGCCCAGAGCTACTTGGTCCCGGAAGTATCGGGGACTAGGTTTGGATACAAGAGGATTTGTACTGTCTTTTTTTTTTTTTTTTTTTTTTTCCTTCTTCATATGTCTTTGTCACGGCTGTACTGTAATTGACTATCCAAAACGTGGAATTCCCCGCTGGTGCCCAGTTCTATAGACTGATATATTATCTATACCATCCCAACTCAAGCCTGTCTACTCGCCGCCAAGTACCGTGGAATCTGATCGCTCTTGATCTTCTCAATCATATCCCGATGAGACGCGGACAGCGCGTCAGACTGCAAAGGTATCAGAAAAACATGGTCAGTCTGTGGATAGAGAGGAAGGGGGCACAATAGTATCAAGTATCAAAAACTCACATCGCTCTTAGCCAGCTCCTGCACCAGGATAATTGTATTCTCACAATCCTTATTCAATTGCGGATTCTCCGTTTTCTCAGCAGACACAGACACACCCGAGTTAATAGTTTCCTCAAGTATAGGGAACAAATCCATCGTCTCCATGCAGTGGATGACGGCCCCCGCGCCGGGCTTGCGGGACGCCATCAATGCAAGGGCGAACCAGCCCTCGCTGCGCACAACAGGCCACTGTGTCTGGGTGACCATGGCGCCGAGGGGAAGAGAGATGCGCTCGTGCGGACCGAAGAGGCGTTCGTGCAGATCGTCGGCGGGGGTGTCTTGGTCCCGGGACGCTGTTAGGATAGAGCGACACAGGGAGGCGATGATACGGCCGACTTCGATCTTGATCGGGGTTGAGTCTGTCTTTTCGAAAGCGGAGAGAAGCAGTGACAGGTACGTGGCGCTTTGGTCTGACGAGGCTTCGTCTGAGGGGACTGTGGCTAGCACGCGGGAGATATTCTCCTTCGACGAGATAAGTAGCTGTCGTGTGAGACTTATGGCCGCGAATTGCACTTGCGGGACGGTGTCGTAGGCCCACAGGCGCGATATAGCAGGGACGATCCCGGCCTCGCCTAGACGGAGCTTGTTGTCGCCGGCGATTGCCAGGTTCTTCAAGAATCCAAGGGATGAGTGGAGGACGGCGCCGCGCGCGTCGCTCTTGAGGATGTCTATTAATTTCTGGTGGATCTGTAGGTCGCGGACGATCTTCTCGCATGCTTCGTCTGATCGTGCTAGGTTGCCTAGCATGACGCAAGAACAGATCTGGAGCTGGTCGTCTGCTGTTGAGAGCCACGATGCCAAGGTCTCTGTGAGAGGGGAGTCCAGCGGATACACCGTTGTGAACGACGGGGAGGAGGACACCTCTGATAACGTCTGGTTGATCTTCAGTTGCAGTTGTGCCAATGTCTGGATGTCCTCGTCAGAAGCGTCGGTCCTGATGGTGATTGACCGTTGAAGGATGGACAGAAGATCAGGAACCATGTGCTTTGAGATGCAGGCTTCTTGGAATCTAGCATTCTCCAAATACGCCATGAGACAATTGACCAGGGAAGCAAAGTGCATGGGTTTAGCAGTCGCAGTCGCATCAAGTGCAAGCGCGGTCAAGAGGGAAATCGTCCCAATTGGCAAGTTCTCGATGCTTTGTTCTGTAGATCTTGTTAGCAACCAAGTCGCAACCAAAAGAAAAGCCCATACCTTGCTCGCCAGTCAGATCTATAAGCTCGTAGACAAAGTCAAGGAGCGCTTCATTTTCCTTGAACACCCCCTTGGTGATCAGGCTCAGTAGGATATATACTATTCTGTTCGCCGCCAGCTGGGCCTGGGCAGGCTCTACAACCTTATTAGCACATATTGTTACACTTGAGACACGGTGGCGCTTACCGTAGTCAATGCACGTGTTGTATACAACAGGGATGACCACATTGATAAGTTCGGGATTCAGCGAATGCCGGACAATCGCTGCGGTATAGTTACCATCCACGACCAGGGCTCTATTTTCATCTATACATCGTCAATATGGGTATGCTACCACAAGAAAGGTGGTAAAGCTCTCACCCGCGTCAGCGCAGGAATTCCCAACCAAGCGCAAAGAATGAAGAATCAAGCTATTATCAATAGCTTCATGCGAAGCGATAAGCTGCAGGAAGAAGCCCAAGATCCCCGCACGCCCGTAGGAATACCGCCAAGAAGCTGTAAACGGGTTAATAACGGATATAGTCACACCCCCCCCCCCCTTTGCTTCGTCTTCTTTCTTTTCGCGCCGCAAGGAAAGGATACAAGATACATACAGTTTCTGCTCCCGTTGGCCAACAATTCCGCAGCTTGAACCATCAAAGGGGAACCGCATGCCCACAACTTATCTAGGATGCCCCGCACTGTCTCAAAATCCGGGCCTACCTGGGCAGAGGATGTGGAGTCCAGAGCGTCAGAAGCCTTTGTGATTTGGCCTCCTGCTTCGGCATTTCGCAAGACGTCCTGCAAGGCACTCAAGAGAGCATCTTGCTCTTCTAGTGGGAGAGACTCCGATCCGCTCGGTGCTGCAGCTGGCGGTGATGGGGCCAATGACGAGATGATCACGTCCAATGAGGGGCTATCCATGTTGGATGGGTCAACACCGACATCAACGCCAGTGGACTCCCGGGGCGTCTTTGTCGCATCTTGGGCGCCCGTTGCTTCCCGAGTACTCATGCTGACCGGTGAATTGACGGCAGAGGAAAGATCAAGCAAGAATCATGCGAGTGAGGAAGAATCGCGCTGTGTTGAGGGATTGCCAGTACTATCAGCTTCGATGTGACAAGTCTATGCCCCACCCCACTCCGAAGTAATGGTTCTAGGCGAACAATAAGCTTCCCCTTTTATGGTCTGGGTCTGTAGGCTAGATTCAACCTGGATCACCCATTTGGCAGATATTCTCAGGTATTGTCTCAGTGTTATTATCTTTCTTTTTCGACTTCTATAGCAGAGTGTGAAAGAAAAGAACAATATCCTTGTGAGAAGTTACAGGGAACGTGGACTGCACTGACAGGGATGGTTCTTGCCTCAGGCATTAACAACGCCTCAGGCTATACATGGTTATGTAATCATCTAATCAGAATACACTATTATCATTTCTTACAGAGTACCAGGGGCTTTGATTAGGGATATTTCAGTCAACAGACCAAAGCTTAAATTTGTATTTAAAAAGAATCCATAGAGTAGAACATTCACATATGCAAAGTTGGGTAAGTTTCCCTATAATCGTCTATAGTAGCTTGGATGTGGCTACGGGAAGCGTGACGGCCACGGGGCGCATTCAGGAGCTAAACATGGGTGGTGTCCGCGGACAGCCTCTACTCCGTACCTTCTCCGACTCCTCTTTGCTTTACATATTCACCTATACACTCCTTTGCATTGAATTCACAAGCACCCAATTGCTTGCTGCATATTTTCCATTGATTCAATCTAGCAACCAAAAAAAACCAACCTTCAATATGACGCGCGCCCAGCAGACGATCTCGGTTCTCCTGCTCGTCTCATCAGTATGGCAACCTGACTATGCGCAATCAAGTCCACTAGCTAACCTCTATATCCTGAATAGCTCTACCTCGTTCTCTACCTGGGCCTGGTTCCCCTGAACACCACCATCCAAAAGGAGGTCATCCCAGTTGTACGTTACACTCCCGGCAGAGTCCCCTCCCTCGTACGAGCACTTCCGACTAACACGCGCCACACTGCGCAACTAGTTACCGTTCTACGCCCTGATCTGCTTCGGGTGCTATCTTCTCGGTCGATTGGGGTTGGCGATCTTAACGTTCAACGATGTGCCCGAGGCGCACCGGGAGCTGCAGAAGGAGATTGAGCAGGCCCGGACGGAGTTGCGCAAGGTCAATGTCGATGTTGACTAGAGGGTTGGCGCTCGCTTCTTAGGTCAATTGATTGAGCGGTCTATCGAGGGCTTTTGTTACTGGGAGTCTCGTCTGTGCACTACTTGCGATATTATACCCGAGGTCTTGGAAGTTTTCATGTGTGACAGCCGAAAATAAGGACAATGAGCTGGCTGGCATTTGCGTTCGGTTTGAGTTGGGGGATATAAAGGGGACGGGCGTGCTTGCGGGTTCTCTTAAGCTCGTCCAGTGGCACAGCACGCATCACTCCCCGTCAATAAGCCTTCTACAGTGAGACCAGATGCCAATGCCGCACAATCACCTTATCTGAATAACCAGAACTCTTCATGAGTCTGAATCTGTGGTCTTCTTTTATTCTTTATACCCTAATCACCTACATACCAGGCCTTAATCAAAGCGAGCCAAGATCCTACCAACTGCAAATGCAAAATAGCTTTTCTCTATCAATTACCATCAATGAACATCATTCGTAACGTGGCACGTTCGCCCTAACTCCTTCGAGCCCGAGAAAACATAACCATTTTTGTAACTCCCATGGAAGCAAGAGAGCATACGAGAGCAAAGACCCCTCAATATCATCTCAAATGAGCGGGTTCTCCTTGGCCAGGCGGTCGTGCTCTTCGATATCCCTGTGGTTGACCTAGTTAGCGAATGGACACTCTTGGACCTAGCGAATGACTTACTTGGCTTCCCAAGGGTAGCAGATCCACACGTCGTCGGTCGTGACCGAGGCGTGGTAACGACCAGTCTCCATCATATCCGTGGGCAGGGAGCCCTTCTTCGGCTTGTTCTTGTTCTGCGGAAAAAGTCAGATAAGACAACGTCCCCAACGACAAAAGCTTGAGAAACATACGTGCAGAACGAAGACAAAGAAGTTGGTCTTCTCGCCCTCCCGACCAAGCTGCTTCTGCGCAAGCTCGACATCCTTCTCGAGCTCACGGACGGCATACTCGAGCGTCGTCCGCGTGTCGTCGACCTCATCGACGATGAGAATGTTCTTGCCGATCAGGTTGGCCATCTCCAGCGAGCTGAGATCCAACCACTGTGTGCGGGTGACCTTGGTACCGGGGACTTCCTCGGCGTCGCCGCGACCGAGGTCCTCGTAGAGGGACAGGCCGATGGCCTGGATGGGGATGTTGGGATCACCCTGGCGCTTGAGGAAGGACCTGCACGCACGATAGAGTCAGGGTCCGGTCCTATTGTATAGTGTGGTATCGCTTGACGTACCGGAGGATGCGAGCGGGGACGTAGCCACCGCCGCCGATGGCGATCATGAGGTTAGGGTGGAAGGCATTCAGGATCTGGTTGGCAGAGGTTTGACATAATTGGTGCACCTGTCATGATGGCAACAATGGGCTGTCAGTTGTTTGATCATTTGGCCGTGGGTGAAACATGCGAGCCCGCAGTATGGGCGCATCACAACCTCGACGGTCAGGCGGGATTTGGCATGCAATATGTATTACATTACACACCCAGACCCGAAAGGGTTGTCGTGAAATCCATATATGAAATATATGTGTTCGGATTCAAGGTGCGCGGCATACCTGGTTGTAGGTGACATAGACTTTTTGAACCATTTTGAAGGGAAAGTGACGAGTATAGCAACTCAGTGGGGAGAATAGAGGATAGAGACTACCTTCGTAGTTTAGAAAACAGATAAGGGCCAAAGACCGAGAAAAAAGAAAGAAAAGGAAGAAAAGAAGAGAAAAAGAAGAGAGAAAAAAAAAAAAAAAATATCAAGAGAAAAAGATCCAAGTAGATTAAACCAAGAGGGAATCCACTCACGAGGGGTAAGAAAAAAACGAGAGGGTATAAAAATTATCTGCCTGCGACAACCACTACCACTACCACCACTACCACATTATCGAATAAATCAGAGTATGGGACACACAAGAGCCTTTTCCTCATTCGGCACTGGAAATAGATCCAGGACCTATCATTACTACGACACTCCCCACTTGCAACGGAGGCCATGCCTTTTTCGGTATTGATTCTACGGCCCGCACAGGATGGAGTCCACTTCCTTCTGGGAGGCAAAAATTGCTTGAAATGGAGGGAAAATATCAAAATAATGGAAGGGCAAGTAGAGAATGTGTGAGAGAAAGAGTTTCGGATGTTTTTGACTTCAAACTTTAAATACCTATCCAGTTCAGGTCAAACAGGAGTCTGCCCACCTGCAGAGTCAGGCTTGATCTGGTTGATCTCGAAGCCACCCTCGTCCTTATCCTCACCTTTCTGGGGCCACAGAATCTGGCGCAACATAATGGCCCGAACCATCTTGTAGAAGACAAAAATGTACATGAATATGAGAGGGAAGATCATGGCACACCCAACAACCTGGATCGGTTGGCACGCGAAGGCATTGCCGATGGCAAAGGTGGCGGTGATTAAGGCAGTATTGGGGAAGACAAATGAGTACCAACCCATGGAGAATACCAACCGCCCGGGCCCTATCACGGACAGATGGGCAAAGCTTGCTATGAAAAAGAAGAAGATCGCTAGCCTGGATGGCGTCAGTGTCAATGCTCTAATGTTAGGTTTGGTAACGGTGACCTACCCCCATAGCCACAAGCACGCGAAGTTCGCAACCACCTTGATGACATTCGCAGCTATAGCTCCGTTGCCCATGAAATCCCCAGGGAAGCAACGTTCTGCATGGGCCGCCATGTTGACCACTCCCGCGACGGTGAAGGCACTGGGTCCAACAGAGACGAACATCCCTGGACGGACGTTCTCCCTGGGTAGCTTTTGCGACATCAATCGGTATATAAACGCCGAGTATACCATTAATGAGACCAAAAACCCAATACCCTGTATGGTAGCTCCGCCGATAATGATATCAAGTGAACGAGTAGGGTCGAGCTTAGCGCTCAAGATCCCAGCGTGTGGGCCGATGATAAGCATCGGATATGCCGGAAATATCCATATCGGAGTCATCTCAGCGATCGTAAATGTCTGGGTAGACCAACTACTCGTGATAAGTTACTAGATGTCGGCCGGGTCTGGAGATTGTCTTGCTTACAGGAGGAGATAAATTCCACCGGAGAAGATGACCGCAAGGGCAGCATCGATCCAAAACAGTATGCCCACGGCCTGTTCAAGCCAAGGGCCCGTGTGGCTTGGCCCATACTGGGAGATGTTGATCAGAATCGTTCCGAATGACACCACGGATGCCGGGACGAATAAGGATTCTGTCGGATGCAGAAAGGACGCTTTGAAGGTATAGGGGAAGCAATAAAATCGCGCGATGAGCAAGCCCCATATGATAATATAGAATACTATATTGAGCAGGAAGAAAATGATGCCTATCGTTTCCAATCCGGGGAATCTATAAGGAACTGCCATCGGGTCAGTGTGTCTCGCGTCTCTGTGGGCCTGTGCCGGTTACCATTGTATATAACGTTAGCGATACCCCCAGTAGCCATGGTCAACGTGAAATAGGCCCATGTGAAATGGCGAATCCGATTCTTCCAGCTGAGCTGATCGTCTACCCAGGCGTTTCCACTGTGGTGAGCGATCTTGGCATCTAGATCACTGCATCCCGATCTGCATGGAGAATGGCGTAGTGCCTGCAAGGCTGAAGAATGCGCCACACGCACCCTGGCACTCGTTGATTGGTGAAGGGAATTGCCGTGGCTTGTATCAGTGAGGTGTTCTTGGGAATCGCCGAAGGCAGGAGTACGATACCCCTCTCCGGGATACCTCAAGTGTCTGGGGCCTGAGCATTCGCGAGACATTGTCGATCCAGGAGGGATAGCGTGAACATGATTCGAGACTCGAGAACCAATCCACTGTGTTCGTCGAACCAGGCGTTATTCTTGCAGCCTTTTATATCGCTTTCACCAGCACTTCCTCCGCGCTTTCTCACTATGGATATCTTTGCCCTTGTCGAGATTTACTTGGAAAGCGACGTAAGAGAATGCAAGGGACATTCCAGGGGTAAAAGGGGGAATTCTCCGACTGGTCAACGCAGTATGATCTATACTCAATGTCAGGACGCTGATCGCCATTGGCTCAATTCCGCAGAAATGAGCTGCCTGTTCATGCATACGTCTTAAAATATGTTGCGCGGGGGGTACAATGACGACAACAGACAGGAAAACAAAAATAGCAGTCGACGCAATGAAATCATAAGAATGCTAGGTAGTTGAGTCTGAACTCACCTCTCAATCAAGACTGAAGCTAATCGCCGATTTCGACCTGTCAATCGTGTGGCCGGTACACCTCAGCGCTCCATCATGTCTCAAGGGATCATGATCTGGAGATGAACCAGAATATAATAAATACATTTCCCCGCCACCTCGACGACCAAAACGCGACCAACTCGGGTATCGGCACGACGCCGGGACCTCCAGGGAAGATGGGGGCCTGTTTTCGCGGTGGGGGAGCGGGAACAGAAGCCAAATCAATCATCAGCCGGGAATTGGCTGGTCAAGGTTTGACAGCACTTACCCGATGCATGATCGTGCATGAGATAATTGACAAAAAAGTACGTCTCCATTGATCGTCAGTATTCGAGTGGTGAGTACGGAGTACGGAGTACATATCCTACCTTTTAGGTATCCTCATTCCACCATGATTCTCTGGAATACCAACATGAATTAACATAGGTGAAATAGAATGTTTAAGATTGTACTTGGTTCTCAGTTGTTAATATTTGGCTCAACTACGAGATATCCGGTACCCCAGATATAAGCAGACAATCATGCTTATCAGTCGGTGCATGAGTATACCAGTTGATACTGAGTACCGACCCAATGAACCAGGACGGGCGCCTGCAGTCTGCATTCAGGTCGCATGAACTGATTGATATGTCTCTGGCTCGTGCTATATTGTCTTCTTTATTAGGAGCGACATGGATAGAATTACCGTTAATTTCCCGACAGACGCAAGTGAAAGTGGGGCTGACCTTCAATACTACACTGGTTGCGTCTGCCGTAGTGAGTCTCAAGCCACAATATCTTATCACGACTCCCGTCCACGGTCAGCGCTGAATATCCGAAAGAAGAATAGTCGGTTCCATTAAGCTGAGGTCCATCCAAGTGGGGACCGAGGTACATGGAGGTTACTAACCAGCACCATGCACACACTTTCTACCTACCTTGACTATATGACGTTCTTGTTCTGACATGCCAGAAGCAACCGCTTGAAATCAGATTCCTGGTGATTTAATTCAACTTCTTCATATTGATTAGCTTGCGCTTGACTCCGCGAGGTTCCAGCGAGAAAGTGGGGAAATGGCACTCTCAACCGATAACCGCAAGTCGGTTCTGATTACGGGGTAAGCTCTTGCTCACTTTTTAAGCTACCCACAGCATATTTCCGTCCGGATGAATATTTAACTTTGGCTTCAATATGCGATCAGATGCTCTCCAGGTGGTATAGGAAATTCGCTTGCGCGCGAGTTCCATCGACAGGGCTTGCGGGTGTTTGCTACTGCACGTGATGAAGTAGCGCTGGGAGACCTCGCCGCGCTGGGTATCGAGACGCTGAGTCTGGTCGTGGATGATGAGCTCAGTGTCCAGCTTTGTTTTGCAGAGACCGAGAGGAGACTGGGGACGAAGGGTCTGGACTATTTGGTGAACAATGCGTGAGTGGTCTCCAGACTGGATTCAAGATGCAATGCTAACTCAATTTCAGGGGACGAAGTATGTCGCTCTAGCATGATTCTCTTTCCGATCCAATGTTTCAACTGCTCATCAACTACAGACTATACCGTTCCTGCCATGGAAGTTGACCTGAACGAGGCACGCACAACTTTCGAAACGAACTTCTTCTCGGTCATCTTGATGTGCAAAACGTTTCTACCGCTTCTTATCAAGTCCAAGGGCACAATTGTGCAAGTCGGATCCATTGCTGGTGTCAGTATCTTTGGAACTTGCCCATTGCCCACGACACGATGCTGAGACCCATTCTGTTCTAGGTCATCCCGTATGTGTTTGGATCGGTATACAATGCCTCGAAAGCGGCACTGCACTCTTTCAGTGACACCCTGCGCGTGGAACTGGCTCCATTCGGGTAGGTCCTACTTCTATTTGACCACAATCGTGTCTACTCACGTCAAACCATCTAGCGTGAATGTCACGACGATTGTCACCGGAGGCGTGCAGTCTCGAATCGCTCGTACCAAGCGGACCCTCGCTCCTGGCTCACTATATGGTCCAATCGAAAGTGAATACGACCGTCGGGTGACGCACAGTCAAGACGGTGCCATGCCTCACGCAGCATATGCGCGGAGCGTTGTCGCGCAGATCTTATACGGAGCTGCTCCATGGCGCTGGCTGTGGCCGTGGGCGCAGGGCCGCAAGAACTGGATCTGGGAGGGCAACAAGAGCTGGCTGATTTGGTTCTTGGTTGGCGGGTGGGCATGGAACGGTCTGTTCCAGCGCATCTTTACAAAGATGTTCCAACTGTACCGGTTGCGCAACACCATTGGGAAATAGGACGAACGGAGTAGTAGGCCTTGAACCTGGTGGGATGTCACTTCCCTGCAAACGAGATCATTCTATACCACTCCTGTGCTTGGCTATCTAGCAAGACCTCGAGATGTACAGATACTCGGTAGTCGGTACAAAGTGGGTATTGAGTGGGTATGATTGTTTTATTGATACGCGGCATATATATGGGTAAATTTCACAACCTTAATTCGGTATGCGCCATAAAAACTTGTCGGTATCAGTCCGTTTAAACTATTTGCCGAGTTACTAGTAGTAGTACCCCATAGTAATGCAGAGTATGGTAAGAAAGGGGTTGAACATGGCTGTTCCATTACCTGAGCATTCAATTGAATATACAGATTCACAATTGTAGCTCTAGATATCATATCAAGACATCTTTCGTCAACAAATAGCTGGAGATACTCCGTACTGGTCAGTCTGGTACAGATCTGAATGGACCAAGCTTACCCGTGCGGTATCAAGATCGGGACGGTATCGGCTGAGTCATCCCGAGACAGCCAAACTGGCCTATCAGATGGTCTCCTCCCCCAGGCGGTCAGCACAAACACTGACCGGATCCCGACCAGCGCAACCGTGAAAAAAAGAGAGAAAGCTCAGGCTGTTCCCCTGTCTGGCTCTGGTGTCAACATCGGTGTGGACTGCCTTACCTTACCTAAACCTCACTTCCCACTTCACCCCCCTCTCTTCTCTCTTCCCCGGCTGCACGTCACTTCTCCCCTTCTTTTTGTCTTCGTGTTGTTGAAGAGTCTCAGTGTAGTCCGAACTCATCTTTATCTCTGATTTCGTTTTCTTCTATTTTTCCCTTCTTACCCCATATCCATCATGTTCAAGCTCGCCCGCAGCAGCAGGCCCATCGCGGCAGCTTTCAGAGCTGCGACGGTAAGATTCCATGGACTGCACTCGCTTCTGGCGCATTGTGTCGATTGAAATAGTTGCGGTGTACTGACATGCTTTGCACTTGCAGGGCCCTTCCATCCCGTCTCGCCTGGGTCAGCAGCAGCGAAACCTATCCATCCACGAATACCTGTCGGCAAACCTCCTCAAGTCGGTACGGCTAATCCCTTTGGCGCTGTATACGTTGTGGGTGTTCAAGTGACTAATGTGTTTGATAGTATGGCGTCGGTATGCCCAAGGGAGAGGTCGCTCGCTCCGGCGAGGAAGCTGAGGCCATTGCCAAGTCTATCGGTATATCTCCCCCTCCAATCACCTATAAGAACGGATGCTAAGAGATGGTGTTTTATAGGAAACGATGATATGGTGATCAAGGCCCAGGTTCTTGCTGGTGGTCGTGGCAAGGGTCACTTCGACAATGGCCTGAAGGGTGGTGTGCGCGTCATCTACTCGTGAGTTTGTTTTGGATCTTTCGCGCCAATCTGCGCTTCCAGCACTCGTGCTAATACGGACTACGTCTCCAGGCCTACCGAAGCCAAGATGTTCGCCGAGCAGATGATCGGCCACAAGCTCATCACCAAGCAGACCGGCGCGGCTGGCCGTCTGTGCAACTCCGTCTACATCTGCGAGCGCAAGTTCGCCCGCCGTGAATTCTACCTTGCCATCCTGATGGACCGTGCATCGCAATCCCCCGTCATCGTTGCCTCGTCGCAGGGCGGTATGGACATTGAGACGGTTGCCAAGGAGACCCCCGAGGCCATCATCACCACCCCCGTCGACATCAACGTCGGCGTCACCGACGAGATCACCACCAAGATCGCCACCGACCTCGGTTTCTCCGAGCAGTGTATCCCCGAGGCCAAGGATACCATCCAGAAGCTGTACAAGGTCTTCATGGAGCGTGATGCCACTCAGATCGAGATCAACCCTCTGTCGGAGACTTCGGACCACAAGGTCATGGCCATGGATGCCAAGCTCGGCTTTGACGAGAACGCCGAGTTCCGCCAGAAGGAGGTGTTCTCGTGGAGGGACGTGACCCAGGAGGATGCTGATGAGGTCAAGGCTGCCGAGCATGGCCTGAACTTCATCAAGCTGGACGGTGACATTGGATGCTTGGGTAAGACAAAATGAGGCCGGTGGTTCTGTCATATATGCTGACCAATTGCAGTCAACGGTGCCGGTCTGGCCATGGCCACCATGGATATCATCAAGCTCAACGGTGGTAGCCCCGCCAACTTCCTGGACGTCGGTGGCGGTGCCACCCCCGCGGCCATCAAGTCGGCTTTCGACCTCATCACCAGCGACCCCAAGGTCTCGGCGATCTTCGTCAACATCTTCGGCGGTATCGTCCGCTGCGACGCCATTGCCCAGGGTCTGATCCACGTTGTGCAGGAGATGGGTCTGAGCATTCCCATTGTCGCCCGTCTGCAGGGTACCAACATGGAGCAAGCCCAGAAGCTGGTATGATCCTAGCATTCTCGATGATGAAAGAATCCCGAAGCTAATAATGTATAGATCAACGAGTCCGGCCTGAAGATCTTCTCCATCGACGACCTCCAGAGCGCCGCCGAGAAGTCCGTCCAGTTCTCCAAGGTCGTCAAGATGGCCCGCGAGATCGACGTGGGTGTGGAGTTCACCCTTGGAATCTAGGCTTCGAGCTTTATTCTAGTGTTTCCTACCCAGCGATCCGTTACCGTGCCTCTTGCATTGAACTTTTTATACTGTTTTTTTTCTCTTCGCCAATACTGAGAGGGCCAACATGATGGTCGGGATGGAGTAGTTCGTGGGTCTAGCAGACCCCATAGATCCATGATACGAACAGTTCTGCTGTGCAGAGGAATAATTTGATGAAGAGTGGAGAGTACTGGGTGGAGAGCGTTGAGTTGAATCTGTACACTGTTGGATGTGTCAAGATAGCTGGAATTATTATAGAGCATTGATTCTGTATATTGTTTTGCCAGGTGATTCTTTCATTTATTTATTTCCTTTCTCTTCCAACTTCCAATGCAGGATGCCAGACAGGATAATAAAAGCATGTCATTATTCATCCAAGCGTACATCTATCAAGACATATGTACACTATATCCAAAAAAAAAAAAAAAAAAACCAAATCAAACCCCTCACCAACCCCAAAAGAGCCCCCCTCCCCAAACGACCAAACCTTCAACCCATTCCCATCCGCCAGCAGAACAGCCTCCTCATCCCCAAACAACTTCAAATCCCCCGCATAAGAATACACCCGCCCCGTCGCCTCCCTCGGCAGCCGCGAATCCATCGCCAGCGCCGGCCTATGAGGCACCATTGACCCCGGGTTCGAGATCCAGATCGTGGGCTTGCCGTTGTCGTTCTTGAGGTAGTAGAGGAGGCCCGCGGCGGGGGACGCCATACTGAAGGGGACGAAGGGGGAGTGTTCTGCTTGGAAGGCGTGGATGGTGTGGGTGTCTGGTTGGGGGTGGTAGGATATGACGAGGAGGGTGCGGGAGGATGAGGCCGTCACGTTGTGGTCGAGGAGGGGCGGTTGTCGGCGGATGGAGAGGATGCCGAGGCGGTTGTTGAGTCGGAATTGGGCGAGGCTATCGGGGCTGATGCTGTATGAGGAGTTTGGGGTGGCGGTTGGGGGCATTATGTTGAGGGGGAGGGTGGAGGTGGTGGTAGAGGGGGGTGAGGTATTGTTTAGTGTGTGGCGTGTGATGCGCAGCTGAGCTGGCGGGTACTCGAGGTTTGGGTCGAGGTTGGTGACGATGAGTGTGTTTTTGGCGGGGTTGATGTCCATGGAGACTAGGTTTGAGCCGATTTCGACGGTCTGGCAGGTAAGTGATGCTACGTTCCAGACCATGGCGACGTCGCTGGAGCGGGGGGATGTCTCTGACGGTCCGAGGATGATGTAGTCCCCGCGGGCGGCGTGAATGCGCCAGTGGCAGGAGGGTAGGCGGATGGACGCGGTGTTGTGGGTGTTCAGGGACCAGGCATGGCAGTGTCTGTGGTTTGTCAGTGGGACTGATCTATACAGATGAAAATAGAGGAAGTTAACATACCCCCGAATTGTGATAGCAGCGATGAAAGATTCAGAGAGGCGTAGGTTGACGAACGCCTCGCGGTTCTCCGTGCAAAAGGACTGGGCCGTGTTGGACCGGAGACTGTAGACGTCGACGGACTCGCCGGCCAGCCATGCATATCTTCCATGCGCGTAGTCGAGACATGGGTGGTCGGGGGCATCGGGGAAGGGGGGCTCCGGGAGCTGGGATTTGGAACAAGGCTGCCCGCGCTCTAGACGGATTCGATGTTTGGAAAAGCGGACGAAGTCTGCTTGGGGCTGGGCTGTTTGGGAGCTGCTGCTCTGTCCGGTGTACTTCTGGATGAGAATGCGTCGGACCATGCTGAATGTCAAGATTGACATCCATTTTTTGGAAACCTGTTTGGTGATCGTTAGCTCGTGGACATGATTCGGAGGTTATCATGTAGATAGGGAGGGTCTACCCTCTGGAGAACATGGAGGTCCGATAAATCCAGATATTTGGCAATCTGGACGGCAATCTCGGTGGGTACACTCCCTAGGATGTCTTTCTGGAAGGTCACCGTGCCCACCCGTTCCTGTACGTCACGCCATTCGTGAGAGGATAACCGGTCGAGAAGACCACGATATCTGTCAGTGTCAGTACTTGATGGTCGAACAGGACCACAGGGGGGTGGTTGCTAGGTAGAGCCTATACACATACGCTGCGCGTCGAGCTGGAATCGTCTGCAGCGAGTCAAACTGACTGAGGAGGTGTAGGACTTGAGAGTCCATATCTGCCATTCAACGTGGGTACTATGATCTATGTATGGTGCTAGTTCATGGTCAACTGGGTTTGACGTAGATGTAGTTGTTGGATATATTCATGCACTTGGATAGGATGTTTATAGGAGTGGAGTCAGTCAGTACGAAGGGTATCAGACGGCATAAAGGTGAAGGGATTGAGTGATATACAACGCAAGTTATATGGGATGTGGAGAGACTATGAGGTGCGTGGTCTTAACCTAACAGCGTGATGCCAAGACTGTCTCTGTTCTTTTTTTCTTGTATTCGAAGATTGGGTTGTTTCATCAGCCATATTTATCTTCTTGTATATTTATCAACACCTCATACTAACAAAGACCTATCGGGATAAAATCATCTTTGGGCGTTTGACCAAGGTAGGTTCGTCTATAGGTCTCAAATATTGACTGTAATCGCCAGATATACAGCATGAAAAAGCATGAAGATAGCTGGTCGTCCAGCATCAACAGGCGTATTGGAAGCAAACCCATATTCCCCCGGAGAATATTATCCTACTCCAACTTTACTCGCTGCTGGGCGTGGTTTCGCGGGGTTGGGTAAAGCGTCTAAACTCATGTCAAAATCGTGTTGAGTGAAAGCCATGCATTAGAATTACCTTTCTGCGACCTCTTTTTTCCTAGTCCCTGAGCTACGATCGTATTCGTGGACTTCCACGAACCCAGTCTGGCAACATGTGTCTTGCGGTGGGCTTACCTTAACGAAAATGACCATACGTCTTCTTCCCTGTGATCCCTCGAGGAGGAGATCAGCGTCTCCTTTCAATTGTCCATGTTTCCGAGTGACCGGGTCCAAAGCACGCTGGGCCATATGTCCTCCATTAGTCCATGCTAATCTGACAGAGAGCCTGTAGACGACATACCTTTAGACAAGCGGCCACTGAAGCCCTTCAAGGCGTACCCTCATCCCAACTCGCCAATTGTTGCACCAATCAAGCTGTTATTGTCCGTGTTAGAATTTACATGCAATATATGGGTCAAATATAAACCTACTGGGACTTGGTTGCTCCAATAGCGAGGCAATATCTGTACAATCTAGTCTCATTGGACTCGATCACAAGTATTGGCTGCAAGGTCGTGATGATTCTTGCGACGCATGGTGTGTAATGGACACGAGGTATCAAAGGTACAAGTCACAGGAAAGAGGCAGAGTAAGACCATGAAATGTTGAACAGCTAGAGATTATGATATAAAGAAGAAGAAGAAGAAGAAGAAGAAGAAGAAGAAGAAGAAAAGCAATGTTCTTGATACAGCTCGGTCCATGATCATACACCAGCTGATTTGATATAGTAGTGAATATACCAGTGATATCTCTATACTTCCACTGACTAGGCATGATAGTCAGTAATCACTGTACGCTGTGAATACAAGGAGTTACTTGGCAGTATGTACCTTAGTATACTATCGTATTTGACTATATATTATTTATTATTGTTCTGATATGAATAATATATATATCTCTAGTATATAGGTAGTAGATCACTAGAGATATATATTCTACATATGGTGTAATTAGTTTCGGCTGTTCCCGGATTGAAAAGATTAAACTTTACAAGAACAGACTCAACACCAGAAATCGAGATCAGATAATGGATTAGAATTGAAGAGTCTGGATTAACTGTGATGAGTAGGAGTGAATTTGTCAGGGGATAAAAGGGGGAATTCAATAATACAAAATAAGAAATAAAAGAGACCCGCGAATCCAAGACCAGTAAAAACCAAGGATAATAAACTAGAAGAATCAGAAGAACCTGAATAAAAGAAGAATACATGAATAGAATAGAATGAGATCTGCTTCTTGGCTTCGACTCCGTGACTTTCATTCATTCATCCTTTTCCCACGCGTCTTCCTCCACGAGCTGTCTTTTTCCTCATCTCCATCTACTCCCTCTCTCTCCTTTAATTGCTCCCCTCCTTTCTTATTCATCCTCTTTCTTCCTCCTCCACTCTTCCGCCTCGGTTTTGCCACTCTCGTGATCCCATCGAGATCAACAATAACAAGATCATCAATAACCAGGTCACTACAACAGGGATACCCAACAATCCATCCAGTCAACTCAATCCAGACAGACCGGGACAGAAAAAGAGATAGAGAGAAAGAGAGAGAAAGAGAGAAATCTCCTCTCCAGCTGCGGCCGCTGGCCGTTCTCCCCTCTCCCCTCCCCCCCCCTGGTCTCTTCTCCGCGCGACATGAGTAGTCTCGCCGACTTCCCCTCCAGAGATCCCGTCTTTTCTGGTCCGTCCCATGCGCCGGGCAACACACGCAAACTCCCTGTCCTGAATTCCTCCGTGCCTGCGACGTCCTCTCCGTTGATGCGTGACCCCATGGACTCCACTCCTTCAGCTTCTGCCGCCGCGACTTCGGCCGCTCCGCCTCCCGTTCACTCCTCCTCCGACCCTGATCGACCGGGCGCAACCACCACCACCTCCGCCAATGGCTCTGCCGACCTCGCGACCATGAACAACCATGCGCCGTCCAATCAGGCCATCGGGGCCGCCGCTGCTGCACAGCAGCCCAAAGTCGTGCAGACGGCTTTTATCCATAAACTTTACAAGTCCGTGCTCTTTCCCGCTCTTTCCCCCCTGGTCCAGATCTTGGGAGCTCTCTCTCCCGCCCAGTGGCCGTTACTGACCCATCCAAAAGTATGCTAGAAGATCACACAATCCAACATTTGATCTCGTGGTCCAACACGAACGACAGCTTCGTCATGTCTCCCACCTCCGAATTCTCCAAAGTCCTCGCGTACGATGGCCCGCCCCCCTGGACCACTTCCAATCGAGAATATCACTAACGCTATACCTAGCCAATACTTCAAACACACCAATATCTCCTCCTTTGTCAGGCAGTTGAACATGTACGGTTTCCACAAAGGTACGTCGGCCCGGAGACTTACCCCGTATGCCGGCTCCTGACGAACGCAGTGAGCGACGTGTTTCATACTGGGTCCCCGGACTCTGCATTGTGGGAATTCAAGCATGGGAATGGCAACTTCAAGCGCGGCGACCTCATCGGTTTACGCGAAATCAAACGACGCGCATCCCGCCATGCTCTGATCCATCGCGACTCGTTCCCGGGCCATAAGGCGGCCGCGTCGCAGCCTGGTACGCCCGCCGAACCGGTCCCCGATGCCACCGAGGTGCGGTTGATGAACCTCGAGCATTCCCTCTACGACATGCACAATCGCCTCAATCGCTCCGAGGAGGGGAACGTGACCTTGAACAACAGATGTCAAGCCATGGCAGAGAGCTTGACCAGGTGCTATCACGTAAGTTGACGCGGACGCCTGAGTCCTTCGTTCGGCCGATTGATGTTGGTAGTGGACCCATTCGATTTCGCGATTTCTTCAGGGCATAATCCCCGATCGAGAGAGCCTTCTTTATCGGGATGGTGAGCACCCCCCCATCCCCTTCTTTTTCGGTTTTTCCCCCGGCTATATCTAACACCGTCAGTATCTACCATGCAAGCGGAATTGGAAAAGCATCTTGATGCCGTACGAGCCCTCGAAAATATCCCCGACCCCTATTTGTCCGTTCGACCGCCCTTCATCGCCAACGTGACCGAACCCGGTCCTCCGCTCTCCCCCCGCCAGATGCCCCAAGAGGAGTCTCGGAGACCGTCGATGATGATGGACGGAGTGCGACCCAGCGTGTTTCGAGCCCCGGTTCCGCCGCACCTCGCCGTGTCTCCTCGTCGTTATGGCTCCATTGGCGCGCCGAACGCGTCACCCAACTACAGTCGACCGCAGGTGCCCCCGCCCCCTCCGCAACAACCTATCCCCCATCCCTTGTCATCGGTACCAGCCGCGAGCGGCCCCAACCTCACCCGCCGACATACCTCGGCCGATATCCGTCAACACGGCTGGCCGCCACCGGGGATATCCCCGTTCCCCACCGCTCACCACCACGGACCTCCCACCGCTCCGTGGCCCCCGTCGCCGCACCGCACGCCCACATCGAGTGAGCAGCAAGTTCGTGACGTGCTGGCTCAGTACGAGATGGGGGCGCCCCGCCGGTTCCAGGAGTCCCGCCATGCCACCCCCCCGCTGAACCCCGACCAACCCGCGCCCCCTCCTCACATGGAGAACGGGTGGCCGTTAGGGCCGCGGTTTCCCCGACATGATTCATCTCTGCCGGCAACTCGACGGTCGAGCATGGCTAGCAACGTCCACTCCCTCCTAAATCCAGCCGATACCGCCGAACGGCCGGATGAAGACCAACATGCAATGGACGACCGGAAACGAAAGCGACTAGAATAGGAGTATTGTTGCTTTCCAAATGTCTTCAATTCTTATCTTGATTTCTCGGTTGCAGCGTTCTGATGGTCAAAGGACCGACGTTCGCGCAGCACCGACTACTTTCTTTTTCTTTCTTTTCTTCAACTTTATCTTTCTCCCTTCCTTACTCTTTTCTTTTCTCTTCTTGTTTCTCTCTTCTCTCTTTCTTTTTAACCTTCTTTCCTTACTTTTCTTTTATTATATTTTCTTCTTTTTTTCGCTTGGAAAAGTTCATACTATATACACTCGGACTACAGGTCCCGCATGGTGACATTTTAATCCCCATCTCATTGGACACCTACCTTTCCATCTTTGTATCTTGTCCACGTCTCTCGAGGCAGAGAATTTTGTACAATCTACCCGATCCGGCGGTTTTCCTTGTCTTTGTCATGCAGGTGTTATCGAGGCCAGTTACAATAAAGGTCTGCTATATTTAACAGCACAACCAGTGACATGAAAGTGGCAGCTTTCATCACCGTGGGTGGCTTCTCATCTCCAACATGTCTGTCCACTTGGAACTGCGACATCTACTATACTATATACCCTTGGTTGAGGACAGGTTCTTAGGTCAGTCTAGAATCAAGAATGAATGCATTGATTCGTACTACAGTAGTCATCTTTTAATCACTGAATGGGTATATGTTATTGTCCTATACATGTATGAAGACCATCACCGCTTCTTTCTCTTCTTCGACCGGTCTGCCAGAATCTCGTCCAAAAAGCTAGTAGCTTTTTTCCGGCCCTTCGGTCCCGACGGCGCTGGCCGTGCAGATGATGGTTCACTCGGCTGTGTAGACTCCGCACCGTCACCAGAACCAGCCACACCCTCACCATCCTCACCACCACCAGGGACAGAAGTAGAAGTAGAAGGAGTAGTAGAAGGAGTCGACCCCTCCAACCCCCTCTTCCTCCCCCTCCCCTTCCCTCTCCCCGCCCGATTCCCAACAGCAGCTATCCTCCCATCCTCCTCATCATCATCACTCTCTTGTTGTTGCCCCTGTTTATCCGCAGTCCCCCGCGACAACAACCGATCCGACAACGTGCCTGGAACACCCCCATCTCCATTAGTGGTACTGGTCTTGGCAGCCATGACCTTCTTGTAATTCTTCCCTAGAAGCTGTCTGCGCAGTTGGTCGTTCGAGGAGAGCTCCGTGCGGTTCCAGCTTCCGTCCGATGCTTTGCTGGGGAGGGGGGCGCCTATTCCTAGTCTTCATTTACCCGTCTCTATTAGTATAATTTTTTCTCATCGAGAAATGAAAAGGAAAAAAAGAAAGAAAAGAAAAAGAAGGGAAGACAAACGTCTCAGGAACAGCCTTGAAAATCTCCTCCTCCTCCCTCTGTAGCTCCTCCTCGGATTTAACATTCGTGTGCTGTTGTTCTTCGGCTGTTGGGGCGGGAAACCATGATGCGACGAGGCGTTGGCTGCGCGCGAGAGCGACGTTGGCTTTGTTGAGGATTATGTCTGTTTCTGTGGATTGGGTTTGGGCTTTGGAGAGGGCCATTGCTCTTTTCCCCTCTTTTTCTGGGGGCTCTTTTTCTCTCTCTTCTTTTGTTCGTTTGGTGGGGTTCTTGGAATCGGGTGGAATGTATATGTTAGGAAGGATAGATTGCTGAGGACTGGTAGGTTTTTCGTAAATGTATTTGATATCTGATATTGAAGATCGATATTGATGGTTGATTGATATGCGGAAACTTTTGCGATAGCGAGGCGGAGGAGATGGGCAGATTATTTACCGCTTACTTGATGGGTCTAGCACGTACACCTATTAAGGCAGGCATCCGCATTATAGTAAGAAGTTATACTGCAGACAGAGGTAACCACATGCAGCTGCAGCGTAGATCGATATCAACCTGGCAATAATCAATCATCATGTTCATGAATCTATCTATCTATCTATAAGTACATGTTCGAGCACCACCATATATACAATACAGCCCCTATACAAACAAATCTATAATACAGTAGACCAGATATGATATGATATCTGCTCAAGTACGGTTTCGGCCCGGGTATATACTTTCAGGTTCGGTCGTGTAGGCTTCGCGCTGGCTGTCTCGGTAGACGGGGTCGATGTCGCGGTTGATGACCTCGATGACGAGCTCGGAGACGTCTCGGAGGAGCGTGTCGCATGCGAGTCGTGATTCGCGGTCGTCCTCTGTGAAGGCTTTGTTCTTGCGCGTGGAGAGAGCGTCGAAGGCGAGGGAGAGGGACTGATATTGTTAGATTTATTTACAGATTTGAAGGGGGACGAAGGATAGTAAACGAAAGGAAAAGGGGAAAAAATACCTCATCAACGGCCTTGCGGAGCTCTATTAACAATCTCCCAGCTGATGTATTTCCCGAGCCTTCGGTATGAATATCGAAATCCACCCACGAATCCATGCGGATGTTATCTCCCTTTGCTTGGATGTGCCCCCCAAACAGACACGCGGCGAGTGGTGGGACGTGCGAAGTCTGGTGGATCATGAACGTGTTTGGGTCGGACGCAGTAGACCGCTTGGAACCAAAGGCGAACAGAGCCTTCGGGCGCCGGGCATTGACAGACATCTTGGATATGTGCGTCGGTGCTGCATCCTCCGTCCGATAGCTGGACTTTGCGGGCGCCCTAGGCGCGGCGATGTTGGGATGGACGGCTTGAAGCAGTAGTGCCTTGATGAGAGAAACACGCCCGGAATTGACATTCAGGCCGGGCCCTCCGAATTGGAAATCGCTGCTGGAGGAATACCCCCCGCGAATAATACCCGTGTTGCCAAGTGTTCTCACGATCTGTTTGCTGACGTCGAGCATTTGCTGGAACGCGGTAGTGTTGATGTGATTCGCATAGGCAAACGAAACAGCAGCGCCGCGGCCCTTTTGATACCGGATTCTGCGCATCTCCTTGAATGCATTGACCATGCCGATGTAGTCACTCCACGAGTTGTTCGAGAATTTGAGACGGCTATCTAGAGCCTCTTTTCGCTGTGCCACGTCTGACGACATGTGGAACAGACCCTGTTCATTGTCCATTGCGCCTATGATTAGAAGGGGATCGAGGCAGCGGAAGATAACCCCCAGCCATATCAATTTGGCATAGGACGGATCTAGTGGTATGTCGAGAAGCATGTTACCCAGAGGGGTGAGCTCTTCCTGCTCGTCTAACGCGCTCATCCGCTGCAGGCTCTTGATTGACTCGTCCACCATCGCGCCCTCGGGCGGTTCAATGGATTCTTGCAGGAGACTCTGAATTGACGTATAAGCTGTACCAGCGATGGCCTGTGTGGCCCGCAGAGACGTCGCCTGCAGGTTCTCTCGCATCATTGCGGGATACTTGGTGACGCGGAAAGAATCCTGCATCTCCTTGGTGTACAGTGCGATATAGTTCCCCTTCTGGACCCGTCCAGCACGCCCAGCGCGTTGAGCGGCACTGGATTGGCTAGCCCAGCAACAAGCCAGCCGAGACGATCTCGACAGAGGGTCGTACATCTTTTGATGCACCTTTCCTGAGTCGACAACGAATGTAACGTCCGGCACGGTGATGGAGGTTTCAGCAACATCGGTTGTGAAGATGATTCGCCGACAGCCTGCTGGAACTGGTGCGAATAATTCTTTCAACCCTTCTGGCATAGTAGCATGCAGCAGTACAACCCGATACCGATCTCTATCGAGGAATTGAGATCCCAATAGATCACCATTTCGTTTAAAGATATCGGAAGCTGCTAAAAGATGGCGCATGCCCGGTAAAAACACCATGATAGAGCCCTCCTTGGTGGTTGATAAGATGTAGTAGATTACAGCACTTATCAAACCAAGGGGAACGTTGGGATCTTCCTCTTTCAGAATTGCATCGGCTAGCTGTGGTATGGTCTGGCCCTCTACAGGTGCCTCTGCAGGCTCTTCTGCAGGCTCTGTAGATTGGTCCTCTACAGACTGCTCCTCTGCAGGCCCCTCTGCAGGCCCCTCTGTAGGCCCCTCTGTAGGCACCTCTGTAGATTGCTCCCCGTCGACTGCATCCGACGAAGAGCCAGGCGAGAGTATGTTGAGCTTGGTTAGATATTGACGTGTTGTGGGTTCTGCAAGAAACCGTCCCAATACCGCCGGCTTGTAAAACTTGGATAGAGAACCGAGAATACCGTCAATATAATGTTTGCTCACTGGATACGCGAACCCTTCCACCTTCAAATGTGGTGCGGGAACCAATGTGCCATCGTCGGCTCTGTTTTGGAAGTATGAGGCAAACAAGGGCACATCCAGAGTGGCACTCATCACGGTGACTTTCGGAACACGTTCACCGCGTGCTTGGCGTTGTTGGATCGAGGTCTTCAACAGCAGCATAAAAAGGTCAAGGTCGAGATTCCGCTCGTGGACTTCGTCGAGGATAACGTGGGAAAACGTGTCAAAGAAACTGCCGGGGTCACGCATAAAGTTCAAGGCAATTCCATTTGTACAGTAGGTTATGGATTTATCTTGAGCGGGCAATCGAGAATCGAATCGAACACAGACTCCGATAGAGTCACCGACTTTCTCTTGCCTTTCTTTTGCGACCCGGTGAGCAAGCGAAGTCGCTCCAATCTTGCGAGGCTGGACACAAAGAACCCTGCAGGCTTCAGTCTTTTGCGTGAGCGCGTGGTCAAGCAGCATTTGGGGAACCTGTGTCGATTTTCCGGAGCCTGTATCTGCCACCAGCAAAGAGTAGGTGTTGTTCTCTATGTGATCGAGTATTTGATCTTTCTTCGCAGTGATGGGTAACGTCTTATTCTGTTTTAGAGCTCGAACGTTTCTAGGAGCCAGAGGGCGACCGCCGATTTTCGATAACAGAGTCGAGCGTGGGGTTGACTGTATCGGAGGGGTTTGAAGCCGAGCAAGTTGTTCATGTCTTCGCTTGCTATGCTTTCTTATTGAATCGATACTGAGTCGTAGACCACGCAATGTGCTCTTCATTGATATGAGCATATCGTCGTCGATGTGGAGCTTATGTCGCTTCAGGTTGAGACCCGGCTCCTTTATTTCAGAGAGCAATCCAGCCTTGTAAAATTCCAAGGCCAGGGTGGTGAATGCCTCTTTCTTAGCTTGTTTCTGATAAGGTCAGCCTACCAGCATATCAATAGTATAAATGATGCGCACCTTTGACGTTCCTGTGCCTTGAACAGTGACGGTGTCGGCTGTACGGTTTATAGTGCAGCCAACTTTGCAGACAAAACAGGCGCCTTCTTGAACGAACTCCTGGAAATCGAGCCGCACGATGCCTTTCATAAAAAGTGCAGTGTAGATATGCCCCGTCGGATCTTGCAAAAGAAACTCTGGCACGTCTCGAGAGTCCTCTCCGCCAGGGAGAGCTATTCCTGAAGAAAGCGATTCCACTAGCCCATCATGCTCTTCGTCAGGATGCGCCTCTCTTAGAGCATCCTTTTTGTCCGAACCGCCAAATTTTTCGCCGTAAGAAAATAAGGATTTGATTCTCGTCATCCAAGAAATCCTCGGCACCGGATTGCTATCCCCTCCATTCTGTTCTGCGGTGGCATCTCCGGTGGCGCTTTCAACATGATCGTTGGTAGAGGACCTTTGCGCCGTGTCGACTTTGGTTGTGCTATAGTAGGCCAAATTGCCTACTGTCCTTATTCGGTTTCTGGGACCGGCCGCACGGAAAAATCTATCCAGATTCCCGGGTGAGGTATAACTCCTCGCGATAGCGCATGCAAAGTCTCGAGACTGGCGCACCACATAACGCGAGGCCATAGCCCGTTTTGGGCGTATGTGTGTGATGTTGACTAGCAATTTGGCGTCATCAATGGATGGAAGGGAATTTCGAACATTCTAATTGCAAAGATTGTGTCGTTAGTTTCATAAATGTACCTGAGTGGGAGGCAAAAAGTTGAGAAATCAACATACCACGAAGTTTCGCATCTCCGCGCGCTGGTGGCAAGATGCATTATTAAGATACCGGAAGAATTCGCGTCAAAGTTATGCGCGGGTTAGCAGATAGACATATTTGCGATCATGAATTCAAATGGCAGAAGTAGTTAAGAGAGCGAAGGTAAGAAGAAGAAAGCAGGAAGTGATTGTTGAGCAGGTCCGGAGTAGTTATCGGGGAAAAAAGATTGCTGTATCAGTCTTGGCACTGCCGATACATACATCAACCATCAACCATCAACCAGTCTGTCAAAGAATACAATTATATTGATATATATGTATATATAGTTTATATTCCTTGTTTATTCTGACTCTGTATTCATCTGTACATCCTCTATCTTCCCGTTCTTTTCTCTCTTTTGTACCTGATATACACATTCATATATTCGTTATGTACATCAATCTATACCTCTATAAAGCATATATATACACAGCACTAAAGAATACAGGGTATGAACATCCTCAGTAACCAAAATCTCCCCTCGTTATGAACTGGCCTCCTGTTGATGTCTCAACTTCAACTTCTTCTCCGTCTTCATGAACTCTCGAATCCCAACCGGGATATTGGCGAAGATATCCTCGTTGGAATCGGCCTCGGTCCAATTCGTATCACTACCACCGCCGTCATCGTCCATGCTGGTGCTCGCTGACTGCACCTCCTTCCTCGGTGACTGGCGAAGGTCTTTGGTTGGTCCCTTTTCTGAGGCCTTAGCCTTGGCCTGGACAACTCTCTCCGCCCATTCCTCCATTTCGTCGCGGAAATTGTCCCACACACAATTGACACAGCCGCTCATGCAGCAATTGTCCGGTTCCTCCGGCCGCGGGGGAATCGGCACCCCGTTCACAGTCTTCCAGGTGGACTCCGGCGGCATTTCTCCCGGGTTATAACGAGAATTTCGGCCTGGACCAGCCAGCCGCGTACCAAATACGACGGACATTTTTTCCTGCGGGGACTGTTCGGCGGGTTCCTTTTGTGTCGGTTTCTCGGCTGCTTTATTGACCGGACGGAGCCGCTTCGCATGGGCACGGTACGGGGAGGGGTTGGCGATGATATCGGAGTAATACCCCGTCAAGGGGTGTGCTTGACTGGGCCCCGAGCCATACGTCGCTTGGTTGGGGTGTTGCGAGGTGGTGCGATCATGGCTGGCAGTGGTGGCAGTGCGTAGAGGAGGCAATGCCGAACGCCGGCGTGCATATAGTGCGGATGCTGCAAAACGAGAAGGAAAGTTGGGAGAGGTGCTGAACCTTTTTAATAAGCAGGCCCCTCGTTGAACGAGCGCATGTCTATGAACCACCAGGGGAGTCTCCATTGTGCCGGAAGGCTTGTGGCGTACGATGTAGAAATCATGGATATTCAAGATCGGAGCGAATCGCCGAGGAGGTTATGTCATTTGCAAACAGTGCAAACACCCCCCGTCTCGGATCCGGTGCGGATTGTCGCCATACATCAAAATAACTGACAGTTACGATGCGACAGTCTGTTACTCCGCATCCTGCGAACCCAGAAGATACTAATTTTGTGGGAAATATCTACTATCACTGATAATTGTCTGATCAAGCGCAAGGCAACAGTGCTCACTGACAATGCTCGCGTCCCCTCCCAAGCGGCGCAAGACAGGCGAACCCGCTAATGTTGACGCGTCGCAAACAAACATCCCCTCTCTTCAGCAACGTGCAGCTCGACGCTCCAATGACCGGAACTCCTTTCGATCACCAACTCGAGCGAGCCTAGCGAGATCACACCCGGAAATTCTGGGGCGCGCAATCAGCAGAACATCCACGAGAAGTCCGCAAAGAGCGACAGGCGGGGATGGTCAAACTGGCTCAGAGGACGGTTCAGAGGCGAAGACGTTTGGTCTGCGTGATAGGAAGGCATTGCGACCGTCGCTGACGGCGAAGCCCAGCCCAATGAAGGTCTTCAACTCGAGTCAATCGCCAAGTAGACGGGCGAGTGGTCTCCAGGCATTTGCAGTTCCCCCGCGACGGGTCTCGAGAAGGATTCTCCCCGCGGACCTGGCGTTTCATTCTCCGGTGGCGACACAGAAAGCCCCAATGGAAGATGCACTATCAAATACACCCGACAACCAATTGGCGTCTGAATTGGATGGCGCGACACCTGCAGCGACTCTGGATGGGGCCGCAGATGAACCGCTGCAGGACATGCTTGACGAACCTGACCTCCCTCCGACGCCGACCCAGCTGGGTCTGGAAAGACCCCCTAGTCGACCAAGCGGAATTCTAAGCAGCAGTCCCAGTGCACAACGTGGGAAAGCGGGAAGGCGACGAGCTACTGAGACATATGAGCACAGCCCTTCCAAGCTACGGAGCGTCGACTATGGTGTGGATAAAACGGATCCTACTAGTTTGGGCACAATGCTTGCCCAGACCCCAGTACCAGAGCCAGTTATGAAAAAGCGGAAGATAAAAAACGAAATCGCCGCAGAAATACAACAACTGAAGGCGGAGATCGCGGAACTGGAAAGCTGGTCAAGTCTCGGCGGACCACAAGACGATCAGGACCGCGATGTGCATAAATTACTGTGAGTCTATTCCTAAAGCCAGAGAGTATACAGCTTACTGACTTGCAAAGTTCACTATTGGCCTCGGAGAACTCGACTCAGACGTCTACGAAAGCCAAGCCAAACAAGGCACCGATATCCTCATTACTATCCACCCTGCTCCCCTTCGCTACCAAAACCACACCCCAAACCCCCGATACTCCAGACCCAACGAATCCCTTCGCCCTGAGTGCCTCCGCGCAAACAGCACCATACCTAAACACCTTTGCACCACTCAGTCTAGCCGGCCAATCCAGCACAGCATCCAATTCAAAACCAGCCACCTTCACAGAAAGACACGACCTCACCCTCTCAGCACCAGCACCATTCCCCTCAACCCTCTACAGGGTACTCATCAGCTACGAAACAAACCCCGAAACCCAATCCTTAGTCTCCGTATCCGCCCCCGCCAATACCAACAGCCAGCCGTCGCGCGTGCCAGAATACCTCCAGTCCTGGATCACCACCCGGCTAAGCCATGCACTCCTAAAACTAGACGTATCAGGCCTCTGCTGGGGCATCAACAGATACTGGGAAGCGTCGATATCGCGCGCCGGGCTATGGGCAAAACTGGAGGACCAGCGCGCAGCACTAGCAGCCGGTCGTTTCACACCACATACGGCGATCAACCAGGACGATGATAACTCTACCTCAACCTCAAACATGCGCCAGATCCTACCGCACCTAGAGCGCACCTCCATGCTCTTCGAGAGCAAGTCCAAACCGCACCAGGTCCTCCTCTCTTGCGAATTAACACTCGACGACTGGACAGGCGAGCCGCAGCTCAAACCCGCTATTAGCATTTCGTCGACGGCGGTTGGAAGCAATGGCGAGTCGGAGCGGAGGGTAGAGCTGGAGTCGAAACGGTTGTTCCATACTATGTTGAGTGACCGTCGGATGGGCGCGTCTGAGATGCTCGGTGAGGATGATGGGGCTGTTATACTGGAAGCGAGTTATTGTGTGTTGGGTGTTCTGTTTGGGTCTGAGAGGAGGATACCTGGGGAGAAGACACAGAAGAAGGGTTGATGTGTTAGTGATGTTAGATAGTTGGTCGTGCTACGGAGTACGTGTATATAATAGCTTTATACGAAGTAGAACTCTTTAGTAGTGGGAATGGCCAAATGTTAGTCGTGTATGGCGGTAGTCGATAGTCTCCAACACAGCTGAATGACAGTGATTATCGCTGGGTAGATCTCGAATCCATCGCGACTAGCCTACTACTGGATAACCAGGAGCTACACATACAAAATACGTTTAACAGCAAAGTCCATTCAAACCGGCAGTGTAACCATAGAAAACACCAGATATCAGTTCCTCAAGAGCCCAAATCGATGCCACATCCCCCTCACGTAATACCCATAGTCCTTGTCCTCTCCGATCCTCCTGAAGATGTCAAAGCCATTGTGGTAGAAAGGAAAAAAAAGGGGGGTTGAGGCCATTCTTTAACGTTAATTGGGACATTTGCATTTCGAGAGGTTTCGGGAGCTTTTTTTTACGTTAAGGACAAAAAAGGTAATAAGGAGGAAAAAGCGGCGCACGTCACGCCATGCCACAATATACTAATCCCCGACTTGAAAATCGACCCGATCATCATTAGCTGGAAATCATATCTATTTCTTGGCAGCAGCAGCCTCCTCGGCCTTGACCCTAGCACGCTTCTCCTTGCGACCCTGGTAGCGGGCCTCGCTGCGGGAGTCACGCAGCTTGCGGTAAGCGGCCTCCTCGCCCTTGGGGAGGTCGGAGCGCTTGATCTCAGTGACGGCCTCACCCTGGTTGAGGTTGTCGATGGGGAAGACGGCACCGACGCGGGCGGAGTAGCCCTCGGTCTTGCCCTCGGCGGCGAAAGCAGCCTTGGCAGCGTTGACCTCCTCGGCGGACGAGTCAAGCTTCTTGAACTGACCGCTCTTGCGGGGGAAGAGGATCAGGCGGGCCTTGTAGTCCTGGAGACGGGCGACATTGGCGACGAGCGACTCCTTGGAGTAGTTGACACGGCGGTGGTCAACGGCGATACCGACGGTACGGGCGAGCTTCTTGGGGATGGCAGCTTCCTAAGCGATTCGAAAAAATACGGCGTGAGCTTCCATCCGACATCTACTCCCCCATCATTGGAGATGTTACCTTCAGCTCAGCGAGAGTGAATCCACGGCCGGCACGGACACGGCGGTTGTACTTGACAGTCGGGCAGTGCACAACGGGGCGCAGCTTGTCAACCGGACGGGGAGCAACAGCAGCGGCCTTGGAGCGGCGGGCCTCACGACGGCGCAGCTTGCGGCTGGGCTATATTCGAAAGTCGATCAGTCAAACGAACCAAACCAGATCCTTTTTTATTGATCTCTTTTTCTCTTCCTGCCACACTGCAAAACGTATTCGTCCGTGATGCGATCGATTGGGGATATAGGTTCGAATCGTACCTGCTCGAAGTGCACGCGCACACGACGCTGCCAATCCTTGCGGAAATCTTTAAAATTCAAGTCAGTCTATAAATTCCCTTCAAACGGACCCTTTCGAATGATTCCATCGATCATGTAGACTCCGTAGATGATATATCCGTCGCAGGAAGACTCACGGTTGTTCTGGATCTGGTTGTTGTGCTTGATCGCCTATTCACACCAAAAACACATCAGTTCGTCGTCCCATGTCCAGTAAAAAAGCGATGGAATAGTTTTTCAAATCGATCCATTGTCGATAAACCGTTCCATCCAAAATATCGAGGGGGTCATTGACGCACCATTGTGACTGATGGGGACCAAAGCCGGGGGGGGTTGTCGTCGGCGTCGTGGGAGGTTGCTGGTCGTATCTCAAAATCTCCTCGTTCCAATATTGGGTGGAACTTTTTTGGTGTGGCCACCGCTCAGAGCGTGCTCACCGCCTTCGCTTAGCGAGCCCTACCCTGCCTGCCGAATCGGGAATGGTGCCGAACCAGGGTGGTAATATTTCTCGTTTTGCCGTCACTTACTACGGGTATGGTAATTTGGATATGTATTATTGTGTATCCATATCTACGGCTATGATTACTGTTCATCCTGAAAGCAATCGGAAAGGCAATCGTCGAAGTTCATACTTTATACTCCGTACAGGACAGGAGTAATGATGGTTTGGATTTTCTGCCTCACATCTCGGAGGGTCAATATCCGATTACTAATATATTGTATAACATACAGCATAATCTACATACCTCTCCGCAGTATCCGTAGGTTCGTGAGAAATACCAAGTCAGGTTACATTTACTAATACTTTACGTTTGGTGTACCATTGCCTGTACCTGGCATTGACTTTTCTCTCAATCAGTCTATTACTGTTGGAAGAATATTCAATAATTACTACTAGAACAAGACATCATAGTAGACAGAAATATTTGCAAAATATGCACTCTGGATTCATCCGCTAAAAGCAGATCAAGTAAAAATGATAACACACTATAGAAAGTCAAAATACCAGTGCAGCTTTACATGTCGTCATTCATCAATTTCGTAACAAGCAGTCCTAATACCCAGAAAACAAAGATAGTCGGTAGTAGACGCCAGGCCTACTAACGATCCCCAAAGAAAACAAGAATGAGAGCATAAGATATGTGGTTTATGCTCGGCCGTTCTGATTCCATGTGTCAATACCGAGACCCACTCTCGAATCCGCTTTTGATTTCTTCGACGTCGCACCGTCAAAACTCGCTTTGCGTTTGAGACCGATCATGGGACGTTCGACCCCGGCCTTGGTCACCTGCCCGAACAGTTTCGTCTGAAGCAGTGTGCTGGATCTTGGAGCGGCCACAGCGCTCGGGATCCCTCGGTGAGTTTGTGGAGGATTATGGCGGATTACGCTAGCCACCCTTGAGCCGGTCTGCCCGGGGGTATCCTCTTCGGTCTCAGCCTCTTCGATATCAGACGCCGATATCGTGCTGTCCCTGTCACGCTGCTCATCGTGCGAATCCAGGCCTGGGGTATGATACTGGCTTTCCCGCTGGCTCGCCCGAGTGCGGGACGGTGTCATGGGCAGAGATGACAGGGAGTGAGTCCCACGCACATGGCCACCTCCATGATGTCTCTCGGTGTGATGGTGGCCCGGAGTGGAGGCGACGCTTGCAGACTCTCTGTTGAGAACTCGGCCTGCCGCAAGAAGGGCAGCAAAGGGGTCGTTGTTCTCACTCCTTGTCAAATGGTGACTGGCAGTGTCGACAAAGTGAGACGCAGGTCGCCTGTGCGGGGTTTGGGCCTCGCTATGGGAGTTGGGTGACATCGAGCCCTGCTCAATCATCAAGGAAAAATGCTCTCGGTTGTCCCTGATACGCTTTTTCAGAAGACGGTTCTCTTCCCCGAGCTGGTCGGTTTTCTCCCCCTCCTGTTCGATCAGTCGCTTGGCTCGACGCAGTCTGCGGTCAAGAGTGACATTGGCTCTTTCGAGATCTTGATTACGTTTGAGAGCCAATTCCAACTCGGCATTGGATGGCTGCTCCAATGGCTTCGTCTCCACATGGCGACTGCGGTACTCGGAGCTCTGAAGGATTTCCACCTCCCTCCGGGCTAGCTGATGTTCGACCTCCGCGCGCTTGATGGCTTCATTACTTGTGAACGACAGCAGGCTATTCTGCAGCTTAAAATGCAATGCTGACATACGGGCTTCCTGGGCTACCCCCAAGAGCTCTTTGGCTATCGTTCGGAGTTTTGCTTCGTCGGCGGTATCGATATCGTCAGCGCTCGGGAGGTTTTCGGAGGCACCATATGCCACACAAAGAGTCTTTTCGATATCCGGTGGAGATGCTAGGTATGAGCTCGATTGGGACCTTGACCGCCTGGGGGGAGCCCCAGGAACTTGTGAGGATGGCGGGGGAGTCATGTCGGATGAGGTCAACAAGGGCGGCGAGTTGAATTTGTTCGTTTCGAGGTATGAGCCGTGGCTTTCCGCCCGGACACTCAGCTCTGGAGACGCCGAGAGACTAGGGCGATGGCTTGGTGTTGCCGGCCCAGCGATCTCCACGGCAGGAGCAAGGGAGCCTTGGGAAAGCTGAGGTTCAAGATTCTGTGACATAATAGATGGATGGTGACGGAGAGTTGTCCAGGTTCAGCCCGTGGAGAAGAAAGCCCTCACACTGGAGATGCGTCAGCACTGGTTGCGTCGACTAGATGCGAGAACAGTTGTCACAAAGCGGTCGGGCACATACCGGAGACGAGACAACACCCGACGGGTCAATTTATCTCAAGTAAGGCCTTGGGGCAATTGAGCGATAACCAAGCTTGACAAGATCCAAACGTGCTTGGGATTGATCAACTGTGGCGCAATCCCCAGATCGTCGCGGGTGAGTTGCAGATGGCAGGTGAGGCGGACCGCTTGTCACCGATAGGCCCGTGCAGGGACCGGTCCAAGGTTGCAGTGATAGGTAAGGTACTAAGAGAGGTAGTAGATAAGAAGGCGGAGGTTCCGACAGAAAAGACCCGATCTGGAGAAATGACAGTGACACGGGTCCTACTCGCAGTACAGAAAGCTTGTAGATAAGGTGTGAGCAAGGAGAACGGAGAAATGAGGAAAGCCGTGAAGAAAAGGTGATGTATGTAGGGATGATGTGAGAAGCAAGGGAGGGTCGCAGTCGAGGGACAGTTGATGCCTTAAGGACGTTGCAAGCGGCGGGAGGTTCACGAGTTCGGCGGGAGGCTGGGAAGTCGCCAATCCGGTCAGCCTCAACCAACCACGTCCAACCTCCAGCGCCCACGTGAGCCCAGCCGCGCGCCAGAACCTGACTATGTCGAAAGTGGTTAGTGTAGACCATCCCGGGCAGTAAACAGAAATCCAACCCCATGGGCTGCCCTGGATCACTCAGGCAACGAGAAGTCGATTGATCCACATATGATTCTATACTCTGTACGGATACAGAGTACAGAGTACAGAGTCAATGGAGAAGATGGTGAGATGAACCATATCAAAATAATATAATAATAACCAGACTAATCATTAGTAATAAATTGTACGGAGTACATGGTAGAAGCTACAACTCAATTGTCTGCATATCCAAGTTCTGAATTTGTTCTATAGGTATTGATCATATAAATATGGAGTACGGAGTACATTCACTACTATATCCTCTGTATATACGATATGCCTACTATATACCCCTCTGTAAAAATAAGCTTATTTTTCAGGAAGGATACGTAGCTGAGGTGGTTGGGAATTTGTCCCAAACTCCACTACGAAGGTAGTATGCACTTAGTAACTACTTCTACCATGGTGATCCTTCGGACTAGACCTCAGGTAAAAGCCAAGCTGCTAGATACCTTATTCACGAACTTAGCCTTAATCCACAGTATCTCTCTTAGTCCTTAGCCTGGTCAGGTACCTGAACTAAATCCAGTTTCTCGTTCGATCGGACAGGTGGGGGCCTGACCAATCATGGCGGCAGTGTCGGAGCCTGATGGCGGCCCCAGGCAGCAACAGGTGGTGCAGCTGGTCCATCTGTAAACAAAACCAACTCCACGGAATCACATTCATTCATTTCCTCTTTCTACACCAGAAACTACCACTGACTGGGGATCTTTTGATAGGCGTGTCAGGCAGGTTATTGTTAACCACTACTCTTTGTTTTATCGACCTTCTTTATCCTGAGGCGCCCCTCCATCCAACCTGTCGCTTCAAACAGCCGAGAGCACCATGAGCCTTATGCGACTCTAAGATCGACCATCTAACGTACAATACAGCCTCTCTCCCCGAGACTATACCATCGCGATTGCCTTGAAAATGGATAATCAACAAAAACCTCCGGTCCGTCCAAGTGGAATCCCTCGATTAGCCTCGCGACTGCCTCTACCGACCTCTTCTGCGTCCCGAACGATCAGAGCGACTCCGTCACGCGAGAAGCTACAGGCTGACCCGGGCCTGAATGCCTCCAGGCTGCGACGACCTTCCGAGGAGCCTGTGTTCAAGAAACCTCTTCCCAAATACTCAGCACCACCGCGGCCCCGGTCTAGCCTACAGCCGGGGAGGGATGTTTCTCAGACGCGAATAAGTGATGGTGGCAGATCGGAAGGAGACGGGGGGTGGGATGAGATCTCCCAATCGGATATCGAATCCCTGTCCGGCGACACGGAATTCCGAGGCCGCGCGCGACCTTCACTGTCGGAACGAACCATGGAGACGCTGGCCCAGATCCCTCCTTCGCCTGCTTCCTCGCGAAAGTCCAGTTTCTTCAATGCAACAAGCCCTATGCGATCGCCATCTCGCCAGTCGTCGGTAATGTCCAACTATTCAAGGTCTCCATCCAGGTCATCATCCTCTCGTCAACAATGCGGGAGTGAGCTTTTCGCTCACACACCGTCGGCCATGCGACTCCCATCACGGTCACGGCCTTCGTTGCCCACGGGTAGCACCGTGGCCGACAGCGCTATTGCGGAGGACGATAGTCCGTCAAAACCTCGGATTCCACCTGTACCCGCACCCAATTTTGGTGGGACTGGTGACGAAACCCCCAAGGCATCGAAGTCACGACCCCAGCTTAGTAAAGGGCTTGCGAAGCCCAACGGCATGCAAGAACCCTCGCAATCATCTCTTAACGTGAAGAAAACACGCAAGACACCTACAAAGCCGCCTTCCAGCCAAAAGCCGTCTTCCTTCCAGCCAAGATCCCCGGCTGCTAGACCCATAGACGCGGAATTAAATCCAGGACAGCAGTCCGAACTGGAAGCTAGAAAGGCCGCGAAATCCTCCAGTACCTTACGCGAAAGCATCGCCAAAGCAAAAGCTGCTGCAAAGGCAGCGGCTGAAAAACCTTCGCAGCCACCGTCGTCCAGTTCTTGGGATGGTCTCGAGACGCAAGACCCGTTCAACCAACGGCCCAAGGATTCAAACAAGGGTTTGCTTCGAAAGCGCATCGATGCAGGTAGAACGTCGGGTAATTTGAATATCGCGGCCATGTCGTTGACGGAGTTGCCAGAAGAAGTCATGACAATGTATGACTTTGATCCGGATTCTACCACGGACTGGTACGAGAGCGTGGACCTGGTTAAATTCATTGCCGCGGACAACGAGTTCAAAGAACTACCAGATAGCGCTTTCCCAGATGTCGACCCATCTGAACAAGACCTTGAAGATGACAGCAAGGGAAACCAGTTTGGTGGGCTGGAAATTCTCGACCTTCACGGCAATCTATTGCAATCATTGCCCCTAGGGTTCAGGAGGCTCCACCGACTTCAAACTTTAAATCTCTCCAACAATAAATTAAGTATGGAAGACATACAGATTGTTACGGAGATGACGTGGATCCGAGATCTCAGGCTAGCAAAGAACGAATTACAGGGAGCGCTCACTCCGGACATCAAGAACCTCATCAACCTGGAAATCCTGGATCTGCACGAAAATGCTCTCACCGAACTCCCGGATAGCATTGCCGATCTAACCACCCTACGGGTTCTAAAGGTCTCCAACAATCGCCTCAATTCGCTGCCATTTGACGCACTGCAGAATCTGCCGTTGAAGGAGATAAGTGCCTCGAAGAACAAGCTGCAAGGCACATTGATACCGGGTTCAGTGGGTAAACTCGAGACATTACGGATTCTAGACATATCCGGGAACGCTCTGCTAAAGCTGTCGGAGAATGAGGCCCTCGAACTTCCCAATCTCCAAACCCTGACCATCGGCGTGAATCGCATGCAGTGCCTGCCAAACATGACCTCTTGGCAAGCTCTTCTGACACTGTCCGCTGAAGACAACAGCATCTCCGAGTTTCCCGAGGGGTTCACTGCATTGAAACATATCAGGAATGTCGACTTTACAGGAAATAGCATTTCGAAGTTGGACGAAAGAATTGGATTGATGGAGAGCTTGGTGACTTTCCGGGTAGCAAACAATCCTCTCCGTGAGCGCAGGTTCCTGGGCATGGAGACGGAAACCCTGAAACGCGACCTGCGTAACCGGTGTGAGCCAGAGCCCCAGGACACAGACGAGGAAGGCTCTGTCGCGACGCAGTTCACCCTCGCCCCAGAGACCCCAGCTCAGTCGGCTGCATGGCAACTCAAACCAGGCGGTGTACTCGACAGATCATATACCGATACACAGGACGTCGATTTGGACCAGCTAGAGCGATTGAACCTGAACGATGTCAGGTGCCTGTACCTACAACACAACCAACTACGCAGTCTACCAGTTCCGGCGCTCAGTATGCTTGCCGGCAGCCTTGTCGATCTTGATCTTTCGCACAATCCTATGGGCAGCGACAGCCTATCCTTCTCGTCCCTCAACCTCCCTAACCTCCAGAATCTCAACTTGAGCGCCACCGGCTTGACTGCGCTTGAGCCGATTTTGGACAACCTCGTGGCGCCGTCTCTTACCTATTTCGACGTCTCCTATAACCGTCTAACCGGGACTTTGCCGACCGTTCGACGAGCTTTCCCAAACCTAGTGGCACTCCTAGCCGCAGACAATCAGCTGGAGGATCTCGAGTTCGAAGCTGTCCAGGGCCTTCAGGTCCTCGACGTCGGGAACAACAATATCAATTCCCTACCGCCAAAGATCGGCTTACTACGATCGGAGGGTTCCAGCCATAACTGGGGCGGCGGATCGGCGCTCAAAAGGCTCGAGGTGGCAGGCAACAGCTTCCGGGTTCCTCGGTGGCAGATCGTTGCCAAAGGGACAGATGCGATCCTCGAGTGGTTGAAAGACCGGATCATCGTGGAAGAGCTTGCGGAATGGGAGCCGCAGGCTGACGAAACCTTCTAGTTTTGATACTGCAATCTTGCGGGGCTTGATTTACAGGGTCCGCCTGGGTTATCTTCTATGTAGATATACATGCATTTGCATATGCATTGGGGGTTTGATTTATTGTTTCGGGCATGGTTGTTTTAGCATATGGTTTTGGGTCAGGATCCCTGAATGTGAATTCGATCCAGTCGTTCATAATCATCTATGCATTCATATATAATCTAAACAAGGATCTTGTGTAGGCGTTAAACGGGCAGACAGCCGTATCATGTTATTTCGAGCTCCCCGAATCGAGAACAGGCTTGCTGACTTCGTCCATCACCTTCAACCACGTTCTCGACCAAGCCGTGAATTTGTCCTCCTTCGAACTCCCGTCCGCAATCCAAGATAATTCCACCGACTGCATAACTTTATTGGCGCAACTCCTCACCCGCACGAGATACTGCACACACTTCTCTGAGTTCTCCTCGTACAACGCCCCCGCCACTTCGTCGATCAATCCAGGTATATCTTGGAGATTCTGCATAAGGAGCTCAAGCTTGCTGGCGAGCGACGAAGACAGCTCCGGAACGCTTCCCAGCCGGTTTTTGACGATAGCGGGGTAAATCTGCGCAACGGGCTTGAGGATGCGGACGCTGGTCTTTTTCTGCTCGTGCAGCGCAGCGTTGCTTTCGTCCTCGTCATCATCATCATTATCGTCATCGTCGTCGTCATCGCCTTTATCACTCAAAATCTCGTCGAAGAATTCATCACCCTCCTCGTCAGGATCCCACTCCTCGATCTCCTCCACCGCATCGCGCACCAGATCCCTCCACTCTTCCACGCGGCGCACAACGAACCCCACGACGCCCTTCGCGGCAATATCAACCAATGTGTCGCAGACGTCCCAGACGCGTCCCGCAGCTACCATGACGGAGTCCTTCTCCGCCTGCGACAGCTCGCTCTGGCTCGTCGCTGCGTCTTTCTTCCCCGCCACCACTTGGACCTCTTTCAGAAGATCGCGCACCTCCCGCAGCGCCGTCTTGACCTGGACTTCGATCTCCGCCCGGAAGGCCTTTGTGTGCATCGACGGCGTGACCAGTAGAGCGGCAGTGACGAGCGATGGAAGGATGGATTCGTTCAGCGTGGCAAGCACGGATGTGACGGCCGTGTGTGTGAACGGCGAGGTAATGGCGAGAAGAGAAAGCTTCGTGACCTGGGACTTCAGCTCCGTGGCTGCTGCGGATAGGAGCGGTAGGGCATCTTTTGCTGAGAGGTCGCCAGTGGGGGAGGACGTGTCGGACGGCGGGGCGGAAAAAGCCGACTGGAGCTGTTCGGCGAGGACGAGGCTCGTTGAGAGCGTGAGCTGTAATTGTTTTGACATGTTCGGTAATTGGATCAGGGTACTGTGCAGGTAATTGTACTCCTGCCTGGTGGTTTGTTGCAGGTTCGTCTGTCTGTTCCTGGGCGCCGAGCGGAGAAAATTTTCGGGTTGGAGAGACGGCGGCTGCGGGGCTGGTTTGGCTTTGGCTTTTGTTAGGGTTCCGCGGGGTCACCTGGGCGGATTGCACTCTTTTGATTGTCGTTTTGGTCGTTTGCCTTTGGTGGGATATAAAAATCTCAAGTCGGTGTAAATGCGCTTTGCATTATCTACTTCTATAATTCTGTATATGGTTTATTAAGTAGTGTGGTGAGGTTGAGTATATTGCGACCAGATAGAATTGCGACACCAATGTATATATTTACCCTAGCATGGATAACCATTGAGCCATTATCTTGCCTACAGATTTACCTATGTACTATAAATTGAGTTAATCAAAAGATGTTTGAATAAATGACTGTCTCGTCAAAAATTGTATATATTTTTTATACCATGTCTGATTATGGGAGTAGTTTATCATTTAAGGATGTCCACATGTCTGTTTAAAGTAAATTCATAAGTATACTACAGATTATTACTCAAACCACTTCTCAGATGTGGTACAGGTGTATGACAACATCACAGATGTTTCAAATCCAAGTCTAAATTCTTAGGATACAAAATCATTTTTCAAGCCGCAAGGATTTGTACGACCCGCTTAGTAGTCGTAGAAACCCTTTCCGGCCTTCCGGCCCTTCCAGCCAGCGTCGACCATCCGCTTCAGCAGACCGGACGGACGGTACTTGCTGTCGCCAGTCTCCTGGTGCAGAACGTTCATGATGGACAGACAGGTGTCCAGACCGATGAAGTCGGCCAGCGTCAGAGGACCCATGGGGACGTTGGTGCCGTTCTTCATGATGTTGTCGATGTCCTCGCGGCCACCGACGCCAGTCTCGAGGCAGATAACGGCCTCGTTGATGTAGGGCATGAGGATGCGGTTGGCCAGGAAGCCGGGAGAGTCGGCGGAGACGGAGGAGACCTTGCCCATGCGCTCCATGAACTTGAGCGAGGTGTCGATGGTCTCCTGGGAGGTCTGCAGGCCGGCGATGATCTCAACGCCCTTCTGGATCGGGACGGGGTTCATGAAGTGCGTGGAGATGACGCGCGAGGCGGCCTGGAGATCCTTGGGGTCCGTGGTGGTCGCCGCGGCGATCTTGGTGATGGAGATGGACGAAGTGTTGGTCGCGAGGATCGCGTGCTTGGGCGCAATCTGGGCCAGCTTGGAGAAGATGCCCGTCTTCAGGTCGGGGATCTCGGGGACGGCCTCGATCACGAAGTCAACGGACGACAGGTCGTCCATCTTCAGGGTGGGGGTGATGCGGGAGCGGACAAGATCCGCTGCGTCGCGGGTGAGACGCTCCTTGGCGACATCCTTCTCCAGAAGCTTGTCTGTATTATGGGGAAACCGTGTGTCAATCCAACTGAAGCTCAAACAAAGTGTCAAACGGGGTCGACCACTGCATACCGGCAAACTTCAGACCCTTGTCGATCGACCCTTGGGAGGTATCCACGAGAGTGACAGGAACCCCGGCCTTCTGAGCTGCAACGAGCGCAATACCCAGACCCTACCACTTGTTAGTCAATTGAAAAGGAGAATGGAGACCTGTTCCTGAGCCACTCACCATCTGACCAGCTCCGATCACACCAAGCGACTTAACCTCGGCAGCGCGGGCCACAGGAGAAGTGCTAAAGGCGCGAGAGGCGACTGAGGGGCCCCGGAAGGAGAGGGTGCGGAGAGAGGAGAACAACATTATGGCTATATATGACAATGACTGACCGGTGTGATGAGCGAAGACACGACAACAGCGAGAGGAAAGAAGAAAAAGGTCAACCAGTACCTGGTCCAGCACTATCCGTATAGTAGCGCGGATATACGCCGTTTACCCGCGGGTTCTCATGTGATCCGACGTCATCGGCTATCTTCGGGATGCCGGGCCTACAGTTCCTCCGGCGGCCCGATAAAGCTTAGTCAGCTACTGGACAGACGCGTCCGACACGTGAATGACGCGGATTGATTGGCTGGCGGCTCAGCACGCGAAGCCTGCTGTTGCAAATCGCTGGTTGAACGGTGATATCTCAACGATTGAGGCCGACCATTCGAGCACCGCGAGGTTATTATGGACGAAACGGCCTTTGGGGAGGGTGTCGAACCCGTGGACCTTGAGGTCCGCGCCCATGTGTACAGTTTGGTGACAGCGGTGAGTATACTCCGTGCTGCGTGGGCGTCGGTGTTGGTCTGGGTCGCTAATGACGTCGCAGCTAGGAGGATTCAATGGCGAAGATGCGGATAAATATGTGCTGGGCGATGATGCCCTGGCATGTCTGCGCGATATCAAACGCTGGCTAAGGCTTTACGATCAAAAGAACAACCGGATGGATGTGGCACGATGTCTGGGGGAAGCGAATGTCGTTAACGGGGATCTGCTACCTATCCTGGCGGCTTGGTCGGAGAACGAGCGGAAAAGCAAGCATCTGTTCAGGATCGCAATGGCATGTTGTGAGTTGGACAGTCTGAACTCGGAGGTGGTAAAAGGACAGGCCCGCTAACATCCAGAAGTGGAATTACTGGTTCCTTTGACCTGGCCGTTAGAGATACACGGCGAGACGACAGTCAATCATCATCGACATATCCCTTACCTGCAACAAGCTCAGGTGTCTTACAAGCGGCGGTTCCTTAGCCATTCAAGCTTGGACCTGTTACGGACCGTCATCCGCATTGGCCTCCCGAGTATGGCAATTCCGCGATCTGAACGCACCGGCCGGGATGAAGGCATCCTGAGGATAATGCTGTATTTTTTCCGAAACGTCGCCGTGATTACACCAAATGCCCGTCTTGCCGCAGAAGGCGAAGAGGAAGAAACATCCAGATCCGCGACTATCAACGCCTTCCAGGACCAGGACGTCTTTGCCCTTCTACTCACCATGTGCTCCAACATCACCGACGACTTCAATATGTTCGACGTGATTCTCCTGGAAACATTGTTTCACATCGTGAAGGGGGTCAATGTGGACAAGCTCTTCATGAATGATTCTCAGCGGACCGCCAAGCGCACGGATGAGCTTGATGGATTGCTGCGGAAGGAGGACTCGCTGCGGAAAGAATATGCAAAAGGTGCACCGACTCGGCATGGGCGCTTCGGGACGATGATTTGGGTCAAACGTGACGACGCCAAGGTGTCCACAGTGTCTGGACAGACTGTTCTCAAGGACGGCCAGACCACGCTCCACAAGATGGATCAGAGCAAGAAGTGGAATAAACCCCAACCCCGTCGACGACAAGACCATCCATCCATCAAAAACGATTTCAGTACGCCGGTCCATCTCAATTCCGAGGCCTCGGAGAACCTGCGAAAGTTTGTCGAAGAGTTCCTGGATTCCGGCTTCAACCCGCTGTTCACCAATATTAGAAAAGCCATCGAACGCGAAGCTGATCGTGTGCTGGATGAGAACTCTCTCCATTACTTCTACACCGTCTCGTGGTTTCTTGAAGCAGAGCGCACACGACGTCTCCGCAAGCGCCAGAGGCGCTCACAGGCTGGAAAGCCCAAGGAGACAGAGCCGGACAGCTTTGGTCTTGTTGCCAGTGTCCTCAACCAGGAGACGTTTGTCTTCTTGAACAGGTCAATGCAATGGAGTTTCGATAACAAGGATTGGGAGGGTCTCAACGCTGAAATGCGATGCTTCACCCAAATCCTGTTGACTGTCCAGGAGATGGCCTTGTCGCCTCTTGACGAGGACCAGGAGATCGCCGAGAACATCCAGAACCGGATCTTCTACGAAGGGACGACACACGACCGCATGGCTGCCATCATGCACAGGTACAAAGATCAAGGCTTCGGCTATCTGGATGCATGCACTGAGCTCTGCCATGTCTTTTTGCGGATGCTCGAGCGATACTCCAAGGAGAACGCTGACATGCAGGTCAAAGCCAAACAGCGGACAAGACGCAAGAATAAACAGGCTGAAGCGACCGGTGACGAGAACAACGAGGAAGACAACGCATCGGAAGAAGAGGACCACGCCGAAGCTGAAAGGGTCTCCAAGGAACGCAAGTTCGATTACAGGAAATTCGAGCAGAAATTTTGCACGCAGGCTTGCGTCGACACCTTTGTGTCGTTCACGAAATACTATGGAGAATTGACTGAGGAGCAGTTGAAACGCGCTCATCGCTACTTTTACCGGGTGGCCTTCAAAAACGAGAAAAGCGTTTTGCTGTTCCGTGTGGATATCATGAATTTATTTTACAGGATGATCAAGGGTCCTGGTGCCATGGACTCCAGCCAACCGATCTTTAAAGAATGGGAGGAACTAGTCCGGCAGATAATCAGGCGCCTGATGAAGAAGCTCGAGCAGCGCCCTGCGCTTATCACTGAAATGCTATTCAGCAAGATCAACTCGACTGCATCCTATCTTGAATACGGACATGAACGGCAGACGGTCTCGACAGCCAAAAAGTCTACCGTGGAACTTGAGGTGGATCCAAAAGAAGGGTCAACACTTGAGCGAAAGATCGCCATTGTAGTGGCTGCCATGGTCAAAGATGACCAGAGTGCCCTGGTCAGATGGGTTAGCGACGTCCAAGGATCAGCGGCTGAAGAAAGGGAGGCCTGGGAAGCTCAAGAAACCGCTCGACGGGACGAAGACCCAACGGTAGCGAACACGTCAAACCCTCCCATCGGTATGTATCTATCAGTTGGTATCGGTGGCATCCAAGGATCTAACCTATGAACAGACGTCAAACCTCGGGACGACGCATGTCGACAAGCCCTCAAATCCAACGCCAAGTTACGTCTCCTGATGACATTGGTTAAGTTTGAACTCCTCGGAGAGAATGACCCGAGACCTCGCTGGGAGATACCGTCGACCATGAACTCCAAGGAGATCGGTGAGATAAAAAGCATCGTCGATCAAAATCTCGCCAGCCCGATTGCGGAAGATACCGACCCCCGCGAGCTGCTCCGACGCAAATTCAACCACGAAGGCAACAAGAGCGGCGGCCTTCAAACCACGCTCGATGTCAATTTCGGCTCCGAATCAGAGGGCGAGGAAGTTCCCGACGGGCCTTTGTTTCCGCCGAACCCGCGGTCCAAGGCCAGCGCGCTGGATGAATTGAAGAAGAAACGCAAGAAGCGCAGCAAAGAGAATCAGGACGAAGTCGACGAAGCCGTCCTTGAAGAGCGCCGCAAGGTCCGTTCAGAGGCGACCCGTGAACGCATTGCAAAGATCAAGAGTGATCTCTTTGTCCACGCAAGCGACGAGGAGAGCGACGAGGACGGAGATGAAGAGTTCTTCCGTCTCGAGGAACAACGACGTAAAGCTCAGTCGGAGAGAATCAAGAAAGCTTTGCTTACAGGTCGGGTGGAGGGAGAAGACAGTGCCGGCCTTAAAGGGCGAGGCGGACGCAAGCGTCAAAGCGATGTGTCCAAGTCGAAGAACACAACATCCCAGAGCAAACGACAACGGCGCAAGAACCCGATTGCTGAATCCGACGATGACGATACCGTCATGGTTGACGACGATGTTCTGGCATCTGCACTGCCCCAGACTACGACCGACAATGAGATGGAAGACCGCGCAAGTACACCTCCCCGGTCAATGGATGATGATCTCAACTTTGACGACGACCTGGCATTCAGCCGGGATCATGAAAGAAACCGGGGACTGTCTGATTTGGAGTCCCCCGATCCAACTAGGCCCGATGCCAGCGCTGAAGCCGGGAACGATGAGGACGAAGAGGTACCAGTCGCCGCACCGTCTCGAAGAAGAATGCGTGCTGGGTTCGTAATCGACAGTGATTCAGAGTAAGATGGATTTGATCATGTATGGAATGATGACTTGATGAGGTATTTGGCGTTTAACGTGTATATAGATAGCCAAGGCATGGATTCTTCTTTATTCATCTATTAATATTGATCATGATTATTGTTATTGGATTAATTCTCTCGTATTTTTAGGAAACACGTGGTGGGGTTCGGTATGAGTCAAATCGATCAACTCGGATGAATCAAAGCGGGGAAAAAAATTGAAGTTTTCAAATTTCCATCTCACTGTTCTGGCTATTCATACCTACTACAACTCACTCCCACATTTACTCCTTGGAATTGGCATCATATCAAAGTATCAGCTCAAAAACCACCTTCACCATGGCCAACTACATCCGCTTCGTCACCCTAGACGTCTTCACCTCCCAGGCCTATTCAGGCAATCCACTAGGAGTGGTGTTTCTACCAGACGAGACCAACTCCCAAATTCCAGCTCTGACACAGCGCCAGAAGCAAAACATCGCTCGGGAGTTCAATTTGTCCGAGACGATCTTCGTGTACCCCGGAGAAGGCGAGACACGCACCATCGACATCTTCACCACAGACATGGAGCTCCCATTTGCGGGCCACCCCACCATCGGAGCTGCCTCGTGGTTCCTGTCACTGGGGGAGACGAGCCAGACGAGCCAGACGAGCCCGGTGACTCGACTGATTACCAAGTCCGGGGAGATCCCCATCGCACTGCAGCAGTCGGGGCCCTCTAGAGGGGGGGTGGTGGCTAAGATCGCGCACAATGTGCATCTCCACTCGACGAAGTTCCCACTGCGGGAGCTTCTGCGTCTCCATCCGACCTTGTCGCCTTTCTTCCCCGCTGCCGCGGAAGGATCCGAGGCCGTGTCGTTCCCTGTGTTCTCCATTGTCAACGGCATGACGCAGATCCACGTTCAGTTGCCCTCTCTCGAAGCCCTGGCTGCGGTGACGACCTCTGCGGGAGGCGAGCTGGTGGCTACGGATAGTGGCTATCTGGATGAGGAGTGGGCCAATGGTCTCGCTTTGGTGTACTTCTATGTGCGGGACGTCGAGAACTCAGAGACTGGCGCCAGCGTTATCCGGACTAGGTCGATCGTGGGGAATCTCGAGGATCCGGCTACGGGGAGTGCGGCCAGTGGACTGGCTGCCTATCTGACTTTGATTGGGGGTCAAAAGGGCCCTCATAGGTATGATATTGTCCAGGGGGTGGAGATGGATCGCCGCAGTGTCATTGGTGTTGGGGTCACGGTGAATGAGCAGGGCTTGATAGATACTGTGGAGCTCAAAGGGTCGGCAGTGAAGGTGTCTGAGGGGAGTATCTTGGTTCCCAGACGTGATCTGAGTGAATGACTGGGTTTACAGTGATATAAGTTATTGCAATCACTGTAGATTATCTTAGCGCCTTTTCCAGACTTATTTAATAAGATTTGAGTTGATTATCTTTCTGTTTATCTCCTGACTGCTTCAGATGACCATTGATCTGCTCTTGAATTGATGATATCACACCATGGCAGAAAAGTCACGCCGCAGATCTTCCTTTCTGAACTCCCTCCATGCGTTGAAGCACAGCTTTGGGAAGAAATCCGTTGATGATACACGTAATCCCGAAAAGGAAGACAAATCCAGTGACCAAAGAATCATCAGTCTCAATCCTGAGCTCGAGCTAGCATTAAGGCCTGCCAAACGCAGGGAGCCTCGTTGTGCACCAGCGGCATCTACACCTACATCTACAGCGCAGACTCCATCAACTCCAACACCACAAACCTATCTACCATATCGTCACGCCTCAAATCCACTACCCCGGTATCCAGACCGACCCAATCCCGAATACCCATGTCCAGGCGCAACGAGGCCTATCCCGGGAAGTGTATCGCAGACCGTGCGTGCTGTCTCCCCCCAACACCGTCAAGCAACAGCGTGTGTGGTCCCAAGGTCAGTGTCCTCGGGGGTTCTCACATCGTACAGGTCTCAAGAAGAGACCCTGCCTTTTCACGGAGAACCTCAACAAGGATTCACGAGACGCGGACTACCGTTATCGTCCAAAATAGGTACGGGCCTCGAGAGCGGCGAGAGAGACGACCACGACAGAAGACCGAGAATACAAACCAAACAGCAGAGGATCCAAGCACAGCGGGACAGTTTTCCAGCATATGAGGAACTCAAAGAACCAAGAAGAAGCCATCGTTACCGTGACACCAGGCCTGGACCACCACCGGGGTTGTCAAGGTACCAAATAGCGAGCACGCACGACATCAAGCACACCCCATCAAGACGCACGCACCAACCGCTGCCGTGTCCAGCACAGACATATACGCGACTTCCCCTTCCGACGTCTTGCTCGGCGTCATGCATGCAGGATTCCAACGTGGACCGACTCAGCAGGGTCCCCCGACTGACGAGCACCATTCAAACATGCACGATTCGTCCGAGCGGAGAAAATTTCCTGCCCCCTAGACGAGAACCAGCTCGGGAAGGGAGAAAGGAATATAGTGATATTGGTTATCTTGGAGACGAAGCTGAAGCATACTACTCTCTGAGGAAGGCGCAGTTCACTCACTACGCTGACCCTCCTGCTCCTACCACTACTACCACCACTGCTACCACCATCTACAACTCGCCGCTCTACCGGGTCTCAACACCAACCAGGTTACCTCTCGCCAGGCGATCAAACCACCCAAAGAGCAACATGTTCCTCGCAAAGCGAATCCGCTGGACAAGCGGATGTGAGAACCTCAGACGTCTCGAGAAATACGCAGAAGCGAACGAGAATACCAAGCCCATGACCGGCAAACCCTCGTCTCCTACTGACGAACCGAGTCCCACTGCTTCCAAAATGGCCCACCTGTCCAGCACCAGGCAGAGAGAACACACTGAGAGAATGGTAGGTTCTTACCCATTCCTAGTTCCTAACCCTCCTTGCAAACCCATGACGCTGATAGCATCGCAGGTAACAACAGCCCAACCACCCCAATACTGGCTCGGCCGCTTCGTAACCCTCACCAACGCATTCCACTACGAGGACTCCTTCGGCGAGCCGGACATCGCGACTGGGTTTGGCATGCTGTCGAGCTACTCCCGGCCGCTGGGCGGCTCGGACGGCGGGATGGCGAGCTATCGTGTTAAGCGGGCGTTTATGGTTCTTGAGAATGTGTGCGTCACGGAGGAGGCCAATGAGAGTTTACGGAGGTTTAGGGAGAAGTATCTTCGGGAGTATGGGACGCGGAGGGTGGATTAGGTGGAAGATGGGTACTCTTTTTTTTGGGGAGCAAGACTATGTAAAGGTGTAAAGTAGTATTGAGCTGGGCAATAGATCAGGGTTGGAGCTTTGTATCTTTCTAAGATGACCGAGTAGCTGGTAGTTTAGATCATGTTGTTGTTCAAAAGACTAGCTTGAAAAAGTATGCGTGGAGAGTTTTCCGACTAATAACACCGCCCTGAATTTTATTGTCATTCAAAGATGAACGTAGGGAATAAACAAATCATCGTAGATATAGAGCACAGCCAGAATAAAACAAGCGAGTTATCTCACGGCAGCGGATTCTCATGCAATGGGTCTTCATCCATATCCTCACCAGCGCCCACCATAACCTCATCTTCATCACCCAGTCTCTCCCCGCCGTCGCTATCGCCATTACCATCACCATCAACCATAGCGTCCTCGATGGCAACATCCTGATCTCCCATCGCCTTGAGCTTCGCCTGCGTCATCTCAAACACGTACTGCCCGAGATGCTCCACTCCTTCCATCGGGGTCCCCTGAACGTCGTCGTCGTCCAGCGAGCGCGAGGCCGGGAACATCTCCCCAGGCGCAAGCATGAGCTTGTCTGGGCGTTGCAGGAGGAGGTCAAACGCGGGTTTCAGCTCGTAGCAGGACGAGAACACCTCGCGCCGGCCGAGGATGTAGAGGCCTAGACGCGCGCGCGAGAGCGCCACCGTGAGGCGCCGCACGTCGCGCAAATAGCCGACTGTGCGGGTTCGCGTGAGCGACAGGATGACGTCTGCAGGGAGTATAGTCAGTATACCGCTTTTGGTAGCATGCAGCGTGGGGAAGAGGGAGGGACTTACAGTCGTTCTGCTCGCCTTGGTACTTGTCGACGGTGGTCACGATCTTGGGCATGCCAAATAGCGCGTTCTTGGCACATCGGTGGCTGAGGACGTCCTTGATTAGAGCCGTTTGGCCAGCGTACGTGGCGAGGATGGTGATTTTCGATGCCGGGTACCCGAGCAGTCGCATGTACTGGTACAGCGCCACGGCGTATTCGGCTTCGCCGAGATTCTGGATGAAGTGAGGAGTGGGTTCCCTCTCTCCGGTGCCTTGGTAGTCGGGGACATTGATGAACTGGTATTCGAACTGGAAGCCGGCGTTTGCTTGCTTAAATTCCGCAGCAGTGTCAACAATAGGCAGATTGCCGAGTTGCTTGTAACGCCACCGGAACAGTTCGGCGATGCTGCCTCGCGAACGACCCTGCTGGTCGAGGGTGATCACAGGAACGCCCAGCCTCACCAGGCGGAGGAAAAGACTCTGCTCGAAGTGGGCGTACTGCCGGAAGGCAAGGTTCTGGATGATAGGGGAATTTTGAAGGTGGTCGCCGCAAAGCACCATGCGCTTGAGGGGCAGTTGGCCGTTGTTCATGTTCTGCAACGCAGCCGGGATGAAGCTTTCGATCTCCGTGACCTGGGCGGCCTCCTCCATGACAACATTGTCATAGTGGAAACCGAGATTTGCGATCTCCTGGCGACGCATCGCGGCATGTGTTGATGTCATAGCGATGATCCGCGCCTCCTTTATAAGGAGGTAGTTAGCCTTGTCCTTCTGCTGCCGCAGGATTTCAAATGGCCGGATATCCTCCAGCTCGGAGAATATCTTGTTGATGTGCCTTTGACAGCCCTCTGCCACATCCAAAACGGCGTCCTTGGAAACGGAGGGATCGAATACGGGCTGGGGGGCGTTCGAAAAGTAAGTGTGGAACGGGAAAGCCTCGACGATTTCCTCAACCGAGGCCTTCTCAGCGCGCGCCTGGTCCCAGAATTTAGCCCACGCTGGCTGAATGTAGACCGTGTTGAAGTAGCCTGCGGTCTCACACGAGTTGCCATGAGCACCCTGTGCGCCGATAGACGCTGCTAACCGTGCAACTTCTGCGAGGAAGCTGTTACGGTTGTCAAGGAAGGATTCGACGCGGCCGTACTTGCTGTAGCTTGTTTCAGTGTCCAATTCCTCTTCGCCGTGACCGAGTCGGAGGAGATGGCGTTCATCGATGTCGAGAGCGACGATCTTCTGGAACAGCTGGTTCAGGGCCTGGTTGCTGTGCGCAACGAGGAGGGTGCGTTCGTTGGGGAAGTCATGATAGATATTATTGATTATTTGCGTTGCAACGTCCGTCTTGCCAGTCCCCGGGGGCCCGACTATAACAGTGAGTCCGGGTTGCGTGCCGGATGAGATAGCATCCACCTGGGCTGGAGTGAAACGGACCGAGTTGAGCTTGGGAGCATCAACCGGGTAAGGGCCGGGGTTTGGCTGCTTGTATGTCGATGCACGGAGCAAGCTGGGGCCAGTTGCTTCCGCTCCTGCTTGCTCTCTCCGTCGCTTTTTCGAGCTGTTGGAGGCAGGGGCCTTCGGGGCTTCCTCAACGTACTCAAGTACATACGGAGGCCCAAAGCTCGAGTCCGCATCACCCGAGGGCTCTATGGTCGAACCAGGGAAGCTCTCAACGAGATGCTGCCAGTCCAAGAAGGTGTCCCGGAAATCGACCGATTTCAATCGGTTCGGCAGTTCTGTGTACCGAGCTCCGGCGGGGTCCCCGTAGCCCAAGAGGATGTCCTGGATCCAGGAAGGGAGGGTGATGTCCGAAACAATGAGTTTCTGCATGGTTTCAAGGATGGATTTGAAATTGTTCTCCCTTCCTCGCCTTCTGGCCACCACGTTGATCAAGGGGTAGATATCTGGCTTGCCTTGCAGCTTGCGGTCCTGATCTGCCTTGAACGCGGCAGCGTCTAGGTTGACCAGGAGTCTCCGAACCCGCGGCCTGGACCGATATCCATTTGTCTGCCCGGAAACTGGTTCGCGTAGTGGCCGGCCATTTTCATCGAGTATCTGTACAATTTCGGCCGTTCTGAGATAGGTAAGACTGGGACTCTCCGCGGCATCGGGGTCGCGGATTCCGAGCCTGCCAGCACTGGGAGGTTGCACAGCCAAGAGATAGATCACATCATCCGGGCGGAGGGCCTCCCACTCCCTTCTAATGTTATCTGCCAATCGGCCAACTTCGATGGCGATTTCCGCTCTCACAAAGGCTGGTTCTGCCGACCCAACCTTTGGAGGAGCAGCTTCAATGATTGCTGGTTTCGAGATCGGAATGGCCATGCGGGAGAAACCGTCGAATGTTAACGTTTTGCCATCACGGCTGGACCGAGGCTGCATCCGTTTGACAACAGATTCCATGTCCTTGCGGATTTGGAAAAAGGCTTCTGAGCGATACAGGAGGAAGGATCGCCAAAGGAAGTCACCGAGACTCAGGTATTGGAGGTTCAACTTCGGGATCGCAAGCGGTCTGGATCCGTCGTAGGTTTCGTTCCGTAGCAACGCTGGGTCGTAGAGATCTTCTTCCGTGGGAACGACGCGGAGACGGGAAGCCGTTTCTTGGAAGGGTATTCTTCGCTCATAGAAGGACAGCAAAGTTTCCATACACAACTGACGGTCAGACACAATGTGAGATTGCTTAGGATAGTTCGTCCGGAAGCCAAGATGAGAGCAAAGACTTTGCAGCTCCGAATCGTCCAGCGACGACAATTGCCCCTCCAGCTCCGCACGCTGTTCGATGGAGCCATAATTCGAAAGTGCAAGAATCATAAGCTTGTCCTTGAAATGTTTCATCGACGTCCGCTGGAGATGAGCCAGTTCCCGGCAGTGCGCGTCGTACACAGCCTGGGGGCCCATAGCTTCGCCTGTGTAATCATCAATTGCAAAGTTCACGAAATGCTTCAGAAGACTGTAGAAGTCTCGGAAAAGCCCATTGTCTGCCGAACGGTACATATGGGACAGATGGATGATAGAGAGCAAATTGAGATCTTTTAATAACGTGTTCACGTAGCGTCTCGTGGGAAGCTGGCTTTCCAGATCGACAATAAACTCCAAAAACCGTTCACAGTATAGTAGATTACCCGCCTGATCTTTTTCGGGGGCGTTCAGTCGTTGTAAAAAGTCGAGGAGCATCGCGTAGAGCCAAGACCGCTCAAATCGAATCTTCGCCTTGGCCGCCTCGTCTCCGGCATCGTATCGTTTCGCGGCCGCCCTCCAAGCTTTCTTCAAGGTCGGTCCTTGCGTCAATATACGATCCCGTGCTTCGTCGCTGGAGAGATTGTGCCAAATCGATATGGAAACCAGAGGTGCGCATTCCTTTCGAATCAAAACGTTTTCGAGGGACTGGAAGGCGCTGATGATGAACGATAACACGGACAGACGCGACGGGGTGGGAATCGAGTTATCGATGCTCATTGATAAAATGCGATGGAAGAGGTTCGAGAAGTCATCCGGTCGATCTGAAAAGGTTTCTATCCGACGTCATCAGTTTCTGCAACGCCCGAATTGGTCCAATTGACAAAACAAGAGTGAGAACTTACCCCAGATTGGCATATGCTCGCGCTGCTTGACATTGACGATCAATGCTATTAGCAACACATGGTAGTTGGAGGCATCTTCTGTGTAGGTTGGCCAGAGGAACCTGTAGGCGCGTCAGTTGACCGGACATGTCGACATAGAACGGATTGAAGTCATTCAACGTACTTCTCCAAAATATTGAGATTCTCCAGCGTGAGAAGCGAGCGCAAGCTGAAGTTCTCGGCCTCCAAAGCGTCCCAGAGCTCCTTCTTGATCACATCCTGCTTCACTTTTCGGACCTTGGACGAGTCCAGCCAATGGGTTTTGGCCACCTGCACCCACGAGCTTTCCTCGCGGAAATCCTCCACGGTCGGCCGGGAATCAAGACCGTGCGCCATTGTTTGTCGAGTCTGTGGACCCATTCCTTGCGACATTGAAGGGAGGGGTTGGTTCATGGAGGAGCGGGATCGGGTTTATCAGCGCAAATGGGTCCGCCGCGGAAAGCTTTCTGACGCGCGCCTAGCGAGGTGTTCCGGGCGCCTAGAGCCCGCAGAGCCGCAGCAGCAGCGACTCGGGTTTCTTATCATCATAGCCAACTTCGTCGCATTACTCACTCAAACACCTTTTCTTTTCATCGCACCTCTGCTTATACTCACTCCTGCGTCTGCTTTTTGGCCAACAGGATGGCTGATGCAGATTCCGACGTGATCCCTGTCTACAGGAGATTAGTCGACGATCTCCTATCCCGCGCCGATGAAGTCAAGGCCGACAAGCAGATTGAACCTCCGCTGACGGAATCCACCCTCGGAGAATCCGTTTGGCTTGTACGGGGGGAGGATGAGGCGCTGGTGAATCAGCTGAATCAACAGACACGGTTTGCAGCGGTGGAAATTGCATTCCGGGAGAAGTTCTACCACCTTCTTGTATGGACTCACGGGATAGACGATTGCAATGGTGGCTAACGTTTAATTTCTCTTTTTCAAAGGCTTCTACGTCCATCGATGAGCCGGCTTTTATTCGGATCTGGAACTTGCTCGACATTATTTCGATATTTTCCGACAATGGTTAGTCTTGATACCTTGGATGTTGGGCTGTGGATGGCCCTGACGTGTCTACAGAGCAATGCGAGCCTGGATTAATATTCTGGCTTATCGAGGAACTCCTCGATAGCCAGACAATTGATGGCTGCCGAAAAGTGTTTGATTATCTGGAATCGCGGAGGGAACGGAGTACCAAGGTACGCGCGTATCTCGCCTGTGGGCGACGACGTGACTGACGTCGTGATAGAAACATTTCAAGCAAAAAAGTTTGATCATCCTGCGATCCTGCAATGAGCTCCTCCGAAGACTGTCGCGTGCTGAAGATACCGTCTTCTGTGGGCGGGTTTTCATATTCCTCTTCCAGAGCTTCCCGCTAGGCGACAAGAGCGCGGTCAACCTTCGAGGCGAATACCATACCGAGAATGTCACTACGTTTGATGAAATCGTCAAAGAGGCGACCCAAGAGAAGGATGCAGACGTGGAGATGGCCGACGAGAAGGAACCATCCACGGAGGACCAGAAAGAGGACGAGTCCCAGCAATTGCCTGAATCACAGGCACCTACACAGGACCGCCCGAAAACGCCGAAAACGCCGAAAGTGTCATTCTCCAACGTCGAAGCCAAACCCGAGGCAAAAGTCGATTTGGATGCGTTATACCCCATGTTTTGGGGGCTACAGGCCTATTTCTCTGCGCCAACGAAGGTTTTTGACACGCAGAACTTCGCCGAATTCAAGCGGGGTCTGGAAGCTACGCTTTTTACGTTCAAGAATGTCAATACAGACCTGGAGACGTCCAGCACGAGCAAGAGTTCCGAAGAGGTTCGAAAATCGTCGAAGCGCAAGCGAACCGCGGACGCGCAGGAGATTTCCAGTAGTTTCAACCCCAAGTACTTGACGAACAGGGACTTGTTTGACCTTGAAGTATGTGTCTTCGTGTCTTAGGTGACAGGCTGTAGCTAATCGTGCACAGGTCAGCGATACTGCGTTCCGGCGACACGTCCTCGTTCAGGCTCTGATTCTCCTGGACTTCGTTATGTCGCTTACACCCAAGGCCAAAGCGAAGCTGGCTGATTTGACTAACAAATCCGTGCTCTATGGTTTTGCGCTGAGTGATGAAGATGTAAGACGCCCCTCTATTCAAGTCGAGCAGAGCTGACAGGTTTTAGACCAAGTGGGCCATCAAGACGAGAAGGGCGATAGAAGACTATCTTCAAGACGGAGTCGGAGGAAAGTTCTATTATCGCATGGTAGATACGGTGTTGTCGCGGGACAAGAACTGGGTACGCTGGAAGGCAGAAGGATGTCCTCCCATCGAGCGACCTCCTATCTCGGTGGCCGATTACCTCAAGGCGCGCGAGAATGCGACCAGAATATATGCCAACAAGCGTCTGCGACCGTCGCCGATGGGGTCTCTCGATTTAAAGTTTCTCTCCGAGGGGGAGTCGTCTGCCGGTCTGGAGAAGCTCAAGGAACCGGAGAGGTAAGCAACCTACCTGGTAGCGGAGGTGATCAGCGGAGACGTCTAACACTATTCTAGATTTACAGTGCCGGCGGCAAATTCGTTCATGATGGGCATCATGGACGACGAGATGGACATTGACATGGCCCAGACCAAAGAAGACAAAGAGAGCGGAATGCGAGCCAAGGCGAGCAAGACGTGGCGCATACTACGGCTCTCCGCGAAAAGCAAGCTCGCGGCACTCGATAAAATCGACGACGGCAAAAATCTGAAAGCGTTGTTCGAGACCCAGCCCGCGGAGGGAACTCCCCAGGCCGGTGAGGGCACGCCGCAAGCAGCGGACGGGACGGACAGGGCTCCGACCACGGAGGACGATCCCGCCGGAGAGGAACGGCACGCTGGAGAGGAGCGACACGCCGGACAAGAACAACACTCCGGACAGGAGCAAAACGCCGGACAGGAACAATACGCCGGTGGGACGGAACAGCCTTCGACGGAGCCAACGACCGACCCAGCGACAGTCTCCACGACGGACGGCCAAGCGACATGAAGAAAGGCACGCGGGAGTCAAGACACCGCACACCCTGGCTATGAGGTAGCGCCTTCCAACACCGACGACCGGTGTCGCGTCGGACCTGAAGGGGTCGTGTGCGATGGATGCGCCGTCATGACGACGCTAACGAGCGACATGCAGGATGGGCCCTCAAGCGACCAGACAGACCGACAGGACCGACTGGCGGCTGGAGGGGGACCGGTTTCGAGGGAGCCATGGCGTTCGATATCACGAGGAGGGAGGATGGAGAATACGGTGGGGACAGGGGGGAGTGTGATTGGTGATTGGGTCACGCTCATCTGGCGCGCAGCCTGGGCTTAGGTAGCGGATGTGTGGCGAGCCCGTATCATGATTTCCCTCATCCCAAAATCCCCAATTTCCAGGAATTTCCCCGCCTGTCGGAATCCTCGGACGAGGATACGGATACACGGGGGGATATACGGGATTACCTTGGTCAGGGGGGAGAGCAAGGTTTCATTTGGCGACATCAGAGAATAGCGCCGCATGAAAGGGTAAATAGCATTGAAAACAGGGAAACAGGGCAAGAAAAAGAAAAGAAAAAAAAAAAAAAAAAAAAAGCAAGCGGTAGGGCTCCAGGGAAATTGGAAGGCCAGTGAACAATCCACATCGACGGACGCCCAGTCGGGGAATTTAACAGTTTCACTGGACGAGGGCTGCACAGGGCCAGATTGGGGAGAACCCAGTTGGAAGGGGAGCAGAGAGAGAGAGGAACCGAGCGAATAAGCTCAGAGGTAGTACCGAGGAGGACGGACGGTGATCCGCAACTTTAAATTACATGGACCTGCATTGAATTATCATGATGTACATAGAGAGTTAGTACGGAGGATAGAATAGGATCTAGTAATGAGTGTATCCTACTCACTGTCTACCTACCTGATACGTATGTAGGTCATGGTGAGAGGTCAGTGGTAACCTCGGAAAGAAGGAAGCAGAGAAGGCTTGCGAGATTAACAAGTGTCATGGCGAGAGGGGGAAAAGAGAGTCTGATACGCCATGTTTCACATCCAGCCGATGGAAAAATCAGACGTGAAAAATGAGAAATAAATAAGAAGGAAAAAAAAATAAAACCTCGGGTAAAGACATCAACCCATAGAGATGAGTCTGGATCATGATGACACGGTGTGAACTGAATGAATGGAGTAAGGAGATACGGTTGACACTGACAGTTAATTAACATTGACAGTTGACAGGTGACTGGATGATACTCGTGGGTACCGGATGTGACAGGCAGTATCTTCCTTTCTATTGATTCAGTCTTACTTATGCTATGTTCTTCTATTGCATTGTTATGACTATGGCATTACTTAATATTACTATGGCATTACCATGATTACTATGATTACTATGATTACTATGATTACTATGATTACTATGATTACTATGATTACTATGATTACTATGATTAATATGATTACTATACTATGTTTACTATGTTTACTATGATTACTATTGATTTTTCTATGATCATGCACTTATAGTGATATACTCAACCAGGTCTATACCCAGTAAACACCCTAAACCACTAGCAACATCGAATCCCAACAAACCAACAGTCAATATAGTACTCTATCCGGTCCTCTACCAGGCACAAGGTCAACAGAACCAGTCAGCCTCGGCAAGTCTAGCAAAAGAAGGGTCTCAGGTCTCAGGTCTCAGGTCTCAGACCAGATGGACCCGAACGGACGGTGTCGTAAACTCTGACCCATATGGGTACAAGAGGGAAAAAGTAAAAACAAAAAAAAAAAGGCCACTGTGTACATACTAGTGTGGGTGGAAGGAAAAAGAATAGACCCATGGAAGCAATTGGTAAACGAGGTTTCATCGTGGCCTCAGACCCGCACAGACCAGACACGCTAGGGCAATGGTTCAGGAACCTGACGGAGATGACAATGTAATATATTATAATATACAGAATAAATGGTGGGATAATTGTAAGAGAAGAATAAACAGAGGTGACAGGTAGACTGACTGATACGTTAGTACATGGATGTTAAGATTATGGGATGGTCAGGACTGCAGTCTTTTCAGTATCCTTATAAGAATTATTGTATTTACTAGTTCTCTACTCCGTACCTCGTCGTCTCTCCTACTCTACTAGTACTACTACCTACTCTACTCCGTACTATCACTCCTACTGCCTAGTACCTACGAAGTAGGTACTAGGCAGTAGTACTAGACAGTAGTAGTACAGATCGCCGTTCAGATCCGGATCATTCATCCGAATCTCGCAGCCGAATTTCGCCCTAGGCTTGCGTAATGGCTCGGATCATTTGTTGGGACGCTGTCTCCACCGGTCACGGTCACGGTCATGGTCGAGGCGGTCCATTCTGACCCAGGCAGACAGACAGACAGACAGACAGACATTTCAAAGACAATGCTCTTGAGAGAGAAAAAGAAAAGAGAGCATCATCTCTTCAAGGTGATGAAATCTATCTGATCATGTTCATATCATGATCAACACTGGTGTGTTTCTCGATCATCGAGCCTGATCTTCTTCCCCGCACCGTTGCTTGAGTCTGCATCATGCGATATGCACCCACTTTTCATTACTCTTCAGTGTACCCACAGAATCCACTGATTGCACGTACTCTATACTTCGTGAGTTGTAGGATAGGGGGTATCCATATACGAGGATAGGGAGAGGGATCTCGAATAAATAATAAAAAAAGAAGGAAAAAAGGGAAAAACGAAGAGGAATTAGGCAAGTAAAAAAAAAGTAAAGAAAAGAAAATCCGGGCAATACGGCGATTGACGGCGAAGGATCCTGATTCGAAACAGGAGAGGGGACTATCTCCCTAGTGTCGACTAGTGAATCCGACCATCAGCAGAGGATCAGGATCGGGGTAGAATACCGAAGCTTTATACTCTGCACCCCAGTGGACTGACTGGCAGTGTGGACAGGAACCCCTCTTTGAAAAATTCTCCGATTCGATTGTGATGATTTTAGAATATTAATTGTATATCAAGACAATTAAGGGACTGAAGAATTGGATACGAGCGTATATTGCTGGCATGTCGGATAGTCAGGACTCTGACTCTGTTAACCGACGGACGAGGAATCAGAGACACACTCCACAGTTGGATTCCTCATGATTCATAGGGAGTGACCCTCTCATCTTAGATCAAACAGAGGACAAGATGGAGAGAAGGAAGATGGAAGATGGAGGATGGATGGACAGGTAACCGTGACATGGTCTGTTTCAACCTCGATCTCGTGGCCTGCAGGCATCCAATCAGGGGTTGCTGCCTGAGTCGAAATCCACGAGAGATTCCTTGGCGTCACGCTCGGTTCAGATTCTGGCTTGATTATACTGAATATTTTATTTGAAAATTCTATAAAATAAACAATTGATAAAATAATAAAAAAAGACCAAAAGAATAAAAGAATAAAAATGTTCATGGTTTTCTCCGCAAACCCTGAGGGTCCTGCTATATCCTGGACCATGGATCTCTCGTGGCGAGGAGGATCTGGTCAACAGTTCTGGACCGGATAATACCGATTTATAGTGAGGAATCTCCGGAGAAAATGATAATATATCAGACAAAATATTAAGAAAATAAGATATAATAGATAATAGTTAATAAATAATAAATATGAATGATAAATGACCATGACTAGTAAACGGTGGTAGTGTAGGATTCTACCTGGTTTCCCTACCATATCCCGAGTATCAGACAGTGGAGTGGACGGTGGATATCATCAACGACATCGGACCCGCCAGATGCGATGCGATGTGATGCGCGTCTTGACCAGACAGATACTAGACCGTCCAGACTAGACTGATTGACTGACAAGTGTCAAGTCAAGGAACCGCTTGTCTGGAAGAATCCTTTTCTCAGGGAACAGGATGCGAGTAAGAGCAACGTAGTATTCGATCCTTCATTTCCTTCTGGGATCTTATGATAATTGGATTCTTATCATTCGCATAATTCTCCTTCCTAAACTGTTCTTCTCTGTCTTTCTCTTCCTTACGGTGGAGTTGTTCTCACTCAGCTCGCCACTCACCAAGGCCATTGTTGATATCGTTTACTATCTACGATTTGCATTCTCTTATTATCAGTCTCATTGTCAACCCTCATCCTCCTCTATCCCCCGTTTTTCATACAACCATGAGACGATCTTGATATCGATCGTGTCTCTCGTTTCATGACCTCTCCTCTCAACTGTCAACAAGCTCAGACGTTCCATGCTTCCATCCTCATTCCATCATACAGATCCCCTATAGACTGGCCAGATCGATCCTCCACTCCACCTCACCTTCCTTCCCCTTCTATCCATACTCCTGAACTCATCTGCTCCATCGGAACGCGTCCTCAATCCTCGAGGCTCGGAAATTGTCATCCATACCAATATTCCCTGTCCTTTCGATTCGCCGACCTAAGCGCATTGAGCCCTACTCCGTACCTCCCAGCCCTTTGTTTCCCTCTTCCCCTGCCCTCTCTGCTCTCCTCCTCTACCCTATCTCTTCCTTCCTACTGTCGTACCATTCCAATCCTTTCAGCTCCCTTATTGGTATCCACCGGAAGATCGTGGGGGTGTACAGGTAGATTGGTGGCCGGCCATCAAGCACGGAATGCCCACGGCTCCCTCCAACCTGCATCTCTAGCAGAACCCTGACTAGCCAACCTGGAACATCCATTTATCTCTCCTCCTATTCCACTTCTGTGTGATCTCCACTCGCCGTGATTCGTTGCGGTACCCGCTTGGCTCAGCAACTGTTTAATCTCGCCCATAGCCGTCTGTCTTCTCCAGCCCCCCACTTCCAGCGCCCCCCCCGGCCATTCTCTGGACCCAGCAACCTGATCGACCCTCATTCCTAACCTAGGCTGTTGGTGTGAGCTGATATTGTGAATCCGTTTTTTCTTTGCCTGGGGCAAATTAAGAAGGGTGAAAAAAAAATAAAACCAAAAAATAAAAATCAAGAAAAAGGAGAGAGGGAAGAACGCATTGATATCTCTTGACGTGTTTTGCCACCAACTCGCTGCTACTACCCCAGTCACTGAGTCAGTCAGCCTATCTCTTCCTCTGCCTCATTGTTTTTATCCTCTCTGTTCGTCACGTTCATCACGGTTGGAAACTTTCATCGGGGGTGGAAGAATTTGTTGGACGACTGTAATCCGGCACTCTACCCGGTTGAATCGCCGTCCAGTCTTCAACATTCTTGTCTCGAATGTGCCGGATATCGATCCAGCATCGTTATCGGCATTTGAGACTTCCTCGTGAACCTGCCTCACCAGAGGAGAAACAGACAGAGTCGCTTCTACCATGTCAATCAGCGGACCGTGTGCCTGGTTGTCCTCGCTGCCGCCTCCAGTGACCTCTCACCTGTCTGGGATTCAGAGTAACTGGCCAACGGCCTCCTGGAACAGTGAACAGGCCCCGTCGAGACCCAAGGTGACTCCATCCAAGTCGATCGGGAGGTGGGAGAAAGACGGCGAGCCGTCGAAACCGTCCCCAGCCGCCATGCATCCGGCGGTGATCAAGGCTGAGAACGCCTTGACGGCGGCGAATCGTGCGGGCACATCCACTCCCATCCGACAACCGGGGGCTGACGTCCCCAAGGGCGACGCGCGCCTTCAACACCCAGAAGCTGCAGGCTCCAGCTCCCAACCCGGCCCGGAGGCCCTGAAACAGGGTGTCAGTCACATCCCAGCCCCGGAGGCGACCCCCACGATCAGACGGCAAAGCAAGGACGAACTAGCAGACGCCTTTCACGACGGCGACGCCATGGATTCTTCCGACGACGGTGCTGGATCTCCCGGAGAGAAGAGACACTCGTCGGACTCGAAACTCGAAAAGAAGAAGATGAAGAGATTCCGGTGGGTAGAGCCAAAAGTCGACGGTCGGCGGTGGTGAATGTAGCTGACGATACTTCAACAGATTGACACACAACCAAACTCGGTTTTTGATGAGTGAATTCACCCGACAAGCACACCCCGATGCTGCTCATCGGGAGCGGTTATCGAGGGAGATCCCTGGGTTGACCCCACGCCAGGTGCAGGTCTGGTTCCAGAACCGGTACGTCTCGAGTTCAGTACATGCAGGACTGGTGCACGGAGACTGACTTCAACAGACGAGCAAAGCTCAAGCGACTCACCAGCAATGACCGGGAGCGGATGTTGAAATCTCGGGCCTTGCCGGATGATTTCGATACAACCCAAGTGCTACGGACGCCTTTTGAAGGAAAGCCATCGTCGGATGGGCCGGTGAGTTCGCTTTTCATCCCGTGATTCAAGACTCTGGCTAACAGTCATAGGTATTAATGACGGACGGGCTCCAACGACTCAACGATGACGATTATGTGATTTCTCCCCTGAGCTCTGCGTCTACGACCGGGCACGGTTTCTCGTCGGCAGGCCCTGACAGAAGCATCGACGCGTATCCCTCAGCCAGCCTGCTTGCGAGTCGCGCCCCGGGGTCTTTGACAGACCTGCATCGAAATAACCGGGGGACCTTCCCCTATCCACGATCCAGCAGCTTCTCTGAAGCATCGCTCAGCGCTGGGTTGCATTTCCCTGGACGATATCGACAAGACTCTATTGGGTATCATGGACTGCCGTACGCACGACGCCCGGTCGATTACACCCTGCATCGACCGGCGAACGGCATGGTGGTGGGATACGACCAGCAGCGGCAGTTGGAAGGCTCCGTATCGCCCACGGGGCAGCCGGAACAATCCATGCCCTACAGCGTGGACAGCCAGAGTGCGTCGTCATATCCTACCTACATACAAACCAACCTAACGTATTGTCTACAGATCAACCAGTACACGGCTACCAACCTCCCCTCACGATGCCCGCCCCAAAAGGATACAGCGGGATGGAGATGGGATCTCAGATGCAATCCCAAGGACGACAGATCCCCTCCATCCAGTCGATCCCCGTCTCCGAAGCACCAGACTACAGACCTTACTCCTACGAGCACCACCCCTACAGCATGAACGCGGCCATGCCATATAGCCACGCAAACACATCCAGCATGAGTCTCCCGGCGTCGTTTCCGTCCGACTCGACCAGCGTCACAGCCAGCAGCTCCGCTGATCCGATGAGGGCAAAGTACGGCACTCAGACGTTTGACTACGCGAATTACCTTTAATAGCCTCTTCGATTTGACTCCGCTACATAACCGTTTAATCAATTTTTCTTTCTTCTTTCTTCCGTCTGCCAACAGGTTAGACATTCGATCTGAGCAATTTGGGCTATCTGCAGCGACCACCTCCTATTTCTTTTATTTCTTTTATTTTTCATATACTTCCATAATGTATTGTGGCAGATTTGTCACAAAAGTCCAAGGAAGATAAATTGCTTCATTTCTTTCTTTTCCTACTGTCTACTGCAGTCATCAGGCGTCTTTTTACCTTACCTCACTTTACTACTGGTTTCTCCTTCCTGTCTATATTTGTTGACCTTTTTCGTTCTTCTTTTCTTTCTCTTCTGTCTCTCTTCCTTTCTCTTCCCTTCTTTCCTTCTTCCTGTCCATCATCATATTCCATATCCATCCTGGACTGCAGGCAGTGATGTATGCCTGGACGTGAAGGAAGCAGTGCCAGAAGGGAAAGGGTATCTATTCACAATTACATATTTTAGTCTGGATTTTATTTATTTATTTATCTCAATCTTACTGGTTTAATAGACTCTTGATACATGTATTCTCATGATAAACTTCTTTCTCTTGGTCTGCTGCTATAAAGTAGTTTCCTACTTCCTTTCTTTGACCCATTCATATATGATACCCTTTTTATTACAGTAGAGTACTTCCATACTGCAGTAATTGCAATATAAGTCTAATCAAATCTACGTACTACCTACATATCATACATATACAAGGTACACAGTTGACTACGTAGAATACAACATCATAGCAGTGCTTCAATCACTAGTTGCCGAGCAACACTCATCCATGGGACTGAGCTCGTGGTACGGGCTACTAGATTTTACGACCTGAGATGCCAGAATCACGACCTGTTGATCCTGCTGTCGAGGTGGTTGGGTGGTTGGGAGATGCTAGTGTTTGCGAGACGCGTGCTTGAATTGACTGACTAAGTAGCTAATGATCATTATTCATTCTTTCGAATATGGGGTTCATATAGTTTCATTGATATACAATGGTTTCTATAGGTTTAGAGGATAAGGTGTGAGATGGTTAGTTGGTGGTTGTTTGGCTATATTCAAGTGTACGGAGTACTTATAGGTCATATACCCGACGAGTGCCTGTCTTGGGAAAAGAAAACTTAACTTCAACTCAGGGCCATTCCAAGGTTTAGTTTCATCTTAGAAGTTGGATTATCATATCAAAATTCACTATGACAACTGAACTTCTTTAGATAGTTCACTTACTTTGTATTGCTATTACAGATACTACTGGTATTAAGTGGGAGAATGATCCGGTCTATGTACAACACACTTCCATTTCACTTCACTACCTATCAATCAATCAATCCTATCCAAACTATATACCAACTATACTATAGCCAGATCTAAATGCAAATGCTCCTCCTACATGCACCTTGTTTGTATATCTCTCTCTTCCTGTGTGTGGGTGTAAATCAAGTTCTCATGATCACATCATCGCTCATGCATCCAAAACTGTATGGAATGAGGTCATTGCTGTTGAAATAAAGGAAATTGTCACAATGAACTTGTAAAAATTGAAAAAGAAAAAAACCAACCAAACCAAACGCCTTCCTTTATTCCAAGTGTAAAGAGTGGAAATTCCAAAAGTGGAGGGAGGTGTTAGAAATTATAACGACCCCCCTGGCGAGTTAACGTCTTGCCCTGTCTACTCATCGCTTTCAGATCTTTGGGCTCGTCGGTCGCGCGCTTTCGTTTGGCTGGGCGGGCCGCGTCGACGTGGAGGTGCCCGTTTTCCGATAGTGCCGTCGTGTTGTGCCACCGGAGACAGCGGTGCTTGCCGTCGTCGACGTAGGTCTTATTGCGCGTTGAGACGCGCTTCGTGGGCACGTCTTCTGACTCGGCTCGCTCGGCTGTCTCGGCCAGGTACTCTCGCCGCACGTTCATGTACTTGGAGATGTTGTTGCGGTGGAGTTGCAGTTCCTTCTGCAGTTTGCACTCTCGCAGCCCGCGCGAGTCGAGCCAGTCGATCAGTCGCTCGATGGCGTCCGGGCTCTCGTAGTAGCCCCATTCGTCCGCGTTCGTTAGCTGCGTCGGGCCTTCTTCGGCCATTTTGCGTTCGGCCGGCGTGACGTGGAAATCCTTCTGGTACTCCTTCTTTTGTTCGTCTGACACGTCGATGAATCCCGTCCGCTCCATTTCGTCCGGCCCCTGCACCCACAGCCGACCGTTGGCGTAGCGGGCTTCTGCGGTCGAGCTGTTTGGCATCCCTGCGTACGGCATCGCGTTGCGTTCGAACCACCAGTACCGGTTGCAGAAGCGGTCTTTCCCGAGACACCTCGTACGCGGGCAGTCGGCTTCTCTCAGGTCGTTGTCGAGGACTTCGATCTTTTCCTCGAGCTTCTCGATCGAGGCCTTCTGGTCGTCGATCTTTTTGAGCACGCGCTGGTACTGCTTGGTGCCCTTGGGTTGTTTGGCCAGCTGTTCCTTTCGCTCCCGCTCCTCGTCTTGCTTGCGTTTCCGTTCGAGTATGCGATCCACTCCCCCGCGGAGTGACCGCTTGGGTGCGTCTTCGTCGTCGGAATCTTGCTCCGTGTCGATCCCCGTCATCTTCGAATCTTCCAGGGCATCCAGCTCGGGAGCCGGTGTGGGTGATTTTTCAGGTTCCGGCTGGAGGGCTTTCCGCTCCTGATGCAGTCGGCGAAGTTCTTCAAGGCTAACATATTGTGAGCTTAAGGCAGAAAAGAAAAGAAAGAATAGGATATATACCCAGCCTTGCGAGCCTTTTGATGCTCAATCTTCTCTTTACGGAATTCCGTCATTTGATTCCCGCACTCCTCGAGGTAGTTTCGGATCGCTTTGGTCTCCAAACACAGCATGCAGATGATCTGCAACGCCTGGATGCGCAAGTTGACATTGAGCGTGGAGTACTGGACCTGGGCGGTTTCCTGAGTGGGCTCGGCATCGAGAGGCGCGAGGTGTTGTAAGATCTCATTGCACGCTTTCTCCATGCGTGGACGCTGGGACAACCGATGGAGCAAGCCCACCATGATCAACTCCCACCCGCCATTCCGGAACTCGCGTTTCCGGAGCCGGTCGATCCAACCGTAATCCCCAAACATCTCCGCCGCGCGGTGGACCTGAATCTCCTCCGTACTCGAGCGGCTGCGGTCTCCGCGAGACTTTATATTCTCCAACTCCGCTTTGGCCAGACTGCTCCGGGTGGTCATCCTGGTCACAGCCGGTTCGGGCTCGGGGGTTGGCTCCGCCTCGTCCTCCTCCTCGGCATCATCCGATTCCTCCTCCGGAAGATCCGGCAGGGAAACTTGCACGGCGCCGTTGTCATCATCCGCCGCATTGACCAGTTTCTTGAGCACGGCACAGTGGACCTCAACGAACAGCTCGCAGTCGGCGTCCGCGGAAGAAAATCGCATGGCCTGGAGGAAATCGTCAAAGGTGAAGGAATCCAGTTGGAAGACCTCGCAGTACACGTTGAGGGTATTCCACGTCTCCAACAGCCAGCCGACCGACTTCATCTCGAGTTCGTCATGCAGAATGTCTTCGTCGTCGGAGTCCTCGGTCTCGTCCATGGTGAGGAGATTCAGGAGCGGGCGCTGCCGTTTCTTTTCGCGCTCCGGGGCGATGTCCAAGTCCTCGATGGGGTATTTGATAGGCGGCGGGGACGGCTTCGGTTCCTCCTGCTTGACGACGACCGCGGGGACGGCGAGGGATTTCTTGTCGCCCTCTGGGCCCTTGGGCGGACGCGCGGCGCCGTTGGTCTTGTTGTTGACGACAAAGCCCGGGTTGCCGTTGAGCGAACGCTGGTATTCCAGAAACTGCGCCTCTTTGGACCGGCTCAGGTCCTGATTCGAGGGCTTGGATTTGGAGCCCTTGACGGCGGCCGGCTTCAATTCGGGCAACTGCTGCGATGCGAAAAACCCGAAAAAACCATCCTGGTCCGCCTTTTTCATCGCCTTCTTCTCCGCCACCTTGGCGCCGTACTGGAGGTGTTTCGGCACCTCCGTCGGGATCCGGTATTCCTCGGCGATCGAGGACTTCACGAGCCACGGGGCGCCGTTCCAGGACTCCCGGTTCACGTTGTTCTTGATAAAGGCGCGCAGCATCTGTTTCGTGAAGGTTTTGCGATCTCGGGTGATGTGTTCGTGGTCGAGGAGGGCCTCCTCGTTCGGCCGATCCAACACCTTGACCAGGTACATGGCATAGGCGGGGGTTTTGACCGATCCGTCCGGGTGGAGTTGTTCGGCAAAATTGGCCTTGTCGCGGATGATGCCGTGGAGGCGGGTATTATCGTCGAGGAGGATCAGGACGGGTTCACCGGGGTAGAAATCGCGTTTAAACTCCTGTGGGGGGGTCAGTAAAGAGGCTCGGGGCGAATTGCGCGCGCGCTCACCTCATAGATCTCATCCACTGTCGAACGTTAGCTTAGGCCCGCGCACGAACGTACTGCAGCACGTACCAAGATTATCGACCCGCGATACAGTGGAAAACTGGATTCGGCGCAAGATCGGCTCCTTTAGCGCATCGGGAAAGATGTTGTTGACTTCGCGGGACTCCTCCATCTGTCAATCCGCGTCAGTGAGCGATTCGGGGTCCGGGGTCACGGGTCGCGCACTTCACTTCTCAGCGCCTCGAAGAAGTTGAGCCCCGAATGACCGGTGATCTCGCAGATGAACCTCCTCTGCTTGTAGAAATCCATGCGTTGGAGGTAGGGCTCATAATTGGTGAAGACCTCGTTGGTCTCGGGGATGACCCAAACCTGCGTGGTATAAGCAAACGTCCTCCTCCATCTGGGTGTAATGCACATGCCTCGGAGCTGTCATCTTCAATCGCGGGTCGTGGGAGGTACTGGACGGGCTTCCGTTTGAACAGCACCTGTAGAGGTCAGCCGTTGGTTCCTCCTTGAGCAGTGTTTTGACGTGTCGATCAACGATCGGGAGGTGTGGCGTACCATGTTCTTCTCCGACGCAAGACGCGCGCTAATCGATCATAGATTACTGGGACGGTTTCTGCAACACAACCAACCTATGACGCACGTAGACGGTTAGTATTCACGTCGGTCATAGATCACGCGAACGCGAAAACCACGAATGATAGTCACAGTAACCGATGTAAAAGAGGAAAACGCCGCGTGGTTGGGTATCAGGGAAATTGGTCCTGTGTGGGCGTGTTCGACGCGACGGAGCAACGGCGAAAAACCCCGTCGATCTCTGCTTTTTCCGGCCGGGGAAGACACCGAATCTGGTCACGAGGCGATCTCCAACAAGAGACTTACCGAGTCGACGCGTCTCCAGTCGCGCAGTCGCGAAGTGCGGATTGAATCAATGGTGGACGACCCGGGGGGGAAAACTCGGAGTAACGCGGGAGTGGGTTGAAGAAGGAGCGGGACCCCGGCGACAAGAAGAAGTAAAGAGACGAAGGGAGAGGTGCGGGGAGTAGGGAATGAAATGCAGGTGGATATGTAGGGGGTGGGGTGGGTAGAAGAGAGGAAGAAACGAGGAGGGTGAAAGAAGAAGAGACGAGAAAGAAGAGAAGAAAGAGAAAGAAGAGAGAAAGGAGAAGCGGTCGGGGCAGACGTTCAGGCTCCATAATGAAAGACTCTCCTCTCCAGTCGAGGCATCAAGGCCGCTGATTGGGCCTGAGGAGGAGAAAGACCGGCGGGCGGACTGGCGTTCACTATACCGTTTTGGGCACTTTCCTTCTGCTTCTTCTCCTCCACTCTGCTTGCTGCACTCTCTCTCTTCTTCTGCTTGACTATCACCCTTGTCTCTCTTCAATTCTCCACGTTCTTGCATTCATTCTGCTCCTCTTTGACGGGAGATTACTATAGATTGGAAATGATATATTTATTCTGCCAGTCTGATCTCTGATTACCCATTATCACCGTCCGAGGGATCGACAAGACCGCCAGGGGATCGACCACAACAGACAGCACAACCATCTAGGTGGATTCCAAAGGATATGAACCACCACTTTTCAAAGCTTCTTACCACCTGAATAGACATACTGTCCGGCAGATACTACCGGTAGACATTATTCCTCGCAGATTGACAATTATACGGGTTATACAGATGCCAAGACGATCAAGATCGACTGACTTCACCCTAGATCAAGTCATACTCCATGACATTCCCAGGTCTTTACCTGATCATTCTCGACTACAATATGATCTAATAAACGCCGCAGCTATTGATAGTACACCATCGATTCACTATATGAGCGTTGTTTGCAGACAAACCTAGTTCTGTGGTCAACCGATCTCCTTGGTTCAATTTCGAGAACTTGACAGATCTGGAACTTGTTCAAGCACTGACATACTGATTGACAGACACAGTGGATCCTCGGTTTCTCTTAATCTGTCGGTGGTATCAAGAAATCAGATAACTATGCTTCCAGAATGTATAGACCGACTATAAACAACCAAATACTTCCTTTATCAATCAACACAACAGATTGCTCCTCGCAGCTATACAACTATCTAATTATTGAACCTGATATGTTATACTGAGCACAGTATCACTAGAAGGTGTTCTCCACCCATTACCGAGCATAGTCAATCATTCCCGCAGGAAAGAACATAATCCCTTTGCACACCACCTATTTACCCATGCTTCTTCGCTACAGTACTAGAGAGTAGATATATCATATTCTGTGTATGGACAGGAAATAGTAGACTGACTTGGCCAACATCCCTACAGTGAAGAATACACTTACCTCCAATACCAATCCCTATATAATCCCACCAAGTAGTATACCACAGTTAAATATGAACATGAAGTATATGATCATAACAATAGCAAATCGACATCCCTACATACCCTCCATTTAGCATACATAATATACTACCCATCCCGAGAAACGGTGCACAATATACAGAATAAACTATACTAACAGTCCAAAAGCAGTGGCGGCAAAGGGAGGCAAAAAAGCCCCCCCAATCCGCATCGGATCGAAATCCTCTCAGTCCCCCAAGTTGTCCACAGTTATATAACACTGCTGGATAATCTTTACTTACATTGAATAAACATTAATAAGTAGATCACTTACTCCTTACTACTACCGGAGGGACTCTGAAAAAGTGTACTCTCAATATATAGTATGTCTGCAGTGTGACCGATAGATCGGAGAAACAAGTCTAACCGTATATGCGTTAGTGGCTGATCAAGTGGGTCTGCGTCCCGGCACGTGGTTTCGCCAAACAATGCAAACGGTGACGCTGACGAATTACATCATTGTTTGTATAAACACACCCCTATCTACCTCTAACATCATGAATATACCTACCTAGGTAGGATACTACCTACGAGATAAGAGACAGCTGTCTGTCCGAAGATAAGGTAGAACTTATTAAATTGGTACTTAACAAATATTACTTTGGTCGGCTACGCCGTAAAATACACGACCATAAACCCCACCCAGCTCCCCACCACCCCCAGCGCAGAATAACTGCTCGTGAACATCAGCGGCAGGAACTCGTACCGGTTCAGTCCGAAGAACACCTGGTGCAGCAGCGAGCAGTACACGACCAGCGGGATGGCCACCGTCAAGTACAGGAGGGAGAATCGGTCGGCGAGGAAGATCCGCGGCCGTTCCGGGACCGGTGCCACGTGATCAAACACGTAGAGGAACAGCACCAGCCAGAAGATGGTGTATACTGTTTTGAGAGGGAACTCGGCGGCGGTGAAGAGGAGCGGGAAGAGCGATACGTGTCCGGCGACTGCGAGGGGCTTGAAGGCGCTGTAGTATCGGCGGTCTTTGAGCGCGATCAAACTGAACGGGATGATGATTAGGAGAATGGCCTTTTCGTGTACGTGCCAGCCGAAGAGGAAAGCGGCGTAGCCGCAGAGAGTGACGGCGCCGACGAAGGTCTCCCAGTCGGGACGGAACCAGAGCTTGACCAGCGGAAGCTACACGGAATTAGTATTTCATCAGAGACGAGAGAGTGGGTGTGCATACGAGTTGGAAGATCAAGGTCAGGATGAAGGTGTGTTCCTTGGTCACTTCGGGCAGAATGGCAAAAGACGTGTCTCCGACCAGACCACGAGTCACGCTCGACAAGGCGTCTTCCTTGACTGGCAGACCCAACCGCGGAGCAACTGTTCACGTTAGTCAATAACACCAGACTTCAAGTACAGACACATACGAGGAATTAGAACACGGTCCGTGAACGAGTACATGGCCCAGATGTTGGGCGCCCAGTAAGCATGGCACAAGCCCCGGGAGAACGGAAAAAGCCGATCCTTCAGCTGGAGCAATTGGCCCCAGTGGGCGAATGGCCCAAACGCAGCACCAAACACGCCGAGGACGCAGACTCCGAGCTTGAAGATGTTGCCAAACCGAGGGCGCAACATCGACCGTGGGTCAAGGCAGTAGGCCCGGAGCAAGTACACAAACCAGGCCAGCGACAAGTATAGATAGATGTGTTTCATGCACAGCAACACGGCGAACGTGATACCGCTGTATAAGAGCGTGGATTGTTTGCGCGCCAGAACCATCGATAGGATCAGGACCCCGTACATGAACCCGTTGTACTGGAAGTGAATATGGTCGATGATCAAGAGACCGGGCGACAGAAAGACCGAGAGACTTGCAATGTGGGCGAGGTGTTTATTGTCCTGCGAGACCGACTTGACGAACCTAGTTCAACCGGTCAGTACTATCCTGATTTGGTCCGCAGCGCATCGAGAACCCACCGGGTGAGGGCAAAGAGCAGCACAAACTCCGACACAATAACAGTCGCCCTCTGGAAGTAAACCGTTTGCCACGAATCATACCCCAGATTCTGCACAACCAACATGGCCGGATCCACGTATTGTGCTATCCGCGACAGCAGCCACTCGAACGCGGCGAAGAACGGGGGGTAGTCGAGCGTCCATTCCGAGGTTTTCTACCGATATGAGCCGTGTCCTCGCTCCAATGTTGCTGCCCTGAACCTACCTCGTAGTACCACTCCTGCACAGGTAACGAATGGGTAATGGCGAGCCAATTGCGATGGACTTCGAAATCGGTCGATTTGCTGCGACGGGCCGGGTTAGGAGAGTTCAACGATGAAAGACAGGAGCAACGCACTATGCAGGAAAGAGCAGGACCTTAAACGCAGTGGCGACAATGGCGCACTGGGCCAGCGACGGGTATAGATCAGCCATTGGAGTCGTAGGGCATGATGAAGCTGAGCTGGAAGGAAATTCATCCATGGAACAGCGGGCGGGCGCGCCGATCCGGGGAGAGCGCGGGTCACGTGCGCCGCGGGAAAAAGGCCAGTGTGTCTCCGTCCACATGACTCGATGAACGACAAGCTTCATCCTTGTTTGTTCTTCATCTCTCTCATGGACCTTGCTTCTGACGTGGGAGTTCGCCATTCCGTCGCTCTCTCTAGCCTTGATATCCACCATATCGTTGAATTGTCCCCTGCTGTCGCCTCCGTTGCTCGAGAAGTCCGCCTCTGCGTGTTTGCTATTGTGGTTGGCTGGACTACTTCGCGCGTTGTCTCCGCGCTGCTCAAGCACCGAGCTTCGGATTGATCAATTCTTTCCAGAATTGTTTTTGTGTTTATCTTGATAGCGGATTTATTGCATAGTGTCTGCTGATTTCTTCTCAATTTACGAATATCGACGCCATTATCTATCCACGACCCATATCTATCCACGACCCATATCTATCCAAGTCCCATATCTATCCAACGAGACACGACTGCATCTCGCACAATGAAGATTCCCGCTTTGTTATTCTCGGCCGCAGTGGCTACTGCGCAGTCGGTGATTGAATCCTCTAGCTTTGGCCATGGTCAAACGTACGTGCATCCTTCTGCGTTATCGGGCCGGCATGCTGATATCTATATAGTTTATCCCCCGACGGCAATTCCATCCCGGGATGGCAAGTGGGCGGAGAGGGTCACGCTCCCCAAATTGTATGTTTTGGGCGTTATGATACTTGAAATTATGTGGTTACTGACTGGAGGCAGCTTTCGAACAAGCTTATTTTAACACCCCCGTACCCGGGCAACACACGAGGATATGCCTGGGCACAGACTCCGTGAGTACTATAATAATATATGTCCCCGGCGAAACTAACAAATATTGAACAGTATCTCTCAACCGGAGTGGACGGCAGAATTTCAATTCCGAGCGTCTGGCATGGAAAGAGGTGGTGGTAACCTCCAGCTGTGGTACGCGAAGGATGGTCAGCAGAAGATCGGATCGTCCAGCATCTACACAGTGGGGCCGTTCGACGGGTTTGCGCTGGTGGTTGATACACACGGTGGACGAGTGCGTACTCTGGACATACAAACTTGTCTCAAACTGACTAGTTCTAGGGTGGCAGCGTTCGCGGTTTCTTGAACGACGGATCGACGGACTACAAGAGTCACCGAAGCGTGGACAGCCTGGCCTTTGGACACTGCGACTATTCGTACCGTAACCTTGGCCGTCCGTCCGTGGTGCGCCTCAAGCACACACGCTCCATCTTTGAAGTGACGGTCGATGACAAGCTGTGCTTCTCCACCAACAAGGTAGGACCTTTTGCAGCTTCAACAATCATCTCTAACAGCAACAGATCATCCTGCCCTTCGGCAACACCTTTGGCATAACCGCCGCCACCCCCGAGAATCCCGACTCGTTCGAGGTCTTCAAATTCGTCTCTCAGACCGCCCAGGTCGGCACAGGCGGCTCGTCTTCCAACCAGCAGCAGCAACAACAGCAGCAGCAGCAGCCCCCCGCAGCCCAGGCCCAGGCCCAAGGACAAGGCACCGTCCAACAACCCCGCGGTGATACCTCCGGCTCCAACGTCGAACAACAATTCGTCGACCTCAGCGCCCGCCTGCAGCTCATCAACCACGCGACCAACAACGTCCTCCGCGAGCTCAACAACCAGAACTCCAAAAACGACCAGCGCCAAGCCGACCTTCTCCAAAAGGTCACTAGCAAAGACCAGTTCGCCGCACTAGACGCCCGAGTCCAGCGCATCGAGCAACTCCTCCAGGGCGTCATCCGCGATCTGGAAGGCAAGAATTACCACGAACGATTCGCACAGCTCCAGGATACGCTGCGGTCGTCGCACTTGAGTCTGACCGAGAGCTTCAAGGATACTCTTATGAGTGGTGAGTCCACTCCCATCTAATTAATATGCGAACACAGTCTAATAATGTGCAGTGGTCACCGCGTCCGCCCCCCGCATGGGCTTCTTCATCTTCGTCATCGTCGGCGCCCAGGCCGTCCTAGCCATGTCGTACATTGTTTACAAGCGTCGTCGCGCGGGCATGCCCAAGAAGTTTCTTTAGTCATTAACCAATCGTATCATACATACCTATTTCATCTCATATTTCGAAACTTAACCATGATCTACCACCTCACCTCCATACCTCCATACCTCACATCGCCTACCCAAATTCACTCAGCATGGATAAAAGAAGCAAGCACGACACCACCTACCTGCCTACCTAACCTAGCCTTGGAAAGACTCCCTCTATCACACTGACTATATATATCTTATCTAACACTGTATCGCTGTGATGCTATTGGCGTTTCGTTTCGTTTCGTTTCGTTTCTGTATATGTATTTACTACTACCTTATCACAATAAACTATGATTCTCTTGGGCTGTCATCTTCTTCATACTGCTGGTCCTTTTCCTGTTGAATCTACTATAGTAATGCTGTAGAATATTAAAGATGTCTAATTACCTACCTACCTCCCTGGTTAATAACCACAAATAATGTAGTACTGCCTACCAATGCAAACACCGTTAAGAATGCTGAGACAGCCTGCTTACTATCTTACTACCTACCTACCTACCTACCTACCTATTCGAAGAACGAGCGAGGAGGATAGGTATGTAGTCATTCCTTGCTCTCCTCCATCTCATCTCCATCAGTCTTGAGGGATCGAATTTACACTAAAGAACAGCAGAAATAATCAATGAAAGATGATAGATCCCAGTTAAGCGTAAGAAAGAAAAGCAATCTCTATTGTACATGTAGATAATGAATAATGAATACCCCCACCCATCCATCCTCATCCGCCATCAGGGACAAACCAGGCCCGGTCACTACCCTCTCCGCAAGGGAGAAAGGGAGGAGGTCTCTGCGAAAGTCCGCTAGACGACGAATAGGATGACATAGGTAGGGATTGCAATGGTCATCGCAGCGTTAGATACAGATGTGTATAGTATACTTACCTCTAGCTGACCCAGACTTGGCGAGCCGACCTTCTTCTCCCCCGGCCCCTCTTCAAGGGATTGGGTACGGCAAGGAATGGGTCGGCAAGGAGAGAGGACAGCCCCGCCAAGTGGTCCAGCCAGAGGCAGTAACACATAACAAAGAAAAGGAGAAAAAGATGAAATGAACAAAGCAGTCGAAGCAGAAATGACCCGGGTTCCAATGCAAGAACATTGAACTTGAACGCTGAAATCCCATACATGCGCCAGATGTAGTTCTCACAAACACCGAAATGCTGTGGGCTCTTGCTTGCCCATATGCCTGGCCCCTCCCATGCGCCAATCGCGACCAAACGCGGAACAGGTTTTTTTGTTTAGAAAAAAAGGAAACCCAAAAAAACCAAAAAGAAAAACAAAAACAAACAAAAAAACAAAAAAAAACTAATCCACCTCCATAACGTCCCCAGAGTCCCCCTCTGGAGCCGATCGGGCAGCTTCTTCTTGCAGCGACTTGATGCGCTGCCCGATCAACTCCTGGAGGGACTCCAGGGACGCAACCTCTGTATCTGCCGAAGGCAGATCTACGGGCGCATGTGCCCGTAGTTGGTCGATGAGGAGGGCAATTTTGCCCTCCTCAAGGGGAGGTTCAACAGTGCCCTGCCGGGCGAAGGCAATCAGGTTGACGGCGGCCTCCTGCTCCACCGTGGTGCGGGTGGGGGCCCCCGCCGTTGTTGCCTCCGCCGCAGCAGGGCACTGTTGGGAATCGTAAAATTCCCTGGCGCCCTTGTTGAGTTTGTTAAACTCATTTTTGGCGTAGTCCAAAAACCTAAGCGCAACAGCCTTCTTAACTTCTATCTCAAAGATTTCCCTGCTTGGGATCAGCAAGGATTGTAGGGAATGAATGAAAAATAGGATACTAACTCTTTGACCCGCTTGACAAAGTCAAGCTTTACCCCCTTTTCGGAGACCCGATACATGACACCTTGCTCCTCGTTGTCTTCGATCTTCTCGGCTTCGGAGTCCTCGAGGAGGACGTCAATGTCGATCAAGCGGGGGCGTTTGGGACGGCGAATGCGCCTCTGGGTGTCGTATCCCTCCTCGTCCTTGACGAGGTAGTACAGATCGTGGTAGGTGTGGTTCGGACACATCCAAGCTTGATGCGGACGCTCACTGCGGATTTGCACGGGAGGATTGGACAGAGGAGGGTCGAGACAGTCGAGATGGAAGGCGAGAGGACAGTAATCGCACTGGATGATGGGTTTGGTGCCGCCGGTGGTGCGCCCACACCCATGGCAAAAGATCAAGTTCCCCTTGGTGTCCCTTTCTCGCAGTAGAACGGGGTCATCGTACGCGCCAGTGCGACTCCCCCGGACCGTCCGAGGCTGGAGTCTCGGCAAAGGTAGGGTCTCTTCGTACCTCCCACGTTCACCGGTACGGACGCCCGTGTAATGGTCGCGAATACCCAGGGGTAAAGCAAAATCCTTCTGCTTGAGATTGTCGAGATTGGATAGCAATGTGCCCACGGGCCGCCTCACGCTACACTTGGAGCAATACCACGACCCCGATGGGACTTCATTCAGGGGTGGGTCCAGACAGGTGAGGTGGTAGGAGCGGTCACACCCGTCGCAGCACAGGAGATCTCCGGGAGTTCCGCATTCACCGCAGATGTCGCTATTGTCAATCTCCTCTTGTTCGCCATCCTCGTCATGCATGGTAGGCGACAGGCGCCGATTGTCGGGAGCGTCGCTGCTCGCCACGCTTTCTGACCGGTCTCTGCGATTGGTCGCGGCGCCATCAGGGCCAGTGTTGGAGCGTGAGGGCCGGGTGGGAGCCGCGGGTGAGCTGTCCGAAGCGGGGTTGGCAGTCAGTGACGAGCGCAGCTCACTTGACGTGGCCACGATGTTCGGAAGCGATTTCTGCAGGCGGGTCCGCTTCGCGTTCAAAGCCTCCTCGGAAAATTCTGGGTCCTCTTCCAAGGCACGCTTTCTTTCCAGGACGGACTCGTTGGTTGGGAAGGCTGACTGGCGCGTTCTTGGCGGGTCGGCTTGTTTGGTTTTCTGCGCGGTAGCCGCCTTGGCCTGTTTGCCCTTAGCGCGAGTGCGAGCCTTGCCCGTCCCGGGCGCCATTCCGGGGGCGAACGTCTCAACATCGAGGGACTTGGCCGAGGAGAGAGATGAAAGTGAACTAGCCGAGCGAGGACGGCCCGTAGTCACTCCTGCACCTGCAGGGGCTTCCTCGCCAAGAATTGCAGCCTCTTCCTCCAGGCGGACCTCCCTCCAGGCGCTGCGCATCACGGTCTGAAAAGCCGATCTCTCCCGGGGGCTCGGGTTTTCCTGGCAGATCGCATTCAAGATAGATAAAGAGAACGGGTCGTCATTGCACTTTTCCCACAGACGCATGAGGCCGCACATGACGGGGCGGTTGCCAGTTTCTGCGGCAAGGGTGAGGGCATTTTCAACGGCCTCCTTCAACTTCTCCACATCCACGTTGGTAGAAGTCGGCACGGGCAGAGTAGTAAACGTAGCGACATAGTCCGGGGTGCTGATCTTCAGAGGCTGGGGCTCGGGCTCAGCCTCGGGCTCGGGCTCGGGGGCCTGTTCTTCCGCGAGAGACAGGGGGGTTGAGGATGGAGGCTGGGTGCCGTCATTCTGACCGTCGGGCGTAAACACTTGGAGCTGAGCTGGAACGCTGGGAGGGTTGGCCTTCGGAACTAGTCCCACTTTGCGCAAGTCGGCGGCGGATGGCATGGCTCCCAGCGGACGCATGGTTGCCAGCACAGGATTGAGGTCGGTGGACACTCCGGACCACGGGGTGTCGGCGTAGCTGGGCACAGGCTCTCTCAGGGGAGGCTCGGTCCATTCGGCAGATCTTCCGGTCAAATGAGATTCGCTCAAGCTGTCGCCGGCGCCTGCCTCGGCCTGTCCCTGCGAAGCATCACCGTGAGGCGGATCGGTGGCCACGCGACTGCGTCTATCGGTACGACGCTGTTTGCGAGGTCTGGCGGAATCGGTAAAAGCGGGAGCAGTGTTCGACGCCGGGGCGCCAGAAGGGGTAGAGGGGCGCGAATTGGTGGCGTGAGAAGAAGAACGGAGGTTCGGGGCCATTGTTGCGAGAGCAGGGCTCAAAAAGTTACAACAGCTGCGACAGGTCGGGTCAGCTTGGTAAACGGCAAAGAACGTGGTTTTGAGGATTGTAATAAGAAACCAACACTTACTGGTTAATAAAATTCAAAGGAGGCAACGAGTTCGCCCAGCGTTGCTGGTGAGAATCGTGGCCAGCGCGCGCGCTGTCTGCGGGATGAAGGGAGAAAGAGAGGTTGCGGAGGTGCAAAGACGGGAGTTTTCGAGGGCGACGGTCCCAATCACACACCACCTAGGGGGTTGACCGCGGAGACTGCCACAACCACGAGACCTGCACACCTGAGCTCCAGAACGCGTTAGAATATAGGATTCCTAAATAGTCGTGTCTATTTCTATTTCTTTTTTCTTTTGTCCTATTTTTTTCTGTAGGATGGGGAGTCTTACTTGATGATCTCGTCGTACACCTCGAGGGTTGTTGCGACGAAGATATGGAGGCAGAAGGACTGCAACGTAGATGAATCAAAGGTTCAGAGGGCGATGAGAACACCTCTGGATTGGGAGAATTGTATTTTGCAGACAAACCCTCGTAGAGCTTGCTGTCTGGATGATCTTGTTCTTTAACGAGCCGTGTTCTTTGTCTTGGTCAGCATGTCCTCTTGAGCTCCGACAGGAAGATACCAGTCACAAGTACAAAAGCACAGATGAGTATGACCAAGGAGCAGGATGTAGAAGAAGTGATCGACAAATATATAAACAAAAACACGGTGGGAAGATGATCATGTGCATCGCTGAAGATATCGAGGTACAACTTCTGCCTGGGTCTGGCAGGTGGATGGAGGAGATGTTGCACAAGGAAGAGCAGCTGCAAGACAAGAGCGAGAGACTCACTTTTAGTAGAGAAAAGGACTCTGTGGTCTCAAGATGAAAGGTGTTGTGATGAGTAGTGAGCAGCACTTGTGCTGTTGCTTGGAGAGAGAAATATGAGGTCGGAGGTGGGTTTCAAGAAGCGATCTCCAACGTGGATCGCTGAGTGAGGTGGCTAAGTGTAGAAGATCGAAGAAGATTTTAATGACGAGAAACGCGTAGTAGTCTTTTGACTTGGTGCTTGACGCGTGATGTGATGAGGAAGATGATGGAAGAGATGATGTGATATGAAGAGTTGATTTCCAACGTGGGTCAAACTCTTAAGAAGTGATGGAAGAGATGATGGGAAGAAGGCAATGGGTAATGATCTCTTCAGAGATATGTGACAAGATAGTCAAGATGGAAGTATGTAAGATGGTGAGTCGTGATAAGAGAGAGATGAGTAGATGTGTAGAGAAAGGGGTCAAGAGAGGCAAGACCCTTTGAGACAGGAAGGAAGAGAGATGTATCGGCAGGTAGGAGATATTCAAATACTCCTTGGAAATGAATAATGAGGAGTAGAAGTGAGTGACGTGAAAAAAGAGAGAGAGAGTCTTGATTACAGCTCTTGATCTTGTATCAAATGAGGCTGTGAAGATACGAGGGGCAGTGTGGGATAGCTGCACCTTCGCGTGGAAGAGGCTATTCAGAAGTCCTCAAAAGAGAAGCCACCAGGCTGAGAAAAGAAGTCGTCTTTCAGAGACAGAGAAAGGAATCAACGCGATCGAAGCGTCTAATCGAGAGAAAAGAAGAGTGAAGCCCAGAAGGCCAAGACGATCCGAGTCTGTGTAAGCAATGAAGGCAGCAGAAAGGAACGAGCCACAATGGAAGTAGCAACGAACGAACGTGGTGGAAATCTGATGATTTTGAAGCTTTTGACAGAGTAAAATCCAGGTGAGAATGGAAAGGGAAGAGATGGTTGGGAGAGAAGAGAAGAAGGGGAGGAAGAGAAGGAGGGAAAGAGGAGGATTAAATACTGCAGCTTGGGAGGAATCGACCGGCCCAATTCCACTCTCTCGCTCTCATTCACTGGACTTGTTCTCGTCAACCATCCACCAATATGGCTGGCGACGGTGAATCAGAAGTTACACAATTGGAATTTCTCTACTTCATCGGATTGATTACCTGGGTGGGATATTCACTGTAGACCTCCCTACTCCCTCATTCACTCTTTCAGCCACCAGACCCTTCTCTGCCTAACAGCCTGCAGACTCAATTGCCTGATGGAAACAGACTGACTACGTAGGATTCGATCTTTAAGACTACGAAGACTTTTACTGCTAAGAATACCCTCGTTCAGAGGGAAGGGGTGGAAAGGCCTACAGGGCTTGGGATAAGTAACCACCCGCTTGGGTTCTTGGGCAAGACGTAGCTTCAAGAAGCACTATTCCAATGACTCGGAGGGGACAAGAGCAAGTGAATTAGCAAGACTGTCACACGGAGATGTCCTATACTGTGCTTGCACTTGACCAGGGAGGGGATAGGTATGAAGAAATCAGCAGTGAAGACAGGTAATGAATATACATGCATGAGACATACAGGACAGCCAGGGCGACAGCTACGAAGATAGACATGAAGAGAAGTAGTGACTGTACATGTGTGGGACAGGCATGGCAAGAGGTGTGAAGACAGCCATGAATAAATGTAGTGAATATACACGCGTGAGACAGACAGGATAGCCATGTAGATAGCTATGAAGAGAGGCAGTGGTTGTACATGCATGAGACAGGCAGGACTGACATGAGAACAGCTATGAAGACAGGGGCAGTGAAGACAGCAGTGAATGTATATGTTAGACAGACATGACAGCCATGGAGAGAACATGAAAACAAGCAGTGAATGATCAATAGACAAGGCTATACTCTGTATAATATACCCTGCAAGTCCTCCAATCAACCACATCCAAAGAACAAAAGGACAGAGAAAAGACAATATCAAATCTATATCGTAGGACAATTCTAAACATACGTAATCAATATTCATGTAGCTTCATTTTTTTGCTTTGATTTTCATGTCCACTTCATACAGGATATATTTCCCTTTCAGACATAATTATGTAAAGGCACTCACTCCTACAGGATGGCGTGGTAGAAAAAAGACAAGGGTTTCATATGTAAGCTTCATTTCCTCCCACACCAGGAATCCTTCAGAAGCTAGCTCTCTGCCTGGGTCCGGAGGTCGAAGACACCAGGATTCATCGGCTTCCCTCCACAGTTTGATTTTCCCCGGGGAAAAAGCACTGGGAGGAATGGCGCACATCCCTTCCGACGATCCGGGCTCGGATCGAGGTGGCTCAGTCCATGGGACATTTACTCCTGGGCACCGGTGGTCTTCTTCTTCTTGCTCTTGTTCTTCTTGTTGCCGGTCGACTTGTTCAGCGGGCGGTTGAGGATCTCGAGGATCTCCTCGTCCTCAATCTTCTTGTCCGTCTTGAACTTGCTGAGATCGGGGTCGGCGGGGGCGGCGAGCTTGGTGATACCGTTCTTGGTGATGGCTGGGAGATTATTAGTATACGGATGGCCACGATTACAAAGGGGACAGTTGCAATGAGGTACGTACCAACGGTGGTGAGCAAACGGGAGACCGGGGAGTTGTCGGCCTCACCGGCGGGCTCGTACTGGCGCAGGACACCGCCACGGACGCACTCGAGAACGCCGACCTTGGCGGCCTTCTCGTCATCCAGCTGGCGCAAGCTGAAGGGGAAGTGGCCGAACTTCTTGACGACCTCGGACAGGGTCTGTCGCGAGCTGGGACGCTTCAGGCCGTAGGTGGTGGTGGTACGGCGGTGCAGGGTGGCGCGGAGGGGCAGGTTCTTGACCTTGCCGGAGCCCAGGGACAGGCCCATCTCGACACCCCAGACCTCACCGACGTCGGGGATACCGTCGCCGCGCACGCCGGCGTTGGGGGAGAGGATGATCTTCTTCTCGGCCTCAATCTCGTTGCGCTCGAACTGCCAGGTGGTGGTGTTCTCGACGACGTTGCAGCCGTAGATCTTGGCGATCTTCTCGATCAGGGAGGACATGTACGCCTGGGAGGGGGCCTTCTTGGCGGCGGCCTTCTGCTTCTCCTCGTCGGTGCCGCTGGCCAGGAGGCCGGCGGGGACCATCAATCGGAGCAGAAGCTCGTTGGCGTAGTAGGTGGCGTGGATCAGGTCGGCGGTGCGGCCGGTCACCTCGTCGGAGGCGTTCTTGTCGGCGACAATGACCATGTCGCAAACGATGGTACCGAAGCCATCGATCTGGGCACCGAGCTGGATCTTGGCGACCTCGCCGGCCTTGAGGGTGACCTCAGCCTCCTCGGCTTCCGAGACCAGGGGAGTGTACGGGGTCACGTAGGAGTCGGGGGAGACGGTGGTGGGGTGAGCGATGCCTTAAACCGTCATGTTAACACCGAGGATTTTTCCGTCTTTGAGAGAAGATAGCTGACGCACCCTTTTGGATCTTCTTGCCCTTGTAGACCTTGGCGAGCTCCTCGTCGAGCAGCTTATCACCCTTCTGGCAGAGCTCCAGGATCTTGGCACCTTCCACACACCATGCTAGAATGGAGGTTAGAAATGGAAGACTCGGACCATCGACGGAGGATACGTACATCCAACGGCCTCGAGAACCTTGTGCGAGATGGTAGCGGCAGTCTTGTACTTGGTCAAGGTATCGGGGTTGTTGAGGGTGTAGTCTATAGGTGGGAAGGTCAGTTGCGAAACACTAAATCAAGTGATCTAAAGCTTCTTCACTGCTTTGACTTTTTTCTTTCTTTTTTTCTGTCTCTCTCATTTGTTTTGTATTTTTTCTTTCATTTTCCTCGTTCCAAACCGGAGCTCTCCAGGTAGCTCCAAGGCACCGGAGCGATGACGCCGGCCGAGCAAGCGGGCAGGAAACCCACAAAACAGCGGGCAAGCATTTTCAAATTGACGGGGAAAAGAACAGTGATGTAACTATTACTTACCAACCTCCTGGGTTTGAGGTTGAGCCTGGGTGGTCTCAGCCATGGTGAATAAAGGATATAACCTCGCGAGAGAGCGAGGAAAAAGCTACAAACCGAACGGTGACTTAGAAGCTTTTTAGAATTGGGATTGAGGTGAAGAGGAGAGAAGAGAGAGAAGAAGCGACAGAGAGGGGAAGGCTGGATTGTATGATTAATGGGAATCATCCATACGGCGTATTACCGCGGTGGTGGGGTATTTTTGTCGGGTGGGGTCAAGGTTTGGCTGTGAATTGGACATCATTTGTGTCGGACGGAGGTAGGGCTTGGAGGCTGTTACCGATTGTGACAATAAATTACATAGATTACGATAATTACCCATGATCTTACATCCATTATCGTAGTAAACATGGTAGGAAATGCTCATCTCGATCCTGATTCTTCTTCTCTTTTTGCTTCAGTACAGCTCCAGCTGTCAACTTATAAGTACAGGCAAGTACACTGAGAGAGCATAACCGAAGGCATAACTGGGGGACAGAGTGGATATAGTGTATGACATCACACTATCATCAGCATGCCAGTCATTTCTGTTGATCGCCTGGATGATGGCTTTGTTAGATATAGTCAGATAGATATGAAACATAGCTAACGGGATGTGAAAAGTAGTAAGTAGAATACAATAATTAAACAAGGTGTATATATTTGGAAGTATCAGTATACGTAGTACACCAGGTATATAGTCGCAGTGCTCTAAGCACACCCAGTTTATAACTTCATTCAGACCCTTTTGACAAACTCATCAAGATACTGAATACCTCCCGATACAGGCTAGTTCAGCATGACCATTCTTCCTTTGCCACGTATGAAACGTGATCCTGCTAGGCCGTCAATCTCGACATGGATTAAAGCCCTTGAAACCCCTCTAGGCTAGCAAGTCGGGGTATAGTAGTCGTGCTGACTGAGGTATGACCGAGAGAGAGCTAGAGATATGAATATCTTTCATTGCATATATCTTGGTGTTGCGTGGCTGACCACTAAGATGTATTTTTACCCACGGCGGGTAGTATAGCGGAATATATAATGGTAGTCAAAGACGATATAGAACCACCAACGTGTTATAGAACCAGATAAACCAAGTTAACCAGGTAACCATTCTAACAAGAAGTCAACCATGTATATCAATGCAACAGTAGTGTTCATCATCCAATCATGATTGTAGACAGACATCTTCTCCGCATTCCTTCAACCCCGCCGTCCGTCTAACGAAGTATGTTGTTATATGAGTTGACGACGACTACAACTGGCTACTTGTCTAATTGACTAATTGCCTACGGGGTACTTACCTACTTACCTGTCTACTTCTACTTCTACTTTTACACGAATCACCACAATAAGCCAAAATGCCAGACCTCCCCCTCCGCATCCTCACCTACAACATCCGACACTACACCCCCGCCCCCTTCAAAGGCGAACTTCCCTGGAAAGACCGCGCCCAGCCCCTAATCAACCAACTCCGCCATATCACACACGGCCACGCCGACGCCCTCGTCTGCCTCCAGGAAGTCTTCCACAACCAACTCGAGGACATCGTCGCGGGGATCAACGCCAACACCTCCGACCCATGGAGCTACATCGGCGTCGGCCGCGACGACGGCCACCAAGCGGGCGAGTACTCGCCCATCTTCTATCGCGCGTCGCAGTGGACGCCCCGGTTCACGAAGACGATCTGGCTATCTGAGACGCCGGGCGTGCCGTCTAAGGGATGGGACGCGGACTCGATCCGACTGGCGACGATTGCGGTGCTGCATCACCGCGCCTCGGGGCGGAATGTCCTCGCCGTGAACACGCATCTCGACGATCAGGGTAGTCGTGCGCGGCTTGAAGGCGCGCGGCTCATTCTCCGCACGGTGGGCACATGCCGTGGAGGTGAAGGGGGCGTATGCGCGGAGAGTATCAGTGGGGTGTTTGTCGCTGGGGACATGAACAGCGAGGAGCACCAGGAGGCGTACGTGGCGTTCACGACGGAGGGTCAGAAAGGCGAATCGGAGCTGGTGGATGCGGCCAAGATGGTGTCGGTGGCGGAGCACCATGGGAATCGGATTACTTGGACGGGGTTTGGAAGTGAGGTGGAAGAACCGGCGGTGTTGGACTATGTGTTTCTGGGGCGAGGGTGGACGGTGGAAGGGTATGCGGTGTTGGCGAATGGGTTTGACGATGGGGTGTTGATATCAGATCATCGGCCTGTGGTGGTGGATGTTCAGCTGAAACTGTAGCTGGTTGACAGTGGATGATATAGCTATGCTGGACGATGGAGAGATATTGTATGGAAGATGTTACAAGTCTCGTATCCACCGGTGACGCCAATCGACTAGTGGTATGGGCCTTACCATATCGAGTATAAACCGTATCACGTGTGTCACTGGATTAGGCATAGTTCATGGTATGGGGCAAATACGGTATCAAAACCAGCAGCGTAATACCAGACGAAACGTCACACTCTAAGTGGTAATCCAGCACGTCCACCAGAAGTTCAACAAGTCCAGAAGTATCGCGATAGCCTCAGGATGATCCAAAAGAGATCAAATAATTGCTCGAGTCGAGGACTCTTGAATGGTGCTGCGGGTGGCCTTGAACCCTCTGGCCTGTTTTCCTTTGCGGGCACGACCACACTTGTAACAATGACTCTCTCTCTCTGTCTTTCTCTCTGTCTTTCCTCTCCTCTCCTCTCCTCTTTTCTCTCTCCAGACCATATCAGTTATCATCCATATCAAGCAATCTATCCAACTCTACTCTGGAATCCGACTAATCACCGTCATTTCACAGTCCAACTATAATCCACTGGGACGACGGTTGATTCGCCTTCGACGTGCTGTCGTTACGTCTTTTGCCCCCTCGCAAAGGAAAAAAACCAGGTAAGAAAGATACCGAGAAAAAGACAGACCCAGACCATCCAGAACCTCAGGTACCAACACTACCGCTTCTCTCTCTCCATCCTTGGGATTCATTATCATGATCATTCTGTCCCCTCTCATTCGACTGTATTTTTAATTGTGGATTTCTTTTTTTGATCCGGATTGTTTCTTCGTCGCCTGCTTTTCCATTCGCTTGTCATTGCCTCTCCTTTTCTCCCCTGTGCTTTACTCACCTGGCCTTCCTGGCCTCCCCCATAGGCGTGGTGGTACGTTCTACTCCCTGTCGACACTTTCATCCATCGTCAATTTCTGTTCCCCTGGGTCTTTCTTCTGTCTCTTCCTACCGGGCTGGCGCAAATGATCGAGATGTCGAGAGGTGTCGCTGTTTGCCTCCCCGACGCTGGTCGCGCCTCGTGCGCCGGCGCGTCGGGGTTGCACGGTTCAAGTCTGGCTAACCAGAACTCCGCTCCAGATCCCCCGATAAGGATGCGATCCTGATCGCTTTCCTTTCTCGCTGACCATCGTTATTTGGGTATTCCTGTGCAAGGTCTATCCTGGGGAACTCGAATCGCCTGAACCCATACCCCCCGCCCACCCATCATGCCGTCCCCCGACCTTTCGCATACGCGCCCGCCGCCGACCGATCTCCACGAGAATTCTAATGGCTCGGGCGCGCCCGCGGCCTTGCCGGATCAAGGCACTAATGGCGACGCGATCGTCGAGGGGAAACAGCAGGCCAAAGCCACGCTGGCTGCCTCCGGGGTGCCGCTGAACGAGGACGCGTCGAACGGCCATTCGGATTCCGGCAACGGCGTCTCCAAGAAGCGGTCACACGACGGGTCCGCCCGGTCCTTGCCCGTGCGCGTGCGCGAGACTCCGGCGGAGAAGATCCTGCTGGAGGACTACGTCAACCGGGAATTCCGCCACTCGGCGCTGACCGCCTGGCACAACCCGAGCCAGACGCTCGTGCAGGAGAAGCGCGCCGAGCGAGACTACCTGCTGTCCGTCCGACGGGACCACCACCTGAACCCCGCCGCCTTGTATGGCATCGGCTACCAAGGGATCGGAAACCCCCGCACCGATTTGCGAAACCCACACCCTCAGCTCCTGTACCCGTCCAACCGGCGGCGGCCGGGGAGCCGGCGGACCCGCGAGCTGCGGGTGCCGCGCAAAGACCTCAAGACGCAGAACGAGCAGATCGAGGACCTGGTGCCTGTCCGGCTCGACATCGATTGGGAGAAGATCAAGATCCGGGACACGTTCACGTGGAACCTGCACGACCGCGTCGTCCCGCCGGATCTGTTCGCGGAGAAGCTCGTGGAGGACCTGGGCCTGGCCCTCGAGGCGTCGGGCCCGCTGGTGCGCATGATCACGCAGCAGATCCAGGAGCAACTCTGCGACTACTACCCGCAGATGCACATGGAGGAGGAACCGCTCGACCCGCACCTCCCCTACAGCGCGTACAAGAACGACGAGATGCGCATCCTGGTCAAGCTGAATATCACCATCGGCCAGCACACGCTGATCGACCAGTTCGAGTGGGACATCAACGACCTGCACAACTCGCCCGAGGATTTCGCCGCGCGCATGACCGAGGACCTGTCGCTGTCGGGCGAGTTCACCACGGCCATCGCCCACTCGATCCGCGAGCAGTCGCAGCTCTTCACCAAGTCTCTCTACATCCTGTCGCACCCGTTCGACGGCCGCCCGATCGACGACCCGGACCTCAAGACGGCCTTCCTGCCGACGCCACTGCTCTCGTCCTTCCGGCCCTTCCAGGCGGCCAAGGAGTTCACGCCGTACCTGTACGAGCTGAACGAGGCGGAACTCGAACGCACCGAGGTGTCCATCTCGCGCGACCAGCGGCGACAGAAGCGGTCGGTCAACCGGCGTGGGGGGCCGGCGCTGCCGGACCTCAAGGACCGACAGCGGACGATCCGGACGATGTTGGTGTCGACGGTGATCCCCAACACGGTGGCGTCGATGGACGAGAGCAACGTGTTCAAGCGGCTGGGGTCGAGCCGGTCGCGGCGCGCCGCGGTCGGGCTGCGGGACGGCGCCGACGAGTCGGACGAGTCGGACAGCGACGAATCGTCGATGGTGGGGTCGCCGGCCATCGGGCCCAACCTGGCGCAGGGCACAGCGCGCACGCGCGGGATGCGGGGAGCGGCCACCGCCGCGCATGCCGCCTTGCGCGCCAATCTCCACCAGTCGGCCACGCCCGAGCCGCACCACGAGAGCCGGGCGTCGTCCCGCCGACAGACGATCCGGGAGGAGAGCGTGGACGAGCCAGACCGACTGGTAGTGACGCTTAGGGTGCCCCGGGAACGATTTCGGCAGCTTTTGACGCAGCCCGCCGCGCCGACCACTACCGCTGCGCCGCCGTCCCAGCAGAGCACGCCGCTGCCGCCGACTCCGTCTCAGGGGGTATCAGCAGCGGTGGCCACGCCGCATCTGGAGGGACAGCTCCAGCAACGGCCGATCCCGGCGCATCAGATCGGGGCGATTGACGCGACGCAGCCACCTCAGCCGGGGGTGCCAGGGGTGAGTCATTTTCCTTCTTCTCGGTTGTGAATTCTATATGAAGTGCCAATCTAACAATGGATAGCCCCCACCCCCAAACTGGCTCGCCGCCGGACTGGCGAAACTGAAACGATCCTACCCCAATGACTCCTTCGAAGGCGTCATGCGCTACACCGCAGTCGACACCGAGACCATGCTCCCCGTAGCCAACGCCAACAACCCATCCGGCCACAAGCTCAAATACCAGTACCTGCCGCGCATCCGCTGCCACGACTGTCCGGGCAAACTGTACACGCCCGGGCCGGCGACGACGGTGGATAACTTTGAGGTGCATTTGCGGAATCGGCAGCATAAGGAGCGGGTGGAGGAGCGGTTGGCGAGGGGGGGAAATTAGTTGTATATCTTGTTGGTTGTTTGATAGAGCGTTTTATTATTTATTCTTCTTGCTTGTTTCTTATCATTACTTGCTTGTCTTTTTGTTGGTTAGCTGTGGTTAGCTGTGGTTAGTACTGCTGAATCCATCCTCATGATCTGTATGTCACGTGATAGACGGTGCCCTGGCTCTTTATCCTTGCCTTGTTGTGACAGTGAACTAGGCTCAAGAGTGATTGATATACACTTGCTGATCTGTCACTGCTATGCAGTGTGCGCAGTATAGTGTAGTACTATCAGTGCTATCTAGCTATGGTGTCCACAGATACCATGAGAAGTAAACAACTAGTCAATATCAAGCTATGAGTCTAGATCTACTTGCCGTATCCATGTCTTCCTGTCTTGACTTCCCTCACTCAGCTTTGTCTAATGCAGTTATTAAGATATGTTACTCACTTGATCTGTTAGTGCTGTCAGTATAGTATGATACTGTCAGCCTAGTCTGGTCCAGTGGTGTATCTGCAGGCACTGTGAGGCATGGACAATCAGTGAATGTCAACTGTGAGCCCGGACGTCCTTGTTTGTATGTAGATGAGTGAATAGAATGAGATATGAATGGCAAATGGTTCTCAACTGAGGTTTGGTTCTCTTGTTTCTTCTCTCTATCTCTTCCTTCCCCAACTCTCTACCTCTTGTTCACATCTGCCTCTTCCTATCTCCATATCTTCTATCCAAACGACCTTTCTATCCAACAACGATATCTACACTCCCAGCACTGCATCAACACTGTCTACATAGAACTGTCCACACAGGCTATCTACAAACCTATCTACAAACCTATCCACCAACACACTCCCATCAACATGTCTTCCATCACGACCTGCAAAATAGATGGACTCCCCAAAAGAACCCCCCATCCTCTTCTCACCCGCTTCGCCCAGAACAACGCAGGTCTGACTCTCAAAGCAGCCCTCTCCATAGCGGCGGTCTATCTCTTCACCCGTCTGCTCTGTCTGCTGCTTGCTGAGACGAATGGTTGGATGTGGTTGGTTTGGGGGCTGGAGTGTGTTTTTTTAGGTATCTCTTTCTTTCTCTCTATGGCTTCATATTCATATCTACACCTCCATCTGTCTATATATCATACTAATATGGTTAACAGCGGAATCCCTTCAAGACCCCGGCTGGCTCTATGCCCGCGCCGTCCATCGCCCCCCGATCCCATCCCCCAAGAAGCTCCGTCTCAACGTCACCAGTGCGAACCAGGCTGACCTCCCCACCATCGACATCCTCATCCCCTGCTGCGGTGAAGCCGACGACATCATCCTCGACACCGTCCGCACCGCCCGCGCCATCCACTATCCCTCCTCCCACGCCCGCATCGTCCTGCTAGACGACACCAACTCGCCCGTCCTCCGCACCGCCATAGCCGCCCTCAACCTCCCCCGCCATCGCAACATCCACTACCACACGCGCGGCCCAAAGACAAACACGACCGACTTCGACAAAGCTGGTAACCTCAACCACGCCCTCTCCACCCTCCCCAACCCCGCCCCCTTCATCGCCGTCCTCGACGCAGACACACTCGCCCACCCGGACTTCCTCCGCGCCACCCTCCCCCACCTCCTCGCCAACCCGCGCGTCGCCCTCGTCGGCTCCCCCCAGCACTACTACAACATTCCCCCAGCCGACCCCCTCCACCAAAGCTTCACCTGGTACGTCCAGCTCCTCACCCCCAGTCTCAACGCCTACGGCCTAGCAATGGCCACGGGGTCAGGATTCGTCGTCCGCCGGTCTGCACTCACCACCATAAACGGCTTCTCGAACCTCACCTCCACAGAAGACATCATGCTCTCCTGTGCCTTCCACAACGCAGACTACCACGTGCTTGTCCTCCCGGAAGTCATCCAGTACGGACTCGCCCCGCCTTCTCTCAAAGGCTACTCCTTCCAACAATCCCGCTGGGCGTCGGGTCTGGCTGCAGGCCTACTCGCCTTGCGAGATGGACCCCGCAATAACCTCCCGGATAGTCTCCGCCCCCGTATCGCCTTCCAGGGCTTTCGTCATCTGTGGAGTCACTTCTACCGTGTCGTTGCCCTGCTGGGCGTGCCGCTGGCAGTGTGCTCGGGTAAGGCCTTAGTCCCGGGGGTAGTACTCCGAATGCAGACGGTTCTAGCGTGCTGGGTGTTAGCCCTGATGTGGTTGCTGGAGGGAATGAGAGTTGCTGGGGCAGGGTTTCGAGTAGGCGTATTTGCGCATTTTGAGGGTATTTGGTTGGCGGGGGTATGTCTATCTTCTTTCTCTTCTCTTTATACATCAAGTTGATGCAATGTGCTGATGGACTCCACAGGAAACCTCGTCTCCTCTATACACGTCCTCTTCTCAGAACTCACACGCAGAAACAAACTTGAAAGCAGAAACAGAACCAAATCATCCATAACAGGCTCCCTCTACAACACTTGGAACCGGCCCACCCAACACTATCTCCACAATATCCCACCCGTCATCACCCTCCATCTGACCAGTCTCATCCTCCTCCTAGTCGGCACAGCCTACTCCATTCTCTCACTAGACTCCCAAATTAACCTCAAGACAACAATCCTCTACCCCCCAATCACCAACCTCCTAGCCCTAGTAGCCTGGTCCTGCTGGATTCCTCTACGGTGTGTATTCGCCCCGCCTGTGTGGAAGGATAGAGAAACCATCCTGGAAAGCCACCCTGGTGATCTAGACGCTGTCTTCCCAAGTGAACAGGTCAGGGGTGAGCTAGGAAGTATCAACATTATGAGAAACGGCTGGTGGGGATTCTTTTTCTTTTCCTTCTTTTCCATCCTAGGATGGGCTGCGTTGGTGGGTTTGTGGGGGCTTTTGCTGGGTTTTGCAGGCTTGGTTTTGATTTGTCTTGCTTTGCTGGTTTTTGCGGTGGCTTTTTTTAGGTTTTGTTGTAGTTTTTGATTTATTTGCTTGACTTGCTTGACTTGCTTGACTTGCTTGACTTGCTTGACTTGCTTGACTTGCTTGACTTGCTTGACTTGCTTGACTTGCTTGACTTGCTTGACTTGCTTGACTTGCTTGACTTGCTTGACTTGCTTGACTTGCTTGACTTGCTTGACTTGCTTGACTTGCTTGACTTGCTTGACTTGCTTACTTTGCTTTGCTTTGCTTCTACTTTATCTTTACGTTGGTTTTGCTTTGATCTCTAGCTGGTTGTACGAGGTATCATGCTATCAAGATATCAAACCATTGAACTATTGAGATTCTATCTGGTCATATGAAGCTGTAGTGTAGTTGTAGTGTAGCTGTCTATCCTACTACTACAGCTCAGGCAGACGCACTATATCTTCATACATTTTTGATTATTGATTTATGAATGCACAATATCAAACTGCAACTTAATAAAATAGTCAATAGTAAAATGGGTATACAATTTCACATTAAACACACTAGCAATCACAATCAACTACATACGTAACAACATGATAGTAGACAGACGGGAAAAAAGAAAACAGATGGGAAATAGAGAAAATAAAGATAGACAAGAATCGAACATGAATCTCGAGATAAGAAAAGAATAGAAAAATAAAGAAAAGAATACAGAGAAGAGCAACACACACATACTTCAGCCAGTTGATATGACTACCGCCGTGACGATCGCCTCGTCGGTAGACTGCTCGGCGTCGTCGTCTTCTTTCCCCTTGCTTTCCCACTCTGTGGTGTTCGTTGGGGTGTTCGTCGTGGCGGCGATGCTGGCGGTGGTGATGGTGATGATGACGCTGAAGGAGACTCCGGTGGGGGACTCAGGTCGCTGTCGTTGTCTGAGTCAAGCGTTTCTTTGTCTTTGCTTTCTTTTCCTGTTAGTTTCTTGCGTGGTTGTTGTTCTTCTTCCTCTTCCTCTTCCTCTTCTTCTTCTTCTTGACTGGATTCGTCCTCGTTCTCTTCCTCCTGCTCCTCATCCTCATCCTCATCCATCGCGTCACTATCCTCCGCATAACTCACGCGTCGAGATCCTCCCCGGTTACTCCGACGTCGACTTCCACCAGCCACCCCCCCCGCTCCACCCTCCTCATAATCATCCTCGTCCGTCTTTCTCTTCACCCGCCCACTCGTCTTCGACTCTTTCTTCCCCTCAACTCGCACCCGCTTCGACCCCCTCGATTGATTCGACCCTCTCGACCTCCCCTTCCCTCCTCCTCCCCCACCCATCTCATCCGTCTTCCGCTTCTTGCTCACCCCAGACTTCATAACAGACCGCACCATCCGATCCAGCAAATCGTCCGCATCCTCCGGCAGAAAGCTCTTATCCGCAACCTCCTGCGCTTCCTGATGACTGCCCATCGGCGCGAAGATCGAGCTCGGGATCCCCATCTTTCCCGGATACGCCTCGAGGATATTCGCCCCGCCCGACGCCCCGCCCAGCCGGCGCTGCTGCGCGTACACGTCCGCGAACCGGCGGATCGTCGCCTGCGCCAGGTCGGACAGCGTGTGCAGCCGTGTTGAGACCTCGTCGGACTTGGTGATCCCGTCGCGCGCTTGCTTGACGCGCTGCGCGGCGTGGAAGATCAGAGACAGGTTGTGCTCGTTTGCGACCGCTTGTAGGTAGAACAGGATGTACCGCGCGAAGTCGACCAGGTCGGTCAGCTGCGTTGCGGCGTCTAGACCTGCGGGCGGGTAGTCTGGGTGGTAGGCGAGGAGCGACAGCAGGCGCGAGAAGATCGACTCCATTACCGGGTCATTCTTCTTGTTGCTGCTGTTGCCGCCGCCTTGGAAAAAGGCTGCCCGCGAGCGCAGCCACGTCAGCGTGCTGCCCTTCAGGCTCGGCTCCGGCTCAAACGCCAGAAGGAACGCAATCGTGTACCACCGGTGGCTGAGGTGCGACTTCTGCGCTAGCTTGGTCTTCAGCTGTCCGATGAAGCCTGCCCGCACAGGGGGCAGCGGGTCCTGAGCTACGAGCGCGATCGCGTTGAAGTGCGCGGGCGTGAGCAGCTGGTCGCACAGCGTGCTGGACGCGCACAGCTTGAGCAGCGACTTGGCTGCCAGCAGGCGCAGTCGGGACTTTTGCCCCGCCGGCGTGTCCTTCTTCTTCGACAGCTCGCCCTCTCCCGCGATGAGCTTGTTCAGCGTGTCGTACACGGGCTCGGCGTGCGCGCGGAAGTCCGCCTCGCCGTCTGACCCTCCCTTCGCCCGCAGCCGGTTGACGATGATCCGCAGCGCCCACTCCTTGGCCGCCGTCTCGTCGTCTGTCGTCTCCGTCCACGAGTACCCCGCGTCTGGCTGCGGCGACCGATTCGTCAGCAGCACCTGGTTCACCGCGATCGAGACGATCGCGTCGCTCTCCTCGTCTGCCTCCTGCGGCGCGAGCAGGTTCAGCTGGGACAGGGTGGCCAGCTTGGTCAGGAACCGGTCTGCCCCGTACTTCCACTTCGCGACGCACTTGTGCACTAGGTCCCGCGCGTACATCTCGCGCTTGTCGGCCGTGGCCATGAGGATCGTGACGGCGTGCTTGGCGGCCCGCGGCGACGGGCTGTACAGCGCGTAGGCCACGAGCGCCTGGTAGAACCGCCGTTCCTTGGGCAGCTTGGACGGCAGCTTCTTGGCGAACCCGGAGCACGCCTTCAGGATCTCCTCCGTGCCGGAGGCGTTGGTCGTGGCCGCCTTGGGCGCCTGCGACTCGAGATCCTTGCACATCTCTTGCACCTGTGCTTCCAGCACTTCCGGGTTGCGCGACGAGATCTCCTGCAGCATCTCGTGAGCGGGGTTCGCCAGCCCGTGCTGGCCTGTGCGCGACAGGCTGATGATGGCCGGGATGTGGCTCTTGTTGAAGATCAGGGAGCCGGCGCGGTACAGCAGGGGAGTGAGGGATTCCAGCAGCGGCGAATTGTTGGCGCTTTGGATTCGTCGCGAGAGCTCCTTGATGGCCTTGACTACCGTGCGGTGGTCGCTGATGGCGGCCATCGCAAACCGCATCAGCTGGTAGCTGCGGCGATCGTGCACCTTGGCGAACTTCCAGAGATCGGCCGACGTGCGCGACGGATCGGGGAGGGTTTTAGACAGGGTGTCGATGACTTTGGTGAGCTGGGCTTTGATCTGCTGTTCATCTTTCTCGATGACGCCACCCTGCGCTTGTTAGCACGTAGATTCATAGATGACATAGATGTTGACAGGGAATAAAAGGGGAAAGAGAGTCGAGATCTAGATATACGTACGTTATAATCCTCGCAAGCCTGCAAATAAATAGTCAAAGCAGTCCTCATCGAGATCTGCCTCGCCTGCAGCGCAAAGAAAACCTTCTTCGCCTTATCATCCAGACCCTTAAGAAGCGTAAGGATCCGACGAACGCGGATCATATCGACATCAACCTCGGCATCCCCGTCCGGCTCCTTGCCCTTATGCGAAGACTGCGTCGAGCTACTGCGCGACAGCTTGCCCTTGATAGGGGGATAGTTGAGCGGGAGGAGGATCTCGTGGAGGACGCGGTCGATGGACACGTGGATGTCGGGGTCGTTGGTGTAGAAGGCGTCGAAGATCTTGGACGGTCCGTCTTTGAGGAGGGCCGTTACCTGCTCGTGGTCTTGCTCGATTTCGCCTGCTGCGACGGCCCACGCTTGGGCGAGCGTCTTCATGGCGTGCTCGCGCACTTGCGGCTTGCGGTCTTTGACCCGCTCGGCGAGGATGAAGAGTGGTGAGTCCGCGTCGGAGAAGCCGCCGCTGGCGCCGAGCTTGTTGACGATGTGGGCGAGGCCGAATGTGCTGACTGCGTCGACGGCGGCGACTCGCACTTTCTCGTCTGCGTCCCGCAGCATTGACGCTAGGTGTCCGATGAGCATCTGCTCCTCGGAGTCGCTGAGCCCCGCGCCGCCAGCTGAGGTCATGAGGATGCGGCCGACAACTGTTACCCAGGCGGCGCGGATGGAGGCGGAGCGGTCAAGACGGCGGCTGAGGAAGCTCTCGTAGGTGGAGCTGTGTGCTTGGGAGAACGGTTTAGGGGAGAACGGGGAGACGAGGATGTTCGGCGGTGGGATGGTCTGCGCGTAGTCTGCCAGCGTCACCGGCGGGTAGGCGGCTGGGTCCATTGGCGGGGGTGGGGGTGGACCGGCAACCCCGATGCCCGCCGTCAGGTCACCGATGGTCTGTGTCGCCAGCAGGCGCAGGGAGATGGACTCCGCCGACAGCTCGGCCTCCAGCTGGGGGACGACGTTCTGCAGCACGTCCGGACAGGCGCGCCACAGCTCCCGGATCAGACGGTGGGCCTTGCTCAGTTCCTTGATGTCCTCGCCCTCTTCGTCGGATTCGTCGAGGTTGGGCCGGCGCTGGGCGCCTTTGGACATGCCGTTGGAGCCGGACTTGGCGGAGGCCGAGGCGTCGATGATGACGTTGTTGAAATACTGGCTGATGTGGCTGGTCATGCGCTCCGGGCACGCCTGGCAGATGGCCTTGGCCATGTTGTAGGCGGGCGGGTAGTCCTTCAAAAGCAGGGTACCCTGCTTCGCATCGACTGGTGCATCGCCGCGCCGCGGTCGGCGGCTGGGGTTGTCCACGACGCGGGGATCGACGCGCAGGAACTGGGCCACAATCACGTCGACGACCTCGGGGGCCAGAACGGGGGTCTCGTCGATGACGGTGACCAGCAGCCGGGTCATGTCGAACTCGACGTTCTTGGCGATCTCCTCGCCGGTCGAGGCTTTCGAGGAGCCGGAAACGATGTCAAAGCAGGTGGTGAACAGCGGAATGATCAATGAGTCGGGCTGGTCCAGGTCGGTCATCAAGACGACACTCTTGACCTCCGCGAGGGAGTTCAACACGTAGATATGCTGCGCATTGTAGGTGTTGGAGGGGTCACCTAGGGTGGGGATGATGAAGGTGACGATGCAGGTGAAGAGATCCTACATAGTCAGTACTCTAGTAGCCCCTCAAAAAAAGGGAAAAGAATACCTTCAATTGATTCGCGGTAAACGGCGCGTCCGGAGCGCACAGTCGCAAGACATCCACAACACAGCAAGCCACCCAGGCGCGGACGCCCTTATCCTTATGTGCCAACAGCTGCGCGGTCGCCAGTTCCTGCGAGACCTTTTTCAGCGAGTCCTTCTCCACCTCTTCCTGTTCCAATTTGCGAAGTTCCTGCGACAGCGTCTGCAGACGACGCAGCAGATCGGCAATGGGAATGGCCTGACGTCCGACGCGCCAGGTCAGCGGTTCGTTGAATTTGAGGTGACGAAGCGCGGAGGGGTCATCGGGCTCCGCGACCTCCGTATTCGAGGCGCTTTGACGAGTGCGCGAAGGCATCGTGCAAAAACTGGAGGTATCGATTGGACTTAAAGTAGCATGTGGTGGTGGGTGATGGAGAGGGGTTTGAGAACGACTCGAGGAATCGACAGGGGACGCCAAGACTGGGAGATGAACTCGCCGTCAACGCATCAGTCGACAGATCGATACGCGAGAGATACAGAAAGAAAGAAAAAAGAGAAAGAGAGGAAGGTCGGGGAAATTGCAATGATGAGGAGATGCAGGAAGAAGAAGACGATGCTTGATTATTGGTTATGATGATTCGGACTGACCGCCTCCGCTTCGGGACGCGTCGCGTTATCAACTGGATTATCGTGTTGACCAGAAGTAGAGCGAAGCCGAACAGCTGCATTACTATGTGATCTATGCTATCTATATGCTAATTACTGCTAATTACAGAACAGGGTAGAAGTGATTAACGCCATTATACCCAGATACCTAAAACTTCGGGGTAAACTTGCTCATAGCGCGGATCCTTTTCCCATACACATAAAACACAAACGGGATTGGAATCATCGCGATGGTAATGAATCCCAGCAGACTCGACGCCCAGGCCACCCCCAATCGGTGATACATCTGGACGGCGAAGAGCGGGAACGCCCCGCCCAGACCACTCCGGACGAGCGTGTTGGCCGCGATGGCCGAGTTGGCGAACATCATGTACACGTCGATGATGTAATTCAGCCCCTGCATGAAGATAACCAGGATGCCCATGCCGATGGGCACGCCCGCGATCACCTGCGGCACCCACGAGATGTTGCGGTCGGAGGTCCAGCCGAACCAGAACAGTCCCGCCGGGAGGAGCACCGACGCGATCATCATCGGGATCAGTCGCTCCTCGGGCACCACGTGGCCGTTTTTGGCCAGCTGGCGCGCGAACCGCGTCTTGGTCTGGTAGATGATGAGCGCGGCGCCGCAGAGGACCCCGACCATGATGCCGATGAAGGGCAACCCCGCGATGCCCCCGTTGGTCCAGCCGCGCTGCTCCTGGAATGAGACCGGGTAGGCCTCGAAGAAGAGGTAGAGGATGCCGTAGATGAGGGCCAGGTAGATGGTGATTAGAAGGAGGATGGGCTCGAGGAAGAGCATCTGGATCGGCCGCAGGAGGTACTTGTAGACGATCTCCGAGGCCGTCGGCCGGTGCTCGTCGAGGAAGGAGTGGTACGCCCAGTTGCCGGTCTCGCGGCGGAGGCGGGCTGCGCGCCGCTGGAGAAGGACCGGGGCGTAGGTCTCAGGAACGATGAACAGGGCCAGCAGGCCGAACGAGGCCGACGCGATCAGTGTGATCCAGGCCGTCCACCGCCACCCCAGGTATGAATCCGTCAGGAACCCGCCCACGATGGGGCCCAGCACCGGCCCGACGAAGGTCGCTGATGAGAACATGGCGATCGCCACGGCGCGGTCGACGGGGTCCCAGAAATCAGCCATGGCGCCGCCGACGACGGCCAGCGGCGAGCAGCCGAACACGCCCATCAGGAAGCGGCAGATCAGGATGGTGTGGAGGTTCTGCGCCACGGCCACAGGGATCTGGAAGATGGCAAACACGGCGTATCCGAGGAACAGCGGCAGCTTGCGTCCGTAGAGCTCCGAGAGCGGCGACCAGACCAGCGGGCCCAGCGCGAAGCCAAACACCACGAGACTGGTCCCCAGGGTCATGACCTCGGTCGAGACGTTGTATTCCTTGGACGTGACGACCGTGGCCGTCGAGAAGACACTGCTGGCGAAGGTGATCCACATGGTCATGGACGACAGAGTCATGGTCAAGACCCATTTCCGCCAGACCGGCATGTTCTGCGGGTTCTCGGGGTCGTCAGGGCCGTCCCATTCCACCAGATTGGGGTCTTTCGCGGGGAGATCTGAATCTGGGGCTCCCTTTTCCATGTCTCGATCTTCCTCTACCGGGTCGATAGGGGCGGAGCTGAGGGTGGTCTCTGATACCTGGGTGGGCATGGTCTGTCCGGGGAGGTCCCCCGGGGGTTGTCCAGCGGTGTGTTGTTCGGCCATCGCGCATCAATGTGTCGCAGACCTAATGAAGCAGCAATGGGACAATATTCTTATAAGAAACAGTTCAACCGGTAGCGTGAATCATTTTGAACTCAGCTAGGGCCGCCGTCAAACACTTATATGTTGACAAGCTTTCCAGAGTGGAGCTGTAAAATCAAAATCAATATCCATAGATAAAGCATTAGTCAAGCAGACACCCCAGAAGAGAAAATATCCCGATTCCGCTCCCCGATCTATCGGCCTATCGCCCCAAAACGGCGGTAAACTAGAGAAATTCTTGATTAATCAAGACATCCAAGGTGCTTTGGGGCGGATCCACGAAGCCGTTAAGTCCGAGAGCCTGATTGTCCGAGCTTTTTGGCTAGACAGTGGGAGGCATATATCCGCATATCGGACTATGAACGGCGCAAGCTGGATAATCACATCATAACACCACCTGACAGTAAACGCACCCAGACGAATGAAGTAACAATTGCCATGGAAGGCTGCAGCCTCGCTCTTAGCAAAGTCCGAGCCCGATCGGCACCTCGCTCTTGGTGATTTCCAGCTGGGTTGTGATAGTCTGGGTCTGTCCCCACTCTTCCCGTTGACTTGGCTTTTTTTCCTTTCTCTTTCCGGTGGGACTGGGTCTATCGGCAGATGGAGAGGTCTCGTTCCCGATCAGGTTGGGTCTGCATAGGGCCATAGGCAAGAGTCTTGACCTCTATATCATTTTGATGTGAGAATTCAGAAGCTTGTAATATCTATAAAGCATCCCCTTCAGTTGCCGAACCAGTGCGAGTACACCACCATCTACCAGACATAGGACTTACCTACCAGCCTTGTGCCGCACCAAGTCCAGCCAGGCATAGTACCACGCAAAAGATACCTACTGACATGCTTTTCCAATAAAGCCCACACTTCAGACACCAACAAACAGACGCCTGGGATGCTCACGATGGCATGTCGTATCCTGGACTGTGCATCTACTTGGCGCTTCAGTGATCGCAGGTAGGCAGGCAGGTATGTGCCTAGATAGTGTACGTGACGTAGCCTTGTGTATGTCGTAATATGGTGGTGAGGTAACTTTCCAGGAAGGCAGATACTGGGAAAGTGTCTAAATGGTGGATGGATGGATGGATGGATGGAGATTTCGATGGTGAATTTGTCTCGTGACTGCCTGAGGATGTCAAGTGTCAAGTGCCAGGCTGTCAGGCAACCAGACTGAGGCCATCAGGCACGCTATCATCGAGGATACAGGTGGTGTAGTCTGACACAAGATTGTGGTTGTCCTGCCCGATGCAGAAGGGAAACACTCTACTGCCTATACAAAGATAATGGTCTACAGCGACAAGCTAAAGGGAGATAGAATCATGATAGTAATCAAACATCTCAAGGCAACTATACAGTCACCACGATGGAACAACCGTCCAGATTCCCATTGGGTATCCTATATCCATATCCATACCTATCCTACACTAATCCCAGACATCAATCGTTATCGAACGCCAGGGCCTATCCAAACCCGACCAAATCGCTGAAACGCTAGCAAGAGAAAAGAGAAAAAGCAAGGAAGACACGTCAAGAAGTATTATCATCAGCAGAGACGATGCCGTCGCTCTGCTGTTTCGCTTGTCGCGCGGCGTCGACCGCCTGGTCGACTTCGTCCTTGGCGGACCGCTCGAGGTTCGCCCTCGCTTCCGGATCTAGTGTCTCCACGTCGCCCACGCGCTCGTAGAATTTTCGTGAGATGGTCCGGTTGATCTCGGTGTACTCGGGTTTGCTGATGATCTTGGAGCGGTAGTACGGTTTCAGGGCGGTGCCCACCAGTTTCTGAATGTCGGATTTGACCTCCAAGGCGAGGCCCGGTCGGGTGGGTGAACTGTCGTTTGCCCGGCCGGCGAACAAACGAGATGCAGGGCGAGGAGCCCGACGCCGTGCACCGTCGGTTGGGAGGGGCGGTGAGCCTCGGGACCGCTGACGAGAGCCAGACGGCGACACGTCCGGCGAGAAGGGTGGAGAGGGCGAGTCGACGGGCGACGAGAGACGCATTGGAGAGATGGCCCGGCTGCGGGAGTGGGTCGGAGGGGGCGTCGTGGAGGAGAGGCGAGGGGAGGAGTGGTTTGACGGTGCGGGCGAAATCGACGGGGAGGACAGCCCGGGGTCGCATGGTCGGTCGGGGCGGCAGAGGGGACATGGGAGTGAGGCTCGCCCGTGGTCGACGAGTCCTCAACTTCCTTCAAGAGGGACTGGAGGAAGCTCGGCTCGGTCGAGGGCTCCGCGTTGATGCGGGCCGACACCTGGGCACCGGCCGCTCGCGAAGACTCCCCATTCTGCGAGGCCAGAACGGCGAGATCCTGGGCTCTGCGGGTCCGCGGACGTTTGAGCTTCCGCTGCGGCTCTGCCGGCTCGGGGGACGGTGACATGGTCGGCTCTTTTCGTTTCCTCGACGGGCCGGGCTCATTTTCAATCTCCCGGGCCCGCTCGAAGGCGTTCCACGCCCGCATCTCCTCTAGGGACTCGGGCTCCGGAGTCGGTTCCCGGGGGGCACGGGGCCGCGACGGACGAGGGGCTTCGATGTCGAGCAGAGCGGCGGCGTCCCGAAAACGATGGGGCGCTCCCTGGCGCTCCGCCACTTCGAAGCGCCGCTGCCAGGCACGAAACTCCCGCTGGTTCGCCTGCTCGCGTCGTTGTTGCTGCCGAACACGCTCCGCGGCCCGGTCATCATCGAAGGGGAAGTCCAGGTCGATGTTGAGATGATCCCAGACGGACTGCCACACCTGGGCCCAGTGAAGGGAGTTCAGCTGGCTCCGGTTCTGCATCCGCCGCTGCTGCGCCCGAGTGCGACGACCCCGTCGTTCCTGGGGGCGAGCCGCACTGTCGGTGGCGAGGGGAGCGGGGCCTGAGGCCCGCTGGGCCTCACACCGAGCGCAGTACCACGGCCCCGGCGGTACCTCGTCGAGGTCCACGCAGTAGGTATGATAGGGGGCATCGCACCGATCGCAGAGTAGCAGCAGCTCCTCATTATCGGCATCGCCACAAACGGGACACGGTTGGTGTTCGGCGAGGTCATCCTCAACGAACTCCATGATCATCGAGGGATCGACCTCGGCCACCTGGACACGGTCCTGCACGGCATAGGACGAAAGAACGGGGCCTACCACCAAAGCAGTTAGCAAATAATCTCCAATCAAAGGAAAAGATGAATAATACCTCCAAGCCTCTCGCTCAACTCGACGAGATTGAAGCTGCGGCGACATATCGGACAGCTGTTGGCTCGCTCGACCCAAGGCTTCAAGCAATTGTTATGTAAGATATGACCACAAGGGAGCAACTGGGCGATCTGACCAGCATCCTCGGAGCCATCCACGTCATCAGCCTTGAACGAAGGGACACTGGACTTGCCATCAACAGCCAGGTCAGGTCTTGGCGCGGGAACGGGGACGACAGCACGAGGATCGCTGGCGCCTTCGCCAAGGTCTCCTAAGCACACAATACAGGTGTCGGACATCAACGGAAAAGGAGGTGCCAGGATTGTCAGCAAGAGAAGTGTAAGAAGGCATGAAGAGCAACAGGCAGTCGAGAAGAGAGGTGAGTAGAGGACTAGAGAAGAGAGAGAGAGAGAAGGGAGAAGTGATGTGGGGAGAACGCCAGCCGGCGGCCTTTTGAAGGTGGATCTAGTAATCCAGTCTAACGCAAAGCAGTCTGGGCGACCAACGTGACCGCCATCATCAGAACAAATCAGTGGACACCACCTGTGATGGAATAGGCAGATAGATAGATAGATAATAGTAGATAATTAGTAGATAGATAGGTAGATAAATAGAAGGAGGAGAGGAAAGAAGAAATAGAATTTTTACAAGTTTATTAAGAAAGAAAAAATTTGGTGAAATGTGTGAGTGCCCTTGCAGATGAACTGAACCCCCTCTTTTGCAGCAGTCTGTCGCACCAACCTTACCGGTTGAACAGGGAGAAAGCTCAGAATTGGGATCAGAATCAGGATCTCCAGGGTGGACATCCCATGACAGACCGACTGCGATATTCCTACGTAGTATTTACAAAACTAGCCAGTCCAACGTGGCTAAGCATATCGTCGAGTGGAGTTGATAGACACTGTGAAAGATGTCGTACTCTCGTAGGTAGTAAGGTGGTAGTAGGTCCATGCATCAAAGCGAATGTCGAACGACTTCTTGAAGCGACACATTACCCCCTGTGTTGATCCCACGGGACACGCCAACCACCCGGACCCTATCAGACGACAGTTTCACGTGTTGACAGAATGCCGAGATCAAAGAAATTGCACTTGCAGGGTCATGTGTCCGATCGATAGGCTGATCTTGAAATACGAAGTCACCGATGTGTCGAGTCTATTGGTAGAAACCGAGGCGGCCGAGGCAGGGCTCTGGATCGGTCGAATATGAATAAGAAAAAAGAAGCGAATGGCACATTCGTTACGGAAAGCTTTTCGAGATCTTGTGAAAAAAAAATTGGTCTTTTTTTTATTTCAAACGTAACAGTAAAGGAATCCCATCATCACATTTAAACCTCCGCGATTTCTCTGAGACGGCGGATGGTGGAACGGGTGGCAGCGGCAGCGGGGGTGCTGTGAAACGGTTGGAGTCAGTACGTGTCACTCGCAAAGAATAACTCGTCGCCTAGACAGACCGACGACCGAGACGGTCGAGGCAACGAGAACTAGACAAATGGTGACTTACGAGACAGCGTAGGCGCCACCGGCAACGACCTTGTTGCAACCCTTGCACTCCCAGATACCGACGGCCTTGCGCTTGACGGTGTTCTTACCGCAGAAGGTACAGACGTAGCGGGCATGCTGGGAGATTTCCATCTTCTTCACCTGCTTACGCAGGGAGGCACCGTATCTGTGGTGACCGCGTTAATGACATGTTCGGAGGGGTTGGATCATTCGACAAGATCATTCGACGTCGGGAATTTGTCGCTCGAGAATCGCAGTCGATCTTTCCAAAGGGGAGGGCGTCAAATCCTACCTGGTACCATATTTACCCGTGATTCCGACCTCTGCGGATGGTTAGCATTGTTCTGGCATGCGTTTTCATTTTGCGGTTTCTTCTTTTCTCGCGATATCCCGAGAAGATGGATGCAATAATGGCAGGAAAGACTTACTCTTGGTGCGCTTCGTCATCTTGGCTAAGGCTGATGAGGTCGAAGAAGAGATACAAAGCGGACAGTCAAAAGTGAGCGTGAGGCTTTCAAGAGAGTCCGGTTGTGGGTGGGCTCGCTTAGGGCTCCGTCCTTGGCGGGGTCAGGTGATGCACTGCACTCACTAGGGCCGATGATGTCAGCTGCATAACTATAATTAGTAATCATCATTATCAACTTGTTATACACGTACCTATCAGTGCCTGGCTGCCTGACAGTGCTCCGTACATACATAAAACTACCCTGTATACTGCATACGCCAAGACTATAACCCAAGTACGGAGTACACCAATAAGAAATGTAGTAGATCTTGTTTATGATCATTACAACGTACAATAACTATTCTTTTCTCTGTAAATAATAGCTAATGGACAGTCCGTACTATATTGGACTCGTACTCTGTACTCGTACTCTGTACTCGTACTCTGTACTCATACTAAAGTCTGACAGATCACCTGACTGGTGTCCGCTTGCGGTGGAGGACTGAGGCATCCGGCGAGTTACGCGCACTTACATCATTGTCTCAAGCTTCAGATCCACTGCTATACTGACTTATTTACCGATCAATTCAAACCCCAGCCATCATGTCTAGGGAATTCGATCTGGTCCTTCACGGCCCAACGGGCTACACGGGCAAATTAACCGCCCAGCATATTGTCAAACATTTCCCCACGAACGTCAAGTGGGCCTTGGCTGGCCGTTCGCTCTCCAAGGTTGAGCAAATCGCCCGGGAGCTGAAGGAGCTCAATCCGGATCGCGACGAGCCGGGTATGTTTCATTTGACTTGACGCGGGGGATGTGTGCTGTGCTGACTCTCCCCAGCGGTGTTGGCTGTCCAGCTCAACGGCCCGGAGCTGCAGGCGCTGGCCCAGCGAACGCGACTCATCATCAACGCTGTGGGTCCTTATCATCTGTACTCGACTCCCGTGGTGGAGGCATGCGCCAGCAGTGGAACGCACTACGTGGATGTGTGAGTTTTATCTCTCTGTCCTTAGATGTAATGCTAATGGCGTAGAACGGGAGAAACCCCATGGGTGAAGAGCATCATTGAAAAGTACCACGATACCGCCAAATCGAATGGTGCTATTGTGAGTTATTCATTAAGCATATATAAGTATATATGTGCTGATACATATAGATCATCCCGTCCGTCGGGGTGGAAAGCGCCCCAGCCGACATGCTGGCCTGGAGCGTGGTCAAGCGCGTGCGCGAGGAGCTCTCCTGTCATACCCGGGATGTGATCTGCGCCATTGAAGAGCTGAAGTACTCATTTGACCTACATATCATATCCATATTCCAAACTAACAACTATACAGAAGCTCCGGCGCAAGCGGCGGCACCCTCAGCACAATCCTCACCTCCCTCGACACAACCTCCCTATCCGACATGTCCAAAGCCATGAACCCCTTCGCCCTCGTCGCCGCAACACCCCCCAAGGACATCACGCGGACCCCCCTCACCAGCAAGCTTTTCGGCGTGCGCTCCGTCCCCGACATGGGCACCCTGACGACCTCCCCAACGGGCATCACCGACGCGGCGATCGTCCACCGCAGCAGCACGCTCATGCCCGAGTTCTACGGCCCCCGCTTCCACTTCCAGCAGTACCTGCGCGTGCGCAACGCCCTCGTCGCCGTCTTCGTCCACGTCGCGCTCTGCATCGCCCTCCTGCTCCTGCTGCTCCCGCCCGTCCGCTGGCTGCTGAAGCGGCTCGTCTACGCCCCGGGCAGCGGGCCGACCATGGAAGACTCGCTCAACGACCGCGTCGAGTACCGCGCCGTCGCCACGGCCGACCAGCCCGCGCGGCGTCCGGCCCGCGTCCTCGGCAAGATGAAGTACGAGGGCCCGCTGTACGTGTTCACCGCCGTGCTGGTCGCCGAGGCGGCCATGACCATCCTGCAGAATGAGGACAAGGTGCGGCGTGTGTCGCGGGGGGGGATCGTCACGCCTGCGTCGCTGGGTCAGGAGTATATTGATCGGTTGGAGGTGGCGGGGTGTCGGTTTGAGACACAGGTGTTTGAGTCGTGATTTATTGATTTCCTGATTTCTTCTATTTCCCCTTCCCCGCTTATTCTATGCTGTTTTGTTTGCTTGTTCTATTAATTTGATTTTTGAGGTCCTGTTGGAAATGAGATACGTGTCTGTACGACCTAGTTTATTGAACCACGCATTCTACCATTCTGATCTAGCACGCTACAGATGTAGTCCCCGTACACAGTACCACTACCAGTACCAGTCCCATCATCCACTCACAACAACAACCACACCAACAACAAACCCAAGGTCCCCACGAAAGTAACCCCCAAGCGAAAGACCAAGTAAGTAAAGTAGGCTAAATCCTAGCCGCAAAAGTCTCCAAATCCCTAAAAACAACCTCCTCCAACCACCGCCCCACAAACGCATTCACCTCCGCCGGCTTCTCCCACAGCGCCCAGTGCGTCGAGTCGACCGTTTCAACGGTCAGACTGGGCAGTTTGCTCGCCATGTTGCGGCCGAGGTGCGGCGGGAGGGCGCTGTCGCGGAGGGCTTGGATGAAGAGGACGGGGGCGGTGATTGTGCGGTTTAGGAGGGTGACTTCGTCGGTGTGGTTTTGTTGGCGCGTGCGGTACCAGTTTACTGCATCGTTGGTTATTAGTATTAGTGTTTTGGGGTTATATATATATGGGGTATATAGTATATATATATGGGAAACGTACAGGGACCGTGAAGACCATTGCGGGCAAATTGCGAGACGTAGTATTCGAGTTCCTATTCCGTTAGTACACCATATCCAAAAAAAAAAAATATCAACAAACCAGAGGCAAAGGGAAGGGGGAGTACCTCCTCACTCAACAACCTCGACCTCCCCACGTCAAAAACCCTATCCATAAGCACCCCCTTGTGAACATCAAACGCAATCTCCTTCTTAGCCGTGCGTCCCCCATAAAGCGTATTCAAGAACGCCTTGATCTGCTCGCGCGAGGTAAACGCGCGCTCTATCTCGCCGCTGACAAACTGCAGCTGGTAGGCGAAGTGCGGCGCGGCGCGCGCGACTAGCTCCGCGATCGTGGCGAAGCGCGGTGTCGGCGATGCGTACGGTACGCAGACTGTGAAGACGTGGGAGACGAGATCGGGGTGCCAGAGGGCGATGCGGTAGGCGAGGGAGGCGCCCCTTTATAGTATTAACACTGAATTAGAAATATATGTATATGTTTGGGAACATACCAGTCATGGCCTCCGACGATAATCTTCGATTCGCCCAACTGGGCAGCCAGCGCTTTTATATCGTCTGCGTGGCGTTTATGAGCGTAGCGCTCGAGGTCTTCCGGGGCGTCCTATATTATTATTAACACTACCACTACCGGTAGGTAGGTTATCATAAAGACGTACAGTCTGCCCATAGCCCAGACAATCCGGAGCTACCACGCGCAAGCCTTTATCAAGGAGCATGGGGATCTGGTAGCGCCATCCAATGGAGAGATCGGGGAAGCCGTGGATCTAGATTGTTAGTCCATCTATATAGTTGACATGAGACGATAGTATAATGCATACAAGAAAGATAGTAGCTTTATATTGCCCCGACGGGGGCTCAGCGTAGAGGTATCCTGATTGTGTCAGCTACTCCGTACATATTGAATCATCCCTGTGACACAGACGTGTCCTTTGTTAACAACAATACTAACCATATCGGATCCCATTGACATCAGCAGAGCGATACTGGACGCGGTCATCACCCGCCACATTGATCTTGTCGACAGCCATCACGAAGCCACAGTTACACCAACAAAGAATATAGTATATAGCAAGAAGACGAGACGAATCAGTCAAAAGAGTTGTAATCGCGTTCACGCCGTTGACTGGACATTGCGGAGACTCTCCATCCTCATCCCCGCATTTTGGTCTGGCGGTCACGTGGAGCCGATCCAGGTGGTTCTTTGTGCTCCCCCGCTTCAGCTTTCAGGTTAGAGGACGGTTGATCCTGCTGGACTTGCGCTTTGCGGTGGGATTGTGCAATGGTCTTGTTGATCTGCTTGGGTATGCTGGTGGTGATTGGTGGGTGGAGAGGGGAGACTGATGGGCCGAGGCTTCGGTGGTTTGATATTCATTTGATTCTGTATTATTAATCTGACCATGCTCCCTGGTTATAGTTTACTCACGTATCGGGCACTGAGACAGGTGGAGATGGGCGAGAGTAGCAGACGGTGTCATCAGTTTTATACTTCTCAGCATTCAGATGTTTAGAGGTAAATTCGAGTCGACATGAGCCACTCAAGCATATCCATTATGCAGATAAGAGGTATCGTAACATGCTGATACATCGCAACATCAGACGCTCAAACAAATTGGTAGTTAATACACGATACACACACATCATATGGCATGCTAGTAGATCACCGTATCCTCTTGATCTTCCACCACCTCTCCTCCGTCATCCTCCGCGCCCCGATGGATATCCGCATCATGGCCCGCACTAGCCTCAGGGATGTCACTGTGGTGAGAGTCGACACCTGTTTCTGACTCTTTCTGGGGTTCTTCTGCTTTTGTGTTCTCTTCAGATTTGCTCTCTTCAGGCTTGTGCTCTTCCAACGTATTCTCCGTCTCGTTATCGGGTCTCTTATTGGTGGTATTCGCAGATCCGTTCTCGTCAGCTGTAGTCTGCGGTTTCTGTTCCCCATCATCTCGCTCTCCAGTCTCCTGCGTGTCCACCTCTCGAGGACGCGCATCGAACTCGGCCTTTTCTCTCGCAACCGTCGCCTCCGCCTCTTCAATCTGTTCCTGTATGATCCGTTCATCGCGCGACCGGAGTTGCCACGGTTTGTAGTACTAAATAGTCAGATACGAACACGAACACCCGTAGATGGATGGAAAAAACATACGAGTACAGGCTCCGACCTCGTCTTGAGGAACCGTGCCGTAGCCAGGAGATTCGTATGGCGCGTGCGCATCTGTCCACATTAGCCATCTCCCCTCCCACCAGAAAAATAGCCAGTAAGAAAGAATGGGAAACACACCATCTCCTCCTCATAAACCCCCTTCTCCTTCTTCCGCAACGCAATCCTCTCCTCCCGCCTCTTCTTCTTCAACTCCCCATACTCCTCATCCCGCACCTTGAGCTTATCCTGCTGTTTGCGCTCGATATCCGCGCGTCGTCGCTGCGCCGCGGAGTTCGACGACCCCTGCGAGAGCGTCCCCAGTAACGCCCCGAATAAGCGCTGTCCGCGCCGGCGCTCGTCGTCGCGTTTCCCGGGTGGTCTGCGCGGCGCTCGCTCTGTGGTTTCTGCTGATGTTGGAGATGGTTGTCGCTGGTCGGCGCTCAATCGGCGACGCTTGTTGTCTGGGGAGGGTGGTGGCGGGCTGGAGATGGAGGATTTTCGGCGCTTGAGGGTGGGGTCTGGGGGGGATCGCGTGGGGAGGGCGCTGGGGTCGTCTTGGTCGGGGATGGCGACTGCCGACGCGAGCGATCTAGATCCGTCCATTGAGATGGTTTGTAGAAACGGTGGATTGAAAGACGATGGGTTATATGGATGCTTCAGTAATCAGCACGGTTGTCATTGGTGTTGTGGCGGTGCTGCTGTGTCGTCGCGTCCGGTTAAAAGTATACTCGGTAAAACTGTAGATAGTAGAGTAAAAGTATTGATTAGATTAATCCAAGTCGACGCGCCAGTCGAGTGTCGTCTGTCAGTGTAATATTGAAGGTGAACCAAGTTATGCAATGCACTTCAACTAGCCGTGCACGGACCACCATCACTAATAAACCACGGGTGATTCTTCTTTCCAGCGCCTTCGACAGCTTCCCTCCCTCTCCTTCTTCTACTTCAACCACGCTATCATCTACACCTCTCACCAAGACACCCACACCTTTTCTACCACCCACCTACAATACACTCAATAAATCACCCCCCTAAAAAACAAAGATGTCCCGCCATCACCCCGACCTCGTCATGTGCCGCAAACAACCCGGCATCTCCATCGGCCGCCTGTGCGACAAATGCGACGGCAAATGCCCCGTGTGCGATTCCTACGTGCGCCCCACCACCCTCGTCCGTATCTGCGACGAGTGCTCCTTCGGCAACTATCAGAATAAGTGCATCGTGTGCGGCGGGGAGGGCATCAGCGATGCCTTTTACTGCTTTGAGTGTACCCGGCTGGAGAAGGATCGGGACGGGTGTCCGAAGATTATCAATTTGGGGAGTTCGAGGACGGATCTGTTTTATCAGAAGAAGAGTTTTCGGAATCATTGACCTTGATCTTCTTTCTTTGTTTCTTTCTTTCTATCTACTTTACTTTGTTTGTGTGATCCTGGGGGGTTATGTGGAAGTGTCGACAGGATATATTCAGGCAGACTTCTATGCTATATGCTATGCTACTACCACTGGTCTAATCGATTCCAGACCCTTTACCGGCCCGGTCTTCTCGGTCGCGCGAATCCCCGGTTGATGCCGTCGTTGCGAGCCGGGTGCACTTCCTCGTGCAGTCTCTCCTCGCTGATCTCGTCGGGCGACGACGCTTCGATCTACAGTCATTAGATGGATTCGGAACGCGAGAGGATCAATCCAGACATACCTTCTTCGAAATGTTGAGCCCCTGCTGCTGGGCCAGGTGCAGCGCAGACATCCGGGAGCTGGCGTACAGCATGCGCTGCTTGATCGACGACCCGGACGGACAGGTGTACACGAAGATGACGACGTCCGAGTCGGGATAATGGTAGAACGTGTACTGGGGAGCCGAGGGCGAGATGTGCGACTGCACGGAGCCGGCGTCGACGCCGGCCTCGGAGGCAGCCAGCGTGAACGTTTCCCGGGGGATGTCGATAGCCTGATACGTTAATTCACCACACTTAAATATCTACAAAACAAGAAAGGAAATCGAAAAGCGAGTAGGGTAAAATAAGAAAGTAAAAACGAGTAGAAACTCACCAATTGCACCAACCCACCCTGCTGCAGCCCAGCAAGCGCCTCCTTAGCATCCTCCTCGACAGGCATCGACACACGCATCCCAGACGGCCCACCCGCACGGTTGAACGAGCCGCCAATACCGATATCCCGACCAGGGGTGCCGGAGCGGGCCTCGTCCTCGGCGCGACGGACAGCGTCCAGCTCGCGCTCCTTGTCGCCCATTAGCTGCTCGCGCTGGGCGGCGGCCACGCCGGTCGACCCGTCGGTCTCGGCATCTCTCTCGCGCCAGGCTTCTTCGCCGACGACCTCGTCCTCCTCTGTGGCGAAGATGGTGGCGCCGAATTTCTCGGTGCCGAGTTCGCGGGCTAGGGTGGCGCGGGTCGAGGCGAAGAGGGTCTTGGCTCGGACGGGGGCATTGGATGGGATGTAGGTGAGGGCGATGAGGGTGGGGGCGGCAGAGGACGAGGGACGACGGAGGAGGAGGTAGAGGGGGGTTTTGGGCTCGAGGATCGAGGCCAACTTCGGGAGGGAGGCGTAGAAGTCGTTGGGGGTGGAGAAGGGAATGGGGGTCAGGGGTTGGAGACTCTCGGTGGTGATTGTGACGGGGAGGCAGAAGATGGAGTCGTCCGAGGTGAAGGATGTGAAGGCATTGTGGAGTTCGGGGGAGACTATCTCATATTAGTTATTTATTTATGCTTTTCTTTCGACCAAGTGGTGGTGTTGGATATTGGATGGTGGAATCAATAGATACTGGTTGTATGGCTGGACGCGAGGGAGGGAATGATAGATGGACTGTAATGATGGATGGCTCACCTGAGATTCCGGACTGCATCTTGACGAGACCAGCCTGGGAAAGTGGTCTGATCTTGCAAGTATGTTGTCCAAGGGTGGTCTGTCCAAAGGTGGTGTAGGGATGTGTTGTAGTAGTAGTTGTTGTTGTTGTTGAGACCGAGAGGGGTATGGACTATGGAGAGCGGTGTGATAAGCGGGGTTGCTTTCTATTTTGGTCGGCGTGCTGACGGTATACTATAGGGGCATATATATCTACTGCATCAGAGATAGGGTAATATTCTTGATTTTGATTTATTGATCATTACTACTTATGTTTGTCAAGGAAGGACATAAGAATGTATGTTAGCCTGGATATATTCTAATGTATCTTTGGGTCAACCCCTGAGTATCCAACTAATATCCGTATATAGATTCATGTCTTGATTCATCCTATAATAACACTTGAAAATCTATTACCATCCTGTGATCATTTCTTGAGTATTCTTTCTGATAAGACAGTGAAACATGACAGATAGTAGGCTGACTATTCAACCCTATATAGAGGATGAATATCCGATGGACTATAACTGTTAGATATATATTCCGATTAGATATACTCCAGCTACTTCACATCCCCCTATCAATAACTACGATCCCTCATTACATAGAGAAGACACCCGCCTTCATAGAGCCCCAAGTAAATAGTATCGCAGAAACCAGCTCAAACTCTCTCTCAAACTTGAACCCATACCCCATACTCATACTCCATACAGGAGACAAGATATTCGAAAGAAGCTCAGATTCGCCCCACCAACACCCCCTAGTGTTGCGCTAACCTAGTTCTCAAGCCTCCTATTGGCGCTTCGGTGGTATTGATCTCCTGTTTAACAGTATACCTTGCCAGGTTGGACCGGTCACTCAGTTCAACAGGGATACTAGATCTCGTTGACTGCATTGTCAAATGCGGCCTTGAAGTATCAGACTTGGACTCCCTATCATTCCTAAACCGTCAACCATGGACCCCAGCTGGACAAGCTGAACTCTCTCAACGAGGAGGATACCATACGACTCTCCATCTCACATTGAACTTCTTCCATCTGGGCAGATCCTTGACGATGAGTACCGATCACATCGAAACTGGACTACATGTAGCCGGCTGGCTTGAGATCCAATACACTACAGTCGGTTCGAACTTCCCTCTCGGCCGTGACTACTCATCAGGTCAGATAATCCTGCCTGAGCGATAGACACGTCGCCCTGGTCAGACCGTCTACCTCCCCCGGAATGACTACTGTTCACTTTGCAGCCTCGCAGGAGTCATCTAGGTACGGAATTCAATATGTTTGTCCCAGGGAGACGGTCCACGGAACACTGAGTTTGCCTCAGGTGTCTAGACCTGTCTATACAGGTAAGTTTGTCTATACAGGTAAGTTTGTCTATAGAGGTAAGTTCTTCAGACATGTGAAACGAACGTGGTCAGGTGCCTCAGCTCAGCTCAGCTGTGCATGTGAAAGCCCAACAAGGTTAGAACGCACTTGGCGCTGCATGGGCACATGCAGCTTTCCATCCACCGTCGAATCATATCCCTTCCTATGTCTGGTACTAGATTATTGGATTGTATAGTGATAGATTTACTGAATAGATGAAGTTTCTTGTGGTATTGTATTCGATACAGTGCTGTTTTTGTCTCTATCCAATGCCAACGACCATCGCCCGTGGAATATATATAGGGCGGAAAAAAAAAAAAAAAAAAAAAAAGAAAACAAATATATACAACCAGCCGCTAAATGGCGGAATAACACCTTGACACAAGGAAAGACAAGGAAACAATAAGGAATATACAAAATGATGCAAGGGACATCACGACACGGCAACGCCACCATGCTCCATGGTATCAGATCGGTATCACATGCTCGACTTCTCGACTTCTCGACTTCTCGACTTCTCGACTTCTCACTTCTCACTTCTTACCCCTCGGAAAACACTAACCCTGTGGTATGGTGTTTATTCCTCAAAAGAGCCGCCGACAAACTTCCAGTTGGAAGCTTCCAGCTTACCCTTGAGGTACTCGTACACGGTGAAGGTGACGGCCTGACCGGGAGCGACACGCATCACACGCGGGGTGATACCCTTGTAGAAGGCGCGGGTACCCTCGGTCTTGAACATGTCGCGGGCGATGACGACGATGCGCGAGACGGCGGACTGGCCGGGCTCGGCGCGGGTCTTCTGCAGACGGGTCTTGATGGTGTCGATGGGGGCGTTGGAGAAGGGGCCGACGGCACCGGAGATCAGACCGATGAGGGTCGTCTGGTACGAGGGCAGCTGGGAGTTGGCGTACTCGGGCTGGTAGTTCTGCAGGGCAGCCTTGAGCTCCGTGTAGGCCGTGAAGTTGGCCGCCTGGTTGGTACCCTGGCGGAGGGCGGTCAGGGACACACCGCGGTAGAGGACGCTGAAGCCCTCCTCGCGGATGATGGTGAAGAGCGCGTGCGGCGCGCTGCGGTACTTGGGGGCGTCGAGGGGATCCGCCAGACTGTGGTGCTGCGCTTGCAGACGGATCTTGACCACTTCCATGGGGTTGACGATGGCGACGGCCTCGGTGACACCGGCGGCGAGACCGGCTGATCTTATTAGCTTTTCTTCTTTTTTTCCATTATAAAGGGGGGAGAAAAGAGAGAACATACCAAGGAAAGTACCCTTGCTGGTCACAGCCCCAGTCTCCTTGTTGGCCAAGAGCTGCTTGTAGTACTCATACGAGGTGAACCGGATGGCCATCTTCGGGATGATACCACCCAGGACGGCACCCAGACCCTTGTACAGACCGAGAGCGGTCTCCTTCTTGACGATGTCGACACCGGTGGTGACGAAGCCGCGGGGCTTCCCGGCGGCGGCGCGGCGCGACAGTTGCATGCGGACCTTGATAGTGTCGAGGGGGTGGCAGACGAGAGCCTCCATCATACCGGCACCACCACCGGCTGATCTTATTAGCTTTGGCCTCAATTGGTCGTTGGAATTACGAGTATATGGACATACCGATGAGGTTGACGGCGGGAGAAGCGGGCTTCTTGCCATTGCCTCCTTTTGCGGACATGATGTTGAGTGGAGATCGAGGGGGGAAGGATATAGAGGAAGATAGAGGGAGCGGTAGAGGAAGAGGGAGAGGAGAAGAAGTCGAAGAGTGAAGAAAAGAGTAAAAGAAGTAAAAGAAGAAGAAGAGAAGAGAGGAAAATTAAAGGATAAAAGAGTCAATTGGACAATTAATCCACGGATCGACAATGAATCACTTGACCACAAAGACGACGATATCGGATCTTAGGCAATGGTCCAAAAACGGGGAGACACGGAAGTATGGAAATGCAGAGAGGGAGTTCACCTCGGCTGTCCACCGAGGTACTTGCGAAAGGGAAATAGTCATGGGTAAAAAAAAAGACCATCGGAGGACGGGGCGCCGGCGGAAATATCCACTACATCATTTTGCTGTCTCCAGTGTGGACTCCCGACTCCATTATGGAGCACCCAATTTCAATATTATCCATTCAGTTGCCCCTCCGGGGGTCCAGAGTTGGTTCCAGAGTCTTAGAGGGAATGGTTGGAGACGGGGAAGCGGAGGTGGACGAGCGGAAGTCTATCATATCTACGGAGTGTCTACTTTACAGGTAGTTAACTCGCTATACTTGAGTATATATTATCTAGTATATAGATAGTATAGAATAGTAGAATAGAATAGTATATATACTTCATACTCCATACTCCGTACTGTACTATCACTACCATATTCAAAAGATAGAAAAGTAAACCTCGGCTTCGGAGAACCCTCGGCTTAGTCAGTGGATGTCATCATCATATCCGCCTCCAGCCGCCACTCCCGTGACCTCATCGATCCACTGTTCACATGCTGTATTATGTACTGTAGGTGGCATACGGAATGTCAGTTGACCAGCACAGCAGTACAAGTGCAAGCCCTATCAATATCAGAGTCCGTGTAGAGTTATTGGTTCTGGAGAATAGAGATGCCTCAGGCATACATACAGCGGGGGATCTCGGCCGGGCCAAGACCGGCTGAGCCGAGGTCCGTCACCATCTGATAAGTCTGAGACTGGAGTAGTTCAAAATTATATGGGGTTATGATTGATAGAGGATCGATCTGTATATTCTCTTGAATATTGTAGTACATATACTATGGATTTAGAAATGAGTCTTCCAAGAGCTCAGCCGATAACCTTATTACTACCTAGTACTCCGACAGATAGTAGATATCGGCCCGGGTTGACTGTCCCGACTGTGCGGTTGCGGTTCAAGGTTTACCCGTTTTACCCAGTTTACCCGGGGTGGATTCCGCTGTATAATTCAGTTGTATACTCTACGATCTTTATATTGAATGAATCTAGATAGAATACTATATATTGTACACTGTTGTAGGTACAGTATAGATTCTATGACCTGGGTACTATCGGAAATACTCCGCGTACGGAGTACTGCACTGCTGCATACAGCATGCATAATCAAAAATGCAGACATCACATGGAAATTCCACAGAAGCACATGATGATCGTCCTGCTTCTGATATGAAATGCTTGTACGGAGTACTCCGTAGTAGGTGGATGATACTGAATATGGATTTTGTTTACTGTTTTATTTCTACGTACGTGATTGTTGGTTTATCCTGATCCAATACTGGGAAAGATATGGGAAAGATATGGATGTATGAGTGGTCTTGTTTGATCTATCTCATCGGTGGTCTTTGATTACTACCCATCTATTTGTATACGGTATCATATTCAGTACATATGGTACTTTTTAGAAGTCATCACTAGATACAATATACTAGACTAATCTGGTGCACATACAGATGTCAAAGTATTGATTCTGCAATCATAAGGCTATACAACAGTCCATTCATCGGATCATCCTGAACAAAGGAAAACACTATAAAACAGTTAGAGTTAGATATAACTCACTTTCACCCCCATCCCGACCGTCCCCTTCACCTTTTGCCATCCCGACCCGGTCAACCGGCGGATCCGCTCCCGCACATTCTGCCGGCTCAACGCCACAACGATCCCCAGCAGGAACAGCAGCGTCCGCGCAAATGACAGAGGGTTGCCCGCCACCGTCCGCACGATGTACTGGTACAGATTGCGTAGTACCTGCGATAGTGCCTGCGTCGATCGTGCCCGCTCGGGCTTCTCCGGCTTCTTGACGCTCTTTGACCCCGGCGGCGAGAATGCCGTCCGTCCCGCGGACGAACCGGACTTGCTGCCCGCCGATTTATCCCCGGCTTTCTTGCCCCGCAGGCTGCTGCCGTTCGGGCGCGACTTCTCCGCCTCCCCTTTAGGACGGTTGGATGCCTTATTGGTGTTGCTGTGATGCGCCCGCTCGGCGGCTGCGAGCTCGTCGGCCCGTCGGCGCTCTTCTACCTGCGCTTCTCGCTCCATCTGGGCGTCTTTCTCGCGTTGCAGCGCCGCTGAGCGCAGTTCGCCCTGCTCGCGCTCTTCCTTCAGCCCCTCGAGCGTCTGCAGGAAGACGTCTTTGTTTTCCTCATCGAGCACCTCGCTGAGGTTGATGAACTCTTGCGCGTACTCCCACTCGTCGTTGCGTGGCAGCACGTGCAGTGTGAAGAGCTCGATGATGCGGATCCGCGCCTCCAGATCCTTCGGGGTGTCGGTGCCGCCGTTGACGCGGAATTTCCCTCGTTGCGAGGGGGAGTTGCGGATGTGTTCGGCGACGTCGAGGTTGGGTTGGCCGTATGAGGACAGGTAGGTCTCGAGGCGCTGTTGGTTGAGGGCCTGCGAGGGGGAGTGGTTGAGGAGGAGGGTGGCACTGGAGAGGTTAGCACGCTGACTTGAGTAACTGTTGATGCAATCTTGATCTATCCACATACAGATTATACACAACCTCCGCATCAACCGATCCCTCCAATCCTTGATACCCCGTCTGCACGACCGTCTCCCAGATGCCGCCCTCGCGCACGCTGGACGAGATAGCCTTCCATTCCTTCTGTCCAAACGAGTGCTTCCCTTCTTCCGGCCCCAATTCGACAATGGCACTCAGGAGTGTAATGTAGAGATTCCACACTTTGATGCGCCAGGTTGCCGACACCGTCGCGATGGGCGGTGTTGACTCGTCGCCATTGTAGTGATCATCTGACGCAGTTGGTGTAATGACAGGTTCCAGGGCCGTCAACGATTCTTGCAGTCGACGCGTCAGATAGAGTTGTGAGGCTTTCTTGTATGTTTTGGAACAGAGCTTGGAGGGGGAGAGGGTGGAGGAGGAGGAGAGCTGGGAAGCCGACATGTGGGATGAATCGGCCATTGTCACCGCCGGAGCATGGATCTGTAGAGTTAGGGAAGTTCACAAGGTCAATCCGTGGGAAATGACAAAGGGACAAATATGTAAAATAGAATAATAGATGATAGAGGTGGTTGGTCTGAGATGAAAGCTGCTAGTTTAGTACCTGTGAATCCTCCAGTCGGGGTTCGTTGTCCCTCGGCTCGGGGGCTGACCGGCCTGGACCGAATGCGGTTAGCGCGATGGGTACCTCAGGCTCTATTAATACACAGTCCGGGGCAGTCACGGGATCGGCATATCTATAGGATTAACTCTACAGCACTTCTCCAGGTATCTGATATATATCCAGTATATTGACGGTGTTTCTGCGTGAAATGACTACAGCATTTCTATATGAGGACAGTCAATCACTCAGAATGTCACATAACCTCAGTCACAGTTCTAGCCACAGAAACAGAAGTCACTCCAGGCTTACCTTCCTCCGACAAACAGCCTGTCTCATGTTTTGGTCTCTTCACTCAGCACCTGACTGACACTGACACTGACACTGACCATGACAACTAATGTCGACTGGTTTGAAGGGCTTGATCTATTTCTAACACCGCTCATATTACTTATCAATCGCCATGGATATCACTGCCTCTTCATTCTACGACCTCCTACCCGAAATCCTGTCCCGACTGTCCGATTGCTGTTTTGTCGCCCTGGACTTGGAATTCTCCGGGATCCCGATCTCGCCTAGAAAAAGTAACGAGAAACAGTCGCTGCAGGAGCGGTACGCAGAAATCAAGCAATGTGCCGAGAAATACCAGATCCTCCAAGTCGGTCTGACCATCGTCCATGAGGATGCGGAGAAAGGACAGTACCTTCTGAGACCATACCATTTATACTTGAATCCAATCGTCGATAGCGGGCTGGATCTACAGAGAGACTTCACGCTCCAAAGCAACGGTGGGTGGTTCAGATCGCCTATTTGTCTGGAAGCTGACCGACCCAGCAATGCGCTTCCTCTTCAAGCAAAATTTCTCCATGAGTTCTGTGTTCGACCGGGGAGTCGGCTATCTCTCGTCCGAGGAAGTCAATCAAGCCGTGGCCAGAGCCATGCAAAAGGATGGTCTTCCCGCGACACGTCAGACGCTGAAGGTGGGCGACAGCGAACCGGAATCCATCGCCTTTTTGAATACGGTGCGGACTCTGGTGGACCAATGGGTTGGCCATAGCAATGTGCAAGTACGTCCATCCCCGGCCCCCGCCAGACAGACCCCCCTGACCGCATATTAGCCATGTGACACATACCTCAATATCCCACCCCCCTGGTCCGCTACATCATATCTCGCTGAATCCAGCCGCATGCCGGGGGAACTCAGCCGGCGTGACAATTACCTCAATATCCCGCCCTCCAGGCCCTCTACATACCCCACCGAATCCCGCCTCATGCTGGGGGAACTCAGCTGGCGTGACCAATACCTCAATATCCCGCCACCCAGGCCCTCGACATACCTCAGCGAACCCAGCCACATGCCGCGGGAACTCAGCCGACATCAGAAGAAGCTGGTCCATGGGCTGATCGAGATGGAGTACCCATATCTGACCGCAACCGCTATGGGTCCATTCATTCAGATCTGTCAACGCGACGAGAAACGGGAGGCAGCCCAAAATGCGAATCGAGTGACGGAAAAGATGCAGCAGATCTGCAAATCCAAGGGATTTGGATGGCTGGCCGAGGCGTTAGTTGGCGGGGATCTTTCCGATCTCGACCCGAGCTGTTTCCAGAGTGACATGGGAGTTGGCCGTTCCTTGGCTAAAGTAACAAAGGCTGCGGACGTGGTGAAGCAGGATCTGCGCACCAACCAGTTTCTGCTGGTAGGCCATAACCTGTTCGTGGATTTGGTCTACTTCTGTCGATGCTTTGTTGGCCCATTGCCAGACAGTGTGGCGGACTTTCAGGTGATGGCACGGAGCCTGTTTCCCCGGGTGGTTGATACCAAATACCTGGCGACGCATAGCTGCGGCGACCTCAATCCGCCGTCCTCGCTCGGCGAAGTCCATCAAAAACTCCTCCCCATCAGGGCGCCTATGATTGGTATGTTGGAACCTCGCCGAGATCCGACCTCAGCTGATGGGCGCAGTGTTGCACGAATACTACCGAAAGTACTGCAGGGCGCCAGCAGAGCACGAAGCGGGCTATGATAGCTTGCTGACGGCGGAGGTCTTCCTCAAACTATCCGTCCAGCTTCGAGACACGATGCCCAGAATGTCATCGGAGGAGCTGCACCACATGTTCGCTACTAATCTCCGCATGGAGGAGTCCTATGGCTACGGGCGACCGAGTCGGTCACCGCAATTGACCGACTGCTCGGAGGCCCATGCCAAGGTGGACAAGGGCGAACTGATCCCACGCCCGGGTGCACTTTTCTGGGAGCGTTATAGCAACCGGCTGCGAGTGTTTGGCACTCGCGAGAGAATGTGCTATTTGGGATAGTCCACGACAGTGAACTTCATTGATACTCTGCTCGTATTATACGTAACATAATTGATATGAATGATATGATTTTCTACCATAGCCTAAACCGGCACTATCATATAAAATAGATAAAAATCTGTCCGCAGCGACTATCTAACCGTACACCTTGATTAAGAAGGTACCGCTAGCGAAAAAAGGCCGCGAGCACAAAGCGCTCACTCTGAGCACCAGTAAATGATCAACTGGTCGTGGAGAGCATAACGCAGTGATGATAAGAAGGTGCTGTAGAGAGAAAAGAAGAAAAGGGAAAGGGAAAAATCGGCGGAAAATATAAACCAGCAAAAATAGACGGTCACGTGTGGATCTAACCCGATCTCGTTAGACCCAGTTCAGCCTCCAAACAGGTGACCGCCAACTTTTCTTGCCCGTATCGGATCAATCAGTCTTCTATCTCAAGTCCCAGCAAGCTGTCCACACGCCTGAGATGTCTTCCGGTCCCAATGGAGCGCGGCGCATTGCGTCTGCACTGCGTATGTGATTCCAACCATTCCAGACAGACTAGAACTAACCACTGCATGATGTAGGACCCGTGTGCAAAAGCTGCCAACAAAAAGAGACGACGCTGGTCCGCCGCAGCTACGCCACGGCGACGACGCCCTCCCCCGACACGACCGCGCCCGTCTACCCCGTCGTGAAACCGACATACACGATCAACGCCGGCGTGGTGCTGTCCCGCCCCCCGCAGATCACGCGCGACCTGCACCCGTTCGAGAAAGCCTACCACTTCTACCAGCGCCGGCTGAACGAGCGCCTCGCCCTGCCCTTCACCAAGTACTTCTACTTCAAGCGGGGGACGCCCGCCGACGAGGACTGGAAGCGCAAGATCAAGGAGCGTCATACCCCCGCGCGGGACATCGGCAACTACAACGCTTACTCGCCCGACGCGTGGAACGACGAGCTGCTCGTTGGCGCTGCCGAGTCGGACCCTGCTTATCAGGCGGAGATGCTCATCCGCGACGCCGAGGAGACTGTCAATGCTACGTCGCAGGATACGAGCAAGCGCGAGGAGATCCCGCGTCCTTATCCGCGTGTGACGGAGGCGGACGAGAAGGGTGATTTCCGTAGCTTGAACCGCGCGCTGCAGCGGACGCTGTATTTCGTTGTGCGGGATAAGTTTGGGCATTGGAGGTTTCCTCGCTCGCCTGTTGAGCAGGACGAGACGTTGCGATTGGTATTTATTTCTTTCTCTTTCTCTCCCCCCGCCTTGTTCACAATGCTAAGTGTGCTATCAGGCTGCTGAACGTACCCTGACCCAAACGGCCGGCGTCAACATCAACACCTGGATGGTGGGATACCACCCGGTCGGACACCACGTCAAGACCTACCGCCGGCCGACGGACACGGGCCTGCAGGGCGCCAAGACCTTCTTCATGAAGGGTCGTATCATGGGCGGACAGGCCGATCTGTCGGGGAACAACCAGGAGCTGCAGGATTTCCGGTGGTTGTCCAAGGAGGAGATTGGACAGCATGTGGTGGATCATTATTACAGCAGTGTCAAGAATATGCTTGCTGATCGGTAGGATCGGTACTGAGTAGGGAGGAGAGGAGAGGTGTCTTGACTGCATATACTACATGCCATGTATAACTAGCTAGCTATCTATTGTTTTATCCGTTTAGAACCTAACGCCGTGCTTTGATAGACAAGTAACAGCATCAACCAAAGGAAACTAAAAAAAGAACCAACACCAACCAAAGAGTAAATAAAAGAAATCAACTAAGATTAAACTTCTGCCCCTGAACAACCGGCTTCTGCCCTTTAGCCGTAGCAGTCGCAGCCTTTTCAGCTAGACTTTTCCCACACATGGGGCATGCTATCCACCATATCTATCAGTATACTTCCTCACAAACATAAAACAAAGACAAGGAGAAAAAAAAAAGAAAAGACAGACCATTCTTCTGATATGCACACCGCTGGCAATACTTCCTCCCCTGCTCGGTCTTGGTCTTGCATTGAGTGCAGGACGAGGCGTATGCCGCGTAGGGGTTTTTGGCTTTGGCGGAGAGGAGTTTGTTCTGTGAATACTGATTAGTATGATATTATTTATAGTAGGTGTATGGCTCAATCGTATATACTATATACGGACAGGTATATAGTATATTAGGCAGTATAGAAAGGGCAGAAAGTAAGGTAAACAACCAAAACACATAAGGGACGAAAGAAAGAGAAAGAAAACAAACCTTTCCAATCCCAGTATTCCCCAGCGTAGCCTTCCCCTTGGCCTTATCATTACTACCGGCGTTGGTACTGCTACTCCCATAGTACATCTCGCTCCGACGCTTGACGTCCGGAGTGGCGAGTTGGGTGGATTTCAGCTTTTTGGCGCATTTCGAGCAAACCATTTTCTTTTTTTCTCTTTATACTCCTTTTGTATACCTTTTGTCTTTGTTAGATGGAATATGTTGAGAGTTGTAGTTGGTTATTGATAGGTGTAGTGGTGTTATCGTGGGTGGTTGGAGGAATAGAGAAGAGAGTAGTAGGAGAGATGATGTATGTTGCGGGGTGGGTTGAATGGGATGCCGTAACTTTGTTTGATTGGTCTTTTATGTTCATTTTTCTATGTAAATGGTTTTTTCTAATTTTTTTTCTTATTCGGATGGTATATAAAAAAAAAGTAATTCTATTATGTATACCATAAACCAGCCCTATATCAGAAGTAGATTCAATGCTTGTCTAGCTGAATGGTCATGATGTTCATGAATTCTCTCCCCTTATGCCATATATGAGACAGCAGTTACTGTTCTTCTACTACTAGGAATAATCTATATTGATGATCTGTACCTCTTACCGCGTTGTGAACTCATCTATAAGATAAACCTGTGGAATATGTAGCTTCATTAGATATAGTATTAGTTACTAACCATTTTAGTTAGCAGGCCCAGGATAGCTCTGGAACTATTTGAGTACCTCCCCCCCCCCCCCCCCCCCCCCCCCCCCCCCACTATCTTTACCTTATTTTATAACCAGCGCCCCCACCCTCCAGGACCGGATGAGGAGCACCGGGTCCGACTCACACGTGGATTTTAGTATATTCAGGCAAAGCCCATCGTACCATCCACTCAGACCGGAGAATCTGGCCCGTAGTAGGACGATCCCCAGGTCGAAACGAGAGCATCGACCGTAGCATATCAAACAGAGCATCCCTCTCGCGAGCATCAACCGGCGCCATCCCACTCTCCCGTCTAGGCTGCTGCACACTATCTTCGAATCGATCCACCCACGATCGGTAAGGATTGCGCCTGAGTGGCTTCCCGTCCTCGGTGAACCGTTGTCGGCGCCCCTCCCACCTCGTCCACCATTCAGCAGGCAAGATACCAAGAGCGTCGACCTGCTCGCACGTCATGTCGTCCTCCGTGGCGAGAAACCCTTCAAACAGCGGCCGCTGGGCGATAATAGACCATATAGTACAGGCGAGGGTCCATATATCGGATGGAAAAGACAGAGGGGTTTCCGGCTCGAACCGAGCCTCCGGGGGTCGGATGACGAGCGGCGTGTGAGACTCGTATTTGGCGTCTGTAGAGCACGAGAAGGCTTCGCCAAAGTCGGAAAGCAGGATCCGGGCTTCTGCGGGTGTGATTGCCTCGCTGGCTTCCCCTAGCCAGATCGGCGTAATGCCGTGGGATGGAACGCCAGGTGGAAGCGGGTTCCCGTCTAAATGGACGACGGGATCTAGTTCCGGTTGTCCGTAATTTTCATATAATTGCTCGGGGGAGAGATGGTCAAAGCCTGGGGGCACTTTGAGGAGAATATTGCCTAGGTGAAGGTCGCCATGGACAAACCCTTGGGCGTGGACATAATCCACCGCAAGAACGAGTTGCGCCGCCAAGGACCGGGCGACCTCGAGCTGGAATAGGCGGATCCACGAACCATCTTTTAGCCCAGAGAGGCTAGCCCTTGCCGGTGCGGTCACGTAGCAAGCATGGGTGCCATTTGGGCCGTGTATGGTGAACCTGTTTAGAATGAACGGGATCATTGCCTGTCCAAGATTATGGGCTGGAGAGCAGGGTGACCGCGTGAGAGTGGATATAATGTCCGCTTCTTTTGGGTTTGAGTTTGCCGTGCAGACTTTTACCGCAACGTATGTATTTAATCGTTCATCACGGGCGAGCCACGTCGTTGAATAGCTGCCATATCCCAATTTATGAACCACGCGATATCGGCCCTGAAAGTGATCGCCGATTTGTACGGGATGGTAGCCGCCGGGTCGATAGTTCTCTAGCCTCTCGACTCCCTCGAGAGGCTCGTATAGGCAGCGGGCACTCAGCTCGTCGTTGGCCGCCATTGAGGTGAACGCGGTGGTGGTCAACGCGTAGCGAGGTTGGGTGTGCCGGGGCGGTGGCAAGTTGGCTTTACAAAGGGCAGAACGGTTGATCTTGGATTGTAAACCATGTGGGTGCAATGACCGGATGGCTGAAGACAACAGTCTGATCATCGCCCTACCACCAGACTCTTGGGAAAGGATCCTAAAATATTGTCTCCTGTCCTGAGTAGGTACGGAGGAGGCAGATGTGTAGATAGGTCAGATAAGTGGAGCCGCGTGCGAGAATGTCCGGGCACGGCGCTTATCTATTGGCCGATAGAGACCCCAAGTCTCGCGCGCATTGAAACAACGGACGACGCAGCAGACAGTGACATTTGTTCATCACCCCCAACAGCCGCCAGGATTTCATAGTATGGCGACTATGCAATATATATATTTGGCGCCTGGAATCATGCATCGGGCCCCTGCCGATCGTCTACATTGTTACTCGATGGAATTTACGCGCCCTTGGATAGGATTGCCCATGCAGGGCCCTGGCCATTGCCAATGATGATATTGTCACAGTAGACAGGACCGGGCTCTATAAATAAGGAGATACAATCGAGGATGGAATGTCGTACAGTCGCATCCCACAAAGGTTCCTCACTTCGAAGCTTTAAGACATTACCTCCGCGCCGACAAACCGCACTCGGGATTTCACTCAAGCAAATATGTCCACGGTCAACATGGTGAAATATTATTTTTACAAGGGTATGGTCCCGAAGGATAAAGATCGCCTGCGCCAGTTTGTGGCTTTGGCATATCAGACAGCGAGAGACAGAAAGCTCCACCCAAAGGCGGTTCTTATAAGGTATGGCCGCAATCTGGGGTTCGATGGCATTCTGTTCCCTAAGGGCCCTACGAAGTGCTAACTGACGCTCGATGACTTTGCAGGTCCGAGATCCATGAAACGACCAGCTTCAATGGCGTACACCTGAAAGATCCTCTGGGTCCACACGTGACTCTTTGCTACAAAGACGAGGATCAGCTCCTGCGTGGGACTCATGTCGCAAGCCATGGCTATGTTACTGGGAGGGACAATCTTGGATTTGTGCGCGCAACTCATGCGGGAGAGAAGGCGGACTCGGCTAAAAGGCAGCAAGGAAGAAAGACAGTATGGCCATCAGAGGATGACCTTGAGGCCGTACCGGAGATCGGCTACAGCCATCTCCCAAGCAACTAAAGATTCGAATCATCCGTTCGAAGTGCCTGGTTGCTTTGAGCCGACATGCGAAGAGGAGGCCACCCGCACCCGTCCTTGTAACTTGTGCAGATAACATTAATTTGATTCAACGGTTGCTTCTAGCTCGTAGGTGAGTAGCACGTGCTCCTAGCTCCTTCATCGGATGGGGTTTTGAAATGAAAAATTGCCCATCCTTTTGACGTTTTCGTGGTGAGCTGGAAGCACGCTGCATACTTCAGGAGAATCGGCTCGGGAAGCACTCCAGTTCCTTACAATGAGCTGCCTAGAGGGTGCCCTTCTTTCTGCTAGGATAATTGGTACTTGTTAAGTCACACGTATCTCTCATTTTTCAGCTGTATGATCTACGGTTCTTATTGCGAGACAAGTGGGCCTCTAGCTGCAGAGATACCCTTTGGTCGTCAACGCGTAGCGGGGTTGGTTGTATTGAAGTAGTGGGATGGCAAGACTCACTCAAAGAATAGGACCTGATCATGTTCGAGAGGTATGCCCTTAGTTGTCTCTTTCTTTGACTGGCTTGGAACTCCGTAGGTTAAGCCCCTTCATCATCCACTCATCGTAAAGAAGTTCCAAAGCTGTAGGTCTATCTGCTGGATTCCACTGCAGAGCTGTGCGAAGCCATCGCAAGAAACCCTGCTTATCATTTCCCCGGATTTTGGCAGCTAAGCATTCTAGGTTTGTATCAGGGAGAGGTACTGACTGGGTCCAGTTTCCTACGGTATAATTAGTAACCTCAGCTTTCAAAGACGGGGATTTAAAACAAGCAGTCATACCAGACTCGTCCCAGAAAACCGAACTGACTTTGCTCTTTTGGCGAAATTCAGGCGGTGGAGGGCCTAGAAGGGCAACCAACTCTGCAAGATGCACCCGGTCATCGAAGATGCCGTCGGAGTTTCTACCATCGAAGAGAGTACGAGGGCAGACAATGTCCCATGCCTTGACGAGTTAGTAGAAAAACATAGCAGAATTTGCCGAAACACGTACAACCATGGCAATATTCCATATATCAACCTTGGAGTCCCACTTCATCTTGAGTATAACCTCAGGAGCTCGATGAACATTCGGCATGATATCTTCATCGTGCTCCTCATCGCCGAATCGAGCTTCGCCGAAATCACTCAACAGGGGGATACCGTTACTGGGTGGGAATCTTGAGGACGTGTATATTGTTCGATCGTGCAGAACCTTCCTAGCGGACGGTGTTCTCACTGCTGCTTCTTCAAAGCTGGACAGCGTCTGTTGATCAGGTGCCGGGAGAAGGGGATTTTTAAGTTGAAGATCTTAATTTATTAGCTGTGTGTTACCAAGTATAACAGAAGAAGTACCTGTGTGGATCACATTGGCCTCGGAGCGTAGAAAGTCCAAAATGACAAGCAGCTGACGGATACACGGCTTTAGATCCTCAAGGGTCATCGCCTGGCCAGGAATCCACTGCATTAGTTCGCCGGAACTGATTCCAAGAGGCTCATGGACAAGACACGTATGTCGACCATGCGGTCCTTGGATAGGGAAATGGTTGAGGAGCTTGCGGATGAATCGTTTGCCAGGATGGGCGGTCGAGACGGAGTTGATACGTTCGTAGATCTTCAGCTCGTGGTTTGTTTCTTGCCCTGTTACATATACCTTTAGGGCCACATAGTTGGAGTCACTGGACCTAAATTAATCTACTGATCATGATAGATGAGAACTGCACTCACTATAAATCCCTCCCAAACCAAACAGTCGATGTCACTCCATAGCCCAGCTTGGCAAGTATTTGGTACCTATTGTTGAGGACCTCCCCTAGTCGCACTGGGTAGTACTTGTTAGGGTGATAATTCGGGAGAGATTCTTCCTCAATCTCTACAGAAGTGTCTATAAAATCGAGTCCAGAAGTGGTAAACTCCTTGGGGAGCGATGTCCATCGCGAGGATGTGACACTGCGGCGCGTGCGCGTACTGGACGCTGGTTGAACATAAAGGGATTGGAACTCGACGAGGGAGAGTGGAGAGACTGCGAGGAGATTGTATGACTCTCATCATGAAAGATAAGTTCTATACCACTGGTGAAGAGTATCACAATGGTAAACAAAGAGAAACAAGCCGGAGGTGATGCATGTCTGCCTGAGGCTGCAATACATACCACTGATACCAGAGCTTTAGAAAATTATCAGACTGAATACATAGTAGTGTGAAATATACAAATGTAGATATAGACAATGTAGTTTCAAAAGTATAATGTAGATAGATACAGTGGTAGAAGATAATTTTAGCTCTCATAATAAAATAGATGTGATGAAGTGATAGAGCGCCCTGCGTGACAGATGACACCATCTCTAGCCAACTGGAGGAAGGATGATAAATTGCTTGATTTATAGAGTATCAAATAGTATAAACAGAATATAAATAGAGTATAACATGGTGAAACAGTATAAACAGAGATAGAATAAGGTATAGTATGAAGTATAAATAAAGTATAGAACAGTCCAATATAGTACAATATAGAGACAATCAATAAAATACCCGAATCAAATAGTTAAATTGAATAGTGGCGTAAACAAGTGGCAATATCGCTTCAGCTCCTCCTGCTAACCCTCCTTCCTCCATCCAATCCGTTCAAGAACCACCAGTTATCCTCCAAAAACCAGCCATCCTCCACAATGATCCCTCCAATAACACTATACAATGCCCCCCAATGCACCCGGAGAAAGCCCATGCAACCCACAAATCACAACCCCAGCATGGATCAACTAAACCACGAACCCCCCCAAAACAGAAATATCTACCAGTCATCGAAGCCCAGGATCAAAAGACCAGGGGATGGGTTCGTCAGACCAAATGACCGTCCGTTCCAGCGGAGTGGTTCGCTCGTTCGGTTGGACAGAGTCTTTGCCAGGGTGTTTGGCGATGTCTGTCAGTGTCTGATCACATCACATCTCATCTCATCTTTCAGCTGTTGATTTCATTCAGGGGTTGACTTTCTTTTGGTTGGGATGGTTGTTATTGATTGATTTATCTTTGTTTGTTCGGTTCGTGTTTATTTAGTTACTTATTATACCCAGACGTGTCTACATATCTTCTGTTGGGGATCTCTACTCTGTCATCAAACCTGTTCGCCTGCACCGGTGCTGAGAACGTTGACGAAACTCCTTGCTTCTACGCTTGGCACGGCGACCTCTCCTCGTCCAGATTGCCCTTCCCTACACTGATGAGTTGAAGGGATCTCTCACCCATCTTCATCCAACGATTCGCGCCATCAACATCTTGACCGGAATTTCCAACGTGTGAACCCAACATCAATCCAAACGTGCAATCAAGGAAAAGAAAGAAGAAATGCCACCAGCAGGCTCATCGTTCACCCCATTAAACTTACCTCCCACATTCACCCTCCCCCCCTGTCTAGAGTACTTTACGCTCACCGCCGGACCCAACACCGATCTCTGGCGCAAGCCACCCAACGGGGATGTGTCGACCGCACCCATCGTGTTCACCTCGCTGCGCAGCGCCTTCGTGCTAGCCGAGGTGACCGTCAGCGCCGACTGGGAGATGGAGTGGGACCAAGGGGGCCTGGTGATCTTTGCGGGGGCGGCTCCTCGATCCTTCTCGTCGGATGCCACGGGGCGCATGACGACCCGCGCGGGAGGACGCCCCGGCAAATGGGTCAAAGCCGGGATGGAGTTCTGCTCGGGCACCGTCCACGCCTCGTCGGTGAGCGCCACCGCCGACGGAGCCGACTGGTGTCTTTCCCCGCTTTGTGTGCCGGAGCCGCGCGGGGGTGGCAGGAGGATGCAGTCGCTGCGGATCAAGCTGGAGCGGATCGGACATGCGCTCTGGATCTGGTACCAGGTGCCGTCGGCGGTGCCGACGGCGATGACGATGACGCCCGGGGCGGTTAGCAGCACGTGGAAGAAGCTGCGCGAGGTGACCTGGTTCTTTTACGGGGTGGAGGAGAAGTTTGTGCACGTGGGGGTGTACGCGAGTCGACCGAATGGGGTGGCGGGGAGGGATGAAGCCATGTGGACGATGCATAGAGGGGAGGGGGAGGGATTGGTGGTGGAGTTTGAAGATTTGGAGATATTTTGACTCTTTTTTTTCTTTTTGAGAAGCATTGAGTGTGATGAATCATGCATTGAGTGGGAGCGAATATATCAATCAATAATAGCAATCAATTAGCAATATGGCAAATATCGATATTGGCAATGTTAGTCAATACTCGCAATATAGTCGATAGTCTATATACGTATAGATCAGCCATATCAAATGATATGCAGTATATTGACCTTGATATCAGATCGGAGAACATATCGAGTCCATCTCCAGATAAGAAAGATGGAAGGAATGGATGATTGGAGCCAGAACAGCATATCTCCATACCAATCAGAAGACTCCATCAAGTGATAGGATGCAACAGAGGATGCAGCATCCGCCGACGACCGAATCAGCGCGGTCAAAGTGGAGACAGTGGATCCCCCGAGTCGCCGTTCACCGCATTTTCCGGCTCATCCTGAAGGGTTAGTGTTTTTTGTCCTGTAGGATGGAGAGAAGAGTAAGAGGGGAAGTCCGATTTGAAGTTAGAGGAGGAATGGCACGATGATCGGCCGTCGAGAAAGCAGAGGCATTGCTGGGCCAACGCTGATCCTCAGACCATGATGAGTCTATCCCGATGAATCCCTAAGTAGGAATGATCCATGATGGTTTAGATCCCCCGAACTAACGCCAATCAACCCACTTGACTTGCCTATCACGGCACACTATCTTTTTCTCTCTCATTTTTTTTCTTCCTGCTTCTCTTTCTTCCCCTCTTTCTCTTTCTTCCTTCTTGCTCTCTGTTTGTTTGGTTCTTGAATCTGACTCTATTTTACTCATCCTCTCCTCCCCTCATCTTCCCTTCTTCTCCTTCATCCTCAATTCCTTCCCCTCTCCCCACGATCCCTGCTGAGCCGGGATCGCTGTATATTATCATATATCTATCTTGACCGGTTTCGTCATTATATTTCCTTTCTTTATTTAACGACGTCACGATCTGGTGCTTCCATAATGGCCACCGTTGAGGCAGTATCTGGTATGTCTTTACTTCCTCTCTCCCTCTCTCTCTCTCTCTCTCTCTCTATATATAAAGAAAAGCTAATATAAAAGCCCCCCTCGATGCCCCCATCGAAAACGGCCTCGCTTCCCCAACACAATCAACCGGCCCCTCCGCAGCCGCCAAAAAGAAGAACAAGAACAAGAAGAAGAAGAAGAACAACAAGTCCGTCTCGGCGCCCGCTCCCGATTCGACCGCCGATGCCGATATCAAAGAGAATGGTGCTGCCGTCTCGGGACTCCCGGATGTTGCCGCTCCCGTGTCCGCTCCCGAGGCCGAGCTCGACGTGAAGGCGCCGGCGGTGCAGGAGCCTGAGGCTCCCGCTCCGGTTGAGGAGTCTCCTGTGGAGGAGTCTGCTCCGATCGAGGAATCCGCTCCCGTCAAGGCCCCGGCTGTTCAGCTGGATGAACCCATCGTCGAGTCCAAGCCCGCATCTACTCCCGAGCAGCCTGTCGAGGCTCCCGTCGAGGCCCCGGTCGAAGAGTCCAAGCCTGAGGAACCCGCTGCTGAGCCGGTCGTCGCTCCGGTCGAAAAGACTCAAGAATCCGAGAAAGACGCGGAGGTGACACCGGAGGAAGTTAAGGTCGAGGAAGCTCCTGTCGCTGAGGAAGTGAAGCCTGTGGAGGAGACCAAGCCGGAAGAAACTCCCGTCGCCGAAGAGGTTAAGCCTGTTGAAGAAATCAAGGCTGAGGAGACCCCCGTCGCTGAAGAGGTCAAGCCTGTTGAAGAGACTAAGCCGGAAGAAACTCCGGTTGCTGAGGAGGTTCAGCCTGTGGAGGAGACCAAGGTTGAGGAAGTTCCCGTGGCCGAAGAGGTCAAGCCTGTTGAAGAGGCCAAGCCGGAAGAAACTCCGGTTGCGGAGGAAGTCAAGCCCGTGGAGGAGACCAAGGTTGAGGAAGCTCCCGTCGCCGAAGAGGTCAAGCCTGTCGAAGAAACCAAGGTTGAGGAAGCTCCCGTCGCCGAAGAGGTCAAGCCCGTTGAAGAGGCCAAGCCGGAAGAAACTCCGGTTGCGGAGGAAGTCAAGCCCGTGGAGGAGGCTAAACCGGAAGAAGCTCCCGTCGCTGAGGAGGTCAAGCCCGTTGAGGAGACCAAGGCTGAGGAAGCTCCGGTGGCTGAGGAAGTGAAGCCCGTGGAGGAATCTAAGCCGGAGGAAGCTCCAGTTGCCGAAGAGGTTAAGTCCGTCGAGGAAACCAAGCCTGTTGAAGAGGCTCCGGTCCCCGAGGAAGTCAAGCCCGTGGAGGAAGCTAAGCCGGAAGAAGTTCCGGTTGCCGAAGAGGTCAAGCCTGTGGAGGAGGCTAAGCCTGAAGAAGTTCCCGTCGCTGAAGAGGTGAAGCCTGTGGAGGAAATCAAGGAGGAAATTCAATCTGCCGAAGAAGTGAAGCCGGTGGAAGAGGCTAAGGCTGAAGAAGTCCCAGTTGCCAAGGAAGTGGCACCTGTGGAGGAAACCAAGGCGGCTGAAGAGGTTTCGGTTCCTGAAGAAGTCAAGCCTGTGGAGGAGACCAAGCCTGCTGAGGAAGTTCTGGTTGCCGAAGAGGTTAAGCCTGTAGAGGAAACCAAGCTGGAAGAGGTTCCCGCTGCCGAGGAGGTGAAGCCTGTTGAGGAAACCAAGTCTGAGGAAACTCAGGTTCCTGAGGAGGTGAAGCCTATTGAGGAGACCAAGGCTGCTGAGGAAGTTCCCGTCGCCGAGGAGGTTAAACCTGTAGAGGAAACCAAGTCGGAGGAAGTTCCCGTTGCTGAAGAGGTGAAGCCTATCGAGGAGGCCAAGCCTGCTGAAGAGGTTCCGGTTGCTGAGGAGGTCAAGCCCGTGGAGGAGACCAAGCCTGCTGAGGAGGTTCCGGTCGTTGAGGAGGCTAAGTCTGTGGAGGAGACCAAAACCGCCGAGGAAGTTCAGGTTCCTGAAGAGGTCAAGCCTATCGAAGAAGCCAAGCCTGTTGAGGAGGTTCCCGTCGCCGAAGAGGTGAAGCCTGTCGAAGAAGCCAAGCTTGCCGAAGAGGTTCAGGTTCCTGAGGAAGTCAAGCCTGTCGAAGAGACCAAGGCCGCAGAGGAGGCTCTCGTCGCCGAGGAGGTTAAGCCGGTGGAGGAGACCAAGCCTGCTGAGGAAGTCCCCGTCGCTGAGGAGGTGCCTCCTGTCGAGGAAGCCAAGCCTATCGAAGAGGCTCAGGTCGCCGAGGAGGTTAAGCCTGTGGAGGAAACTAAGCATGCGGAAGAGATCCACGTTCCTGAGGAGGTTAAGCCCGCCGAAGAGGCCAAGCCCGCCGAGGAAGTTCCCGTCGCTGAAGAGGTGAAGCCCATCGAGGAAGCCAAGCCTGCTGAAGAGGTTCCGGTTGCTGAGGAGGTCAAGCCCGTGGAGGAGACCAAGCCTGCTGAGGAAGTTCTGGTTGCCGAAGAGGTTAAGCCTGTAGAGGAAGCCAAGCCTTCCGAAGAGGTTCAACCCGCCGAAGAAGTCAAGCCGGTGGAGGAGGTTGCCCCCGTGGAGGAAAGCAAACCTATTGAGGTTCAGGTTCCTGAGGAGGTCAAGCCGGTTGAGGCTAAACCCGCTGAAGAGGTTCAGGTCGCCGAGGAAGTTAAGCCTGTTGAGGAGGTGACGCCGGAGGTTCAGCCCGCTGAGGTCAAGCCTGCTGAACCTGCTGTCGAACAAACTCCAGAGGAGCCCGCCGCGACCAAGGTTGAAGAACCCGTCGAGGAGCCTGCCAAGGAGGAGCCTCTTGTTGAGGAACCTGCTAAGGAACTTCCCGTTGAGGAGCCTACTGTCGAGGAGCCCGCTAAGGAACAGCCTCCCGTTGAGGAGCCCGTCAAGGAGGAGCCTACTGTCGAGGAGCCCGTCAAGGAGCCTGTTGTTGAAGAACCTGTCAAGGATGAAGCCCCCGAGTCTGCCCCCAAAGACATCGCCCCCGAAGTCGCTGCCGCCACTGGTGCCGCCGCGGTCGGTGTGGCAGCGGGTGCAGTCGCCGCTGCGGCTTCCGAGAAGCCAGAGACCACCGAAGACAAGCTTTCGGCCCCTGCCCAGCCCGCGGCCAATGAACCGCCTACCCCCGAGCCCGAAGCCGACCCCGCTCTTGTGGCGCTGGCCGGGGACCGTGAAGCGCTCCTCCAACAGCTGGGCGCTCCGTCCTCCGAACGACTGCCCCCGGCTGCCGTCAAAGACGACCAAGCCGACAAGCCGCAGCAGCCCACCGTGGAGACCACGGCTGAGCCTTCCGACTCGACGAAACTGTCTCCTCCTGAGGCCACGGCCAAGAGCGGACAGACCTCTCGGGCGACCAGCCAGAACCGGTCCGTGGGTGCGGTGTCTCTCCACAACCAGCAGGGCGAAAGCTGGCTGAAGAGCTTCTTCCGCGTGGTGTTTGTGGACTTTTTCGGGGTGATCTTCTCGCCCTTCCGCCGTCGTGGTAGGCAGTAAATAGACTGGGGCATGAGCCTGAGGTGATGCAGCCTGGCTGATCTGGTATGTCGTCTACATACATACCCATATGATCTGACCAGACTGCGAACCAACGCAAAACCAAAACAAAACCAAAACTGACATTCATTTGATTTGGGCGTGTTTGTTTGATTCCCCTGTATTTGATATTGTCATTTCTCTTCGTTTTCTTCTTTTCTTCCATTACTGTTATGCTCAGATTGTGAATATGATACTCCTGTTGATTTTTCCAGCATGTTCCTGCTTGGAGGCTACGGTCTGTCGTCTTGGAAGGATATGATCTATGGGTACTGCGATGTAATGATTTACTGATTATGATTGATGATAATGAGATTGGAGTATACCTATCTATCCTACTTTGTAGATTGTAGTAGCTTTTAGATGGAAGATTGTATTGTTTTCAACCCATCCGCCTCAAGCCCTAAGTCCTGTGTTCTATCATATAGTGATCTCTTCTAATAGCAATCACTCGACTATTAGTAGTCTGTTGTATGGTCTACCCTGTCAAGCAATAGTATGATGTAATAATGAAGATATACAGGTTCACACACGCACTGCACTGCACAGCCATTCACTCGAAGCTATCACTGCCCTACTCTGTAAACCACGCACCTACTGACAGATTGAGCATTCACTACACGATGTATATTCACTTGTTTACATTTCCACCTGACTCTGAAGTCTATAAAACATCTCTCATCTTCGATCGATCTCTTCTTTGCATCCTCACAACTACTCTACTCGAACCAGGCCATCATCATAACCATCGATCTTTATCTACTACTACTGCTACTACCCAATCCACAGTGTGAGAAGATACTCGAAGATGACCTCGAACAATCCCCCTCCTACAACCCCAACTACTCCAACCTCTACCCTCGTCAACAACCTCTTTACCCCCGACAACCGCATCCCCGTCCCTCGCGTCTTGCTCCCTCCGGCGAGTATCCAGATGTCTCTAGAGAATGGCAATGCTTGGGCTCAGATGAAGGCCAAGGAGAAGCTGCAGAAGAAGCAGCAGGTTCTGGAAAAAGGTACTACTATTTCCTTCTCTTGGTGGTTCTTGATCTAGATCTACCCTTTCTTGCATCTGAATATCATCTTCAGTCTGTATATCTTGAGAGTGGAGTAAGACTAACATCAACAGTTGCCATCCCCCTCAAAGGCCCCGTCATGCCAAAGCCACTCCCCAAACCCGTCGGCGATTACCGCAAATTTTCTGGCCTGAACTACGACCAGGAATTGGCTCTGCCTATGCCTAAGCCACCCCTTCGTGGTCAATCCGACAAGGCAGCCCCTGCAACTCCGGAGCCCAAGCCCACCGCGCATAAGCTGCACAAGCGTGGTAGCCCTGGAAGTGCCAAGGACGAGAAAGACGACAAGGACAAGGAGAGAGATAAGGAGAAAGAGAAAGAAAAAGAGAAGAAGAAATCGCGCGTCGCAGCCCTCAAATCCAAATTCTCTCTCAAGGATATCGGAAAGGATCTCCGTAAGGATGGTCCCCTCACCAGCTTGCCGGCTATCCCCCACGATGGAAGCGAGGCCGGCAGCGATGACGAGACTCCTAAGACGGTCGTCTCTGTTACTCCTGATATCCAGAAGACTCGTCTCTATGTTCCCAAGTTGGAGGATACCAGCGTGCATCCCATGTCGGCGCCTGCGAAGCTGACGTCCAACTGTGAGCCGAGACCGCTTCTCTCTCCGATTGAAACTACTCCCCTTCGTTCGGCGGGGTTGCAGATTCCGGAATATGTGTCTGCAAAGGTATGTCTCGAGACTATGTATACATATGAGGTATGTAGGAATGTTTTAACAAGGTTGAAGAGCATCGACAGTTCCTTCTTCGAGGAGTCGCCCACTGCCAACCGCGCAGCGAAGCTCAATGACAATGCCCCGGATTCGATGGACACGCCCAAGGCCCCGCCTAGTACCCCTGAGAATTTGGCTCAGCTGCCTGCTGTTTGCTACTCTCCCTCTTTGTATGAGGACGACCGTATTGCTAGACCGCACTCGCCTGGCGAGAACACCGAGGCGGAACCGGCCAAGGCAGGACAGGATGGCACCACTGAGCAGAAAGGCATTGATACTTCTGCTTCAGCTACCAAAGCCGATACAGAAAAGGCAGACCAAGATGACACCACTGAGCAGAGAGCCATCGATACTCATGCTCCATCTACTGAACCCAAGGCCAATACAACCAAAGCAGGCCCGGATGCCGCCACCCAGAAGAAAGTCGCTGAGACTCTGGCTGCTCTGGCGGCCATACCCAAGACCGATCACACCTATCCGTTCATCGTGTCATCCGACCCAAGGCCGCCCCAGAACAACGCTCCTACGACTGCATCTCACTATGAAAGCGCCCCTTTCGCTGCCACCCCCGCTGAGAATGCACCCATCCCCATGCCTATGGACCACACATCCATGTCCAACGTCGCAGTCTACGATCCCAACCAAACCTGGTGGCACCAGCATGCTCTCTCCGCCCACGAGCAGTACGCCCCCTACGCCTACACCAGCTACGGTGGGTACGCGCCGGCGCCTCCTGTCCCGGGATACCAGAATACCATGTCGCTGGAGCAGCAGCTCACCGACAACGTCAACTCGCTGCACCACCACATAACGGGCGCCATCACCAAGATCAACAAGACTTTTGATAGCACGCACAACCGCACGCTGGACCAGATCATGCCCCAGCTGGAGAGCATCACTGATGCGCTGCGGGGCTGGAATAGCGAGGCTGCAAGAATTAGGGAGTTGAACCATGCGATGGGCCAGTTCCGCTACCAGGTTGCTGTTATGCAGGACCAGATGTTCCATATCAATCAGAGTCTCTCGCTGCTTGTTAGTGGGGTGGACACTCTGCAGAGGGATGCTTCGAAAAGAGAGAATGGGGGAGAGGGAAAGCCCAGGGGAAGAAATCAGCAGGCGAGAAAGGGTCCTACGCCTGCTGGCCGTAGAGCTGGCAACAAGAGAGACAACCGTTCTTCTACTGTTGCTTCTTCTGTTGAGCGCAACATTAGTGATATTGGCGACAACGTCCCAACTCCAGTTGCTGCGTTCCGCACGCCCATTCCCTCGTTCATCCAGCAGGAGTCCAGCGCAAGCGCGCCCCAGATTGAGCCGAACAACACCAAGGACGCCAACAAAGAAAACAACAAGAGCAAGGACGGCAAAAAAGACAAATACTACCTGCGGACCCGACCCAATTACCCCAAACGATCCGGCAAGGGATCTCTCAACGAGACAAAGACAGACACCGACGCCACCAAAGCGACCGACACCACCAAAGACACCACCCAGAACAATGCTGCAGAAGGAACAACCAAAACCCAGCCCGACACCGAGACCAAAGAAACCTCCCCTCTGTCGCCCATGTCCATCGCCAGCGAGCACCGTCTCAACGAACACAACGCCAACCACGCTCCCATTCCGATCCCTGCTGCTGCTGCGCCCGCACCCCCACAGACACGGAACCTGCGCAACTCGGTCTCGCTGCAGAACTTCAACGTCGGTAACCCTGACGCTGCTGCTCAGGCGACTTATCATCCGTATAGGGCTCCTGGTTCAGGCGCTCAGTACGCTTCTGTTGGTGGTGGTGGTGGTGGTAATCATAATGGAAGAGGTGGTGGAGGGATGCAGTATGGTCGTCCTGGATCTGGACCTGGACCTACTGTTCCTAATACGCCTCATATGCAGTATGCTGGTGGATGGAATGGCTATGGCTATGGTAATGGTAATGGTGGTAATGGTCATGGGATGTCGTGGTATTATGGACAGGAGCAGGGCCCGGCGTATGGTGCATGGTAGGATCTGTTGGGTTACCTGTTGGGTTACCTGTTGGGATGCCTAGGTGGGTTTGATACTCAGTTTGTGCTTGGAAGGGTGGGAGGATATATTGACAGGATGAAGTAGGAGGACAGGACAAGAGGATACGATGGGACGAAATTGGAGGATAGGATTACAGGATCGAACAGGAGGATTGAACAGGAGGATTGACAGGAAAATGGAATAGGAGGACAGGATAGAAGGTTGAAATCGGACGAGATAGGAGTATGATCGCAGGACAAGATGAAAGGAGAATATGATCAGAAAACAGGACAGGAGATTATCAGGAAGGAAGATATTTTCAATGGAATGCACTCGGATTGTACACTAAGGTAGCTACTGCGTTTCTCAATTGTACTCTAGTGTTTTCATTGAAATACAAGATACTTCTACTTCTACTTCTACTATGAGGGAAATGTCTCATCCTATACGCACAGGAATAGCCATACATGTATGGTCAATATCCAAAGAATAGTCTTGAAGACACAAGAGTATACTTTTAAAGGCATTAACAAGACAAGTAAAACAAGTATAGATTCAACTAAATTTGTATACATTCTACCAAAAACAACTTAATCGCTAATCAAAACTTCATTGATGAAAGAAGAAAAAAACATATATCAAAGAAATCCATGAAGAAAGCAGGCTACTTCCGCACAGAAATCATCTTCTCCATATCCAGAGCCCCCGCTCTCACCTCAGGACAATAATGCAACCGCAGCAATTCGCCCTCCCAGACCGTCCCCGCAAACACGTTCGTCCCCTCGACGTCCGCAGCATAAGGGTTGAACACGCCGTCGCCCTTGCGCTCTTCGCTGTGCCAGAGGGAGGAGATCCGGCGCGAGTGGAACTTTGCGACCTGGTTGAGGAGGGAGAGTGTTGCGATGGCGGATTTCTCGGGGAGCTGGAGCGAGCTTGTCATGAGTCGCTTGGTGAAGCTGCCGAGGCGGGAGGGAGGTGGAGTGCCGTGCGAGCGGGACAGCAGGGCGGACTGCAGGCAGCGGAGGAGGAGGACGGTGGGCGTCTGGAAGTCGACTTTCTTGCGGGGTGCGGGTCGCCCTGGGTGGTTGGGGTCCGGGAGGCGGAGCGCGCTGTTCGGGTTGTATTCCACGTCCGGGTTGATGCACATTGGGTAGAGCGAGCGGTAGAGATGCTTGACGAAGAAGGTCAGGTCGAGGTGGAGGGCTCCGGCCGCTTTGCTGGCGTCTTGGCCGTCGAGCAGGGCGAATGCGGTGACGTTGCAGAGGAGCGCCTCGCGCTGGGTATCGCGCGTCGTCTGGTCCTCCTCCTCTTCCTCTTCGTCTTCCTCGTCTGCCATCTCCACCTCGTCCGCGTGGCCGATCAGATCCTTCATGGCTTCCAGCAGGTCGCCGAAGAAGTCCTGGTTGATGAGGTGGGCGTACTTGGCCAGACCCTCCAGCACGGGACCCATCAGTTTCGGGATGCGCTGCTTGAGGATGCGGAAGTAAACCCCAAAGACCAGCTTCAGCGTCTCGGCCTGGTTCTTGTCGCGCTCTTCGTGCGAGACCAGCGCGTCGGCCTCCTTCATGTCCTTCTCGACGACCTTGCGCTCCCGTTGGACCTTGCGCTCGCGCTTGGTGCGGAACTCCTTCTTCTGGTTCTTCTTGCCGAAGGTCTCGTCGGACGGCCGGTCGACGCGGTCTCGCGAGGCCTTGGACGAGAACTCCGACAGGAGGCGCAGGTGCAGGAACGTGTCCAGCAGGCTTTCGTTGACGCGGAACTCCTTGCCCTTGATCATTTTGGAGAGCAGTCGGACGGCCTCCAGCGAGACGATCCCGTCTTCGTCCTTGGCGAACACCTCCTCTATCGTCTCGCGGCACTTGATAAAGTCCGCGTCCGCCTGCCGTCTGGCCAACCGGTTGACCAGGACTTTGGTCAGGTCCGGGCGGCAGTTGAAATGCGGCACCCCCAGGAGGAGACTGCACACGCAGTTGATCGCCACGCTCTTCAGGCTCGGATCGACGGGGGCGTCTCCTTTCGTCGTCTTGGTCAGGTGCACCAGTCGGTTCACGTAGCTCTTGTACCCCGTCAGCAGCGCCTGCTCGTAGTTCCGCACCTTGCGCACGTCCTTGGAGACCTTGGCCGTCATGTCGGACTCGGTGAGAGGACGGATGCGATACCCGGGAATGATGTCCTTGTAGATGGCGGCCTGCGACGCCAGGGCCAGCTTCTGGATGGTGACATGTCTGCGATCACTGGCCATGTCGGCTATGCTTCTAAGCGACGAGATGTGGTCCTCCGGATCTTCGTTGATCAGCATCGCGACTCGGGCAATCTCTTCCTTCGCCTGGATGATCTGGAGCTTCAATGGAATCTTGGGTTCCTCGGGTTGGGGCTCCTCCTCGATGCCCTCGAAACCCTCGTCCTCATCGTCGGTCCCGAGGAAACTGTCGGACTCGTCTGCCTCTTGTTCGGATTCTTCCACCGCCTGAAACCCTTCGTCCGTCTTGATCGGCAGTCGAGTGACCTCCTTGTCTTTCTTTCCCACCTTGCGCGGTCGACGCTCGTAGTCCTGCTCGAGGTCCCATTCTGCGGCGTTGTTGACGAACTCGGCCTGGGCGCGGGTTGCACGCGTGGAAGTGTCCTCGTCGGCTGGGGGACTGACCCGTCTTCTTTTTGTCGTCCGATCGGGGGCCATTTTAAATGTTCTATCTGGGGGGATAGAAGTGCAATGGGGACTGGAGAGTGGTGTTCACTACCTTGATGGTCTGCGCGGGTCCGAACTTTTTTCCCGTTTTTTTTTTCTCCCGCGCCAAGCCATCCGCACGCTAAGACGGACTGCTCCACTTGATCTAGAGTTTTTGCCCGCGGAGCTTTCATTCTTTCGCAAGAGACAGAGAGGGAGAAATTTCATCCTCAATTTCACTCTTCCACCTTCCACCACAATGCGTCAATTAACTGAGGAAGAGAGCAAGTCGGTCTTCTCCAAGTTGGCCGTCTACTGCGGTCGCTCGTTGAACAACCTCGTGACGGCGTCGGACGGCGAAGGCGAGCAGTATGTGTTCCGACTTCACGGCAGTCGAGTCTACTATCTGCGCCTGTCTATCGCCAACTGGGCGACGTCGGTGCCTCGCGCGAACCTGCTGTCGCTGGGTGTTTGTATTGGAAAGTTGACCAAGACGGGCAAGTTCCGTGTACACATTACGGGTGAGTTTCTCAAGTTCTATTCTGTTCTTTGCAGAGTCATTCTGTTCATCGCTGACGGATGAAGCACTCGATGTGATCGCCCCCCACGCTCGATACAAGGTCTGGATCAAGGAGAACGGCCTCCTTCCTTTCCTCTACGGTGGCAACGTTGTCAAGGCACATGTGGGACGGTGGAGCGAAGATATTCCTGAGCACTCGGGTGTGGTGGTGTTTGACTCGTCGGATACGCCGGTGGTATGTACACTTCTGCCCAGGTAGATATGAATATCGCTAACAAGGACAGGGCTTTGGAGTGGTCGCGAAATCCACGACCGAACTGCGTCGGGTGGAACCTACTGCTATCGCTGTAAGTCTTCCGGTGTTGGATATGTTGGTCATGACTAACTGGGATAGGTCTTCCGACAAGCCGATACGGGAGAATTCCTCCGCGAGGTAAGCCACATCTTTCTATAAAAGGATGACCACACGCTCACTGTTTACAGGAAGATTCGCTCTTCACGACATAATCGATTGCATACGGGGGATCATTCGTGGTTAGATGTTCGATACCTCGGGATTCTCGCAGGAGTTCTGGAGTCGTCCATTGGTTTAAAAGTCAATCTTTATTATATACCATGCGTGCCTGTCCATATAGAATGTAGCCATCGTATTCTGATACCGCTGTAGACACCTGATTTAGTAGAATCCCAATCAGGCAACTCCGGGCACGTGCCGCCATCGTCAGATCAGTCAGCAATCGCAATCAACTTCCCTCTGAACCTCATGAACAGTCTAGCCTACAGTCCAATACCGCTTGTTCGTCTGATTCTAACCTTTGATTATACCTTCACTCCTCCTCCCTGTCTAACAGAGGAGACACCACGTCACCCCGCCTCCCCTCGACTCCTCACCCTCGACCCCTCAACCGCACGTCCCCGCAGACCGCAAACCGCCCGACTCACACCCCACCATGCCACCATACTCGAGTCAGCAGAAACAACAAATCACCCAGTTTATCAACTTCACACAAGCCAAAGACACAGTGGCCGCTAAAGTGAGTCATCTGGCTTGGTTCAACGCAGTTTCATGGCACACTGCAGACCATAGGGACACCGACTGACGGGTGTAGTTCTTAAGGGCGGCTCGGTGGAATGTAGAGGAAGCTGTCGATGCGTGAGTAGACACTGTTTTCTGATATCTGTCGATATATATTGCTGGGGCTTCTGGTCGGTCGAATGTGGGTTGTTATACCCTTACTCAGCTATAGTACACTTATAGATGGCATCCAACCAGCCGATGCATTGTAATTGATGTGCATCGCGATGGATATAATAGCAGTCCTTAGCTGGACAGGTCATTACAGACGACGACAGAAGCCCCAGCCAGCGTCAGACTAGACTGGTGCAATATCAAGAATAACCAATCTAACATTATACTATATAGGTACTTCCAAAGCCCACAAGGCACAGGCGGAAACACATCATCCCTCAGCAAGATCTTCGACAGCTATCGCGGTGCGCACATCTCCACCCCACATCAGGTACAACACCCTAACGTACAGAACAGATGACCCCCAAGACAACCCCGACGGGATCGGCATCGACGGCGCGATGAAATACCTCGGCGATATCCACGTCCAGCTCGACGAGATCACCTGTCTCGGTATCGCCGAGCTGCTCAAGTCGCCGTCTATGGGGGAGTTTACGCGCGAGAACTTCCTAGCGGGGTGGAGAGCAGTGGGGTATGACCTCTTCCCTTACTTTTCACTACCTATGATAAGGAAGAAAGGCTAACATAATAAAGATGCGACACCCTCGACAAAATGATCGCATACGCCTCCTCCCTCCGCACCCGCATCCCCACTGAACCAGACCTCTTCCGCCGCATCTACCGCTTCACGTTCCCGCTCTGCCGCATGCAAGGACAGCGCAACCTGCAATTCGAGATCGCCAGCGAACAGTGGACGCTGTTCTTCACGGCCGACAACGGCGGCGTGCAGTGGGATACGCCCACGACGCCGTGGCTGGAGTGGTGGATTGCGTTTCTGGAGGAGCGCGGCCGGAAGCCTGTCAATAAGGATCTGTGGGAGCAGCTGGAGGTGTTTATGCGGAAGACGCGCGAGGATGAGCGCTTTGGGTGGTGGAGTGCGGATGGGGCGTGGCCGGGGGCGTTGGATGATTTTGTGGCGTGGGTGCAGGAGCGGAGGGGGTGATTTTCTTTCTTTCTTTCTTTCTTTCTTATAGCTTTCTTATAGCTTTTTTATAGCTTTTTTATAACTTTCTTTTGTTTGTTGTTTATTCTATTTATAGCATTTTTATTTTCAGCTGCATTGTCTAAAGGTAGATGGTATGATTGAATCTACTAGCATATATCATGGTCATTTACGTCTTATACTACTCCACCTACTTCCCCATCTACCTAGCAACACTAAAGATAGGTAAAACAAACAAGATTTATCTCGCATAACATAGTATAGATAGTAGTGTATTGCATATATCGACAAACAAGAGAATAAAAGAATAAATCATTACAGCATCTCTATCCACGCCAAAACAGGATAGATCGAAACATAGAACATAGAAGATACAGCATTATTCGGAGCACGTACAGGGGGATAAATAAGAATCACCGTCGTTCATAGTGATGGCTTCTTTAGTTGCTTTGGTTGAGAGTCAAGAGTAGAGTAGGGTATCAAAGGCTCGCGGACAAGATGATCTACCGGTATTCCTTGTCGTATTCGCTGCCGGGGCCACTGCGGCGCTGGTCGTAGCGCTGTAAGAAGGTAAAAAGTCAGTGGTGATCAGTTTGAGATAGATAGTGGACTAACCTTCCGCAGCGCTTCCAGACGCTTCTTCTTAGTATGGGTGTTGACATAAGTCCCAATAAAGAAACCGATAATGTTGAAGAACGGAACCCAGGTGTGCTCGGGCAGGAACTTCTGGGCAAACGCCAGCGCCAGCGGGGAGGTGACCCAGCTGACCTTCATGACGGGCATGAAACCGGCCTTGACGGTGGCGCGGACCTGGTGGACGGTGCGCGCGCCGGCGATGACGGCCATGGAGGCGAGGTAGACGCCGTTCTGGATGGGAGAAACGAGCAGGTTGCTGACGAGGATCTGCAGGACCTTGGCCTTGAGGCTGGTGCGGCCGGCGAAGATCTTCTGCAGGATGCCGACGAGGAGATGGCCCAGCGGGGCGCTGACGAACATGCCGTAGAGGAGCATCTTGGGGACGCGCGCGCTGAAGTAGTGGCCGTGTTTGCTGACATCGTGGGCGATCCAGGAGGCGAGGAACTCCTGGAGACCGGAGAGGACACCGGAGGTCAACATCTTGGTGCGCAAGGGGTTGGATTGCAGATGTTTGAGATAGAGCTGTTTGGATTAGTTCTTGAATGGGAATGGGGTCAATTGGAGGCTGTCTACATACAGCGAGGTAGCCCGTCTGGGGGTTGCCGCCGGTCAATCGCTCGCCGACATGATGGGCCAATTCCTTGGTCTCTTTGCGGATGGACTTTGCCGCCTCATCCTGGGCCTTGTCTTGGAACTTGACGGACATGGTGGGGGAGGTGGAGACGTGTATGTGACAGAGAGGATCGTGTCGTGGGGAACGATAAGGACAAATCACGGGGGAAGAATGCTGGAAGCAAGAAAGCGGTCAGCCCGATTGATTGATTGATTGGGGTATGGATTGGGAGTACATACAGATGGATGGATGGATGGAGAGAAGTATGATCAATCCAAGATAAAACAATCAATGGATCTGAACGGGATGTGGCGGTCAGAACAGGAAGAAAGTCGAAAGGAAGAAGAGGGGAAGAGAGAGAGAGAGAGAGAAAGATGGGGGCTGGGAGGGTTTGTTTATATGAATCAAGTGGCTGGACAACAACAATCAGCAACTAGTTACCGAGGATGGAGATGGAGATCTAGCCGGGAGATATAGATGGATTGATGTACGGAGTAATCCGTACCTGAACACACCTGATAAATATCAGATAAATACCCAATAATGTAGAATGAGATGTTAGATAATTTAATCAATTAGAAATATCAAACCAGTCAGAGGAATGAAAGAAACAGAATGGAAAAAATGGCACGAAAAGCGGCAGATGGCGGCACACCTGGAGATTCAGGCACCCCCGTCGGTCACCTCCGATCTGGCACATTCCGATATTTTTTTTATTTTTTTTTATTTTTTTTTTCTATTCGTTCTATTAGCTTATTTATGTATTCTATCTGATTATTGCTTGGCTTGGTTTTTTATTATTGTAAAAGGTACCATCTATTCTACCCTATTCTATTATTCCATTTATCAAATAGTTATCTATATATCAGATCACTATAGATCAATCTTATCAACTGTTCTACTACTCTATTCTATATATTATACTCTACCTTATTTATTTATCCTATGTAATAAATTGTACTACTCTATCCAGTCTACTATACTTACTAGATTATTTCTATCTTTAATCTTAATCAACTTGTTAATAGGTTATTCCCTATATATTTGGATATACTTGTATAACTACATAGTACATCTAGTATTGTATCTCCTCTTCACAAAGAAACCATCAACTATACAAATATTATATCAGATTCATACAGATCATACCACTGCTGCATCTGCACTGAATCACAGTATACATTTCCTTTATTATGACTATTCATCTTTCTTCCAGCATGACAATCATCTCTCAATGGATGCATCAATGAGTGAATAGTAAACCTGCTCACCAGGGGGTATCTGTAGCGGAGAGTCCTACACCTACAGTCTCTACAGTCTCTACAGTCCAGACATCCAGACCTACAGACCTACAAGACACCATCCTCCACATTCAACCTCACCTCTCTTGACCTCTCCAGTCCATCTCCACATCCCCACCCCAAAATGAATGAAGCCGAAGACAATACAGACCACATCCCCGTCCTGGAGGGGATCCCCCCCGATCAACCCCACCAGGTCGATTCCACCGACTCGCAAGGCACCCTCGAGACCGCCCAGGCGCAGATCACCCCAGGCCCCACGGTCGATCTCTATGCCCGCCAGCGATCCTCCCGTCCAGACAGCTGCTTCCACAGCGTCATCGACCGCCAATACTGCGTCGATGACTTGGAACAGTGCAACGTGTGTGGGAGGGTCCCCTTCCTGAACTGGTTCTACCGGTGCATCGTGGACACCTCTGCCTTCACTGAACCCTTCAACCCGGACCGTCCCATCCTCAGTCCCTGGATGGCCAAGGCGGCCCTGGACGGCCACTACACCGACGAGGAGCTCAACGTCCTGTTCCGACAGAAGCTGGAGGTCCTCGAGATGGCGGAGAAATTGCGACACCCCTGCTCGTCACCCCACCCCACGGAAGCAGAAGAAGCCCAGGAGCAGCCGGACGACGATGACGACGACAGCCAAGTCTGGGTCGAGGACGTCAACCAGGACAGCTCGCGCTCATCGCCGTCGACGCAGGCGAGGGTCCATGCCATCCCGCGCCCCCCGTGCACACACCACGCCTGTCACCACTGTCACCCGGCGCTGCACCAGCGCTGCTGGCTGAGCATCGACGCCATCTGTACCGACCCGGAGATCAAACCCTTCACCGAGTGGGACTTTCACGAGAGACCCATGTCCGACACCCGCATCGTCCGCACCCTGGGCATGCGATCATTTGTCACCCACTCGGCGCCCCCGTCGATCTACAGTCTGTCGGAGGGCGACCATTTCCCTGGGACGACTCGACCAAACCCGCAACACACGCCCATTGTCCGTCTCCCTCGCGCTGTCCGTGCCGACGCAGATGCAGAGAGCAGCGAGCGCACGGCCCCCGAGACACGGGATCCGGAGTCCTCAATCGACGCCACCTCTGCCTTTGTTCGCGGGGATTTCGCATCCAGTTCGATTGTGGAGGCCGCAGAGTCACCCACGCTGTCTACCGCGGGACTAACCGGGGCCGAAACTGTCCTGGAGACGCCCGCGGTAGTCGATGGGTTTTCGGCGGTGCGTGAGCTCCTGGCTGTCGCAGAGTGGGAACATGGGGGGTGATGCAGATAGTGATGCAGATAGCCATGCATCGCATCATTCATAGAGAAGTTGAGCGCGGTGATTGAGTAGCCACGGATTCTTTAATGACCTAGTCCAGTGCTGTGGATGACGAGTTGTACGAATAACGAGCATGTGGTTCCATATCGGCGTTATGGTGGCGGTCTGCAGAAATCATGCTTGATGGTAAATCTCTGAAATGCATGATAATGCTTTGAAAGAACAAAATACTCTCCCTTAATCAATGACAGTAGTAAAGTCATGGCGGTTAAGAATGCTTAATACAGGGGAATCAAATCACGGCCCCGACTATTCCGAGCGACATCCATCATCCCGAGCCTCGGCTCCCGTGTCAGGTGCAGCTGCAGATTACCATCTTTTTAATTAAATCACATTCCCCTGAACCACCCTCGTCGTTGTGCAAACACACTCTTCTGCCACTTTCGATCTGTCCCCAACCAGTATTATGGCCGACTCAAAACCTTCCAACCGCCCCGCGACCTCCCATGGAGTGCCGGAGGGGTCGTCATCGGTCGGCCCCGCGGCCGGACCGTCGTCGACGGAGGTCGCTCGACGCCAGCTGCAGGCAGCTCTCCGGGTCGCAGATGTGACGGCGGGGCGTCTAGATAAGTGAGTACCGCTTATACATATAGAGGTGCATATATAGATTTTATGTACTGACTGTCCAGATTAATGGCCTCCGCATACGGCCAAGAACGCGTCTTCGCCGTCACCGGCTACCTCTCGCACGCCCTCTACCACCTCCTCGACTCCGCGCCCTGGATCGCCCTCCAAGCCCGTCTCGGCCTCCTCGCCCGCCTGCGCGCCTCTCCCAACAGCAAGGCCGCGGCCACCTCCAAGCCCGCCGCCGCGGCCCCGCCTCCCGCCTCCTCGCCCTCTCCGCCCTCATGACCGAAACCCGCTACACCCTCCGACTGCTCGGCCTCGTCCCGCTCTGGACCTGGGGCTCCGGCGAGCTCAAGTCGCCGCACCCCGACCGCGCCATCCACATCCTCACCCTGCTGCAGGTCGTCTCCAACGTGCTGTACCAGGCGCTCGAGAACGCGGGCTTCCTCGCCGCCAAGGGCATCATCTCGAAGAAGTTCCTCGACCGCTGGGGCGGCATCGACAAGTGGTATCTGTGGAGTACCCGTGCCTGGTTCGGCCATATCTTCTTGCAATTTTTCGTCCTGTGGCGACTACGGGTGCTGCGTGCGGCGCGGAGGGCCGCCGCTGCTGCTGCCGGGGCTGCTGGGGGTGAGAAGAAGGCGGACGACGCGGAGAGTGAGGCGGCTGAGACGCGCGCGTGGACGAAGAGTCTGGTGAATAATGTTTGCTGGACGCCGCTGTGTCTGCACTGGTGTGCTGAGGAGGGGTTGGGTTTTCCTGCCAGTTTGACGGGGGTGGTGAGCTTTATGGCGGGTGCGTGGGGAGTGTTTGATATGTGGAAGGCGACTGCTTAGTTGGGGAGTTGATTATTTGTATATATTGTTGGATATCCTTGCTTTTTGGTTGTTTGTAGGATAGATGTGGTATACCAGGGTGTTTTATAGATTTGTTGAATTATGTCTGTTTATAGTCTGTGTAGTCTGTTTGTAGCTTTTATATGGTCTATATGGTCTTTCATATGGTCTTGTCTGACTTGAAATAGTACATTGTACCTGTCCAGTCAGGTCAAGACTAGACCCAGTACCTGGTAACCAGTACCTGACTTCAGTGGCAAGTATACATTCCAGGACTACAGATTATTAATTCTCATGATGCTCAGTCGTTTGCGGTCCGATGGTGTATGCCTGAGGCAGAAATGTCTTGTTGCCATGACGAGCAATAGTCAGTACAATATCACTGATTATTCTGATAAATTCACTAATACCTATATCAATAATATATATATATATATATAAATATATAACCTTCGATATATAACTGTCAAGGTGAAGGTAAGATACCATCCCCTTCCATTGGCTTCTGCGGTGGCGGTGATGAATGAACAGCTTAAGTCATCCTCAGGCAGCCGGTCTCTATCGTCACTCTTAACCGGAGCGGCTTCTGCCAACAACCAATTCTCCTCCATCTCTCTTCCTCCTCATCCTCTCTATCCTCCTATTGATTCCACCCTCATCGTCCACCCTTTTATCCCCTTTCCATCCCCTCCATCTTCTTTTCCTTTTCTCTCTCTTTTTCCCTTTTCTTGGTTTCTTTGTCTGGCTTTCTCGCTTGCCGGATTTTCCTCCTCCCTTGGCCGCATTGAACCCTGCGTCACCGCGGCTTCTGTCCACCTATCTATCAGTTGACACCTCGCTCGCCCAAAATGAGCGCCGAACCTGATCACACCCACGACAAGAAGAGGGTCAATCTCAAGTATGCCTCGATCTCTACTACCTTCCACCAGAAACCACCGGCTAACCCCTCCAGTGACCCCTCGGGCGCCGAGAAGAAAGATGTACGCATCTCCCATCGTGGCGACAACCCCTCTGACATCCACTGACCCTATCGCTACAGGAGCTGGATACCTCGACAGCCATTCTGAAGAAGAAGAAGAAGCCCAACTCGCTGATGTGAGTCGATCCCAGGATGTGATGGGTGACACGTGGACGAAGCTAACCCCCACAGCGTCACCGATGCCGTCAACGATGATAACTCCGTCATCGCCCTCTCCAACAACACTATGGATACCCTGCAGCTCTTCCGAGGTGACACCGTCCTCGTCAAGGGCAAGAAGCGCAAGGATACCGTCCTGATCGTGTTGGCGGATGATGATCTCGATGACGGCAGTGTTCGCCTGAACCGTGTCGTCAGACACAACCTCCGCGTCAAGCACGGCGACATCGTTACCGTTCACCCGTGCCCCGACATCAAATATGTACGTCCCCCGTCCCCCCCCCCCCCCCCGTCCTGAGAAGAAACCAGTCTAACTCTATCTTTCCAGGCCAAACGCATTGCTGTCCTCCCCATCGCCGACACCGTCGAGGGTCTGACCGGTTCCCTGTTCGATGTCTACCTGGCCCCCTACTTCCGCGAAGCCTACCGTCCCGTCCGACAGGGTGATCTCTTCACCGTACGAGGCGGCATGAGACAGGTCGAGTTCAAGGTCGTCGAGGTGGACCCCCCCGAGTACGGCATCGTGGCCCAGGATACCATCATCCACTGCGAGGGTGAGCCGATCCAGCGCGAGGACGAGGAGGGCAACCTCAACGAGGTCGGATACGATGACATCGGTGGCTGCCGGAAGCAGATGGCCCAGATCCGCGAACTGGTCGAGCTGCCCCTGCGCCACCCCCAGCTGTTCAAGTCCATCGGTATCAAGCCCCCCCGCGGTATCCTCATGTACGGCCCGCCCGGTACGGGTAAGACCCTGATGGCCCGTGCCGTGGCCAACGAGACCGGCGCCTTCTTCTTCCTCATCAACGGCCCCGAGATCATGTCCAAGATGGCCGGTGAGTCCGAGTCGAACCTGCGCAAGGCGTTCGAGGAGGCCGAGAAGAACTCGCCCGCCATCATCTTCATCGACGAGATCGACTCGATCGCGCCCAAGCGTGAGAAGACCAACGGCGAGGTCGAGCGCCGCGTCGTCTCGCAGCTCCTGACCCTGATGGACGGCATGAAGGCCCGCTCCAACGTGGTCGTCATGGCCGCCACCAACCGCCCCAACTCCATCGACCCCGCCCTCCGCCGGTTCGGTCGCTTCGACCGCGAGGTCGACATCGGCATCCCCGACCCCACCGGCCGCCTGGAGATTCTGTCGATCCACACCAAGAACATGAAGCTCGGCGACGACGTCGACCTGGAGACCATCGCCGCCGAGACGCACGGCTACGTCGGCTCCGATCTCGCCTCGCTGTGCTCCGAGGCCGCCATGCAGCAGATCCGCGAGAAGATGGACCTCATCGACCTGGACGAGGACACCATCGAGGCCGAGGTGCTCGACTCGCTGGGTGTCACCATGGAGAACTTCCGCTACGCCCTGGGCGTGTCCAACCCGTCGGCCCTGCGCGAGGTCGCCGTGGTCGAGGTGCCCAACGTGCGCTGGGACGACATCGGTGGTCTCGAGGAGGTCAAGCGCGAGCTCATCGAGAGCGTGCAGTACCCCGTGGACCACCCCGAGATGTTCCAGAAGTTCGGCCTGTCGCCCTCGCGTGGTGTCCTGTTCTACGGCCCGCCCGGTACGGGTAAGACGATGCTGGCCAAGGCCGTGGCCAACGAGTGCGCGGCCAACTTCATCTCCGTCAAGGGCCCGGAGCTGCTGAGCATGTGGTTCGGCGAGTCCGAGAGCAACATCCGCGACATCTTCGACAAGGCCCGCGCGGCCGCGCCGTGTGTGGTGTTCCTGGACGAGTTGGACTCGATTGCCAAGTCGCGTGGTGGCTCCGTCGGCGATGCCGGCGGTGCGTCCGACCGTGTTGTCAACCAGCTTCTGACCGGTATATCCCCTCTGTTCTCCTCTATCGTGTAAATGACATGCTAATGATTGTAGAAATGGACGGCATGACGTCGAAGAAGAACGTGTTCGTCATCGGTGCGACCAACCGACCGGAGCAGCTGGATGCGGCCCTGGTCCGTCCCGGCCGTCTGGACACCCTGGTGTATGTGCCGCTGCCCGACCAGGCTTCCCGTGAGGGGATCCTCAAGGCGCAGCTGCGCAAGACTCCGGTGGCGCCGGATGTCGACATGAGCTTCATCGCCAGCAAGACGCACGGCTTCTCGGGTGCCGATCTCGGATTCGTGACGCAGCGGGCGGTCAAGCTGGCGATCAAGCAGGCGATCTCGGCGGACATTGAGCGCCAGAAGCAGCGCGAGGCCAACGGCGAGGACGTCAAGATGGAGGAGGACGACGCGGCGGACGAGGAGGACCCGGTGCCGGAGCTGACGCGGGCGCACTTCGAGGAGGCGATGAAGTCGGCGCGCAAGTCGGTCAGCGACGTGGAGATCCGACGCTACGAGGCGTTTGCGCAGAGCATGAAGAACTCGGGAGGCAGCAGCTTCTTCCGATTCCCGAGTGCGGGCGAGGGCGCGGACGGCAACACGTTTGGCGACGCGGGGAATGACGACAGTCTTTATGATTAAATTGGGTTTGTTATCGTTTATTGAGTCGTTAGGTAGAGGTTGAACATTTCAATGAATCCATTCTCAGATTTGAGTAATATAAGTAATATACAGTAGAACAACAGTATTAAAATCGTACTAATGTCAAAAGTAAAGAAAGGAAGGAAGAAAGAAAAGAAGAGAAAGAGAAGAAAAGAAAGAAAAGATTACCTCCCACTCTTCCCCTTCCCCTTCTTCTTCTCCCTCCCAGATGTCCCCTCAAACGAATTCCCATTCCCATTCCCTCTACCAGACGTCTCCTCGCGCTTACCCTTGCCCGACGGCTCCGACCCCGACGACCCATCCTCCGACCCATCTAGCAAATCCGACTCGTCGTCTCGGACAGCGACCTCGCGCAGGACTTCCTTGATCGCGCGCACGCCCTGCTCAACGACAGCCGACGGGATGCGCACGTCGATGTCTTCCCCTCCCCCACCTCCTCCATTCTCCGTCTCATTATCGTGGTCGTATTTTTGGCTATGGGCGTAGTTCTGGTCGTCGAGAAATAGGGAAGAAGACGACGGTATTCGGCCCTCGGCCGTAGCGACGACCGCGTCGACGACCTCGTCGAAGCGCTCGCAGCGCCCGGCGCGGAGGAGCTCCGTGGCGAGTTTGCGGATGCGTTCGGTCCAGCCGGTTCTTTGGAGGGTGGAGAGGAGGGTGGAGTGGATGTCTTCGAGGGCGGTTGTGCTGGCGAGGTGGGTGAGGAGGTCGGCTTCGATGGTTGTTGGTGGTGGTGGTGGTGGTGGGTGTGGGGAGGAGGGCATTTTGTCTTCTTTTCTTTGTCTGTGCGGTTTTTGGTTGTTTCTTTGTGTCTTTCTTTGTAGGAAGGTGTTGTTCTTGGGTTGAGATTGTTTGCTGGTTGTGGTGGTTGTGGTGGTTGTGGTGTGGTTGTTGAGGATGGACAAGACGGAGAGATGGAGAGATGGAGAGATGGAAGTGCGGCGGTACGGATTATGACGATTAACAGTAGATGGGCCCTCTACATGACTATATGATCATTTGATAGTATGATATAATTTATCTGATTTCTTTCTTCAGACAGAATTGTTTAAATATAATACGCGATTCATGTTGAATATGATGATGACTTTATATGGTTATGTCTGATGTCCCCGGATCATCCTCGAATATATATTATTCTATATTCTATTCTAGATCCTATTATAGATCCTATATGATTTATTATATCAATTATTTACCCTAGAATCATATCTATTACTATCTATTCGATCAATATATCCATTATGGACTGGATCTCCTTCTATTTATATGTCTGGACCATCACGTGCCCCACCGGCGCTTCGACTTCGACTTCATTTCTTTCTCTCTTTTCTCTCTCTCGCTCTCTCTCGCTCTCTCCTCTTCACTTTTTTCTTTATTACATCCTTCTTCTGTCGACTTTTCTCTTCGATTCTCGATTCGTTCGTCTACCCTGTCATCATCGTCTCCTCCATCCTCCCTCACTTCCCGTTCAGGACAAGATCCGCCCTGCCCGAGCTTCTTCCCCGCTCTGGCTGGATGACTGGCTATCCTTTCGACTTGTATTTTTCTAGCATCCCCATCCGACCTTGGCTCCATCACTCCACCTCTCTCGCTCGTCGTCTCCTCTCGCTGCTTGACCGAACAACACTCCTCGTCTTCCTGCCACCAACGCTCCCCGTCGACCGCTGCCTCACTGCGTCACTGCGTCACTGCCTCACGCGCTGGTCCCTCCTGACGGTCTCCTGACGGTCTCCCACCACCACACACCACCCCCAGACCCGCCCCCGATCCATGGGTGGTGCTGGGCTGCCTCTCCCCCCGTCGGCTCGACTGTCCCTCCCTCGAGATCACCCCCGGGTCCATCATCCAGGCCCCGCGATCTCCCGCCCAAATGCCTCCTCCCATCACCCTCCAACCCACCTCCTACCACGCCGACTCGGACGCCGACGACGAGTACGAACGCAGCGTCGTCACCTCTCCCCACCTGGCCTCCGACTCCGAAGCCTCCCCCTTGGTGTCGGATTTCCCTTCCGCCCAACATACCCCGACCACTTTTGCCAATGCCGATGAGAGCGCCCAGTGGCCGACGACCGTGATTACCGAGTGGACGGTCGATGAGTGTGCGGGTTTTTTGGCGGCCTTGGGTCTGCGCCAGTATCGCAATGCTTTTCTGGGTATGTCATTATATACTGTGTGTGTGTGTGTGTGTTCTCGAGAAAAGAGGGGTTGAGGGGAGGGAAGTTGTAAGACTATGCTAACCTGCCAACTCAGAAAATGAAATCGTCGGCGAAGCCCTCATCGCCCTCAAACACGACGAGTTGAAAGAAATGGGCATCGCCAGCGTCGGCCATCGTCTGACCATCCTGAAAAGCGTCTACGAAACCAAGGTCAAACAAGACATCCCGCTGGATCCCGATCACTACATCCCACTCTGTACGTTTCCCTTGCCTCCTCATCTGAATTCAACTAACCGGTATAGCCGCCGATCAGAGTATGAACGAAAACGCCTCGCAAGAGGACGTCGCCCGTCTGATCCAGTCGATCCGATTACGCGATGAACGCATCGTCACGGTCGAGTCGGAGCTGCGCCGCATGGCCGAGGACTATCGGCGGCTGCGAGAGGAACTCCTCCCCGTCTTTAAAATGGCCAAGGACCGCTCGCAGCCGCTCCCCCCGCCGTCCACCTTATCCGGTACCACCATCGACGGCTATCACGACAGCCAGACGCTCACCTCCCCCTCAGGCATCACCCTCCTTGACCGCGCCGCGTCCGGCATCTCCCGGTCCTTCTCCAAGCGCGCCGGCGGCACCACCCCCAAGAACCACTCCCCCACGCACATTCCTCCTTCCATCCACGAAGTCCGATCCTACCACGACGGCCTGGACCCGTCCACGGCCGGCGGCCTACCAGGCGCTTCCCACCTCAGCTCGATGAACAACGGCAAAGCCCAGATATCGCCAGGCATCCCGTCGCCGACCTCCCCAGGCAACCACTACACGGCCTCGCAGATCCTCGGCTCACGATCGTACACGCAACCGAACAGTCGACACGACCCGCACGACGACCCGCCGCCCTCCCGATCCGACCGCCTCCAACCCACCCCCACCCAAGCCACACGACCCGACCTCCCCTCACGATCCGACTCCCGCGCGGGCGCCGGCAGCACCAGCGGCGGGGACCCACCCAGCGTGGATATTTTCAAGTCCTTCCGGGTATCCATGGACGACCCCTGCCACCGGGTATTACCAGCCGCGCTGAAGAAATACCAAATCAACGCAGACTGGAAGCAGTACGCGCTGTACATCGTCTACGGCGACCAGGAGCGGTGTCTGGGACTCGAGGAGAAACCGCTCATCCTGTTCAAGCAGCTGGAGAAGGAAGGGCGCAAGCCCATGTTCATGCTGCGCAAGCAGATCCACGCTATGGAGGGCGCGCCTTACACGAGTGGGGGGTCGGCGCCTAATAGCGCGGGGTTTGAAGGTCGTCAGGGGCAGATTAACCTGCCTGGGGGGGTGCTATAACCGCTATAGTCTGGGGAGTACTATACTCAGGCCTCTGAGTCCTATAGTGAAGTGTCGGAGTTGATATGATTGATACCCGTGATGAAGTCGAGTCAGCATTGAATTCAGAGGATTGATTACCTTTCGTCATGGAGGTGTTAGGTGTTGGTGTTGGTGTTGTTGGTGTTAGGGAAGGAAAAGCAGCGATTCATTCATCTTCCTTTCTTTCATTCATTCTTCTCGTCCTTTTTACCCTTTTATTATTTACTTACTTACATTTACATATACATTTACATATTTACTTATCTCATTGGAATCAACAGATTCAACCTTTATATTTGGAGTATTATCTACTAAGGAGCACTGCTGTGGATACAGACAATAGACCCAGTACTTGAGCAGCTATCTACATACATACATAGCTGGATAGATAGATAAATAAACAGGCAGATGAATACCCAGCTAGTCAGACCCTGCAAAGGTAACATTCCCCCCAGGCTATTACCTATTCCATTACGGTGAACAGGTACTTGGTTATCTCAACTATCAAGACTATTAATGAGAATACCACTACTATTACCTTCACCTGGACAGATGGATGGACAATAGGTTGATAGATGCATAGAGCAAAGAGGGACAATTTCGGTCTTTCTTTCTTGTTGGATATCATTCTGTTTTGACTTGGGGATTTGCTATCTATATCTCTCTCACGACTCTGCTACGCTGCTACTCTGTTGTCTACTATCTACTACTCTACAGACTATTACTCTATCTAAATAATAAGTTATCTTACTGTGTCTTATGTATATCTATTATGCTATGTCCTTCCCCTTCCTATACAATCAATCATCAATCAATAATCAATCATCAACCAGTCAATCAATCAATCAATCAATCAAATCAAATCAATCAACCAATCAATAACCACATCAATCAATATAATCAACATAATAATACTACCCGATATCAATCACCGCCCCTTCTCACCTCCCCACGATATCTTCGTCCGATGTCGTTGTCCCGACTCGGACGAACTCGACTCGCCTCGTCCGGATTTACCCCGGCGGTCTTCGTCCCCGTCCTCACTCCCGGACTCGATCGCCTCGTCGTCGTCTTCAGAGGCAGAGTCCGAGTCAGAGGCTAGCTCGCCTAACGCAGCAAGACGACGGCGGCGTTCGGCGGGCGTCTCGCCCGTATCGCCTAGGTCGGCCTCCTGCGGCGGCCGATCCAGCCCCGCTGCCTGCCGGAGCTCCGACGGGGGGACTCGGTCCGTGCCGTCGTCTTCCGAGTCGCGTCGTGCGCGCAGCTGCGACGGGCCGAGGTTGCTGCGGCGGGCTTGGGCGGCGCTGCCGCGGGTCACGCGCGCCAGAGACGCCGCGACGTCGTTGCCGGGACTTGCTCGCCCCGCGCGGTCGGCCTCGTCGCTGACTTCGCTCGACGACGTCAGGTCTTCCTCGGCTGCGGCGCGGCCGGCGGCTTCGACGGGATCATGCGCGAAGCCATCGTCACGCGGGGTCACGCCCGGGTCGGACTGTCGTCGTGGCGGCTGCTGACTCTGGCCCTCCTCCGCAGCCTCCGCGTGCGACCGCGCGGCGTCCTTGACCCGCTCGGGCGCGTCCGACTCCTCGACGAAGGTGCGACGCGCCCGCGGCCCCAGGCCGCGCAGCTGCTCCGCGAACTGGTGCTTGGTCATGCGCGTGCCCTTGTGGCCGACGCCGCGGCGGCCGACGGTGTCGTCCGCGGCGATGGTGAACCGCAGGCCGTCGTCCGCCATCCACTCGTCCCGGGCGGCTTGCCGGTTCTTGGCGGTCTGCTTCTGCTGCTGCGCCGTCTCGTCCTTTTCTTCCATGCCGAACCACGTGCCCATCCGGGTGAGGCCGCGACGCACGGGCGCCGCGCCCTCGGGCCGCTCGGACGACGACGACGGGATCGAGTACTTCTTGAGCACCTCGCCGTCTTCGTCTTCCACGATGATGGTGTTACCGAACTGGTAGGCGTGCGCGGACCGTGCTTTGCCCTTGGGCTTGGGCGCGGGGGCTGCCGCGGGCGACGATGGGCCGGCCGGGGTGGCGGTAGTGGTGGTGGCGGTGGTGTCAGGGGTCTCTGGCGTGGACGGGTGAGAGCGGTCCATGCCCACAAACCGAGCGAGGCGTTGGCGCATCGAGGTGAGCGGTCCGGCGGGGGTCTCCTCTGCAGCTGCGGCTGGGGTCGGGGCTGGGGCGATCTCGGCTTGGCCCTTGACCGGGCGCTCGCGCAAGAGCTTCACCCGCTGCTCCTCGATGTGGCGATCCCGCTCCTCGGGCGAAATATGGCTGACGTCCTCCGTCCGGAGGACGTTGCCGTCCTCGTCCTCCATGACCATGTGGTGACCCTCGAGGTAGACCTCCATGACGGGCACGCGGTGGAGGCGGTCGGCCTCGTGGGACGGCGGGGAGGCACCGCGCTCGATGCGGTCGCGCTGCGCCTGCTCGGCGATGCTGTCCTGCTTCTCGTCCAGACCGTTGTCGGAGGGTCGCTGGGGGGCGATGGCGGACTGGCTGATGGGTCCGCCGGCGCCGTCGGAGCGCCCGCGGTGGCGGCGGCGGCGACGGGCGGTGCGACTCGGGGTGCGGCCTTGGGGCGACTCGTCCTCGTCGCGTTGGCGGCGGAGGAAGTTACCGGGCATACCGATCGGGGGCAGGGTGCCGGGCGGGTACTCGGGCTCGGTGGTGGAGTCTTCGAGCTCGTCGGTCTTGCGGAAGGACATGGAGCCCTTGGCGAGCGACTGGACGCGGGGCAGACGGTTCATCCACGAGGGTCCCTCCTCGTTGGCCTGGGTGTAGGACAGGGTGACGGTCAGGGTGTTGATGCGCTTGCCGAGGGTGAAGACGGCGATGGAGGAGCCGTGGACCAAGATGGAGGAGATGACCAGGAATGTGGTGATTGGCCAGATGAGCTGGACAACGTAATAGTCCTTGGTGCCGGCCTTGGGGAGCTCGGCCTCGGACAGGGGTTGGGTGCTGTCGTTTTCGAGCTCGGCGCGGGCGAGGATAGCGGCGAAGATGGCGCCGACGCCGATGGGGCCGAAATGGCCGGCGAAGAGAGCCTCGCGCCAGGTTTTGACGTCGGGGATGACGGGCTTCAGGAGCATCATGATGGGCAGGCGGCGGAAGAAGATGACGAGCAGGGCGATGACCACGAGACGCCAGGGGGTGAGACCGATGGCGTGGTTGTTGTAGTCCTCCCAGGGGATGATGGAGCCGAAGTAGACGAAGTAGGCCAGATTGAGCAGGAGGTCGATGACGTTGGAGACGTGGGACTCCTCGGTCTTCTCGGTGAACCAGCCGTCGTTACTGAAGCCGACACCGGCGCAGAAGCCGATGAGCAGATCGTCCATGCCGAGAAGGCTGCCGGAGCCGGCGCAGAAGACGGCGAGGACGAAGTAGAAGACGAGGAAGCTCTCGCGGTCGATGAGGCCCTTGCGCTCGGCGAGGCGAATGGCGTGACGGGCGAGATAGCCGATGGACAGCCCGAAGATGGCGCCGACGACGCACTCGTAGAGAATGGAGATGCAGAACCAGTGGAGGGCGAGCTCGCTGGGATGGGAGGCGTAGCGGAGGATGTAGAAGGAGAGGTAGATGAAGGGGAAAGCCATGCCGTCGTTGCAGCCGGACTCGGCGGAGAGGAGGTCACGCAGATGCTTGGGCACACGCTTGGCGAACTTGCCCTTACCGACGACGGAGGAGGCCAGGACGGGGTCGGTGGCGGTGACGCAGGCGGCGCAGACGAGACTCTCGACCCAGCTCAGCGGCTCGGCCATCCACCAGATGAAGAGACTGGTGATGAGCCAGCCCCAGGTCATGACGGGACCGAGGAGCATGATGACAGACTTCCAGTGGCGCCCCATGTAGGCCTTGGGCAACTCGACGCCGACGGCGAAACATTGGACGACGAGGACGATGCGGGAGCACTCGAGGGTGATCTTGTCGACGTTGCCCCAGGAGAGGGGGTTAAAGAGGTTTGCGGCATGGGGACCGAAGATGATGCCACAGAGAGTGGCGACGGTAGCTTCGCCGATGTAGAGTTTCTCCTTGACGAAGAGGGAGCAGAGCATGAACAGGCCGGTGAAACCGCCGAGGATCATGTAGGCCAGATGCGGCTTATCGATATCGAGGTGATCCCACGCCATGTTGTCGCCTATTCACCAGTACCAATTTCGCCAGTATCAATTCACCAATATCACTTGACCAATATCAATCCACGCTTCGATCAACAAAGCAATTCGAAAGGTCGATTGAGCGGGTGACCCGCAATTGAACCGTAAGATTGCGCCAGACGTATACGGAGGGGGTTGTCGGCATTCCTTGAGGGTGGACGTAGAGAACGAGCTAGGTAGACTGCGCGTCAGAACGGGATAGGCGCAGGCGCATGCAATGAGGAGGAGCAACGACAGTGGAAGAGACGGAGAAAAGGAGAGGAAGAAAAAAGGGAGAGGAGGTGGTCCGAGTGCGATCAACTTACCAGAAGGGGAAAGCGGACCAGGTGCGATCCGGTCTGAAGCAATAGTGGAGAGATAGTTCCGATAGTATCAGAGAGAAGCGAAACCGAGAGCCACACTGGGGGAGACTGGGCAGAGGGAGAGAGAAGGATAGAAGATTCAGGACAGGAGGAGCGAGACCCAGCGGACGGGCATTCTACTTTCTTCTTTTGGTTTGGTCGGGCTAGGCAGATGAGTAGGAGCTTGGCAGTGGAAGTGGAAGAGTATATGAGTGGGTGAGAGCAGGAAGAGGAAGAATAGTGGAGTGGGAGAGTGGAGTGGATGAAGTGGAGGAGAGAAGGAAGTTGGAAGTTGGAAGAGAAGAAGAGAAGAGATTGGGCGGGGATCCACGGTCGGTCGCGGACTCGGCGGTCTTGGCGGAAGTCTTGGCGGCGGACTTATCTATTATGTTTTTATCTCTAGTATCCCTATTATCTCCATTATGATATTATATTATTATCTGATTATAGTGTATACAATTGCGTGATTTATATTATAGTAGATTACAATATACAAAAGAAAGACCATAGGTAAGCAGACTATCAACTGCAGCTGCATCCGTCCACATGGCCGGAATACCGGACAATATCAATGTATTAATAGCTCCCAAACGACGGAAATAACCACGCTCGACGCAATCATAAATAGAATGCTAGAGCATAAATAGAATAAATAGAATGCAAGACCTCCGACCACCGGGGAGGCCGGAATTCCTCGACCGTGCCAGCCACTCGTTCGTGCCGGGGGGCTCCACTGCCCAGCCCTGCAAGGCTGCCAAGTCTGTTCCTATTGGAGCTGGCGGGGTCCGCTGTGGGACTGTCTCATCCTTTGTTTTCTCTTCTTTTCTCTTGTTTCGTTGATTGTTTTGATTCATAGGATGGATTATTATTATTATTTATGGGTTTTCTTGGCATGTCAGATTTTAGGAACGAATTGGATCGAAGAAGAGAGATGTATCCGATACCACCCGCTACATACAGACAACATACCTAGTATAACGAGGACAAAAAAGACACACACACACACACACACACACACACACACACACACACACATACAGAGAGAGAGAGAGAGATATTAATCCCCCAATGGCATCCCCTCCACCTGGTCACTCAACGACCGCCAGTTATCCGCCTGCAGCTCTGCGTATTTGACACGTTCCTGACTCCAGTCTTGATGCAGCCGGCTGATGTGATACTGACTCTGCTGGAAGTAGACCAGCTCATCGCGCACGCACTCCCGGATAAACACCCCGCGTGCATGCTGTTGCACAATCGACTCTTTGTCCTGTAAATAGATATTAACCAGAAGAACCAAACAAAAGGAAGAAAAAGACAAGAGAAAAGAAGCATACCTTGAAAATAGCATCCTCCACCTTCTCAATTTCCCCCGGCTTCCCCGTCCCCCCCGCCCGCAACTCCTGCAGTCGCCGTTCATGTCCTTCAATCCGTCGCTCCAGCTGCGGGATATTGTTGCGCGCGTACCGGTCGCGCCGGTCGAACAAATCCCGCACACTCACCAGGCAGTCTCGCTGGCGCTTCAGGTCCTCCAGCATTCCCGCCTCCCACGCCCGCGCCTCGTCCTCCAGCAGACTCTGGCTGGCCGTCAGGTGTCGCGCCGTCGCCTTAATCCCCTCGTTTAGCAGAGGCACGTCGTTCGTGTCCACCGCGTACGTCTCCCGCGTCACCTCCGTCAGCGACTGCAGTGCCAGCGAGAACCGCAGCTGGTCCGCTGCCAGGCCCTCGTTGCGCTTCGCTAGTCGCTCCAGCAGCGTGCACAGCTGGATGTACACCTCTGCCGACCGCTTCACCCCGTTTCGCACTGTGTCAAACAGTTCCGTCAGGTTCGCCGGCAGTGACTCTTCCAGGTCCGGTGGTAGCGCCCGTCCGCTGAACTCATCCTGCACCGAGATCGTGGCCTGCTTCCGCCACACAGACAATTCCTGCTCGAGTTAGCCAGCCGTCAGCCGGATACGTAGGGGGAGGAGGAGGGGGGGGAATACCGTCGGCACAGTCAAAAACATAACGACCAGCTGCTCCTGGCTCAAAACCGGGTGCCGTACCAGCGCGTTCGTGAACCGCACCAACCCGCGCCGCCGCTTTTCAAGAAATGAGGTCGAATCCGCTGCGAGGTAAGTGCCATTGACTTAGATTGCGAAACAGACAAACAAGGTAAGTAGAGCTTTCCGGAGCAAGCCTTCCTCCGGGGAAAACGTACCTGCCAGTCGCTTCGGTGGAAGCAGAGGAAGCTGTCGAAAAGGGTACCGCTTCTGCAGACAATCCAAGAGCCAGACGAAGTCGCTGTACCGCCGTACCACCGTGCTCCCGCGCCGCGCCGATTTCACCTCGTAGTTCCGGTGCTGGAACATGAACATCCCCTCCTTCTCCGGCAGCAGCGTGATCGTCACTAGCTCCTCCAGGAGCGGGCTCGCCATCCCACCCATCCCCAGCGATCGCCGACGCGGGTTCGACTCGTCGGCGTCGCCGGACGGCGGTCCAAACCCGCCAAGCCCTGCCCGGGAGCCCCCGCCTGCCGGAGCGCCAAAGCTCTCGCCCCAGCCGAATCCAGACCCCCCGGAGGATGGCGCGCTCTCCATCCGCCCGTGGCCACGGCCGCCATTGAGCGATCCGCCCGGTTTGGTTGACCAGGCGTTGGTCGCCGACCGCGCACTGCCGTAGCCGTTCAGCACGGGGTTCTCCGACTCGGCCTGCGTGTGGGTGTGGCCGCGATGCATGTCAGGACTGCCCCAGGGGTCGGACTCCAACCCGCCCATGGACGTGGGTCGCTCGCGGCGAGACTGGGCCGGCGAGGGTTCCGGTTCCTGGATGTGCGGCGGAGGCGGCGTGGTCGGCCGGTCCTGCGACTGACCCGACTCCGGCGGTTCCTGCTTCGCGCGCAGCGAATCGAAGTAGGAGCTATGTGGGGTGGGGAGTTCTAGAATATACAATCAACTGGTTAGAAGACTGGAAGTAAAAACGGCATAAGTCCATGCAGCGTAGGCAAGGCTCACTCTTGCGTCGGTCGTCGACCATGTCCAGTGTCAGATCCTCCCCCTCCTGCGCCAGGCCCACCAGCGCCAACAGCACGTTGAACTCGCTGCGCCCGAGCCCAGTGGAGCTATCGACCTCCCCAGACACCACCAGGTTGAGAATTTTGGCCTGATCTGTAGCCGTGAGTCCGCTGCCGGATAGGATCTCCCGTACCGAGGTCAAGCCAACTCCACTGCCCACGCGCTCCCCGACGCTGAGCACCAGGTCGTACGAGTCGATGTAGCTCTCGGGCACGTCCGATTCAGGGAGGAGGGTCTTCACGAGCTCATGACGACCTGTTCGTTTAGACGCGTGGTTGCCCCAGGGAGATCCGCCGCCGGCGCCCTCGTCGTCATCCGCGAAGAGAGACGAGGAGCCCATGGGACCGCCCCCGCCGCCCGAGGGCGGATCGTCCGCGAACAGGGAGGATTTGGACCGCTGGGCGGAATTCCCGCCGGGCGATTCCTCGGGGGACGTGCCGAATAACGACATGGTCGGTTACGATGAGGATGGAAGCGATGGGAATGGCTCGAATGAGGCTCGTGCGCAATGGCGGAGGGGATACTGGCGATCCAACAGCGGAGTCCGGTCGGAGATTGGCAGATTGTGAGATAAGTAGGGGAAGAGGAATTCGATGAGATACGATAGAAACAACCTCAATGACTAGAGACGAGGTAGAAGAAGATCAAGACAGCCAACAAGAGAAAAAGACCTGCTTTTCCTCCCAGGTGACGATGGCGAGGTTGGTTGATAAGAAAGGGAGCTCCGGCTGGGCGATAAGTCAGGTGGATTACGTGATACTCCTATACAAATACCATCCATTTTATAGAAGACATTGTTTGGAATAAGAGAAGTATAGAAGAGATGATAAGAGAACTCAAGAGAAATAATAATGCCAATGCTTTGATTATCCAAAACTCTATACATGTGGTCCTATATAAGTGATCTCTACGGAATCCCCGCCATAACCAACAGTCGACGGGCTATATCCATCAGATTCCGCCCTCGCTGGAACTCTCCGACGCAGGTTCACTGCGGTCCGTCGGTCCCTCTGATTCCCTCCTCGGATGGACGGGAAAATGCCCCTGCTGGACGAGGAGGTCCTGCCACCCCTGTCCGCCCGTCGACTGGATCAGCCCCGGATTGGCATCCATAGGGAACCATCGCTCCCGCCGGGTGTCGGACTTGCTTCCGCCCTCCAGGGCCGCCCGACTGGCTCTGGTCGTCCGTATTCGTTTCGTCTCATCCTTGCCGTGAGACAGGACTCCGCTCAGTTGCAGACGAAATCGCTCGAGGCGGAGGTCAAACGCCATGATCGCCCGGATATACGGGGCGAGGTCCTCAACGATCGGGCTGATGCCGTTGTCAAAGGACGGCGCTAATCGCCCCGAGGGGATGGGGAAAACGTAGTTGGCACGCAGGATGGGTTGGAAGGCGGCGAGGAACGGGGACTGTGGCCGGCCGGCGACGGGAGGCTGGGCCACATTTGCCAGGACGTGAGTGGCCCGCGAGGATTCTACGTCCGGCGACTCGCCCCGGGATACCCGTCCGAGGAGGACCTCGAATGTGCTGCCGATGGCGACTTGCAAAGAGGAGTAGTCCGGGACGAGCTCGGCGTTCAGCAACGGATAGCCATCGATGTAGTTCGGTCGTTGTTTCTCCGACGGAGGTGGGCTCGAGGTGTCGATGGCATCCTATTGAGGTCAGCGATTGTTCGATGAAGAGTGAACTACAGGAGATACGGACCATCTTCGGGTCGAGCGGACAGTCGGTGCTCAAGAGGTCCATCACACTCCTCATGTCCGCCATGTCCGAAAAATGTCGGAGCTGTTCGTGCTGTTCCGCTCGTGTAGAAGCGGGAGCAGCGCACGACCGGTCGCGATACATTTCCATGATCTCCGAATCCTGTGCGCTGAGTCTCCACCAGGAGAGCGCTTCCTGCTGGGTCTCCACCTCCCCGTCCAAGCTCTGGTCCATCAACATGTCGCGACTGAACCACCCCATGTAGCGATGGTACGTGTTCAGACTGACCACGCGCAGCGGATCTCCGTTCGGGTCCAGATCGGCGCCCTGGGGCCACCGGTCAATCAGCCAATCGATCCCCGATTTCTCGCTCCCGAGGGCCATCTGGCACCAGAAGTCCAGCTCCATGATCGTCCTCCGCAGATCTCGGCCAGTGCTGAGGTAGAGATCCGCCACGGCCTCTCGTCGCACCATGTGGCCCTCGTTGGCCGCCAAGAGGAGGAGGTAGTCAACCGCTACGTTCGGAGGGGGCGGTCGGTAACGCAGGATGGCGTGGAGGGAGATGTCGGCTACCGGGATGAGGCTTTCGTCGTTGCAGGTGATGATGATCGGGCGCTTGGACTGGGTGATAAGCGTGAGCACACCGGACCAAAACTGCTTATCGTCCTCGAACAGAAGATCGGCCTCCTCGAGAAGGATGAGCGATTGCTTTTGAGTCCGACCACGCTTCGGATCTGACTCCTTGTTGGTATCTGGTTCCTTGACCTTGGGCGCCTTATCTGGCTGGGTGGTCGATTTGGGCTTGAAGAAACCCATCAGTTTGTTCTGCTTGTTACCCTCCGTAGCATCCAGACTGGGATCGGGCGACTGAGAGCGGGACTTCTCACCACCGCCGCTCAAGTGATGGACCAAATGATTTCGAGTCATGTCGCCCACGCGCTCCACAATGTCTCGCGCACTGCGTCTGTTCCCGGGGTTCAACTCGAAGACTTCAAAGTCGAGCTCTTTCGCTACCGCGTAAACAGAAGCAGTCTTTCCACAACCGGGGGGTCCGCTCAACAATATCGCGTTGGACAGGCGGCCCTTGTCGCCCACCTTCGAGCCTGGGGTTCGATCACCCATCCGTACGACGGTTCGTTTGGCAGAGACAGTCACATCGCCGGCCAATTCATCGTCGGACTCGGCGGCGACTTCGTCCATCTCGGATGCCTCGTCGCCACTCGATACGATGAACCCATCCATCTTGTCCGACTTCTTCTGCTTCTTCCGCTTCTTCTCTTCTTTCTTGACCCTGTTGTCTAGCGACGGCTTTCCCGTGTCGACAGTGGAAACCATCAGGTGCCTGAGCCAGTCTCGGAGCATGGTGACTTCGCTGGTGACCTGCAATACCTGCTCTGCGGTGGTGGGGGCGTACTTGTGCGCCCAGAGGCTGCTTTCGTAGTCTCCCCGATCAAAGGCGTTCAAGGAAGTCGGGATGGAGGAGTGGAGGTTCGTGATGGCGTGGTGGCTGGTTGTACCGGGCACACTCGACAGCTGTTTGGCAACCGCTTTTTGTAGCGTGGGACCGCTTGCGAGATGTCGATTCGGGACGCGGAGGATCTGTTTTGGATCATGGACAGGGCTCCTCAAGGGAGACGCGAGTACGCTCTCGTGGTCCGGGATGCTCACGGCCGCCGATTTGGCTTTGCGCTCGTCCTGACGAAGAGTAGTGGTGTCATCATGAATACGGCCAGTCACTCCTTGGAACCCTCTCACGTGGGCTAGGTCCCGCGGAGGCCAAATGGGATGGATTGCATCCGGAAACTTAGGACGCGGTTTGAAGGTGACAAACGGCGTATTATTTGACGGGCCCAACCGGGTGATCTGGGACCGATCGGACGGCACTGGAGTGGAATCTTGAGGAGCAAGTGTTTCGGGGGTATCTGCTTTGCGTGCTGGTTTTTTCATGAAGAACGGGTGCGTGGGTTTCGGAGGTTGAGGCGGGTGCTCCTTTTTAGGGATACTAGGAATCGGTTTCGGGGCATGCTTCGTTCGACCGGCGATGATGTCGTCCACTAGCTTTCCAATCTGATTTCCATAATTCAATACCACCACCTTCGTCTTGGGACCGGGTTTGACACGCGCGCTGGTCCTTCTCTTCTTCGACTTGTCATCGGCCCCCTTTGGACCTGTTGGACCTGTTGGACCCTTTGCAGCTGTTGGTCCCTTTGGCGAGCTGAGAAGCTTCCCGTTAGGGTTCAATTTGACCATCTTCCGCTTCGGCGAATTTGTTGGCGGTCCACTCGGGGTGTGAGCAGGCGTGGATCCATTCTCAGGCGGTGCGGTGTGTGGTTCACCATTTCCAGCGGACGGTGGTTCAGACACGAGGTTATCCCCGTCCCGTGACGGCGGCGCATTCTGGGGATCATGAATCGCGGTAGAACCCGTAGTAGGACCGTCGCCCGACGGCGTGTCCGTCTTGCGCCTTTTTCTCCGGCTCTCATTCGGATCGTGGTCTAGCATGGCGACAAATGCGTTAGGGGAGGAAGCGGCGCCATCGGTGTTCGTCTCGATTGGCTCCCCTATACATTCGTGGCTTTCGTAGCGTGGCTGGTCATGGTGAAGATTGTGGGGGAAACCAATTGCCGAAGGGACATCGCCTGTACTCAGAATATCAATCAGACAAACCCATAACCCGACGATCGACAGGAGTACCTCTTTGGAAGAAAGGATGGATGCGTTGCTCGCCTTGCTCCATGGCGATGTGCTCGGAGCATCTATAACCTATGGGCCGATACCCATCGCCTAGTTCAATATTTTCTCGTCCTCGTAGGCCAGACAAATGCACACAAACAATAGGAGTGGTCGACAAGAACCTCAATCCAGAGACGTTGTCAACAGGACTTCATCAACCCTTTAATTAACGATGGGACGCGAGGCGCGTGTGGCCGCGCTGGACGTCACTTTACGGTACGGCGCTAAGCCCGATTGGGACGGGCGGTCGGAGATCGGCACAATGTAACGCCGGACAATTTTTCGATGCCGCAAAATAGTTACAGATTTGAAGACTTTCTCGATCAAGTCAACTTCTTCTCCAACAACGGTCATTCGGGTTGGATTTTCTTCAAATTTGGCCATGGATTTACAGTCGCCGTCGGTGCTGGCTCAATTGCCTCGCCCTTTGCACGCCTCCAAGGGAAAAACTCAGATCGGAGAGGTCTACAGTCTGGCCGAGTCGAAGAAGCGCAAGCGGTATGAAGTCGCGGTCGCAGTGGACGGTGAGGCCGTCAATATTTACAATGTGGGTTTACTTGTACTACCTAACCTGGGAAATCGAGTCGCTAAGTCTCGTGCTCGTGTTAGATTCAAACGCCGAAACTAGTCACATCCTACGCCGTGCCGCCCAAATCTTCATTCTCCTGCCAGCCGTGCTCGGTGCGCAGAAAGGTCCCCAACAAGTCCGGCACTAAACGCCAGACGTATGTCGCTGTGAACCCACAACGGCAGATCAAGTCGTTTGTGGAGGAAGGGGGCGCCCCCGGGTCGACGGCGCCGACCATTACGTCGTCGTCGTTCGACGTGAAGGATTCGAAGAGCCCCACGATGTTTGTCGGGATCGTCCCCACGGCGGCGGGCGAGAAGGAAGATCCATTTGATATCCTCGCCGTGCAAAAGGACGGTCGGGTGAGGCGGCTGGCGGCCGATCTCGGCTCGCAGCGGTGGAGCATCCAACACAGCGCGATCGCAAAACAGGCGGCGACACATCCGGTCCAGGCCAGCTTCCTGGTGGAATTCGACGATGCGAAGCGGTCGCTGCTCAAGCGGCGACAGGACCTGGCGTCGCTCGCCATGGGAGACCTCGTCGGAAGCGGGGTCGACGAGCCGTTGGTGCTGCTCCTCGTCACACACCCGGCGGGTGCGGCGCCGATGAAACTCGGGGACGTCCAGGTGCACATGTTCTCGGTCCCGACGGCGGTCCCGTCGCAGGGATCCCTGGACGAGAGCCAGAAGCTGCGCCACTTGCTCACGGCAAGCCTCCCCGACGTGGAGGGCCTGTCGCCGCTCGGCAGCGAGGGCCTCGACTGGGACTTCCACGCGGGGTCGGCGGGGCTCAACCTGTCGTTCGCCAAGGGGTTCGTCAACTTCGACATCTCGCAGTACACGCCGACCGTGACGACCAAGTTCATCCTGGAAGACGAGGAGTTTTCGTCCTTGATGCGTCTGTCGCCGCAGTCGGTCATTGGCGCGGGCAAGTCGACCATCGCCATCTACGACACGCAGTACCAGTCCATCCAACGGAGCATCTCGACCGACGACCTCCGCTCCGCAGACAGCGGGCGCACGACCTTCATCGGCTACTACGCCAAGCTGGGCATCGCGGTCGCCACCCGCGGCAACACGCTGCTCGCCTTCGACCTCAGCTCGTCGCAGATCCCGTCCGGGTCGTCCCTCAAGCGGCCGCGCGACGGCCTCCTCATCGACGCGATCGGGCGCGGCATCGGCTCGCCGGCCACGCAGTGGCAGGTCTCCAAGAAGCACCGCACTGAGGACCTCCGCTGGCTATGCCTGCCGCCGGACCAAGCCGACCAGTGGAACCAGCTCACGCAGCAACTGCGCCAAGCAGCGCAGGCCCACGACGCAGCGGCCTTCGACCGCGCCGTGGTGGGCTACTTCGGAGACGACTCTGTCCTCCCGTCGCCGCCGCAATACGTCAACCCAGAGCTGACGCTCTTCCTCGTCTCGCTGCTCTTCTCGCTCCGCGACGGCGAGCCCCCATCCCTCGCCGTCGACCTGTGGCCCGCGCAGACCACCCAGTGGCTCATCGCCCTCGGCCACCTATCGCAAGACAACGTGGCCATGGCGCTGCGCCGGGCGCTGAAACCGCGCATCCTGCCCGCCCTGCCCGCCGGCTCCTTCGTGCACGCACTGATCGCGTCGGATTCCTCCTCCCCCTCCTCCTCCTCCTCCACCCCCTCCCTGCGCCGACTGATCGACGTCCTCCAGGGCCCGATCGTCTTCCCAGCCGACGAGCTCGCCCACGCGCTGAAGACGGTCCTCAACCTGGCGCGGTCGCGGCCTCTAACCGACGAGGACACCGAGGAGGAGTCCCGCTCGGTGCGGGCCATCTTCGAAGCCCTCAACACCACCCTCCAGAACCTCCACTGCCACCCGTCGGCCGCGCGGACCGGCGCCCTGCGCGCGACGCTCTCCCGGGCGGACCTCCTCGCCATGATCCACCACCTGCGCATCTCGCTCGCGACCGGCGGCTACACGACGCGGTTCAGCGAGGCGCCGCCCACGCCGCTGACGGCGGGGCAGACGACGCCCGCGCTGAGCCTGTCGGCGATCACGGACCTGCTGAACGCGGCGGTGGACGCGATCGGGCCCTCGGGGTGGATCTCGGCCGTGGACGACGACGCGGGAGTGTCGTCGGCGGCGGCGGAGGTGGATCTCATTGCGGATCTGAAGTCGGAGATCTCGGCGGCGCTGGCGGGCGTGGAGGAGGCGTCGTACCTGTCGGGGATTCTGCGGCCTTATCTGCGGTTTGCGGAGAGCGTGCGTCAGACGAAGACCTCCCCTGCTGCTGGGGATGCGGCTGCGTCGTCGTCGGCGGCGGCGGCGGCGGCGGCGCTGGTGCGGCACGACACGGTGAACGGGGCGCAGCTGATGGTGTTCGAGACGGGGGTGAACGGGGAGGAGGGCGAGGGGGCGGGGCGGATGCTCCCGCTGTCGCAGAAGGCGGCGTCGACGGAGGTGAGCCGGACGAAGGTGGAGCGGTCGACGGGCGAGGTGCGGACGCGTAGCAATCGCGAGATGGGCTATCTGCGGCGGAAGGCGGCGGGGAAGTATTCCTTTGAGCGGTTGGTTGTGTAGTTTAACTACGTTACGTATATTATTTATTCTTTGTTTACTATTCTGTATATCTCTATGGTTGTAGGGATCTACATATGATTATAGTGATCTGTGAGTAGGTATATAGTCAAATCCTGGCCTGAGAAACAGACAAGACTACCTGGGAGGTATTCCGTAGTTAGTCTGTTAGTCCAGCAATACAACGGAGCACATTCTACCGTTACAGCGAGCCGACGCGTGCTAGTGAGACCTCGGTAGACTAGTCGTTAGATGGACTAGAGGGGACTATAGTACTGACAGGGATCTGTTTTGTTATATAGGTTGTATTGTAATGATTATATAAACATCTTGATATATATATGTGTGTAGATAGATATAGATATGGATATAGATATGGATAGATATAGATATGGATAGATATAGTTATGGATAGATAGAAATATATATGATATTATGGAGATAATACAGATGTATATATCTACTAAAACATGAACATGACCTAGTAATAAATACACGATACAATACCGTTGTGGGTCCCGTTCTGATTTGCCAATGCGGGCGAGGTGCATGGCAGTGGAATGACCTCATGCATTGACCCGATCGCTGAGCACGGACTGGGTCTAGTTACTAGAGGATACGACAGTGTGGTATTATCCGGGAGATATGTCTGGTTGTTATGTATAATGACGATCTGTTTGATTGTATATATATTGATAGATAGATATAGATAGGTATAGGTATAAAAGGTAGGTATGGATATAGGTAGGTATAGATACAGGTAGGTATAGAAAGGTAGGTATGAACGATATACTGTACTCGATATCCAGTAATGAAGTGACATGCAGAAGCGCCATATCCGCTATTATTAATGCTGCAGGAGTGCGGTATTAATCCGAGGGCCGTGCATACATATTATAGTATTGTCTATAATATACCTAGTAAGAGGAAAGATGACTGTCCGAAGCTGTCTATATTATTTGATTGCCCCACAGATAACGGCACACTATCACAGTATTGTATATTGAATATCAATAATGATTGAATACACACACACATATATATATATATATGTCATCCACAGAAAGAATTACTAATCAAACCCGTTACAAGAGACCACACAGACCCGAATCCCAATTCAACCGTGGCGGTGCCAAGTCTTCAGTGGATGAGAAGCAACCACTGAGCAGTGCGACCGTCCACAGGCCCGAGGACGACTGGCCTGGCCCCTGAGACGACGGGTGGTGGGCACTGGATGGCAGTGGTTGGAGTGGTGGGAGTGGTTGGAAGTCGTTAACCCGTCCGTGATGATTTGCTGGGTCGGATCAGATGTGGGGAAGCACGTAGTGTGAAGTGGGTCTGGTGGGTGGATAGGAGTGCCTCGTATCCTGTCTTGCGTCTGGGGACTTACCCGGAGGAGGATAGTCGGGTCCTGTCTGGGTGGAATGATTCCGTTCGATCCTGCTCTTGCCTAGTCTACCTTAGTTGTATTGGTCGTACTAGTGAGGTATGTAAAATGGCAACTATTATCCTATATCAAAAGACATATATCTAAGTGGATAGTATAATGTATGGTATATATGGTATATGTATATCTGTATCGCGGAGACGGACCGTCACGAGGTCTGGGGTACTCCACTGGCATCCACCTACCTTATACTGTCTCTACCTCT